AGAGAAGTAGATGATTCTCTGTGTAAGACTGCTAATTCTGATTGTATAATTGTGCACATATTTATTGTTACTGCATCTATAATATGTTGCATATTCATGTTGTTTGTATGAGCTGCATGTTTCTCTAAAGCTTTAATTGATGATTCTGAAGAATTGTCAGTATTTGAAGAATTTTGATCATTAAAGATCATAATTGCAATTGATTGTTGATTTTCTGTAGTTATCTGATCAAGAGATGAAAATTCATATGTTGTTAAGATAGATAGTTTCTGCTGCATTTGATTGAAAGTTGTTGATGGGACATTGTTTGAATTACTGCTTTTGAATGAAAAGTTCATGATTAAGTTAGTCAAGAAATTACTTGAGAACTTGTTCAAGATGACTTGCTTGCTTGATAGTGATGCTTTATAAGAAAATAGCTTTGTAACTATCATTGTGTTCTAAATGAATTTGTGAATTGCTGTTCTGATTATCAATGAATCAAGATTTCAGTCTGCTGAGTAAAAAATGTCAGAGAGCTCTGATTCTGATCAAGTTAGCTGTAAACTGTTCAGTGAAAGCACTTTAGAATTCTTCTTTAATATACAAGATTGATAAATGTTGAAGACTTGACTTTACAGTAATGATATCTTATTATTTTTGATGATGAATTCTGCTAGATGTTCTGTGCTGAGTGAAATTACTCAAGAGCTAGAGCTACTTTGACTATAGATAATTATGTATTTAGCTGTTTGCAATACAGAATTTGGAAGAGACTCAATAATTGATCTGATTTCATTTACTGATTTCATTATTTCTTGTGAAATATGCTTAGAGTTTGTGAGTATTTCAGTAAGATTTTTTAGAATTTTAGACTGCTCTTGAGGTTCTCAATCAAGCAAGACATGCTATCAGTTTGTTACATGGTCTAACTGAGCTACAGAATGTCCATGTGATTTTGGTTGTGTAGTAGAAGATGATTCTTCTATCTTCTTCCAGCTTCATGAGTAAGCTTGAAGAGCTGACTAAGTAGCTAACTATTTTGATATTATGTACAGTAATGATTTCATGTCAATTATAAATCTTGAAAGACTTCATAAATAGCTTTGCTCAATGCTAATATTTCACATAGAGAGATATCTTATGTTGTGTTTCTCTTCCATTCTTCAAAATGTCAAAATGTAAGCAGTAATGACTAAATAAATTTAAGAGTAAAATCTCAATCAGTTACTGCTCAAGATTTTCTTCAGAAATAATGAGAGAGATTTCTTTAGAATTTTTTGCTTTATCTAAGTCAGAGTCTTTATTCATTGTTGCTTTAAATAAAGAGACATTATTACTGTCAAGCTCTGTTTATTAATCAGAAAGATATATCTCTGATGACTTTAAAATTTCTTCTTAAATGTCACAGTTCAGTCAGTCTGATTTCAATTATGATGAGAAAAGTGATATTTCTCAATTTCTTCTTCTTTTAATGCTTAGGCTGATCATTGAGATCTCTTTGGAATTTCAATGAAACAAGACTAAATGTTAATCTCAATTGAGTTGATCTCAGTTTCTTTCCAAAATTTGAAAATTAGTTTCAATTCCATCTCAAAATATGAATAAAAGTCCCATTTTCTTTCCAGTTTCAAATTTTCTATGTTATGTTCCATTTCTAGATTTCTCTATTTCTAAAACAACTTTAATTTTTTTTCAAACTTTATTTTGAAAGTGTATTTTTACACCAAAATATCACAAAATAGAACAATTGGCACATCAAGTCAAAATGCATATATACATTTGTATATGATTTTGATACTAAAAATACTATAAAATAAGATTTTATTTTAAGTTTAGGGAAATTGAGAATTCCTATCTCTAATTAAATAATTTCAATCTCTTTTAAATTAAGTTCCATTTCCATCTCAGTACTTGAAACTCAAGTTCCAGTCCCATCTCAGTTTGAACTATCAAGTCCCAGTCCCATCTCAATTTCCCATTAGTGCATTAGAAACAGAATTCCAGTTGGGAAATCTCTGTCCCTGCAGTCAGTCTATTAATGCTTTGTAATTGCTTTTACAAAGTTTGAAAAATCTTTTACAAAGTGTTTTCTCACTTCATAGTTCTCTTTCTGTGTGCATGACTGATAACATATTCAGAGAGCTGATATTCAGACTTAAAGAGAACATTTAATAATATCTACTATGTTTAGTAATGATTCTTTCTCAACTACTAGTTCTATTGTCTCAGTTTATCAGATGTTGAGAGACAATCATCATTCATCTTTCAGATCTGAAACTCTTATTAATAATGCATCATCTTAATTTTCTCAGTCTGATTTATTTCTATCATAGTCTTGTTCTTAGTCTGTGTCTTATTTTTTACTGCATTCATCTTTTATTGTTAATTCTGTCTCTAATATACTCAAGATATATTAAGTTGCTTCAATGCTTCTTTTTCATAACATGACTTATAAGACAGTTTCCACTTCATAAATTCATTTATAAAGTGATATTGTGTGAGAATTGGGGGCTGTGAGTAACATGGTAATGATTCATCAGTCTTTATAAATAAGATTAGATTGAGTGAAAAGTGATTACAAAGAGATCTAAGTATGAGAGAGAGAAAGATAACTTATATTACTACAACAGTATTTAGAATCTCTAGATATGTTGTCACTGATTTTCATGAAAAAGCATCTGTGACAGATTTTATGTATTCAGCTATGTTAGCAGAATTATGTAATTAGTCACAGAGTTTATAAATTTCATATGACATGAAGCATAATTATCTAAGCATCAAGAAGATTTTACAAATCTCTTTTAAATGATAAAATGAATGTAAAATGACTGCAGTCATGTAGGCTAACTGTTGAAATTTCTTTGAGATTTCAATGGGATAAGACTGAATGTTAATCTCAATTGAGTTGATTTCAATCTCTTCACAAAAGTTAAAAATTAGTCCCAATTTCATCTCAAAATATGAATAAAAGTCCCATTCTCTTTTCAGTTTTAAATTTTCTATGTTATGTCCCATCTCTAGATTTCTCTATTCCTGAAACAACTTTAATTTTTTTTCAAACTTTATTTTGAAAGTGTATTTTTACACCAAAATATGACAAAATAGAAAATTTAATGTAAGACTCCACATTGTGGCCTTCTTACATTCATTTCATCATCTAAAAGAGATTCATAAAATCTTCTTGATGCTTAGATGATCATGCTTCATGTCATCTGAAGTTCATAAATCTCATAACTGATCACATAATCTTACTAGTAAAGCTGAACACACAAAATCTGCCACAGACACTTCTTTACAAAGATCAGTGACAACATATCTAGAGACTCTAGATACTGTTGTAGCAATATAAGTTACTTCTCTCTCTCTCATGCTTAAATCTCTTTGTAATCATCTCTCACCCAATCTAATCTCATTTATGAAGACTGTAAGTCATTGCTATGTTATCTGCAACCATTCAATTCTCACAGTTTGTCACTCAAACAAGCAGATGATCTGACAATGATTTTCACAAGACAGAACAACTGAGATCAAACTGAATTCTCAACTTTTTTCTCAGTATCAGAGACTTTCAGAGTTAGGTGAGACACCAAGTGTGATGATAAATCTGAACAAAAGCATAATTCAGACTGAGAAATCATCTTCAGAGAACATAGAATCTCTTGAGAATTTAAGAGAGTGAATACATCTCATGAAAAGAATTCAAGAACTACAGCAGAGTTTATCAACTCTGAATAGAAAGCATGAATGAACAGAATCACTTAATGTTCTGATCTCTAATTCAAATTCTTCAAAGAAGAGTTCAGTCATCAAGTCTTCACAATAAAAGATCAATTATTAAATTAAGAACTATGCAGTCTACTAGATTTCTTCATAATCATTTCACACCCAATCTAATCTCATTTATGAAGACTGTAAGTCATTGTCATGTTATCTGCAACCATCTGATCCTTACAATAAATTAAGAAAAAAACTATTATATTGAGATGCATATATGATATCATTATGTCAGATAATTAAAACTAGTTATGAAATTTTGAAAATTGTACTTTTCTGCCTGCTTAGTTACTGAAAATATCTATACATATATATACCATCAGCTAGACTGACTGCTGAAATCAGAATTTTCTAGCTGAACTTCCATCCCTAATAAATTTCATAGAGAATTGAAATAAAACTGAAACTTAATGATTCAAACTGAAAATTGCTGAGACTTGAGTTTCAAGTACTGTGATAGAAATGAAACTTAATACAAAAAAAATTGAAATTAGAATCAGAAATTTCAGATTTCTAGAAACTTAAAATAAAATCTTATTTTATACTATTTTTAGTATGAGAATCAACATATAAATGTATATATATATATATATATATATATATGATATATTGACTTAATTTGACAATTTTTCTATTGTGTCATATTTTGGTTTAAAAATGCACTCTCAAAATAAAGTTTGAAAAAAAAATTAGAGTTATCTCAGAATCCAAAAATTCTGTAACAGAGATTTAAGACTTAAAAGTTAAAACCAAAATGAAAATGAAACTTTCATTAGTATTTTGAGATGGAATTGAAACTTATTATCAAATGTTGACAGAGAAATGGGACAAAATGAGTTGTACTGTTCTCTAACCTTTGTCCCTGGTAGATTCTTATAGGGATCCCTGCGGTCAGTCTAAATTCAGCTGTCAGACTACCTCAGAGCAGTAAATTTTATATGCAAAATACTAATTTAATTCACAATTCTCAAATTTATATGATGATTTCTGAGTCTCTGAAACAAATCCAAAAACTCGCTTCAATGAGGGCTGGTCAGATTCTGACTGAATTCCCCAGATGGGTTAGCTTAACATACTAACTAGCCTTGCGCTAAAGAACCTTAACAACACGCGTCTGAGGTTGATGAGGTAACTAAACAAGATGTTGACACAAACAAATGCGGGATATACCCAACGTCCATGTCCATGCTCGAATTCAAGCCCTTGAGAATCCCACTTATGGATTTATATTACCTTTAAGAACAATGGACGGTTTATTAACTTTTGATGTCAACCAGTCTTTAAAATATTACCTCAGTGACCCTGCTTCTGTTCTTACTCCAGACGCCGCCCCAGAGCTCCTCGACTGTGAAACGGATTCTGACTTACTAACCTTACCCTTAGTGGACCAAGTCTTGGATCCAATCGTCGACGCAGTGGCAGAGCTCCCAGATGGGCTGCTAAGAAATGGTTTCTTTGACTCATTACAATGTCTACTTAAGTGTGAACCTACTTTCCATAATCTGCAAGATTATTCCCAACTAGGGCAAAGTTCTAACTCATATATATTTAGATCTTGTTCCGTGCTGTCAACGCAGTCTCTCAGTAAAATTTTGGATCTTATAGTATCTGGTCTAGCTGTTGAAGCAGACGCTGCCCATAATGACCTTGAATCAGATGAAACCGACCTCATTCCCCATCATAAACAGCTCCTTGAAATGTACGCTTTTTTGTTACAGTGGGCCGTGTCTTCCGTGGAGGCTAAGATCGCTGAAAAGCCTGCATCTACTGCATCTGCCAGGCGAGGGGCCGGAAAGTCTTCAAAATCAAAGCCAGGGGCAAAGGAAACCACCTGGGACTCAGGGGCCCAGTTACAAATAGCCATGGAGACCATGTGCAAGGTACTGAAGCTCAAACTGAGTAAAATATTTATGACCACTTCAGACCGGGATACATTTGTGAACCTCTTTACACGCTCCATATATCTTGTTCTTGAGAGTGAGCAACGAGTGAAGAGTATGAATATTCGGATGCATGCATTTAAGGTTTTATGCATTGCTGTCAAGCACCATGGTCATGGCTTTGGTATGGCTCCTTAATCTTGTGTCTCGATTAATGCTAATTAGGTAGCAATAGGTGCACAAACATCGATTGTTCAGAGTCTTACATATTTTGAACATCTTTCAGAACCGATGGCTGAATTTTTGCACATTCTTGCAGATCAATACGATTACCCGCAGCTATCAGACGAAATCCTAAGGTATACTTGATTAACGACCTCTAGCATCAAAAATGGACAATTTCTTACAAGGGCTCCCACAGGGAACTAGGAAATAAAGAATTCAATCCTAATGATACCAAAGGACCGAAATCCGTATCAATATTTATTACGAAGCTGTCAGAGTTGGCGCCACGTTTGATCATCAAGCAGATGACTCTAATAGCCAAACAGCTTGATAGTGAGGTAGATATACTGTTTTCTCAAGGTTTATGGTTCATATCCTAACCTTGGCCATTTTTTATAGGCTTATACACTACGATGTGCAGTCATTGAAGTTTGTGGTAATCTGATCGCCGATTTGAGTAAACAAGATGAAAGAAGCGAAAGCGCAAAATCCCAAATCAACTCATTCTTTGATGTGTTGGAGGAGCGATTCCTTGACGTGAACCCTTTTTGTCGATCTCGTGCAATACAGGTATACATGAGGCTTTGCGACTTAGACCAGAAGTTTCCAAAACGACGCCAAGCTGCTGCAGAGCTAGCCTTAAGGAGTCTAGAGGATCGAAGCAGTCATGTTCGTAGGAATGCGATAAAGCTGCTGGCCAAACTTGTTTCATCGCATCCGTTCAGTGTCATGCACGGTGGCCAGCTATCGTTTAAAGAATGGGAAGCAAGGCTCGAGGCTGTGGATTTCGAGTTGACTACTCTGAAACCACCTCCGGAAACCCCTATGCTAGCTGAGGTAGGCCTCGATAGTGGGCATCTTGATAGTCAGTTGTTGGACGATGCGACTCAACTAGCAGACGAATCTCCTTCCAAGATACCGCAAGTGACCGGGGAACAGAAAGTCGAGTCAATCAAGAAGGCACAAGAAGAGGCAGCAACTTCGGAAATAATAGCACGGCTACAATTAACTAGGAAATACTACCTCGAGGCAATTCGTTTTATTGAAGTTCTTCACTCTGCATCTCAGGTGGTTGTACAACTACTTTCTTCGCGGAACAAGAGTGAGGTCATTGAAGCAATGGATTTTTTTGTGATTCTAGATGCATACAAAATTGAAACCGCACGCCCAGGAATTCGACGAATGTTGCGCTTGATTTGGACTAAAGGGAACAGCGACGAGGGTAAAGGTGTTCAAAGTCATCTTATTGACTGCTATAAAGGTCTTTTCTTCGACGCTCCTGGCTCTTTCAGTCCAAACGATGCTTCCAACTATATTGCCCGAAATATGATAAGTTTAACTTTTGGTGCCACCCCAGCTGAGCTCACATCCTTAGAGCAGCTTTTGAGTATGATGATGAAGGTTGGTCACGTCCCAGAACCAGTGATTTCTAAACTGTGGCAAGTATACTGCGTACAAAAACGAGAGATTTCACGGACACAAAGGAGGGGTTCCATAATTGTTCTTGGGATGCTAGCATTATCAGATCCTGAAATTGTCGTGAAAGAAATGGAAGCGATGTTACGAATTGGGTTGGGTACTTTCGGCAGAACCGACCTTGTTTTGGCTAAATATACCTGCATCGCACTTCAAAGAATGAATCCTGGACGTCAGGCAAAAGCGAAGGATATTACTTTTCCGAAACTGTCTAATGATCACGGAGTTTTATTGAACCTAGCAGCGATTACGGAGATCGTTTCGGAAAGCAAAGAGTGGTTCGGTGTCGCCGAGCAGGCAATAAATGCGATATATGCACTTGCCAAACACCCTGATTCGCTTTGCTCTGATGTCATTCGAAGAAAAACAAAATCCGTTTTTCAACCTCATAAAGATATTCACCATTCACCGTCAGGTTTTAGTAGTAATATAAGACCTCATACTCCCGAAAATGAAGAAACGACTTTGTCACATAAATCAAAACCTGTTGGGCTATCTCAACTGCTTTTTATCGTCGGCCACATCGCCATTAAACAAATTGTTCATCTTGAGCTGTGCGAACTGGAATTTAAACGCAGGAAAGCAGAGAATGAAAAAAAAAAAGTTACTAACCCGCTCTCTCAAGACCAGCCCGAAACCACAGACAACGACGAACTAGACCTTATTGGAGGTACTACCGAGGACGATTTTACCGAAGCAATGGCACATATCCGAGAGAGAGAGTTACTTTTTGGTGGCAAATCCCTGCTCAGCAACTTTGGGCCCCTGGTAACGGAGATATGTGCGAACAACAATTCATACTCTGATCGAAATCTTCAAGCCGCCGCAACCATCTGCATGGCGAAACTGATGTGTATCTCCAGTGAGTATTGCGAGAAAAACCTACCCCTCTTAATTACAATCATGGAGCGATCCGACGACCCTATTGTTCGAAGCAACGCCGTCATCGCTCTCGGTGACATGGCTGTTTGCTTCAACCACCTTATCGATGAAAATACGGATTTTCTATATCGTCGGTTGAATGATATTGATGCGTCAGTCAAACGGACATGCTTGATGACTTTGACATTTTTGATACTTGCGGGTCAGGTCAAAGTAAAAGGCCAACTTGGTGAAATGGCTAAATGTTTAGAGGATGAAGATAAGAAGATTGCGGATCTTGCACGGATGTTTTTCACAGAGCTTGCCACTAAGGACAATGCCGTATACAATCACTTTGTCGACATTTTTAGCCTTCTCAGCGCAGAAACTAACCTAGATGGAGACTCATTGAAGAGAATACTGAAGTTCTTAGCTGGGTTTGTGGAAAAGGTGAGTGGCCTCGGCAATAATTTGCTTTGACTTTCTTCAAGAATCGTGGCTGAGTTTGAAGTAGGATAAGCACGCCAAACAGCTGGCGGACAAGTTGGCAGCTCGACTTCCTAGGTGTGAAACTGAAAAACAGTGGAATGATGTGGTCTACGCCCTCAGTTTACTGTCACACAAAAATGACGACATCACAAAAACAGTTAATGCAGGCTTTAAATTCGTGCAAGCCACAGCATGAGATTCTGAACATCAGTTTTTTAGTTTCAGAGCATTTGACAATAGGGTTTTTACATGTATCTCTAGACATTGCCTTGTGTGTGTGAAATTTCAGATAATGACCATTCTAGATAGCTATTTGTATGTAAAATTAGATTGTGTTGCGAATTAATATTTATTCATTACTCTAGAGAGCGCTTGGCGCGATTAGTAATTAAATTAGGCTATTTCTTTCTCCTCCAGCGTATAATCTCCATTATGGAGCTTCTCCAAGGCCTTTCTACCGTCATCAGTCAGCTCTGGTTTTCCGGATGGATCAAAGGGGAGGTTGAAAAAGCGAGGCTGCCATTCATGGTTCTTCTCCATCCGAATTGCGGCTTTTACCCTTTGGCGCTCTTCAAGTTCATGTTTTCGCTGTGTCGCTAGGTTGTATTGTTTGGAGTGGATCGCCATGGTGACCTCAGACCAGCACTTCCGGGATTCATTGGGTAGCTGGTGGTTTTCTGGGGGAACGATCTTAGAAGCAGGGTGAAGGGGCGTGATATCAACGAGGAGGCGGCGCTCTAAAGAGCTAGCTAGGGTGTAATATACCTGTTCGTGCCAGCTGCCTTCGATCCTGGCAAGAATATCGTCCTCGGGGACTTCTTTTATTTTCGTCTTGTCGTCATTCTCGGGGTCGTATCGAAAGATGAGCCCAGCCACGCGATAGTGTGCCTTACCAAGCCAGCTATCTTCGAGGTACTGCAGAATCACCTTGATCCTGGTTTTGGCACAAGTTACATAGCAAGCATCTGAAACAGATATCGACAAAGACCCTCTTAGCCACCCGCCGATATGTGCAGCGGGATGTGTGAGTTGATACTCTTCGTTGCCTCGCCTATCTAAGTTCAAGAAAATGCCCAGATTGTGCTGGCCTGGAGCGATCCGGATACTAGTGCCACTGAACTTTGCGGTAATCTGATCGAAGCCACGAGCGGAGATGCCTCGTTGTGGGCAGTTAATGTAAAAGGCAGATACTGGTGGGTGATGTGATGTTTGTTCAGTGATAAACGATACTCTCACTTTTTCATCATTGCTGGCCGCCTGAATACCAGCAGAAGCACTGTCTTCGATGGAATCTGGAGAAACTGATGGTTGACAGTCTTCTGCCTCCCAGTGACACTACAGGTAAAATTAGCAATGGCGTTTGTCTCGTGTGCAACGGCATGACGAACCCTGAAAAATTCCCCCAGGACTGAGTTATATGGCTTACAGGGCTTGCCTTTTACGTATCTCTGGGTAGTCCTTTTAGCAATCGGGCCCGCTAACGAAGGCGCCATCGCCACTTACCACATCTTTTGTGAACCAAAATCTCAGCACTTCTAGCATACGACCGAGTTCATCGTCAGACTTTCCGATGCTGTAATAAGTCAGACACCGCTTCTAGCGTAGAGCCTGTCACATTCTGAAATACCTGATGAAATTCTCCGGGCGATCAAGGTAATTCCAGTATTCTATACCACGGTTCAGCCACGCTTTCTGGTGTTTGGGGGGATGTGACGGACCTAGATTGGGAGTGGGCTCAAGGAGCTGGGCAGGCAGAGAGAAACGAGCGGTGGCAATATCTGTGACACCAATGAACCTGGTGGAGGTTGGGTGGGTTTAGCCATGCAATACTCCGATGGCGTGGGACGGAGGCATACCTGCGCAAGATCGAGAAGAAGGTCCGTAAGCGCGAGGGGTCTTCAGACGCCGGTTTCGAGTGATCAATCCCGTCAAGCGTACTGTCGTACGACATGCTGGATGCTGGCTGCGAGGGAGAACAGGTCTGGGTCTGGGAGTGGTGGTTAGGTATCGCCGGTATTTATCATGGACTCGATGATGGTCTCAGGAAGCAGAGTTCGATGGAACCATGGGAACGCCGGAAAGTCTTTTTTACCTATGTATGTAGCCATGTTCTAGCCCGCACCACCCGCAACCGTTGGACGAGCGCTGCGCCGGCGCGAGGCTTGATCGCTGCAGTTGGACGCAAACCAGGCGGCCCCCCACAGTCGCGGCGGGAGAGATGGAGGCACGGGCATCCCGGGCTGACTAGTTGATAACTATGCATCCGCGATCACGACGATCTGGCTATTTAGTTAACTAACGAACTATGCGATGGGCTGCAGGCCCTGGTCGCGCCCAATCACGCCGGCACGGGAGCTTTCGAGCGTGCCGGCGGGGATTATTAACTAGGTAGGGCCACCAGACAGCCAGCTCGCCAGCTCCCGAGTTACTAGGTACCCCGGGAGGTAACTATGTAGTATCGATGCCCGCTCAGTCGGCCTCGCCAAAGTCGTAGTGCCCCGTCGCCGCGGCGTGGGCGGCGGCACCCTGCTCCCCCACGAACCGGCCGCCGCACGCCTGGCACTGCACGCGAAAGCCCGCCGTGTCGGTATAGTAGTGCCGCTGCTGCAGCACACGGCACAGCGCCCGCGCGCGCTCCAGCACAGCGGCATCGGCGGTGTCGAAGATGCGGGTGTCGCACTCGGGCGGCGCGTGCGCGCGCGTGAACGGCGGCGCGGACGGCGACAGCGCGACCCCGTCGTAGTGGATGCCCGAGTACACCACGATGCACCGCGTCGGCCGGCCGTCGTTGAAGCGGTCCACGCGCAGCGTCTGCACGTCGATGGAGCAGATCTCGACGTCGAAGTGCTTGCTCAGGATGCTCAGCTCGATGCCGCCGCCCCACGCGTCCGCCGTCTGGATCCAGCGGCAGTACTCGTCGCGCGGCCGCTCAAGCACCGCCGGCGAGTACGTCTCGGGCTGGTCCTGGATCGTCTGCGCGACTACCGACCGCAGCTCCGTCACCGCGTCCATCGCCCCCAGCACAGCGTTGCCCACCGCCCGGAAGAGGCACGAGTTGTCGTCCGGCATCACCCGCAGCACCACCGTGCCGCCGTGCTCAGGCGACGCGATCTCTGGTGGCTCGTCGGGCGCACTCTGCGCCGGGGGCGCGCCAGCGACCGCAGCGTCTTTGCCGACGACCATCAGCTGTTCGCCGTCGAGGGCTACGCCGATGTCTGCGATGGGCGTGTGCCGGCTGAGATGCGCCAGCGACAGTGGTGTCGGCGGGTAGCCGTATTTCAGATCAAAATCAGTCAACGCCGTGCTGGCTTCGATCTGAACCAGCAGGTCCTCGACCGTCGCCGTGTCTGCCAGAGAGATCGTGGACTGGCCCGTCGGGCCCCGAATTCGAATCCGCATCTCCTCGGGAAGAATATAACGTCGCCGCGGACTAGTTATGCAGTGACCTGGCGGTAGATTCTGCGTTGATCTTCTCCGCGCGCTGGGCCAACTAGTTAACGATGTAGCTAACTAACTAACGTACAGTGCAGATCTACTACGCTGCAGAGTCTGGATGGGACTGCGGGGGTATTTAAACAGATTGTAGCGTGGCCGGGGGTTCATTTCTCTCTTGATGGCTTGATATGCCCGAATGGCATGCTCACTGTGCGCAATGGATAACTAGGCGCCCCGGCGGGGAACAACGATAATCCCGCTCCCCATGTTAACCCTTCTAGTGGGAGTTCACGTGAGAGCTCTCTGGATTGGAACGCGTTTTGTTCACTCAGTGCAAGAAGAATAATAATATCACTCTTTTCTTCACGCGTGGAATCTGCTCCTTGCTGCTGTAGTGCGGGCATCAATACCTGTTCTGGTACTGCTGTTTGGTCACCAGTGGCTGGTTTGCTCCCTCCAGACACCGCATCGCCCGTTGCAGCTTTTTTCAGCAATGACGGAGGCTAGCTCTGGACCCGCGAATCAAGCCAGTCCGACGTCGCAACACGTTGAGCAGCCGGCCCTGGCTGCTGGGCTGCGCCATGCTGCGGGGGTATCGGGCGACCTGGACGCAAAGCCGAATGAAGAACCCAGTCAAATCACCGAGGAACAATGGAAAGCCATGTTCGACCTGATCCTCGCAATCTACGAGTACCGTGAGCCCGAGTATGTGAGCCCCCGACTTTCTGGAACATGACTCCCACTGACACCAGGACAGCGGCCATGACCCGACGAAACTGTTCCAGCGTAGCGTGAACAAGCGAAATGTCCCCGATTATTATGATGTCATTAAAGAACCCATGGCCTTGAGCGTCTTGAAGCAAAAGACTCGAAGCCGAGTATATAAGACCTTTCCAGAGTTCGTCAGGGATTGCGCTTTGGTATGGCACCGGCTCTTCCGTCTTCTTCATATCATATGCTAACACTAGACCTCTCAAGATTCCTCACAATGCACAGACATATAATCGACCCAAATCGCAAGCTTACGAAGATGCTCTCATCATTAAAGTTTGACACCTTCTCTTGCGTCCATGACATCTGCTTTTTACTAATGCTGGGTCTTTAGGCTGTATTAATCGCTGAATTCCAAAAACTGAGCGACAAAGGCATTGTTCCCCCAGAGGACGCAGAGTTGCCCGATCTGGGAGAGATTCCGGATGCCGATCCACTTCCCGTGGATGAAGAGGATGACGATGAAGAAGATGATGAGGACGATGAGGAAGCCGATGACAGTGACGAGGAAGGCCGTCGTAGACGCAAACGCGCCCGACGGGGAAGCCAGTCCTCGAGACGTGGTGGAAATAAAGATGATTACCGCAAAAGTATGGACCCAGCACTGCGAAAGAAAAGAGGACGGCCCCCTCGAGTTGATACACCTATGGAGGCAAGAATAAAAGCAGTACTGAAAGGAATTCGAAAACCAAGAGACCCTGAAGGAGGCCTCCGGATTCGGCACTTTGAAAAGCTCCCAGATAAAGCTGCGTACCCTGACTACTACACGGAAATCAAGGAGCCCATGGCAGTAGATATTATCAAACGCAAATCTAAGCGGAAGAAGTATGCCTCGGTGGACCATTTCATGAGAGACATCGATGTTATGTTCAATAACGCGAAGGCATACAACCAGTCAGACAGCCAACTGTATTTGGATGCTGAGGAACTGCAAGTGGAAGCTCACAAGCTTGCCGATCAAGAGAAAAAGAAGCCAGATAGTGACTATATCATGGAAGATGGCCGACTCCCGCTTCCAAATGGGATTTCCTACAAGGACGAGATTTGGAGAGTCGGCGATTGGGTTCACATACAGAATGCCAATGACCCAGAAAAACCCATAATTGCACAGGTCTATCGAACTTGGCAGGATGCAGATGACCAGAAGTGGGTTAATGCTTGCTGGTATTATCGACCAGAGCAAACAGTGCACCGTGTCGACAAGCACTTTTTGCCTAATGAAGTGATGAAGACGGGCCAGTATCGAGACCACCGCATTGAAGAGGTGATGGACCGGTGCTTTGTGATGTTTTTTACGCGCTTCAATCGTGGGCGACCAAGAGGGTTTCCCGTGGACAAACAAGTTTATGTTTGCGAGGCTCGGTATAACGAGGAGAAACACAAGCTGAACAAGATCAAAACTTGGGCCAGCTGTCTTCCGGATGAGGTCCGAGAAAAAGACTACGAAATGGATTTATTTGATGGACCACGCAAGATTAGGAAAGTTCCGAGCCCAATCAAACACTTACTACCAGCAGATGCAAAGGATACAGACGATTTGCCAAAACCTACCTGGGGAGTTGAAAACGCGCCTCCAATAATCGGGGCTGTTCATTGTAGACCCCGTGATGAGAACGTAAGTAAAACCTTTCTTTATTCTTGCTTAATCCTGTTGCACTTCCTTAGCCTATTATCTTCTTAGCTCTGGCATACAAGATTGCGTTGTCTTCTATCCATCACCCCACAATTCATTTCTGACATATTAAAAAGGAGTCTCCCCCTCCCGAGCCAACGCCGCCACCTCCTCCACAGCCAGTTCAACGGCCACCAACTATACCCCCAAGACCTATGTCCGCAAATCAGCAAAATCACCACCCCAATGTCGATGGGAGACGCGATCCCCGATTGGGCCCAGCCAACTTTGCACCATCAGGCCAATCGTCGGCTCAGACTCCTCAGCTGCAACCTGCAACACCAATGTCGATGATGCCTTCACGAGCCCAGCCGAGTTACCATGCGCCTAGCCCAGTTATTCCTCAGTATCAGTCAGTACCGCATCTTCAAGCCGCTCAACCTCCTATTAGCGCTACCGCATATCAACAATCCCCTTCTCAGCCCTACGCGATGCCGCAAAGCTTCCCACATTTTGCTCCTAGCCGTCTTCCGCAGCCGCAATCGCCTATGCAACAAGCTATTAACCCGAACGCCCCCAAACTTCCAGAGTTTATCACCTTACGCGAGGAGATGAACAGCGCAATACCAGAAGATATACGTTCACGATTTCAGCGCGACGCAAGGGGTCGCGTGATTTTTTTCAGTACACCTCCACTTGATATCGTGGACGGCCAGGCAACACCACTCGCGCACTCCGCTGAGCACCTCGCAGCAAAAGCTAGACGTCAAGCGGTCATTAACCGGGAACGCAAGAGGATTCTTGAACGTCAGAAGGCCCGCGCAGAGGGGGAAATTCGTCGGAAATCAGATGGAAATCAAGAAATGCCCATCAAAGAGGGATCCCCTACTGTCAAACGGGAAGATACGGAGCAAGTGAACACGGCACTGCCCCTCCATAGCGAAATCGAGAGTGATTTTGTGAAGCGGCACGAGAGGGAAATAGAGATCCTTGACGCTTTCGTTGCGGGCCACAACAGTGCTAAGGAGAAAGCCAAGGCCAAGATGCAAAAGGAAGCGGGCACAGCCGCGACCGAACCGCTCGACCTCAGGACACTTCCAGCACGCCCTAGGCACGCTATGACTAGGGACCATTGGTGGTATCTAACCAACCCATCGAAAAGGCATGGCTAAGGGTTAGGAACTGCTCCACCAGCCCCTGAGGCCAACGTGCTCTGTGTGTTTCCGTTTTCCAAGAAGCGTCCTTTGTTTTCCTTGAACGAGTGGATATTGGAAGGTTTCTTTTTTTGTTTCTTGCATTGTTACGACCAGCCTATGAAGCGGCAACAGGCGTTTCTTTATCAGCGTTTGGGGACGGTGTGGACAAAATGCTTGTATGAGTAGACTACGGTCCTTTTTGTGTTTCTTAATTTGAAAATCTTTTCGAACATTTTTCATTGTGTACTTCTAATAAAAAACAAAACTGTAAGAGTAAAAAAGGTCTCCTTGCATATATCGGCGCTGGGTTTTAAGCCTGATTGGAGTCTATTCGGATGAGATTACGCAGTACTTTGGGCTTAATGTTGACCAGATATGACCGGTTACGGCGGCTGGGAATCGTGATGCTTTCTTTTCAAAACCAAAATACCAGTGTGATATTCCAATGCTACCTTGCTATAAAGCAAGAAGAATGTCTAGAAAAAAACCCCAATTTATTTTGCCACGACCAAGGCGCCTCCTTTTTTTTTGATCTTTTAGGAGCAGCAAAAACAAATATCAAACATAAAAGAAGTAATATAAAATAATGTGGGAAGCAACATGGACAGGTTTGCATACAGAATGTACAGGAGAGAGTATGCATTCAGCAGCCCAGGGAGTATGTGCAGGAGTAGGAGGATTGATTAAAGCAGTGTGAAGCGGGTCAAGGAAGCCAGCTATGTTCTGAGATGTGAACAGCTCGATTGAACGAGGGACCAGCAGGAAATGGTGCTAATAAACCAACAGGATCAATAATTAAGAGGGTGACCGCCATTTCTTTTTTGTCTTTTGGAGAAAGGAAAGAGAGAGAGAAGCCATTTTCAGTGAAAAGCGGATGAACTGGGTACAATAAAGTCATATAGTCCTTGATAGTTTAGCCAAAACAAAAGAAAGGGAGCAAAAAGGCATAGCAGAGAAGATAAAACTAGAAACCAAAGTAGATGTAGGAACTTGAGTCCAACAAGTACAACAGGCTTCGATGAATGGTGTCCAGGTAAATTTGGGCCCCGAAGCTCAAGTTTAAGTACGGTGCAGGTAACGCACATAACGTCAGCCAAGCTAACCGCGTTTCTTATACACAATGTCCTTGGGGGTCGAGGTAGTGGCGGCAGAAGTATCGGGCTCTCGAGAAGTAGCAGATCCCTCTGCGGCAACGGCCTTATTTACGGCCCAGGCAGAATTGTTTCGCTTGTTCTCCTCTTCTTCCATGGAAAATACCAAGTCTACCTGTTCCTCATCAATCCGGCTGGTGCTCACAGGCGACGATATGGCGCGATCGAGACGAGATGCGGACACATGGCGTGCAGAACTGGGGTGTAATGATGTGCCACTCAGTTGTTGTGTGATCATTGACATTGATGACTGACGGCTGGGACTGGAAATAAATGGAGAGATGTCTCCTGAGCTAGGACGGCTGCCTATTGGGCGAATACCGGGACTGGAGCGCATGCTGAGTGCTGGATCACGAAGGGGTGATCCAACGTGGCCTAGCGCTGACTGGCCCTCTTCCTCTTTTCTTTGGCGTTGTTTGGCGAAGAGCGCGCCGAATCGGGAGGGACTGGATGCCAAAGGTGAGCCCACTTTAGTAGTTCCAGCGAGTGGCAGCCCTAATCCGGTCAAATCTCTCAAGCTATGATGGTCACTTTCTGTACGCGAAAGTCGGCGCATCTTCTCTTGCGGTGTTAGTACATCATCATGAAGATTTGTAGGCAGGTAATCCTCTTCCATGGCAAAATTATCATCCCAGTCGTCCAGAACAGTTGGTCGAGGAAGACTGGCTGACAGCATCTTGGGCCTTGATACACGCTGGGAGTGCATTATGCGTGCTGTAGTACTTTCATCTCCACTCAAAACCGGGGAGCAACTAAGAGTGGAGAATTTCTTCAAATCCGAGCTGAATGTGGGCTCATGGAGATTGCGGAGTACATCTGGCTTGTGAGACAGCGTCGGTGACAGATCAAAGCCAAATCGCGATGGGACGGAGGAAGCGACAGGTCCATGGCGGGCAATGTAGGATATTCCCTGGCTATCAAACGAGGCCGGAAGCGGGGCATCCAGCGCAGAACGACCAATTGGAGACATCGCATGCCGACCATCTTCGGGCGGAGAGCCATATTTCGAGCTGGTATCAAAGCCAGCATCGATCATTGGAATGTTACCGTATACCTGTTGCGGTGGTGGTGGGGGTAAAGTCTGGTCATGCATCATGTGCATTTCCTCTTGGTAAGGATACAGTCGAGAGCCATGGCCGTTAATTTGCTGCTGCTGCTGCTGCTGCTGTTGCTGCTGCGACAACAGCGAATTTGCAAGAACAGAATCCTGCGGGTGATAGGGAGGGAAATGAACACGGCCGCCCAGGTTGAGGTTTCCCCCGCCACCCATGCCTACGTTGGGCCTGTTCACCCGGCGGCCATCGGGTAGGATATGTGCCAAAGCGCATTTCGCTCCAAACTTGCAGTTACCCTATGAGAGTTAGGAAGTTAGCTTTTGAGATATCTTCACTGGCTCATATGCGGATATTAAATAGCCGGCTCGCTAGTGGTAGTTTCGCCACTGGCACTGGGAGGCACTCGGGGTTGCACAGAGGGGGGTAAAACCTTTGTAAAATATTTGCATGGGGCAGAATCGACAGCCGAGTCGGTAGAATGAAGGAATGGACAGGCGGGACCTGCTTGACAGGCTCCTTGGCGGAAGAATTTGCAGGGGACATGTTTGGTATCTAAGCACGCGAGATAGCAAGCAGAGAATTGTCAGCCAAAGCACAATCGACGAGAGACCCCGAGGCAGCAGCAGCAAAGCGCTAGGATTCAATTTACTTTTGCTTGGAGGCGCACTCGGTGGGCTGCGGGCCACGTCGAACGAGGGCACGGATCGCGGCTGGCCGTTCTGCACGCCGGTCGGCACAGGCAGCGGGGCGCGGGCTCTGGGATCGGTGGCCATTCGATTCGGAGGCCGGGGAGTACTGGCGGAGAGGCGAGCAGGAGACGGAGGCGGAGGGGGGTGACGGGGATCGTGGAGCGGCGGCGGAGGAAGAGGAGGAGGCTGCTGGGACTGCATGGCGGAGACAGGCAATTAGAAGGCTTGACCAGCAGGCAAGGGAGAGGGGAGAGGGGAGTCGGGCAGCGGGAGAAAAGCCTTGGGCGAACCAACCTTCCGCGATTCTCAGGATTGTTCGAAGAGCAGCAATTGGGCGAGCTAGCCTACCTAACTAGTGGAAGTCAGTCGCGGCGGGAAAATTCTATCGGCGAGGGGGAGCATTCTGACAAATTGGCCCGGCCTTCACGCCGCCCACCAGCTGACCTCCGCGGGCACGCGAGCCCCTGAACTGAAACCCACGAATAGGTCGTCAACTAGCAGTGAATGACGGCATGCTGCTGCGGTCGCGCGGCCGATCATGAGCGCAACTTCTGGTCCACTAACCCCCCGTCCAGCCACATTCGCACGCCCGTCGCCAGTCAACTATTGTTGCTTGGCTAGAGCCGTCGCCTTTGAAACAGTGAATTGTATCAGTCAGGCTGTGTTAACTCTATGTGAGGCCAGCGGCAAGGTCACCAGACTCCCCGCGGAGCAGCCAGCTGATGCGAGCACTAGTTAACTAACTACACCAAATAATTCCCTCGCACACTGTCCGGGAACGGCCTTCGATCAGAGACTCCCTTCCAGCCCCAAGGACTCCCAGAACTCTGCTTTATTCGAAACGCCCTCAGGCAGCACCTCGGTGCACCGCATCCACATCTCGCGGCATATTGTTCTCCGCGTCGATGCATTTCGCTGCCATGTCTTCCACTCCTTTTCCACATGGGCTTTCTCCTCTGCAGAAACAACCCTAGCCTGTTTTGCACTGGCTTTCAGCGGATCCAGTCGAGCCACCACTCCGGCTCTCTCTTTTTCCAAGCCAAGAACTTGATAACGGAGCTCAGCAGTAGATACCCGCGCATTTAGCGTCGCAAGCTGTGTCTTCAGAAGCTTCTCCTGAGATTTTGCTGAAGCGATGTAAGATTTGGTTTCCTCTATCTCTCGATCGATGGCTGTAAGCTCTTCTGGTGTGGCTTCTTCTGCTGGATCCTGGATGGTATGATATACAATTTGTTTTCCTGGTATTTGAAAGACGTGAATATTAACCCATAGCACCATGACGATGCAACGCTAGATACTGCTAAAGAGGAAAAAATACCTGAAATTTTGCCTTCAACCTGCTTTTTTTCATGCATTTCCTTCAGCGCTTTGGCAGCATACGCTGCACAATCCTGTCTGTTAGACTGCTACGTTTCTAAGAGGCGTATAACGGTTGCATACATTTGGTAACCTTGTTATGGAGGTTTGCGCTAACATCAATTGCCTGCTGCTGGTTAGATTTCCATGGATCTATGCAGTGAAGCTCTGGCCTACCGAGTACGGACGACTGGATGTTAAAAGCAGGTGCTTCATGTCAGCTAATATAGTATAGATTTGCAACAAGCCGTCGTAAGTTATTGGCGTTACTTCAGCAACACACTCACTTTTGCTGCCCTGTTAGGTAGTTTAGCATACACCTCTGTCATCTCAGAATTTTACATACGGAGATATTTTAAAATCATGGTGCAGCCTGATAAATGGAATTGTGGTTAGAAAATACGTATGTTTCCACGTCACGGTTTAGATATTACACCGTCGCTTGGATTGGAGGGGGGCCTGGTGATACTACCATCTTCCGCAGACACCTTCTCTCCCTTCTCTGCCTTTTCCTTCCGTGGTGCCATAACAACTTCGACGGGTCGGTATTGCGAAGATGGACCAACAGTTCGAGAGGGTTAAAAGGTGCGAGGATATGCTGTCACCGATTAACTATCCACCTCATCCTTCGAGGAGGTTCTGACTTAATCAGCAGGCTGCGCAGCCTCTACAAAACCCGCACCAATCACATGGCGTTATTGGTTAGTGATCCTCCGCCCTCGTAGTCTTGGCGCATCGGCGGAGTGCTTCGGGTTTTGATTGGCTAGGTTTGTACGAACCTGCCGATATCAATATCGCAAATAAGGCAACAAAACGAGCCCAGAAACACACGAAAAATGAAGTGGGCAATATCGCTAAATTTCTCTACTGATAGCGGTGATTCTACTTGATATGTTCAAATTACCTATAATAGAATCCTCATCCCTTTTGGATAGGAGTTTTGCCGGGTGATAGTACTGATAAATGGCTTATTTTACTAAATCAATGTTAAGAAGAAAGAAAGAGAGAAAGAAAGAAAGGAAGAAAACCGGCGGTACAGTGGGAGGGGGAAAAAGGGGGGAAAGGAAATATCGCTCGCCCCATGATGTTGTCAGTCCCGAAAAACTTCAAATCTAATCTCGTGTTATATATGGGCGTAATTTCTATGAAAAAGAGATGCTTTGTGTGTAATCCGCGTTTCGGAGATCTTGGACCTAATTTTAATATTTGCTTTTTGCCCGTGTGATCCCCAACGCCAGTACACCACTTTTGCATGGATGTCAAAACTGATGTCCGAAAGCAAAGTACAACAGAATTGAAGAACAAAGCGCAATGGTATAACTCCGAACAAGCTTGCTTATAATGCAATTCAAAAATAGAAAAACGAGTACGACAAGAGGAGAAGTAGTGGGTTACATGACAACCTGAAAAAGGTTAGCATTACAGTTAACAAGCAGGCATGACCTGAAGGCAAAATCTGGACTACTCACGCATTCGCTGTCCGTTTTTCCTTGAGGAACTCCCATTTCCTCGAACGTTTTGGGGCCCTTACCAGGTAATCCGCCAGAAGCAGGCTTTTGAGCGGGTGATTTGCTTGGGTTGCTTGGGGGCGGATTCGAAACTGGGGACTGTTGAGGCGGCCTAGAGTCACCTCGTGCCGGGTAATGACCGGTGGACTGTTTCGTCGGCTGCGAAGGGTGACCGCCGGGGTTAGGTGATGACGGGGCTCGTGGTTGTCGCGGATCTGTGGGGAAGCCTTGCCTACCATGGGGAGGCGCAGACTGCGGTGGTGCTGGGCTCGCATTGGTAGGTCTTTGCAGTTTTCTTCTCCGGTCAGCACCAGTAGGGTCTGGCGGCGCTGAGAATCCAATATCTAACTTTGGCGATGGAGAGGGTTGATTGTTTTGATATGGTGCTGCCATGCCGGGATTTTGATGGGGTGGGCCATAGCCTTGAGGGGGTCCCATGGAAGGCATCCGATGGGCAGGAGAAGGGGCGCTTTGTACAGACTGCGCTCTGATATTGGGGTTAATGCCGAACGCAGATGTCGGTCGCATATCAGGCCCATATTGATTCCCGGGAGCACCTGGCCGCCCGTACCGAGAATTAGGCTCTTGGTATGGAACTGCAGATGAACGTGGATCCATTGGGTCCCCAGAAATCGACATCTTTGAGGGGTCCGGCATCTCTAAGGTTTCCTGGATGGGGCGTTCACCTTGCATGGAAGAATAGCGCTGCTGTTGGGGTCGCCCATGAGAAGCATATTGAGATTTGATGCGTGCGATAGCAACTCGCTCATGATCCTTTCTTGATAGGGTTTTCGATCTTGATATACTGTCGATTCGCGAAGTCGCGTCTTTGTTACCACTAGCTGCTGCTTTAGCATACCAAGTGCGAGCTTCTTTAATATCCACAGGTACGTGAATTCCAATTTCATAGAAATATCCAAGAGCAAATTCAGCTGTAGGTAGGCCATTCTGCGCGGCGCGTTTAGCGTAGAGAAATGCCATCTCGTCGTTCTTTTCAAAGACGCCTTCATGGCCACACAGAAACCACTTGCTGATTGCCATCTCCGCTTCTGGTTCGCCTTGGCGTGCTGCCAGTGCATTATAGTGTAAAGATAGAGCGGGGTCAAAATCGCACCCTAGTTGACATAACTCATAAGCAGCTCCCATCTTCACTTGAGCTTTTGCAAACCCGTGATATGCAGCTTTCTCGATATTGATGCGAGCGCCATTCAAATCTAAGGATAGATATTCCTCTGGAACAGCAACTTGTGGAAGTTCGCGAGCTAGGAGCATGCCGTAGACCTAAATTTCGAAAGAGGGGTGCATTAGCCCGTAATCAGAGGGGAGGATTTAGTTTGAAATACTTACATAGGCGCCCTGGGGAGCGTTTTCATCACATGTTTGAGCCGCATATCTAATGTGATCTAGCCCTACAGAGTAGTCCTGGCGTTGGCCATGTTGTCCTAGAAGTATCATCATTCCCAACCGCTGTGGATGGCGTTAGAATGATTCAATAGCCAGGTTACGGATAGATGTCCTTACGTAGTATGAAGCGGAATCTCCAACGCTCACACCTTTCTCATAATGTTTAATTGCCTTCAGCGGCTCGTTCGAGTTTTCAAATTGCATACCCATCCGGTATTCTGCTCTGGCATATCCTTTTTCCGCGGCACGTTGATAACACCGGAAAGCCTCCTTTTTGTCGATTCGAAAGCCAAATTTTCCAAATTCAAGCCACATTCCTCGAATAAATTCTGCGCGTGGGTGTGATTGTTCAGCAAGAAAGGAGACAATGTTGATGGCATCCACTTTAAGCTGGTGTTCACCCTGCGGAGTTTGGGGCCTTCGCGGCTGAACAACGGCATTGCGGAGGTCGTTTTGCATAGCTACCTCCACATATGACAGCGCATCCTGCGCCCAGGCAAGTTGCATCTCGGGGTCGTTGGAGGCGAGCACCGCGACCCGACCCCGCTCCAAGTTTGCTTCACGCTGGTCATCGCTTGGGGGCACATTGGGCGGGGGATTTTGGAGCGCGGGGAAGGGTGAAAAGTTGGGCCGTTCGGCGTAGTCACTGGACAGGGTTGGAGCGCCATAGTTGGACTGCGAATACTGGCTGCCAAAGGAAGCTCCGTTATTACCGTTGCCTGGTGAGGTTTGCATCGACGAGCCCCGCGTTGGGAATTGGTTCTGAGGCCCTGCAGAGTAGTTCGCCATTCGATTCGACCCAGAGGCTTCGAGTTCGAGATGGGCGAGGTTATCCTGCATGTTCTCAGGAACTTCGGGCATCACCCTGTTCGGATGGCGGGTTAGCGGGATAGTGGTCTAGAATGTCGCGGCGGTCGGAGGTAAGGGCGCATCCGAGGCCTACCTTTGGGGTGCTGGAGAGATCACTTCGGGCATCTGGTAGTCATCGATTGCACCGGGGTAAAAAGTCGCTCCCATCCGAGCGCGGGAGGAATCGTAAGGCGCAGCCATGGGCGAGAGTGGATTAATATATCACCAAGACTTGCTGAGAAATTCAAGCCCCTGGTTAACTAAATTAACCCCACTAAATAAAATACGACTCACCACAACCTTGCACAGGCAATAGTTGTGCTTCGGGTGGTTGGCATTGAAATGAGGGAGAACGGAATGGATAGCAACGAGCGACGGCGCTGGAAAGGAGAGACCGCGTCGCTGGCGAAGCTTTGTTTTGTTTTATTGAATAACTAGTTCGTGATTTGATCGGGGCTTTCTGGTCGCGGCCACGGAAGAGGGAAGGATAATCGACGGAACCACAATCTCGCAGCCTTCGGAACGGAGCATCAGGAGTTTTAAGATTCACTAACGAGCAACGAATGCACTAACTAACTAGCTGAGCCACCAGTTCGATCGCCAAAAATAGTCGTCCAGAGCGATGGGCGGCTAGGTAACCGTGAGGGCGTGGCATGGGCTTCACACTGCCGGAGGGGCTGAAGCCTGACGGGCGAGCGGTTTCAGCAGGGTGTGTCCTGGCGCTTGGTTGAGGTTGTTCTTGTTGTCGCCCGCGTGCCAATGCCATGTGAGTGATTGGCCGGGCGGGCGGCGATGCCTGCGCCGTCTCTCGACACGTCGTCTGCGTTGTCATGATACGTGCTTCACCCGCGCTTCTCTGCAGCGCCAGCCCGCAATCCCAGACCTGCACACCCACTGCTTTCCATGCACTCTCCATCCCCTGGCCGCTTGCTGTCGCTTCCTACCCTCGTACGATGTGCATGATTGGTTTGGTTGTTGATACGGCCCCAGCCGACCAAGCACCGAAGACCCGCTCCATGCTGGGGAAGCCAACCGCCCAAGATGCCTCCGCCTCGCAACGGATGCCCCATGCCGCTGCACCAACTCCCTTGGGGTCTCTTCAGCCCCCTTCGACCCTTTTCCACGCCTTGTTAATAGATGATTTCTGCGAATTTTAGGCGATCTCTGGCGCGGAGTCTCCTCCTTCTCACTCAGCTCCATGTCCTATACACTTAACAGCAGTGTCTCGTCTTGTTATGGAACTACGTGTTACATGACACTGATCAAGATGAGGCCAGGTGCGTATTTTGTGGACGTTGCTTGTGTAATTTAGGGATTTGCTGTAGGTCGTCCTTTACTACCTTGAAGGCTTTCACATCTATACCATATCGACGGCCGGTGATTTTCTCATCGCAGTGACGAAGCAGTCAAGGTGCATGGGCTAAATGGTAGTCAATGAGGCCGGAACCGCAAGCCCGATAGCTTCCGTGGCGCAATGGTAGCGCGTCAGACTTCTACGAGTCGGATTATTGAGCACGCTTAACTAAGACAAGCAGATCTGAAGGCTGCGGGTTCGAGCCCCGCCGGAAGTGCTTCTTTTTTTCTTTACTTTATTTATTATTTCCTTACACTTAGTTAGTACTTCTTACTACTCCGTACTACCTTTGTTTTTTAACAGTCAAACTATTATCGATAAAGTTCGAAGGCGGTAAAATGGCTGTTCAGCAGAGATGTATTTGGGCAATGCATGGTATCTAGTGGCTCCCTTGACTGGCCATTCATATTTTGACCTGTTTTCGTCCCTTTCTCTCATCCTGCAAAACTGAAATACTTTCATCGATTATTACTACTGATATATAGTTAACTAACTAACTGTATGTCGAGTACGGAGCTGTGAGCAAGTGAAAAGGGTATCTTTGGGGGTTTGAGCATCTGCTTTATAATATTCTCTTCTGGCCATGCATTCTTCGAGCGATACTTTCAATCACCCCTATTCCCCCTATGATATCCAACTTCAGTTCATGCGGGCCCTGTACGCGTGCATAGAAGAACGGAAAGTCGGTATCTTTGAATCCCCAACTGGTAAGAAATCCAAGCAATTGCATGGCATGCCTGACATCGTACATAGGCACTGTAAGACATAATACCTTTTTCAATGGGAATTTTAATGAATCATTTCCACGGAGGCGTCCTTTATACCGTGACCTTGAAATCTGGTTTACCATGGACTCCACGTATTTATGGTTCTGAGAAGTGCAAAGCAATTCTAATAAGATCGCGCAGGGCAAATCTCTTAGCCTAATATGCGGCTCGCTTACTTGGCTCCGTGATCACAAGCGCTCAGAATTCCTAGAGGAAACTGGTGGCGATGATGGTAAGATCCTTTGCCACCGGGATACCTGTTACTAAAAACTTGTTAGGGGATGATGAGCCCGGTTGGATGCTAGAGCACTCAAAAAATGAAAAGAGAAAGGATATTCGAGAAAGGCGAAAGCGACTAGAGGATCGACTCGCCCGTATTCGTGATCAGGAAGAGCTTCAGCGCCGGAAACCAACCGAATCTGAGCAACAATTCAAAAGGAGGGTGAGGTTTTTACTTGCAGTTTCCATCATAGTTTTATTAAGCTGATACCTCCTTAGCGCTCAAATCACATACAGCATCAGATACAGGAAGAGTCAGAAATGATAACTTTTGAGCTTGAAGATTACAATAGCGATGACCAAAATAGTCATTGTCAAGAAAGTCACGAAGATGGCGGTCTTTCGGCATCCACTCTCGCGCTGCTTGAGAAGTTAAAGGGTTCAGCAAGCAATGACAACCAACTTGAAGACGAGAATGAGACCAAAATTTTTTACTGCTCGAGGACTCATTCACAGATATCACAGTTTTCCCGAGAACTACAGCGAGTCGTACTTCCGGCAAGCATACCCCCTGAAATAGAATGTGCTGAGATGAAATACCCGACTGGCAAGAAACAGCAGACAAATGAATTAGAAGAGCACACAAAACATATTTCCCTTGGTTCAAGAAAGACCATGTGTATCAACCCAAAGGTTCGGAGCCTTGGAAATGCCACAGCCATAAATGAACGTTGCCTTGATTTACAACGTCCGGAAGTTGACCAAAAATGCCCATATGCACCATCCAGAGAAAACGAAGCAGTAATTACCGATTTTCGGGATCATGTACTTGCTAGGGTTCAGGATATTGAAGATATCGGGAAGTTAGGAAAACAAATGAACATCTGCCCATATTATGCCTCTCGTTCTGCTATTAAGAATAGTGAGGTGAGTAGCTATGTATCAGTTTATGATTCGTAACAGGAGCTGATTTCTTTGCTACAAAAGATTGTTACATTACCATACCCACTACTTCTTCAGAAGTCAGCACGTGAAGCTCTGGATATTTCACTTAAGGATCATATAATTATCATAGACGAGGCACACAACCTTTCAGACGTGATTGCCAACATTTACTCTGTTACTATCTCCCTTACACAACTTCAGACGGCTCTCGAACGACTTACTATATATGCAAAGAAATTCAAAACCCGGCTGAAAGGCAAGAATAGGGTGTATGTTGCGCAAGTGATGCGACTTTTGAGCTCAATGGCCAGTTACCTCCAGTCTATTCACACTAGTACTGGGGCTGCAGAAGGTATTGTTGAGCATTCGCTTTTGATGAGCGGAAAAGGGGTGGACCAGATCAATCCGCATAAACTCTCACGCTATTTACATGAAAGCAAACTAGCTAGAAAGATCGATGGATACGTCGAGCATTCGGAGCTATCTAGCAACAGTCAGCGCGGGCCGAGAACAACAGTACCTGTTTTGTTTCAAGTCCAGTCTTTTATCTTATCTTTGATGAATCCATCAGCTGAGGGCCGAATCTTTTTTGAAAAGACAGGGTCTGACGTTTCCTTAAAATATACATTATTGGACCCGACTGCCCATTTTCGAGAAGTCGTGGAGGATGCCAGAGCTGTTATCCTGGCTGGGGGAACAATGTCACCGGTAAGTCAAGGGGCCAATTCCATGACGATATTGTCTGTCCTTTGACAATCGCACAGATGAGCGATTATGCCGACTATCTCTTCTCATACCTAGCCCCTGAAAAGCTCAGAACATTCAGCTATGGACATGTGATCCCGAACAACAACCTAATTGCGAGGCCCATTGTCCAAGGGCATCAGGGCTGCAATTTCGACTTTACCTTTGAAAAACGTAACTCTCGGGATATGGTATATGTAATACATGTCGCATCTGGAATTTGGAGGCTAATTTGAAATAGGTGGCGGACCTCGGACGAACAATTATTGAAATGTGTAGATTGATACCTGATGGTGTTGTAGTGTTTTTCCCAAGCTACGACTTTTTGAAGCGAGTTATTAATCTATGGAAAACTGCACCATCAAGTGCAATTGCAATGAATATTTTCGAGACTCTTGGGCAGATCAAACCGATACTTCACGAATCTCAAGAAATAGTCACAAATACCGAAGATATTCTGCAGACGTATGCAGGGCTGATAGATAAGGGAAAGGGCGCTATATTGTTATCAGTCATGGGTGGGAAACTTTCTGAAGGCATAAACTTCTCCGACCGGCTGGGCAGGGCTGTTATTATTGTTGGCCTGCCATTTCCAAACATTAGGAGCGCTATATGGCAAGCTAAAATGGGCTATGTGGAGAAAAAGGCGTACGAGCGGTCTTCCGGGCCAGAAGAGAGTAGGAGGAGCAAGGCAAAGGCTGCGAGCAGGGATTTTTATGAGAATTCCTGCATGCGAGTGGTGAACCAGTGTATTGGGAGGGCAATCCGCCATCAGAATGACTATGCCGCAATCCTCATGCTCGACCGGCGATATGGAACGACGCAAATACAGTCTAAGCTACCTTCTTGGATTCGACAGAGTCTGGTGTCTTCCCCTCTGGGAATTACGTTGAAGGAACTTCGAACATTTTTTGATGGGAAGGCCGTAGAAATTGTACAAGAGAAATAAAATCCGTACCGCACCCTACAAGACTATCTTGTCTTGTACTATGAGTATTTCTGTCTGCCTGTAGTCCATCGTCGCATTGAAAGCAGTTAGATGATGTCGACAGGGCGAAACAGGATCATCACGTGATATAAAGACGCCAAGATATCAGGGCTTGACCCTACAAGCGAAAAGTGCTGACACACATCTCGAAGCCCGAATTGTCAACACGTCGAACGCCCAACGCAACGCCAACCGTCCTTGTCGGAACCAGCACAGTCGACAAGATGCCTACCAGATTCTCCAAGACCAGAAAGCAGTGAGTTCCCCCGGGTTCCATGTTTCTCCAATTCGGGTTCCCGAAACCTCAGCACATCTTGAGAAAAATTGTGAACAAACATGAAATACCTAACCTATATCTTTCCTGTAGCCGTGGCCACGTTTCCGCCGGTTATGGTCGCATTGGCAAGCATCGAAAGCATCCCGGAGGTCGCGGTATGGCTGGTGGCCAGCATCACCACCGAACCAATCTCGACAAGTACCATCCAGGTTACTTTGGAAAGGTCGGCATGAGATACTTCCACAAGTCGCAGAACCAGTTCTGGAAGCCCACGATCAACCTTGACAAGGTACGTTTCAGTATATGAGCGATAGACGGTAGCGAATAATAGAAAAGCAATACTTCATCGGGACATCTTAAGAAACCGGCCAAAGGAGAAATCCGTTGGATTTCCATGGAAGAGAACTACGGGGCTAATTCTTGCGATTCACTATTATAGCTCTGGTCCTTGGTTCCCGCAGAGACTCGTGAGGCCTACATTAGCAAACAGAAACCCGACACCGCTCCCGTCCTCGACCTCCTCTCCCTCGGCTACTCCAAAGTCTTAGGCAAGGGCAGACTTCCAGAGATCCCAGTCGTTGTACGCGCGCGCTACGTCAGCAAGGAAGCCGAGCGTAAGATCAAGGAAGCTGGTGGTGTTGTTGAGTTGGTAGCATAAATGGATTTGGAAAGGTGACCTTGACTTTTTTTTTCGCATGGGAGATATGCCGAATACCATTTATTCGAGACCGGAATTTGTTTTTTTATCATTCCAGCGGCCTAGGGAAATGAGTAAAAGCCGGTGTTGGGTTCGATTAAACTACAGCATTGTCTGAGTGCGGATCCAATGTTTTTCATAATGCTGATGCCTGTGAGGACGGCCGGGGCAATACAATTGCACCCACCTTGTTACGATCTCAATAAATACCATCATAGGTGAAATGGATACTATTGTTTCACTTCAATGTTGATTCGTAGAGTTTGGTGCCGGACTAATCAACCTGCTATTACTTGTGATTCGACAATCGGGGTTCATAATTATAGGCACTGCCATGAAGCAAACCGCTGCGGGATATGCTCCTGAGAAGACATCAAGATGCGTCACAGTCTCACATACTCTTCGTCAGCGTCCTGTTCTCAAATTTTTGACATACTGAATCCGGTTTTCGGTGTTCTCTCACCTGCGGCCAGCGTCTCGCTAATAAAACGAATAGCCTCCTTCATCATGGCCGGAGTCACCTCATGACCAGCTCCTTCAAAAATAACATCTTCTAGAGTTACCTTTCCTTCAGCAAACCACCCACCTGGAGCAATGGCTCTTTTCAGCCACGTCAAGAACGGCTCCCCACGGCTGTATGGGACTAATTTGTCTGAGCCACCAGCAATATTTAAAATGCTCTTTCCGGCTAAACACCGAGTCATAATGGGTATCAGGTCTTTTTTTTCTTTATCGGTGGGATCGCGAACTGGCCCTAGTCGTATTGGGGTATTTAAAGCAGCATCTTTCATTTGGCCAAATAATAGGCCAGCCGGGTCCCAGATGTTTGTCATATCAACAAGATTTTGAGGAAAATGCTCTGACCCAAGAAATTGAGAGCCAGGAGTATCGCCGGTTTTCCATGAAGTCAGTTTTGATAAGCGGGCTCGGTCCGACATCAGACTGATATAATCAGGACATCCGATCACAACGACTGCAGCCTTGATTCGTGGCTCGTGGAGTATGCAGTGCCATGCCGCATGGGCGCCTAGTGAGACGCCCAGGACCAAATTGTTGACAATGGTTCGGTCTCCTTTCGGAAACACGTAGCTGTGTATCATGTCCATGATTTGTGAGACATCGCGAGCTGTGCCATCTAAATAAGATGTTAGTCTGACGTAATTCTAAAGCAGTCGATAAGAAGTTGATGTGTTTATATTGAGAGGAAGGTGGGGCGTTTCGAATCGAGAATCAAGAAGGGCAACATACTAAAGATTGAGAACATGTCCTGGGCATGATTTGGGTTCCCTTGCCTCCAGGCTTCGTTCCGTAGTTTATCCACTTCCCTTGTTCCATGGTTTCTCTGGTCAAAACACACAGAAATTAAGCCGGTACTCTGCCGGCTTGTGGCAACATTTCCTTGCTGGAGATTTTCATTCCAGTCAACAACCGCGGATGTAGCAATGCCACCCATGCCTGCCATGGTATTTCCTCGAGGGTGTAGCAGATACAGGCAAGAGACATTTCTACCCTGTGGGGGAAGCTCTTCAAGCCCATAGATAGCGCATAATATACCGCCAATAACAAAGTCTTTCCTTGACACTTCCGGCGAGGGTATCGCATAGGTATTGGCCATAGGGTCGAGAGGGTGGGTCATATTAACCAAGCCTGTTAAAGGCTGTTAGCTGGAAGATGAGATAATGGAGTTGAGCATGCCGTAGTCGCAGACACATCAAATCTCAGTGCTTTGACAGGTATAGTTACTTTTCAGGGACCCCATCGCGGTTATATTTCGCACGGCCCCGCTTGGAACTTACGGGTCACTGATCCTGCGGTTCGCGGCCCGAAGGATGTGGCCGAGGCAAGCGTGTCTAGGGCAAAGAAAATGGTGAACAAGCACTTTGATGTCCCAGCGTCGGAGCTGTCTAGTTAGTCAACTGACTGGCTTTCAGCCTCCGTCTAGGGCAGAGGGGCGTGGGGCGGATCAAATGACACCAAAGCGTCGGGTATGGGCTAGACAAAGCGACTGAGATTGTAAAAGAACGAAAGGTGCGCCTTCAGTGGCCGTCAACGCCTGGGCAGTCACTGAGACCTTAAGCACACCGCGCAACACCGGGGAGTCTCATGACTCGCGCGGAGCAATCAAGCTTGTCCGTGCAAATATGCATGGCAAGCGAGCTTGTCGAGTTACCAAGGAAGTGAGTATTCAAATACTAGCATATGGTGGCAGTATAGTCACAGCGCGTCAGTCATGTCAAGCTGTGGCGCCTCCCTTTAAGCCAACGGCCTGCCCACTGCGCCCACCGCGCCAGCAACGCCAACCCAAAACAAGGAGCTCCTGAGCGGCGTCTCCAGTGCATCAAAGCCTTTCTCGGCTTTACGAAACAAAGGCTGTTAACATTCTCTTTGCCGCTATTTTTATTCTGGTGAGACTACCTTCTCAGCTAACTATCTTGTGGGAATAGAATAACTGAGAGCTCGCACAGCTTTGGACCTACGGAGTACAACCCCAAGTTTCAGAAGGCATTATGCTACGATGACCAAAACAGCCTCGACATCGGACCCGACAGGCTCGCTACGGCCAGGGCAAATAGCTGATGGTCCTTTACCAGGCTCCCTAATAACAGGAGCACTGCCACTCCGTACCGTCTCGAGCCCATCCCCCGACGAGAGCGCCGGCTATTTTGCCCCTGACCATAATGACCTACCGAACAAGAGCACTATACAGATCGTTCCGGAAGTTCCTAGCACGTCGGTGTCGAGTATTGGACCCATAGAGGAAAGTCCAAGAGCTGCTATGAACGTGCATTCGCCCAACCAACTTACCTCTCATCCCACACCCTCTGTCACCGGCACAGTCACTCCAAGGCGCCGAAGCGTCCAGTTTGCTAGGACCGATGCCGAGCTTGAAGCACAGGATATGACACCATCAATAGCCCCGTCTTTAGTCATGGAGGACGGAGACTTGACAGCTGCTGATCGTCGTGGCGGATCGTTTCTTTCGAAACTAAAAGCCCTCGCGGTGTATCCTACCTTCCCGACTCATTCTCGATCAGCAAGCGGTGTCACAATGGGAGGTGAACCGGCAGACGGTAGACCTGGTAACGAAAATTTGACTCCAGTTTCGGAGCGGGGACCATTCCGCTTCACTCGAAACATGGAAGATGGTAGCGAGGCGGATGCCGATGGAGAATCAAGCTGTGGAGAAAACAAAACGCGCAAAAAGCGCAAAATGAAGCTACGAGGTAGATATGGAGATGCGGGCTCCCAAACTGCACCGTCGTCTCCTAAAACTCCTGAGCGACCCAGACTCCCTGGCGCTAGCTCATTGACCCCTGCTGAAGATTTTGATCCAAACCACTTATCTCGAAGAGCCACGACATCCTCTATGCCTTTTCATGCGCGGGAAGGGGTTTCCGAAGATGAAGGGCGGGATAGACTGAAACGGGACTGGGGGCGCCGTAGCGGCTGGTTGCAAACTGCCCGTGGCCTAAGCTATGGGGGAAATTTCCGTCACGAAAGTCAAAATTCTCAAGATGACAGGAGACCTAGCAATCTACGGCGGCTTACCGGGCTTGGAAACCCATCTGATGGAACAGAAGGGATCGCTGCCGTGTGGAGAAGACACAAAGCGGAACGTGGAACTAGCCTCAGCGCTCAGAAATGGCGACAAATCAAAGCTGGGCTTAAAATGATTGGTCAGAGAAAGAAAGCTGAGCCGACAGTCGACCATGTTAAATCAGCCGAATTATTAGCGGAGTTGACCTCTGGCGTACCTGCCGCTCTTCTACTTGCCAGCATGTTCCAGAGAGACGAACACGGGAGCAGACGTATACCCATACTCCTGGAGCAGTTGAAGCTTCGTATTACAGACAGCCACTTTGATTCTCATTCGGGTGATCGCCATCTCGTTTTTCGGATTGAATTGGAATATGGGAGTGGAATGACACGTATGAAGTGGATAATAAACAGGACGCTTAAAGATTTTGCAAACTTGCATATAAAATACAAACTACAGATTGGAACCCAAAAATATATCCATCTAAAAAGCCACGATTCTGCGAAAGCCTTACCACACTTTCCTAGGAGTGCTTTTCCATATCTACGGGGTGTCAGAGGCCTTGAAAGTGATGTCGAAGATGAAGAAGACGATGCCGATGACACCGCGGCCGATGTTACTAGTGGAAATGAGAAGGCTGCAAAAAAGAAAAGACGACGTTCCTCATTTGCAGCAATCTCTCGTCGGCAGTCAAGTCTAGCATCTCCTTCAGAAGCAAACGCAGCGTTGGGCTCAGCCGTAGCAACCGATGGCAACATAGAGCCCCCTACTCCTGGACTTTCGAAAAGAGAACCTTACCCGGAAAGGCAACGCAAGAAGCTCGAGATCTACCTGCAAAAAATGATACGCTTTCTCATATTTCGGCCGGACAGCAATCGCTTATGCAAATTTCTAGAACTCTCGGCATTGGGCGTCCGTCTTGCCGCAGAAGGGAGTTACCATGGCAAAGAGGGATTTCTTATTATTCAGTCTTCCAAAGGGTTGGATTTTAGAAGTGCATTGAATCCTTCCATGATCAAATCTCGACATTCACCCAAATGGTTTCTAGTTCGACATAGTTATGTTGTGTGTGTCGATTCTCCTGAAGAGATGCATATATACGATGTGTTTTTAGTAGATCCGTTTTTCCAAATTCAGGCCAAAAAAGGTCGCTTAAGAGACAAGAAGCCAAAAGAAATTGCAAAGTCTGCAAAAGAATCTGCCACCCATCCACAGCACCATACTCTAAAACTGCAAAATTCTGAACGCAAGTTGAGACTCCTAGCCCGAAATGAACGCCAACTTCATCAGTTTGAAGATTCCATACGGTTCATGGTGGAGACTACGCCCTGGTCCAAGCCTAATCGTTTCGACAGTTTTGCCCCAGTTCGGACCAAATGCTTTGCGCAATGGTTGGTCGATGGCCGTGATTATATGTGGGTAGTGTCTCGCGCGATTAATCAGGCCAAAGACGTGATATACATACATGATTGGTGGCTGAGTCCAGAGCTTTACATGCGTCGGCCTGCTGCTATCAGTCAAAAGTGGCGTCTAGATCGGCTTCTTCAACGCAAAGCCCAGGAAGGGGTAAAGGTTTTCGTGATCATGTATCGCAATATTAACTCCGCGATACCTATTGACTCAGAATACTCAAAATTCTCTCTTTTGGATCTCCATCCAAATGTTTTCGTACAACGATCGCCCAATCAATTCCGACAGAATACGTTTTTTTGGGCTCATCACGAAAAGCTGTGTATTGTGGACCACACCTTAGCCTTTGTTGGTGGTATTGACCTATGCTTTGGTCGATGGGATACACCACAGCACCCGCTGACTGACGACAAGTTAACAGGCTTCGAATTGACTGATGCCCCCAAAGATGCTGATCACTGCCAACTATGGCCTGGTAAGGATTATTCCAACCCTAGAGTGCAAGATTTCTATGATCTCGATAAGCCATATGAAGAAATGTATGATCGAGAGGTTGTACCACGCATGCCATGGCACGATATCTCCATGCATGTTGTTGGGCAACCAGCACGAGACTTGACGAGACATTTTGTGCAGAGATGGAATTATATTCTCCGCCAACGCAAGCCAACGAGACCAACTCCATTTTTACTACCGCCCCCTGATTTTAATCCTGCGGATTTGGAGGCACTTGGCTTGGATGGGACCTGCGAAGTCCAGATCCTACGTTCAAGCAGTATGTGGTCTACCGGAACCCCTGAAGTAACTGAACATAGTATCATGAACGCCTATGTCAAGATGATCGAGAAATCCGATCATTTTGTTTATATTGAAAATCAGTTCTTTGTGAGTAGTTGTGAAGTTGAAGGGAAGAAAATTGAAAACCTAATTGGCGATGCTCTTGTCGAAAGAATTATCCGTGCTGCCAAGAATGGAGAAGAGTGGCGTGCGGTGATCCTTATCCCATTGATGCCTGGGTTCCAAAATACTGTTGATACAGAAGGCGGAACGAGCGTTCGGCTTATCATGCAATGTCAATATCGCAGTATATGCCGTGGTGACACGTCCATATTTGGCAGACTACGTGCCCATGGCATTGAGCCTGAGGACTACATTCAATTCTTTAGTTTAAGATCATGGGGTCGTATTGGTCCAAAGAAGCGCTTTGTCACTGAACAGTTGTATATCCACGCAAAGTGTATGGTCGTGGATGATCGTGTGGCGATCATTGGATCTGCAAATATTAACGAGAGATCTATGTTAGGATCGAGGGATTCAGAATGCGCGGCGATTGTACGAGACACCGACTTGATTTGGTCTACAATGGGCGGCAAACCGTATTTAGTTGGCCGTTTCCCACATACTCTACGAATGCGTTTAATGAGAGAGCACCTAGGTGTTGATGTCGATGAGGCTATGGAGCAAGAAATGGAGGCAGAGGTAGAATCAACACAGTCTAGGCCTGATGATAGCGACTCTTGTATCAGTGATCGTCAGCAAGGCGCCGATAAATGGGGTGAAAAGCAAGATGAAAAAGAGATTCTCGAGCGAAGACATCGCATTCAGGATGAATTCCTTGCCCGATCAGAAGACATGCACAGTTTCAACCACGACGTTGACTGGGAGCAAGCTAACAACCCTAATCTTAAGTCCAACAGGAAGCTTACAGCAGATGCTAGGGTTACTAGAAACCCAGATCATCGGAAGGACTTGGAAGGGTTGGGCGTGGATCGAATGCAGGCCCTAGATGAAGCAGGACATACTAATGGCCGAGACTCTTTTCTCGGACAGGATCGTATGGAATATTTGACAGAGGAGGGCGCTACTGAAGAGAAACACAAGAATCACAGCGACGGGCACCGCCCTAGTTCTCAGCCACCAACACCCCCAGACCAAAAGAAGCATTATGATGATAATCCTTCCGCTAATTCTTCGGCCAGCCCGGTGCTCATTCGCCCTCAGCCCACATTCACAAATGATGACAATGCTTCTCCCCGGTCATCACAGGTTGCGCAGCTTCCCGATAGCTCTCATCCCTTATTGTCTACCCTGACGCGTCCTTCTGTGGACAAAGACTGTATGCGAGATCCCCTATGCGATACCTTTTACCTTGACACTTGGCAGTCTATCGCTGAAAATAATACCAAGTTGTACCGAAGTGTATTCCGGTGTATGCCAGATAGCGAAGTCAAGTCTTGGAAAGAGTACAAAGAGTACACTGCTTACGTCGAGAGGTTTGCCGACATGCAAAACAATTATTTTTATGATGCCAGCGGACAAGCTCTAGAGCCTGACGCTCACACCAAACTCCAGAGCGGTGCTCCAGGATCTAGTTCCATGCATCCCATTGGTAAATTTAGCCATGATAACGATACGACAGGGAATGATCTGAAGGAAAGCGTCAACAACCAGGCGTCGAACGAAGCATCTGCTGAAGAGAGCCTCAAGCAATGGGCAGCAGAAGCCAATCGGGCTCAGATTGAACGTCAGCAGGAGGAACTTGCCAAGCTAGATTCTGCGGCCGGAGAGAAATCTGGTTTGAAGACTATGGATACGAAATCTTCAGATTCCAGTGGCAATGCCGAGCACTCGGTAGCATTTCCAGATATGGAAAAGTCATTAGAGCGTCAGCGGAGCAGTACCCAGAATTACTCCGAGGCACTCCATGCGAATGCGTCCCAGTCACAGCGACGAAGACGAAGAGGCACTACTCGCAGCTCTAAGAAGGAGTTCCATGCCTCTGACGATATCATCAGCATGAATGAAGTCGAAGAATTACTCGATAGGGTTCAGGGTCAATTGGTTTTGTGGCCGTATGAATGGTATTTATTATCGTATAATGCTTTTAGTAAATAAATTATGGCTAATCAAGCAATTTAGGTTGGAGCGAGAAGAACAAGGAGGCAATTGGCTATATACCCTTGATCAGATCTCTCCTCTTGAGATATAGTAAGTGCCATTCTTGAATTATTCATGGCTTAGAGCTTCTTCTAACAGTGAAATAGCAACTGATCTTCCCTTTATACCCTCTTGCTTGCTCATCGCGAAGAGCTATCGCGGTTATAGACTTCAAAAATTCGAAATATACGTACCAGCCAAGTTCTTCCGTACCTAGCATGGCAAGTGCTACATTAACATTATGCTGTCTTGATATTAAACTCTTATCTATAATTCACAATTCATGTGCTGTATCACAGTACTATGAATAGCTCCTTTGTTTACTTGTCGCTTTGTTGGTGCTATAACATATCCTAATAGTTTCTGGAAGCTTTTCTTTTTTTCTGATTTTTGGTCGCAGGTTAGCATAGAGGCCATACATTGTATCTATCTACTGAACATACATACATATATCGTCATCATATATTTGATATACTTTACAAAAACATCCCAATAGATTGTACCAAAATCCTGTGGACCTCGTTAGACTTTTTCAGACAACAGATACACATATCTCCCGAGTACTCCGTAGTCTTATTTTCTTCGTGGGTGGTGTAACAGAGTGTAGGTATCAAGATATCAGAAGATATCACACACAATACTAAACGATGTCTTCTATTGGAGGGTTGGATTTTTTATCTTCATAGTCAATCGACCGCAAATTCGATATAGGGCCTCATCTTTTCTCCTTGGCCAAAGAACCGGAAATAAGAGCAGCACAAGAGCAGGGCCCAGACGCTCCTGAAGCCCGATGATACCTCATGCTCTATACCGATTCAGTTTACTACCGCCAGAGGAAAGCCACTATCAGTCACATATTACATGCTCATGGAGCACGCGCGGCTTGCTTTCTAACTGCTAATTTTGGTCTCGAAGATAGGCCTAAGAAGTACTAAGATAGACAAGCAATTAAAGTCCTCCGGCAAAAGTCCAATGGCGAACCAGCTAAGTTACATTATCAGTAACGCCGAGATCTGCTGGCTACAGAGCAAGATACTAAGTTATTCAAACCGCGTCATCACACAGTTAACTAGTAGTCCTCAACAATGCAGAACTCCTTGCGGGTAGAAGCAGGACATGAACGAGGGTGAAAATCAGACTGCTGGGCCAGCCTCCCCAAGAAGTTAGCAAGAAAGGGCGCGAATGAATTTACTTCACGTATGGTAGAAAATACGTGCAAGAATACCTTTTCCTCGGAGTAGACTCGCAGCCCAATATTGCCAACTGTCTGCACGCCAACATGGAAGAGTCAAAACCAACATCAATCAAAATGCCGAGGCGACCAAAACAGCTAAAGGAGGTGGATGGAAGTGGCACTCAGGCTCGCCAAAGCATGGCGCCAGGCAGTGGCCCCGAGTCCAGGTATCCTGATGACGAATACCCGCATTCAGGGGCGAATCAAGTAATGCCCATGCCGAAGATATCACACTTATACTCATTGCACGGAATACCTTAGAAAAACTAGAAACCTTTAGATCAAGTGATCTTAACTCTTGAATTCAGGGTCAAGTCTTGTATTTATTGATCGAAAACTGCAAAATGCTGTTGCCTCGCCATCTCTCTCGACAAATAACTACAATAACTAATGAAAGTGATTAGTTCGTTAACTATAGAAGACTGAAGCTCCCATGACATCAGATGCAAGAAGTTGATTCAAGCATCACCGCAATAAATAATAATGTATCCAATCTCTCTCTGTGCGCATGGAAGCTTGAAATAGGCGTAACTATCCTGCTCTTCTTGAAGCTCCACACACCCCTTGGGAGTCTCGCTAATAACGTTTTGCCTAGACGCTATACATCTGACATCCGGCTTGGAGGCCCGAATGATCGGCAGCCCCGCCCGACGTTTATATATTGAAGCTTGGGCGCTGACGTTGGATTCGGTACGGAGTACTTTGTACTGTACTTCCACGGCAAACGAACCTGTTGCAGTTGGTATCCCTTTGATTGAACGCGTGATAGAGTCTTTAAAAAGAAAAGTCATCACAAGTCTGCTGAGATGCAATTAGCACATAATAGTCAGTCTTTCGGAGTCCAAGAGGTTGGGGTTCCCCGCTCCCGTGACCGTCGTGGTGGAGGTTCATAAAGACTTCGTACGGAGTACAGCAGTCAACTACCCAAGCATTGCAGCCACACGCTTTCTCTGACACGTCGTTACGGAGTATACTCTAAGTTTATATTCCTTGTGCTATCTCGCAGTTGGGACAGAGACCAGTTGGAATCGGAATTGCTTCTGGAACAGTCTTTTCGAATGAATGACAAATTCAATCATCATGCATCAAAGCATCAAGCATGGGTGTCGTCCACCCGAATATCTACTATGGATTGCGCTGGGTCGCTGAAAGGCGTTTCTTCCTGTGAGACGCCTATTGTCATTCAACATAAACCAGGTGGCTCATTCAACACTCCATACGACTTTCTTAAATGCCCGTTTTTATGTATGTGCTCCGTATGTATGTATGTACCATAACATCCTGGTTACTTTATTTAAGCGAAGTGACAGCTAGCCTACTTGATTGCCTCTTACAACACGCAGCTAAATAATGGGCGATATAGCTCTCGTTCCCGCTAAGGGCGAAGCACACATGTGGGTATACCTAACAAGACCATCGGCTTTCAAAACTCCTCCTGGGACACTTTGTACTCCCTTGTCGAAGTCAACCTACCCCGGAGCAATCCTGGCTTGGGGGATATTTACACGGCGCCGGATCTTACGCTTGGTGGCGGAAGCAGCTTCTGGTGCTGGTGTGTCACACTGTGGGGGGTGCAAGATGGGCGTAGTTTTGTGCAGTATTGCCTCAGCCGGGCAGTCATAATCATATGGAGACAGACGCCAGCTTGCCACCTCGCATTAATGGTGGTACTGGTCAAAGTCAAACTTTTTTTGGGGCATCCATATACTTATCACGGAGTCCCCGAGCACGCACCAGCCCTTTGCGTACGATGGCGCCGTATCTTCATTTTTTTCATGGAGTGTCTGCCTCTTAGACGTACGTGTTGATATATAAAGGTGTATATATACATGCTAGTTATGTATATTATTGACAAGAATGAGCAAAATGGAATGAGCAAACCTAACAAAAAACTGACCATTTACCACCGAGGTTCTCAAAAGGTATGCTTTAACTATACATACAAAACAAACCATCTTTTCCGCCCTAAACTGTTCCAATGCCATTAAGTCCCCATAAACGCCATGCAATGAGGACGTATTGCTGCAGCAGGTAGGATTATTTCATCCAAACCCATATCCAACGAAAAAATGTCCGAAAATTCTCCGAGGTGAAGCCTTTGTCAGGGAATTCCAGTCTTCCTTTTCTCTTCTCACTTGTCACTTGAACTGCATTTGAAAGATCGTTAGATCTCTCTGGGCCCCATTGGCTAAACTTAAAGCCGTGTCGCTTGATCTTATACCCAATAATTAGTAGTACGTAAACGGGTACCTGTAGGAATCCTTGGTTAAGTTTTGACCTAAGACCTGAGACGTTGGAAAGATGGCGCTGGTACATACACCAATATACGCGGCGATAAACCCCCGTAGGCTGAATGGTCTTTCCAGAAAGGACGCAATTCCATTAAATAGTACCAGAATCACACAGGAAATTAGGCCAAATAGAGCTTTCAGCCATTGTCCATGGGATTTATACGGATACCTAGGGTGATTTCTGTCATAACAAGCCGCCTGCGCTTCAGACGTGTTCCCATAGCGTTTGATATCCTGGAGTCTGTGGGTAGGATTTGTCAAATTCCATAAGTGAGAAAATTTCGGATGTGCTTACGTTTTGAAAAAACACAGGTAAGTGCCGCAAATGTTTGCATAAACAATCAAACATGATACTGTACAGTTGGATGCAAGCTCACCCAGCCTCTGCATTCGCCAATCGAATCAGCTTTATGATTCCAATGAGATGGAGCGATAAGAACTTACCTGCCCAGGGGCCCCAGTTGGCCCCATGTACGCTACCAGCATCAGCCCAGCGGTCACAAGAACAGTTCTTATTGGTACTCCTGCATGGCATAATCGTAATCGTTTTGTAATCCATTCGGGCCCAGTCTGATCACGCAGAGCTAAAGTATGCAAAACTCTGGATGCCACATACATGGAATTAATGGCACACGTGAATGCAGAAAACAGATAAATGGCGTTATAAAAGTGGGCCAATGCCGGTAATCCGGCTTCGACGGCGGCGATGACGAATATCGACTGCGCCCCAACAGATTGCGCCTTACCGTTTAGGAACGGATGATCCCAAGGCACCGTGAATGAAGAGGTGAGCATTGTCAGAGCGTAGACTGTGATGATTCGAAGAGAGATTTTTCGGGATGCCATTTTCATAGCCTCCGAATCCGCCAAAGCTTTACTTTCTGCTGCTGTTGCAGCAACAATATCCATACCAACGTACGAGAAAATGACGTTGATAAGAGTAGTCCTAATTAATAACCCAATAAGCCAATGGGAAGTGGTATTGAAAGAAGTACACATGCTTACCACATGCCGAGAAATGATCCCATTGGGCCAGTCATCATCCGTTGCAGATGCCCATTATCATCCTTAATTGGAAAATCGGGGTTGAAAAATCCGTATGGTTTGTCCCAGTCTAGCAAGCGTACGTTAGGCTTTGTCATCGAGCACTGTGGAAGTTGATGCTTACATTTCGTCCCAATTGGCTCCTTATAATATGCATTCGATCTTGCTATTGCATCCGACTATCAGTAAAGTACCCCAATGAATGAATGAAGAAAAAAAGAAATACACACGCTTCATTGTGTCGATCATGACACTCATGACGATAAGGAAGGAGATGAAAGTGAGTTTAAGACTGCCGAATATATATTCAAGCTGGCCGAAAACCTTCACAGGAAACATGTTGATTACCGATACGACAACTAAAACGAGGGTAATCCACACGGCAGCATGAACATTCTCTCCAACAACCCAGCTTAAATGCGTCCTGCCATCGTCGAAATGAAACTTGACAGAATTCGTGACGGCAACTAGCTGATCTGCAGCGAGTACAGCGTACGCAAACCTATGAATAATATTGCATCAGGATTTTCCTCGCGATTGGGTTCGGACCGGACCTTACCAGTACATCCAACCCACTGAAAAGCCAACACCTCTATCAACAAAGCGTCGAGGAAATTCCATGACGGGCGCATTCACTGGCATTAGCGCCGTCATTTCTCCCAGGCACGAGATGACAGCGGATATTACAGCTCCCATAAGAAGATATGCTATGACAGCACCTCCTGGTCCAGCACCAGCAAGAGAACGACCGCTTCCAAGAAACAAACCTGCACAGAAGTATCAGCAAGTGTTCTCAAGTTACTAAATACCACCAGCACGTACCATTTCCAATAGTCCTGTGAAACAGTAGTAGTGTGTTAGCAGTAGTCAGGGCAATTCGAGAGTTCGAGTCAACTGCTCACCCCGAAAACGTAATCATCTAAGGTTCGGAGCCGCATCAGTTATGTGTCGAGTCGCTGTATCAATCACAATTCCCTTAGACTTACGTTAATCTGCCGCTCACCCAGCACTCTCCTGCAAGCAAAATCATCTTAGACTGGTTCATCATTCCTGGTATCTCGATCGAGCGTCATACCAGACATTCTCGCCAACCCGTTTCCTTCGTGGCTCCGTATATGTGGGCTCCTCCACAAACGTTCCATTTCGGCTGCCCGTTTGTTCTTCCGAGCCATCTCGACCTAGAGGATACTCGCCGTAATGTGATAATAAAGCCTGAGGCTTTTCTTGGTCCATTTTACACGGAGCGCTGATATAATGAGGTTGAAATGGCGGAATATTCACATTTTTCGGGTATAAGTCCCGGAAAACAGGTCGGGATGCCAATCATGTCCTCGCTGCATATATAAAGTCGAGATTAGCCAGTCCTAACCCCGCGGATCCAACGCCTTGCATCGACGAACACAGCCCGTGTGCATAAGAATATTCTCAGATACGAGATATCCCAGTGCGACTGAAGCATGGGGCACTTTGCTTTTTCGTATCTCCCAACGAGGACTGGTGGTTCAATAGGCATTACCGTGACAAGATCAAAGACCAATCAAAGGCGGGGAAAAAACGGAATTATCGAAGACAGGGTACAAACCCTTGTTCAGCTAGTGACGCAGTGCGACCCCGGCCACCAGCAGCACCTTTTTATTATTACTCTGGAACCAAGTTATTGCCAGATTTTTCGCTTGGAAAGCGGCATTGTACCCCCAGAAGGTTTGCCCAGACCGAGAACGCGCTCAGGGGATGCCAATACGGGCCTGCGAGTCAGGATAAGTGGCCAAAGCAGGCAAACCCGCTGTGCGAATGGGTGACAGCTGACTGAATCAGGATGGGCATCCTGATCAATTCTTATCCAGATGCAGGTCGCACAGAGGTGCAGGTCAAGCCCAACAGACAAAAGAGGGTTCCGCCTGGGCGACTCCTATTGGCGAAGATTAGACGTAACAATGAACCTTGACAAAGGGCTTTTTTAGCTTGCGTGGAGGGAGATCATCTTCCAGCCATAGCCAAACTTTGAGGCCTTAAAAATCAGCCATGGGTCTTAATCCGCTGTTCGCTTCTTGACATTTTACCGTCCTGCTCTGGAGCATCGAGGAATCGAAGGAAACGGCGTTGCCGGCCTGGATCATAGCCACAACAGGCGACAGGTGTGTGTACAAGGTTAGACAGAGGACTTGCAATTCGACTGTCGTCCCGTAACATGACAAATCGTGCACACTCTTGATGATCGGCGCCAGCACAATAAAGCAATTTTGACACGGCGCAAGGGCCTGGATGATGTAATAATGGCGAATCATATTCCGTACAGAGTACAAGAGCGCTTTTGCTCGTGGACCAATATTATTTTTCTGCATTTAACAACTGGCTAAGACAGCCAACTAACTACTCTGTACGGAGTACTCAGGTTGCGTTGGGAAGGGACAGGACTGTGAGGCTTCTCAGCCATACACGCCCAGTTAACTATAGCTATGTAAGTTAACCACGCAAGCCCCTCAAACTAGTTAGTTCTCTGGGGGAGAGTTTGTTTCTTACTAATATTTCTGAAACAATTAATGCCTTGGGCAGGTATTGAACAGCATAAACACTTAAGGTAACTAATTAGTTACATAGAAAAGGAGGTAAGCGAGACTTTTCTACTCCGTATCACAAGTAACTACGGGGTAAGAGTAGATCGTACAGATCATTAGTTAACTGATTGACTACGGGGTAATAACGACATAAGAGGCTAAAATCGGTGATCCGTCGAGAAGGCTTAACAGCCTTGTTGCAAAATGGTCTGTATCAATTTAGAAAGAAAACGCAAATTCTCCTTGCACACAGGGTACGGAGTACTCCGTAGTTACGGAGTAACTACTTAGTTATTTCTTTGTGCCACCCTTGTGGCAGAAAACCCACGACCTCGAAGAATTCGAAATTTCGCGTCGTACGAAAGGATTGAAAAGTCGAAGAAGTATTTGTATTTGAGGCTTGCGACACGAGAGGTAACTAGTGGCCAAGCAGGATTTACTCAGGGCCATATAGTTAACTCACTTCTTGAAGGTATTAATATTCGCAAGTTCCACTACATACTGCGCGCGAAGTACTCCGTACAGGCGCGTTCTCTGTATTCATTTGAGGGATCGAAACCCACCATTCTAGGAGGCCAGGATACGAGATAATCGCTCTTATAAGAATATTGGGCAGTGTCTCTGGCGCGATGGCGCGCGAAGCCAACAGCCACACCGCACCTGACTGAGGCTCCGGGGGGCTGACGAAAAGGTTCTGGATCAAACAACTCACCTGCGTTCCGTCTTTGCAAAACAAGCAATAAAAGTTTAAAGTCAAATCGGATCCCGATAATTGGTGGCAAGTGACCAGTGAGGAGCAATGCAACAGTTGCGACGTTACAAACTGCCTCCATTCCTTTCCAATCGATCCGTTCATCCCGGTGCATTGGTGGAGAAATGGGGATGAAGGAGCACATCCCTACCTCTTGGCTGAAAAATTACAGCGAGTCAAAGGCGGAGGAAACCACAGGCATTTTAACATTTAAACACAAAGGTAACGGGAGTAACTGGGTTCTTCCCTTTCGGATGCCCAGACTTTAGGGAGACAAGCTGACAGGCAACTGTAAAATATCACCGGTCTGAAAAATATCGCTCTGGGGATACACAGACTACCGTCAATTAAACTCGATCGCAGCAGGAAGGCTGGAATTGAAGAGCAGGCACAGCCACATGGACGTTGTTTTCTTATCTCACGTCTTCGGAGACCGCCTAGAAAGCTGTGGAAGGTTGTCAAACCCAAGCAAAAAGAACGAAGACGCAGCAGAACAGCGGGTGAAGACCTAGAAACCCCCCCCATCTCAGAAAATAACCTGTGATGGGCCCACTCAGCGAATCTCGCCAGCAAGTTTATGCCGTCGGTTTTGCCATCGCCTTTTTTGAACTGGAGACGGTCCACGGAAAGGAGTCGTCGCTCCTCACCTTTACGTATTTGCTCTCCCGAAATTTAGCTTGCAATAATCCGAGAAGTGATACTGGGTGATATACGCCCCGTGGGGCGCCGAATCCTCGCCTGCGATGGCAGCTGTCGGTTCTCATGTCAACCTCTTGGCAAACGCATGGAAGCTTTTGGGAATCCGACATGATATTGACGATATCATCCTGGAGCTTCTGGGCCGCTTTTCATTGGAAAAGGTATATTCAGAATGTGACCCCCAGACTTACCAGCGCCTGGTGATCGCTTTACTTGCCCGACTCAATGCCATTTACTCCCTTCAGCGCCTCTCTCTACCATCTGAACAGGACCAGATTGGCCAGTATCTGGGCTTTTTGGCCAGCTGGGAGGTCATTATACGGTCGGTGGAATTTGTGCTCCAAGTTGTGATCGAGGGACGGGATAGCTTTTGGGAAGCAAGGGCTCTACGCGACAAGTACCTTGCTGAGCTCTTGTCCGTCTCACTTCGGATCTTAAGCCTTCACCCAAAACCTCCAGGAAGCCATCGAGTTAAGGATCGTCGGGATCGCTTCGCACGTATCCACGGGTTCCTGGAGAAATTATTCGATAACTACCCGGGGCCCAAATCCTTCCTACTCCTCATCTGCAAGGAAATAGCGGACGTTTTGCGTACCGACCCCAATGCTCTCGCCCTCCCCCCAAAACTGCGCCATGAGTTACCTAACTTGGCCACGCAACTGGTGCGTTTACAATCGACTCCTTGATCTTATTTCAATGGTTGCGTGGATCATTCCTAGCTGACCATGAATTCGGGCAATAACTTTAGTATCCCTTGCCAGAATGCCTTTCGCCCAGCTATGTCTCTACCCTCGTAGAGAAAGAGGAGACGTCAGAACAATGGCTCTCCCAATTCCTCGCGCTGAGAGATGTTTCTCACTTTGTTGTGGGTGCATCTATCCAGCATATTGTTGATGAGGAGACTCCCAGCGTCGAACTTCAGGCTTCTTGCGCAAAAACCAGGAATGCCATATTAATGTCATTGGATAGTTTTCGAATACCTCAAAATTTCTCCAAGCTGGGAATGATTGAAACATTTAGTGATATTTTCGAAGTCATTCTACCCGACACTCCCAGTGTGAGCATCGAAGATACGTCGAGGCTGGCATTTGATGAAGAGGCCATGGACTCAATCCATGCGTTTTGCCTGTCCCTGAATGACCGACAAGTGGTACACCGCGTGAGCGATGCACATATGATGAATGCAGTATCAAGCATTATGAACAATATAGCCACCTTCACTGAGGCGCTCCCCCGTATCCGGCCATCACATCAAAGAGCATACGCACTGAATTGCCCATCCTGTCATTTTGTCGAACATTACCAGTTCAGCGATTCCAATAATCTCAAGATTCCTGTATGTTTATTTATTGGCGTGGAAACTAACAATTCAAGAGCACTTCTAATACTACTTGTAGGATCCATCAGAGGGGCCACTCATAAAATTACCTAAAGGAACGAAGTGCGTTCAGTGTGACGAAGTGGTTACAGTCGCGCGAGAAATTTCACTGGTCTGGCAATCATGGCATGCCTTGAAATCGATTGAATGCAATGCAGACACAATTGGTGTGGAAAGACACTTACCTACTCAGTTTCAGCTGCTACCCAAGCCTGGTAGTGGCATGCCAGTACAAGCAGGGGCAAATGTCCCTCTTAATGTAGGAATTCCGGCACAAGAGCCCAGATATATGGGGCCATATACTCCTCATTCTGAAAATACCGTTCTCCCCAGTCCAGGGCCTTCCGATAGAAGCCAATACTATTCACCCGATCTTATATCCCCCATCTCCTCCGAACAAAGGCATAGATTCGATTCTCCACTTAGTGAAATGACCCGACCGGATTTTCCGACTTCCATTAATGAAACAGTTCAAAATAATATCAAACCACCGGTTGCGAATGAGCGACTTACAAACACATCATCACCCGAGGGCACCTGGTCATCTGCTATGGATTCCTTAACAAGCCATATTGAAAGAGCCAGTTCAACGGCATCATTTCAGCCTATACCACCCACACGCACGCGCACCATCTCTCTTGGTGTAAATCTAGACAAGAAAGGTAGGTGGATGTCTATCAGAAGAAAAGACCCCCCAGCTCCCACAGCGGGCGATGCAAGTTCCTTATCCTCCGGAACACTCGAGGGTCAGCGAATGGAGGAAATCTCCCTCAAAGATCTAATTAATGCTTCTAAAGTTCACGCAAGGGGAAAGGGGTCCAAAAGCATCAATGTCTACCTCTCCCAAAACTCAACCCATGCTCTTTTCTGGATGCAACCGTCGATACATGTCTGGGACGTTGGCATGTCGCCTCCATTGCCAATTCGTGCGATTTCAACGGAGAGCTCATGCTTAATGGCAGCCGTCACGAAAACATACCTCGCATACGTTATAGGAACTCGAGATCAGAAGCTTACGGTGAGGACAGCTTTGTGTGGTTAAGTGGTCGCGATACTGATGAGGGCTAGTTACGAATCGTGAACCTAGTCCAGCCAACGGCATTAGTGCTCGAGTATCGAATGGCATCAGCTCAATGGTGCCGAAGCATAGCTATTAGCCCGACAGAAAATTATGTAGTTGTCGGTTTTGAAAACGCAACTGTTCGATTTTTTCGAACAACCGACACCGAGCAGTCCAGAGAATTTCGCCTTCACCCATATCATAAGGATTGCCGAGGATGTCCATCAGTGGACTCGTTAGCATTCTCCCTCGATGGAATGGTTCTAATTGCGAGTACCAGGAATCCTAAGATGGGCCTGATCCAAGTTTACTTCTGGTCCTTCCCATTTTTAGAGTTTAGAGAACTTACAAAATGTCGATATCATGTGCCTCTTCACGAATCAGAGGACAATGGAGTCTCGGCAGCATTGTATCGGCCGTCTAACACTCCAGATGAGGATTTGGTCTGTATTAGCACATGGACGCAATCCGGTGTCCCTCTCCTCATTCAGCCCGAAAACGGGCATAGATCCGAGATCAAGCCAGATGGAACAAGGCGCCTTGGTAATCGTATCCAATGCGCTGCATTTTCGCCCTCTGGCAAGCAGTTAGGCCTGGTGAACGACAAAGGCCACCTGTATCAACTATCCAATCTTAATTCAAGTATCATGGAATGTCGAAAATTGGCGAATTCGAAGGAACTAACCTCAAAGTGCGATTCATTTGCAATGTCATATATGTCGCTGCACGAGGAAGAGTCCGTCGTTCTGGCATGGGTTGAACTGTCCAAGGGCGTGGCGTATATCAAGAAAATCCCAATAACCTCTACAGGGGTAAGTTTGATTCGTAACCCCTAGCTCTCTAGAATCCGCTAAAATCTGTTTTCTAGACGGAATATCAGATATCGACAGTTGCCGATAATTCTCGCGCACCGTTCTCCGAGCTCGAAGGAGACACGAGTTTAACAACTTCATCGCGACCTAAAACCAAGGAATCCAATCGACTGTTGTCGCCTGTATTACGGCATTATATGCCTTTCGGAGAAAGCAAACGCTCCCAAAAGAGCAGCCCAGTGGAGTTGGCTGCAAACGACATTCACTCCTCCGCAAAGAGGGCAGAATAAATGTCACCCGAACGAGAAGGAAAGAGCATTCGTGTTAGCATAAAGACGCGATTTCGGGGTTTTTACTCACCAGAGCTTGATTGATTGAGTCTTCGATTGCTCTTTATCCATCCATAACCTTTTCTCACGCAATCCCCTCCTAGCACATCGTTCGCTGTCCTATACCTTACGCTTTTCTGTAATTTCTGACAGATATGTTTTTGGTCTTTCCCAAGTCATTTGGCGAGGATACCTGACGCGCTATATATACCCCCATCTATAAATCCTCCTGTTTAAGCTTTTTAGCCGTGTAACAACCAGCACAGATACGAACCATAAAATGCACCTTGTGGGTCAGAAAAGATCCGTAAAATGAAACCCTCGGAGCCGAGACTTTTTATGTCTATAAAAGCGGGCACAGACACTGAGGCTATATTTGGAAAGGTGTTGACTTGCGAATGCTACTGTGCCAGGACATTGTATGCATAGACGGCGGGCCTTATAGCTTGGGTATGCGCGCTGCCCGCTTTACGCTTATTGAGTAAAGGCTAGGCGGAATATTAGCACCGGAGAATAACGGCTCCGACCATGGAAGCAACAGGTAGCTAGGTACGGAGTACGAAGTAGTCCACGGCTCAGGTACTGGAGCCTATCACCGGGATTGCCATCTCCTGTGATAATTTCTTCCACGCCGATCCCACTCAACCCATGTTCCTGCAACAATTATAACCCAAAACAGCATTATTTCTGACTTGTCTACTTGTTTTTGAAAATGCCAGTTACTGTGCAATCGGCGGTCGAGGGTATAAATAATCTAATAAAATTTTAAGCCTGTGGATATCCAATGTGAATCTATTCAATGTAGCCCCTATCCGGAAAGTATATTCTTGACACAGCTTTATGCCGGATGGGAACGAAGCTAAATTAATTCCCCGGGTTATTTAACAACAAGCATAAGCTTCAACTTTATTTTGAAAACTAGTCAACAGACTATGTGGAAAATTGACTCTAGGCAAGAGGTTGATGAAAATGAAACTGGTATTGAAAATGAGTAAAGACGCAAGGAAAAAATTGGGAAAATATTTCAATACCCAAAAAAGGTTGGAAGCAGATAGCCAGAGGGCTTAGAACCACAGCAGAACTGGTGAAAAGCACGCGATCGGTAGAAAGAAGTTTAAGACTAAGAGTGACGGGTACTGTCACTATCAGTCCAAAATGTCTATCATTGATGCCTAATGATGGTATGTATGCGTATCAAAATCTTTATTGCTTTCGACACTTGTTAATAACTTGAGGCACAGGTCTAGGAGAGCTTTTATGTGAGAATTTGCTGGGACAGCTCGCCTTAACTGTCCATGGAAACAGTAGTGGAACGCGCCTCCAGGGCCAAAGGTCTTTGAAGTTGCATTTTATGGGATTCGGATTGCTGTTGTCCGCGGATAATTCAATGCGGGTGGTATTTTAGGGTGCAAAGGAATGTCCCGAAACGAAACTATCGGCCTGGAACTCACAAAGGATTAGAATCTCTGTTTCAATGGTAGGTTTATTGAAGTGATCTATATTCTCGCGTATAATCCAACACCTGTTGTTCTTATCAACTGCCAGTATATCTCGGTATAAATACAAAGTGTGTGAATATTCAAGAGCCTTGAATAGATGGAGCTGTAGAGTCTAAACCGGAGAATATGACATAAATCTAATTGAAATGTTAGCCTCTTTTTGAAATATTGGTTGGCTTCAAAACTGTTGAATGTGCGCGACAGTTCAGAGAGAAGATTAAATCCATCATTGCCTTGCACTCGGAGGCGGGCATGGCGTATGGCTAAGGATGACGATGTGGGTTTCATCAGTAAGAAAAGGCGACAGATATGAAAAAAATATCTACTTACATATGTAACCGAAATCTCGAGTTGAAGGTCCCAGAAGTATTGTATGGAGTACTCCGTACGGAGTACTTGCTGGGGAATCAATGGTGCAAAAGGAGCCTAGCGTACAGTCACCTGACAAGTGGTTAATTATATTACTTACATAAGCAGAACGACGTTTCTCTATAAATAGCCGCCCAACTCCTGAGCACCCCTAGAAAGATCCCTAAGGTACGGAGTACAGTCTAAGCCTCAAGCAGCTCCAGGCTTTAAAATTTCCAGACTCTAGCGCTGGATATGATAGGCACCGGGTAAGCGAGCCGGGCCAGTCTTTCACCTTCAATCTCCAGCTTTGCCAGCCTTGCCCAGCCTCCGTTTGTGTTTGCTCACAAAATGTGAAAGATCATTTGCTGAGCTCCCCAATGCCCCCCGTCAATATGAGCCATCCACATCAGCCTCCACAAGGCGACCTTGGTTTAGGGGTCATGCGGACTTTGAATTCTAGCCCAAACCCCAAGACCTCCATGGCTGCAGCGTGCTGTATGTATGGAGGACTTGTTCCTAATATTTGGAACGATCTGCTTGAATACGGAGGCTTTAGAAGTAGTAAATACTACTTAAAAATCTTAGAGATATGCCTTTTCTTGCCAACTCGTGTTTCTTGAACGGCTTATCTTTGTTGTGGAAACATTTCCATGTCAATGTGACGCTAGCAACCCTTTATATTCTCCCAATATCTGCATAAATACTTTTTTGGCTATCTTCTACTATCGCTTTCAGAAAAGGGAAGGGTGGATATAAGCGATGGGGAAGCCCGCGACAGCTTTTTTGCCTCTGGTTTTACTAGCATCGGTGAATATTGCTAGCCCATTAAACTCCGATGCTTCAGTGTTTCCGATATCAGAAAAACCAGAACCATGCGCCTTAGTAGCGACGGCTCAGCAAGAACAACTTTCAAGAAACAAAAAAGGTATAATATGCTCCAATATCGGGATAGATAAAATATTGTCGAAAATTCCCATGCACTTCTAACCCACGTCTGTAGCAACGACGTTTTATATTCCAGCAGAGCTAGCACATGCCTGCTTGTTGTCAGTACCGTTCAAGAAAGAAAACTCGCTGCAGCTGATCGACGGGCTCGGCTCTTTCTGGCAATGGCAGAGTACCTTGGATTACCTCAAAGACCCTCCCAAAAGTTACTTATTGCCTGCTATAGATCTTGACGCTGGCTTAAGGAAAATCAGGGCCAATGCTGCTGAAAATAAGTATAAGAATGAATTAGAATTCCAGCAAGATTTGAATTCTCTAGTGAAAAGCGTCCATGATGGCCACTTTACTTTACATTTAGATGCCTTGAACATCTTTACTTTTCGGCGATCTGGAATTGGGCCTATAGTTGCTTTATCTTCTGATGGGGACAGCCTGCCTAAGATATACTCCTATCGTAAGTATGGAATTTCTCTTTTATATAGGTTGGTAGCTCATCTGCTGGCAGGCGATTTGAAAAAGCGCAACACAGATTGGAAAACCTCTGCGATGAAATCGATAGACGGCGAAGATGTCCACCAGTGGCTCAAGCGCCTTTCATACAATGGGACATCGCAAGATCCGGATGCACTCTACAACGAACTTTTTTTCACTCTTCCCGCCAGCACGTTGGGTTATTTTGGAACTTTTTTCTCTGCAACCGGGTTATATACTGGGAACGAAATTGAGGTCGGGTTTGAAAATGGTACCAACCTTAAACATAAAAACGAAGCTAGCTTTCATCTTGATTTTAGTGACGTGAAAGATGGAGAGACGTTTTACGGCAAATTCTGCAGCGGAAGAGTAGAACAAGCGCCTCTCCTGAAAAAAAGACAGGTTGAGCTTGAAAAAAAGCGGGAGTTAGAAAGCCCACGGCCAGAGTTTCCAAAGGCGGTTATCGAATCTGACGACGGCATTATTGCTGGGTATTTCCTAGACGACGAATTTGATACGGCAGTCTTATCAATCACTTCGTTTGATCCAGACGGGGAGGGAAACAATGTCAATTTAAAGTTCAGCACTGTCGTAACTAAATTTTTGGAGAAATGTGGAAAAGAAAAGAAAAAGAAATTGATACTTGACGTCACATCGAACGGTGGTGGCGTTCTTTTCCTAGGATTCGATTTATTTATGCAGGTAAGTACTCCGTAACCATACTTTCAAGATATGTAATCGGGATCTAATGCATCGTAGCTTTTTCCGCAAGGGAATGTTACAAGTACCTTCAATCTTCGGGCCACAGAGCAAATTAATGTCATTGGTAGGAAGGTCAACAAGCTGCTAAGTGATTCAACGACAAAGAATGGCAAGACAGCCACATACGAGAGAAATGGCATATTCGATATTAACTCGTACGTGGGCAATAGTAATGGCCAAAAGTTTGAATCATGGGAGGCCTACTTTGGGCCAGAAATCAACATGTTCAATTTCACCCGCCTAGCTCGCTGGGACTTGAATAACGAGATCATGTCTTTGAAAATCGGAAAGTTGACAGTCGCAGGCTATGGAAGTCGCTTCAAACAAGCCCCTCAAGTCTTCAAAGCAGAGGATATTATTTTACTCACTGATGGGACTTGCGCCTCAACTTGTGCAGTGTTGGCGGACCTGCTCAAACAGCAGAGAGTCAGATCCATTATGGCAGGAGGATTGCCGCGGCAAGGTCTGGTTCAAGCTGTAGGTGGAGTGAAAGGCTCACAAGTTCTCACATTCCAAAACGTCTTCAGATCCGCAGCCCGTGTTTTTGAATTGTATTTAACGCCGCAGGAGCAACAACAGCTGGACGACACTGATCTTGGCAAAATCTATCGAACTGGATCTTACGTCCTTGCCCGTACTGTCGGGGACGGGACTGGCGGTCGCATCAATTACCGCAATGCTATCCACCCTGATGACAACGACCGCATTCCTCGACAGTTTGCATATGAACCAGCCGACTGCAGGATCTGGCATACCCCCGAAACAATTCTCAACCCAAGCAGATTTTGGGCTTTGCTTGGCAGCAGGGTCTGGGGAAAGGGTAAATGTACTATAGGCTCGAAAACGAAGGCAGAGTAATATCCGTTGTGTTGAACCACCGGTAGCCGGCGCGGAGCAATTCTCTGGTTCCGCGCGTATCCTAGCGGAATTGCTGGGTCTGTAGGCAAGAAGAGTCGGTTTGACGGAGCGGGATAGGGTATCTTGAAACGTTGAGAATAAATGAACGAGAAGAATGACACCCTGTGAAGCAGGGCTTCCCGTGCTCCGTATAGCTCGTGTAGTTACTCAGTAGATCCCTCCGTGCCGTTGTCACGTATCTCGGCCTGACGTTGCCGCGGCGATTCAACAAATAAGGCTGGTTGTCGATCCATGGACCTGGGGCAGCGCTTGGCCGCAACGGGCATAGACAGCCGCCCGCAGCGGCGCGTCCATGGATCGAAGAAGGGGCTCAACGAAAAGTTCTGCGCTGAAACCGCAGGAGAATCATTCTTTTTGGCTCCTCCTGGTGCTGTGACGCGCCACTGCTCTCTTTTTCTTTTATCCTTGAGGTCGTCTCCTCTGCCCGCTCGCTCCATACTCCCGCCCTGGCCGGCATTCTCCTTCGTTTGGCCGCGAAACGCGCCCGCCCTAGAGCTCTGTACGTATTGGATCGCAAGGGATGATGGTTAGTCTCGCTGATGTCTTTAGTACCGCACTCTTTTAGGTCCCGCCTGTGGGCTTCTCTCTTCGAAGCAACACGGGCCGCAGTTTGTTCCCACATGTTCTTGCTGGTTTGGACCCCGCGATTCCCTTCGCAAATCCATGGCCGAAACGGTCTCCATTACAATATGTGGTGACGGAGGATGTGGTATGTTGCGCCTTTTTATCATTTGGTATTGATGTCTTGTCCTCATTTTTTTTTTTTTTTTGCTGTGATTGACTCTGAGACCCTCATTACTGCATCCCTGCATCTGCATACGCTGCCCTGCCCCCAAAGCCCCCATAAGGCATACTTCGGAGATTTGCCAAATCGATTCTTTTGTGCTAACTGGTGAACTAAAGGGAAGTCGTCGATTACGCTGCGGCTCGTACGTAGCCAATGGACGCATGAGTTAGTTGATTTTGCCCCGGTTCGTTTTGATGCTTCTGGGAAGACTAACATTTTACTACACGTGCCTAGATATGATCCAACTATCGGTATGTCCTGGATTTTCCCTGCACACTTGATATCACTACATAATCCCCAAATACCAGTCCTGATAAATAGCATTATGCATGATGAAATATAGAAGACTCATATTCTGTCACCCGGACCGTTGACGGCCGTCCCTACTTCCTCTCCCTAACCGATACCGCTGGTCAAGAAGAATATCGTGGTCTATGGGCAACATCTAACCTTAAATCGGATGCTTTCCTTATTGTTTACGATATCACGAATTCCTCCACCTTGGACGCCCTGGATTACTTTATGGATATGATCGATGTGGAAGCCGAAAACAGAATTGAGAGCAATGAGCGGTTGATAAAGCAGCTATCAAAGAAAAATACTGGCAAGGACCAAATTGCTGTTGGAATGGCCCCGCCAGTGACGATTGTTGCTGGGAATAAGTGCGACCTCAAAGATGCCAGAGTTGTGAGTGCTAGACAGGGTTTAGAATGGGCTCGAAAACGCGGATGTGGGTTTATGGAAACAAGCGCTCGAGAAATGGTTAATATCGAAGAGACATTTGCATGTAAGTCTCCGCTGACCCATCTTTTTTTTTTTTTCGGCTGGTTTTTTCGTTGTCATCATTTGGTACAAGTGTATACTTAACTGTCGCTAGTAATCGTTCGACGTGTTGTTGAGGCACGACGTATCCACCATTTGCAACAGTTTCCACCCAGTCAGCAACCCTCGCAGCCTTTGACCTCGCGCCCACCACCAATAGAGCGCACGACCTCCCAACTCATTGCGCACTCTCACACACCTCCTCTGACAGCTCATGAGCAAGCTTTGGGTGACGAGATTTATACAAAGAAACAACATGGCTCAGATTGGTTAGGTCTACGAAGGGCTTTTTCAAAGAGAATATTGAAAATTCGAAAGGAGGGCGATAGTCAAACGTCTACTACTCCAACACAACGGAATCAATCGGTGGCAGAGTCAACGAAGACTTCAAGATCCAATCAGCAAAAAGACTCAAGTGCCCTAAATCAAATAAATGAAGTAGTCATTACGACCCAACAAAATTGGCCGCCTGCTTCTGACATCGATAACACCCGCCCGGAAAGAGATATCGATACAAACTTTCCTAAAAAACCATGGTGGAAACGCCTGGATTGCGCTCGCCCTTAATCGCCATATACTAATGCCTAATGTTTATTTCTGTTTTTAATATTCTGAGGAAGCCTTCTCGGTACAGCATGTTTTCTTTATGGTATTTAATAGCAAAGGATTGACTTTGCTCTCATATTTTGGAATTTGGGACTTATCACATTTTTAATCGTTTTCTACAGCTGTATTACTTTACCTGTTTCCTTTGTGCTTTGATATACCCCCTTTTGCAATCAGTTAACATGTATTAATAATACCCTTGATTTTGAAAGAATGAGTTCCTTCGGGAGGTCTTGTGCTCCTGTACAAGCCTCAACCTTGTATTGCATAGCTTAGTATAGAATGTTCTCTAATCGTTTCAGGTTTCAATTGCTTGAAAAATCGTTTATAAATTTTCTCTTGTGTTTAGAAGGAGACCTTCATTTGAGATTGATCTCAGCTCAGCGATCTCTTCCGCTATATACGTTTATATAATGTACGTACGAATTCCGTAGGTGATGATTCTCACAGATATAAGCAGTGAACGACGTCTATGACCGTAAGCAAAATAATAAATAAATCTAAAGTATTTGAAGATTTATTACTGGCATAGAGTATTTAATACATATGTTTTACTGCGGCAAAAGCCATGTTTCTCAACCTAGAACCCTACCGGGACTCTCAAAAGCAAATTTCCTGTCTACAGGTGGGGTTGAAGAACAAAGCTTGGGCTCATAAGTTGCGTCTATGTTGATCTGTGACGCACGGAGTAGCTAGTACAGTATGTTACAGCCCTGTTTAATTTACTTGCTGGGGGCCATGATATGTACAAAATAGCTAACTACATGGTTGGGCAGTATATATGTACAAGAACAGAGGAATCAAAGTATTTTTATTTTACTGATACTTTCAACGAAAAATCGACAATACCAACGCCCTGATGGATGCTACTCGTTGACAGAATGTCCACATCTTCACATGCAAAGTCAGCAACGTTGTCCTCTCTCAATCCTCCACTAACTTCTACCAAGAAGCTTCCTCTCGGCTTGCCTTTCGCGTCCCATTCATCCTTTAATTGAAGAGCGGCGTCACGCACACCGTCCGGTGAGAAATTGTCCAGCATCACAATATCCGCACCAGCGCCAACGGCGGCGTTTGCTTCCTCAAGGTTGCGACATTCGACTTCAATTTTAACAGCAAAACCGCCTGCAGCCCGGGCAGCATGGACAGCGGAGGGAATAGCATCGGCAATAGTTATGTTCTCGCCACTCGTATGAGATACTTTATCCTTGTTATAGCAGGCCCAGACATGGTTGTCCTTGAGCATTGTCATGGAACTCAAGTCGTGACGGTGGGGGTCAGCACCACCGACAAGAATAGCGTATTTCTCAACCAGTCTAAAGCCTGGAGTCGTTTTACGAGTACCTGCTAAGATACCATTCCATCCATGGGAACGGAGGATAGTGAGAAGTGAAGATGTCCTGAATCAAGCCATTAAGGGGTGAACATGCAACATAGGTAAGAGTCGTACTTGGTGGCAATCCCAGAGCATCGTGCGAGGATGTTCAGCGCTACGCGTTCACCGAGAAGAAGTTTTCTCATGGGACCGCGAACGATGGCACAAATGGTGATAGGCTGAATTTCATCGCCTTCTTTGATCTTCCATTCGACTCTTTTCAAAAAGCCGGGTTAGTATTGGGCGATTGTGTAGTAGAAGGGCCGAAGCCTAATTCCTAGGGAGGCATAAGCGGAAAAGACATACGTGCAATCTAGTTGTGCAAAGACTTCATTAAAGAAAGGAACCCCGGCTACGATGCCCTAAGTACATACGATGATCAGCTTATTTGGAAACCAGCCATACGCGAAATAAAGCACACAAATGCGAGGCATTAGAGCCCGGGTTGTTATTGAGGAACAATGTAGCCGTACCAGGAAGACCGAGATATGGCCATTGTATAGCCTGTACACAAAGGCACAATAATACCATGGCAGCGCAATATTATGAGGCACATACCTTGCTCTTCCCCAGCAGCTTTGCCTCACCCTCTACCTCGCTCACAACGAAACCCCCATAATCCAAGCTTGGGCAATCTTCTTCCAACCAGGCAGCAATCATGCGCTTATATGTCAGAGGGAGAAGGTTGCTAAGCTCGCCGTACTGTGCAGCCATAGTTATGGTCGTAGAGTACAGATGGATGTGATTCCGGTATTGAAGTGGGGATGGTCGAACTTGACAGTTGACTACCAATCACCTCACGAGGGCCAGGTGTGTTTGAAGTGCAAAGACACGGCGTGATTCTAGGAGCGGGGCTCGTACATCGTTTTTCGCCGAAACACAACGCAAGGTTTGTGCTCTGCAAAGAGTCATCTTTATAGCAAAACTCAAATGGCTTCCAAACCCGGTGACGTCATATCGGGGCAGTGGAGGGTGGTGATGCTACGGCTGACCACACATGGTAATATTCACGGCTGAATACAATATAGTTATATAGATTCCCATGTTTTGGAAATAGTGCTGTGAAATTACATAACTATCAATGGCTACATCACTCATAAATTACCAACTTCAAGTCAAATTTGTGAAGGCCAAAAGGAAAAAGAGTGGGGTGCGCTGAAAGAAACGCAGCTCCGTCAAGTTCCATTATGACTTCCATGCTTTGTACACAGATCGTGCGCCCCATACTTCGCCCTTCTTCAGCAGACACATATTCCGCCAAGCCGGCACATTCGGCGCATTTACATATCGGCTCGGCTCTACGCAAAACCCTGCCCTAGGGCCGTATGCAGGAGAGCCATCCACGGCGGGAACATCTATGTACTTGCCAGTATAAAATTGGAAAGCGGGCTCGGTGCTATAGACTTGCAGGTGAAATGATGTTGCTAGATGTTTAAATGACGCCAGTAGCTTCAGAGGTCGTGGGCGAGTGTCCAAGGGGACGGACGACGGGTCCGTGTCCATGACGAAGCAGTCATCGATATCCGGATAGGTCTGGTTCATGAAAAAGGGCCTTACGACGTCTGTTGACGAGTAATGCGCAATCTCACCCGTGGGAATGCCTTCTGAGTCAATGACAAGGTATTTATCTGTCTCAAGCTGGCCTTCAGTGCCTTCAATGGTTGGATAATTTCCTAAATTGAAGTAGCTGGTTGTAATGAATTAGCCTGATGTACACCCTCCAAATCCCCGATCCAAAAATCAATAATACATAAACAGAAAATAGATAAAAAAAATAAATAAGAACAAGAGTAAACATGAAGTATCGGAATAGTTAACCAGACCCAACTTTACCTGTGGTTTGTGACGCCAATGGCAGTCTCATCGCATTCGTCTCCCACTAGTTCGACTTCATACTCCATTTCCAGTACCGTCTTTTGCGACCCACCATGCTCAGCTTCCTCGGCTGCACTGTACCAAACCCTCAACTCGACAGTCCCGGGGTAACCCTCTTCACCATCCTTACTCAAATACCGAAATTCAAGGCCCTCTCTACCATTCTTATTAACGGGTTTTGGACCACTGAAGATCCTAGAGTTCCAGCCGTGGCGGCCCCCGTGGAGAGAGTGAGGCCCGCCATGCGAGGTTATTCGGTACGACTGGCCGTTGAGGTTTCCAATGGTTGCATCCTTTAGTCTGTTCGTGGTGCGACCAATTGTGGCTCCAAAATAAGGCGCATTGTATTTATGATACAGCTTCTCGTTGGGGAATCCCAACACGATGTTCCGGCCCTCGACGCGGAATTCCTGGAGAATGCCGCCCAGAGGGAGAAATGTGAAGGCAGCCAACTCCTCAGACGAAGCCATGGCGTTTAGTTGGATGTAGACAGGGAGTGCTTTTGGACGTAGTTGGCCAGAGCAGGTTGGCTGGGTTGTCAGTTGTTCTAGTTATGGTTAACTCGAACCTAGCCAAGTTCAAGGACCGCCACCAGCAACGCCACATTAGTTCGTTGAACTGGTCAGTTAGTTTAGTTAGCCGACGTTCGTCACTTGAGTCGAGCTCCGAATGGTTATTGGTTCCTTGGCCTGCCGTCATTATAGCGAACGCGTCCCGGCAGGTGCTGACGCTCGCCGAAAGCCTTGTCGGCTCGAAACACGTATTTAACTAACTATGCGGTGGACTCGGCGCCAGGGATGCTGCTGAATCCTGTGCTACTGGCCTCTGCGACGCTCAGCCGGGAGCACACAGGGTATGGAGTACGGAGTACAGAGCAGTCTGTACGGAATATTATTGGGGCGATAGCCGTGGTGTCGCTGTGCAGTTCCCTTGTTAGTTACGCGTCAGCCCTGCGGCTAGGTAGTTGGTTTAGTTAGCTGGGTGGATTCGGGGCTGCGATGCCTTCACATGGGATGCCAGCCGTCGCGATGGCGGAAACCTCTTCGGGCGTGCGCTTTGCAGCTGGACGTCCAGCCTCTCTGCGGCAGGATCTTAACTAACTAACCCCCGGGGTGCTCTGTCACGGTGGCGATGCTGCTTGCTGGCCCGGCGCGACGGTGGAGCCGCGTCATGGCCGCCTGCGACTCGTCCGTTTTTGGCCTCCGCCGGGGAGATCCGTCTGCTGGCTGAGCTATATAAGGTGCGCGGTGGTAACTATTCTCCCTTGCTGACCCTCGTCGCCCTGCTTATGTTCTGATCTGTCCTTCTCTTCTCCCCGGAGCACCAAACCCACGCCGCCATCATGGCTTCGGCCAATGTCTCGGGCGTAGTCCCTTCAGACCTGCTGGAGATGCTCGTCCCTGGCTACTCGCTCTTTTCTCGCATGGTCCATCTCTATCTTGACATCGACCTGTCTGCCTATTCAATTTACATTCTTGGCTTCTCAATCTCGTTTTCATTCGCGTTGTTTGTGGCGCCTCGCCTACTCGACGAAGCCCACCGCTCTCTCTTATTCTTTGCCACATCAATGGAGATATATTTCCATGATCCGTTGTACAGACAGCTTGTGCACTGGGTGTCTGACCATGGATTGCTGAGCCAGGCGCAGCACGCCATTGCCGGCACCAAAACGCACTATGTTACTTTGTATCAGCCAGATGACGATGAATCCAAGACTATGGAAGATAGCGACCTCACAAAAACACAGCTGGATTTTAGCATTGAGCAGAAGAGATTTTGGCAGCAGCTAAGCTACCTAAACAAGATGAAGCCCATCCACTATACACCCACCCAGAACACCTTCCACTATTTCACGTATAAGGGATGTTGGATCGCTCTTCGACGGGATGCAAGACATAACTCACATGCATATGAGCTAGCTAACGCGGAAAACATACTCCTCTATGCTGCACCTTGGAATCGCAGCATTCTCCAGGAGCTCTTGTGGGACGTCCAAGAAGCCGCTGTGCGACGTGAATGTAACCGTATTGTTGTTCATCGCGGACAGAAGAACATGGACGAGATGGGTTGGCATCCCAGTGCAACAGCCTCCCCAAGATCTCTTTCCACCGTGATTCTAGAAGAAGAGAAGAAAGGCGCTATTGTGAGTGACATCAAGCAGTTCCTTAGCCCCAAGACGCGGTCTTGGTATCGCTCCCATTGCTTTCCATACCGACGAGGCTATCTCTTTCACGGGCCGCCAGGGACGGGAAAATCGAGCATGTGTTTTGCTATCGCCAGTTTGCTACGCCTGGATATCTATACCCTTAGTTTCAGCTCCCCGGGCCTTGACGAGAATACACTGAATACTCTCATGAGTGCCCTTCCTAAACGTTGCCTACTTCTTTTTGAAGATATAGATACCGCAGGCGTACAGGAGCGTGGGGAACACGCCAACTTGAGTGATGATGATGATGATGATGATTTGGACGGCCAAGGGGCACCACCCCGCAAGGGAAGGAGACGCCGGAAGCGCAGTGCGATATCCCTCTCTGCCCTCCTAAATATCCTTGATGGTGTAGGCGCCCAAGAAGGCCGTATTTTAATTATGACTACCAATCATAAAGCGCACCTTGATGCTGCCCTACTCCGGCCCGGGCGCGTGGATATGGATATCTGCTTCAGCTATGCCAGCCAGCCCGTCATTGAGGAGCTGTTTTGGTCGTATTACTCACATTGTGAAGAAGAGGAGGAAGAAGAAGTAGAGGTGGAAGAAGAGGAAGGGAAGGGAGGAAAGGATGGCGATGATGACGCTGATGGTGAACTTCGGTCTCTTTCAGTCAAGTTCGCGAAACAGATTCCTCCTGACCGATTCACCCCTGCGGAGATCCAGAACTATCTATTCCCTCATCGTGAGTCGCCCAGAGCTGCAGTTGAGGGCGCGTCCGAATGGGTACAAAAGAAACTAGGCTCCAGGAAAAAGGTGGAAAACAACACCAAAAAATAAGAATCACCTTCTACCCCTTCTTTATTGTTCCTAGAAATCATATTTGGAGCGGGGGCTTGCTACAAATAGACCGCTTTTTTTCGTTTTTTTTTCTATTGGGTGCTTTGCAGCTTTATGTCGAAATAGATAGGATGGCGTTGAAAAAAATAGGCGTATCAAGTCCTCTAGTTATGTATATCGCTAGTCAAAATTCAGTTCTGGGATCGAGGTCTACTCCATAGCTAGTTCAAATGAGACATGCATCATGAATTCTCTAGCTTTAAAGATGCAAAGGCTCCCAACATATCGCCCTGGGCATATGTGCTCTGGATTCCTTGACCTTGGTTAGTTATATAACTACGCCACCCACTCCAACTTTATATAGACAAGAACTTGCCCACCAAAATACATATAGCTTCCATTATAAGTAGTAAGACGCGGCTTTGAGCGACGAAGACACTGAAAAGAGAAGAGACACAGTCATGTCATGTAATTTCCCTGGCGCCACACCTATGTACTAATGGTTCAAGGATGGTAGCGCTGTGGAATATTCCAGATGTTTTCTCGCCCCGTTTTAAAGCCATTGGAAGGTTGGCAAGGTACGTAGTTTTAGGGAGTGTGCTTAACGCGGTTGCCTGGGCCAATCAGCGTGGAGCAGCGCCTGCGGTGCGCGGCAACAAGCTCGATGCCGTCCCAGGTCTACTGTGAGCCATACATGGTCATTCAATAATGAAGGCGACATTATGGCATATATGTATGTATGTACATAATATTATATAGAAAACAACGACGAAGAAAAATGTCATCGAGAAACCCCGTATCTACCATCTAGGATAACCACCCTGCACCAATGAGCGTAAAAAGCAGAAGAGAAAAAAATGATAACGCCCACCTCTTAAACTTCAACTTCGACGCAGAGACCACCGCCATCAGACGTTCCAGTCCCTGTTGCATCATCTTCATCTTCTTCTGCATCATATGCATCAGATGTGTCTTCTCTTCGCTGGCGAGGGTGATGTTGATGCTGGCGTTGTGACGTGTCATAGTCTCGGTCCCCGAGGACCGTTTCGCCATGTCTCCCGTTACTATCAAAATCAAGGCCTGGTTCATGGCCTGGGCTCTGTGACTGGATTCTCCTACTGCCAGGTTTGTTTCGGGCAGAGGTTGCCTCCTTTGAACCACGGGTTCGCTCTTCCACACCGTCAACCGCGGCAGGGTCAGAGGGTTTTGTGGGCGCTTTAGTCATTCTCTCCCGTTCCAAGGCAGCTTTCAGCTCTTCGTTCTCTGCGCTGCGCTCTTCTAGTCGCTTTCTGGCCCCAGAACGATCCAGTAATCTAGCTTCACGCTCAGCTTTCAATCGCCTCTCTAGTTCCCGAAGGCGCTGAATCCACTTTTCTTCTGACCGGTCGCTACCAGATGATGTACGTTGCGGCTGCATGGGTGTGGCCCCTGCGACCGGGCCTGCAGCACTGTTAGAGAGTGCCGTTGACGGCGAATGGTGCGTTGGTTGTGGAATCCCGGTACCACGAAACACAGTACTGCCGCTTCGGGTAGATCGTGGATGAGGGTTCGCAGCGGCGGCTGCAGCTGCTGCTGTGGTGGCCGACCCTCGAGATCGTGAGTGAGATTGTAGGAGATTGAGCTCGGCCTTTAGGAGCCTGTTCTCACCACGCAGCTTAGACATTTCTGCATTGGTGGAATTTATTGATAGCGGCCTCTTTTGAGTTCGTATTTGATTAGCTAGCTCCTCTAACCGATCAAGTTTTTTTAATCGTATGCCTAACGTGTGCTCTAGGTTCTGGTAGGCTTTGGTTAAGTCGCGCTCAACATCCTTGACCCGGCTTTTGAAACCGTGAGTCAGATGCTCCAGTGTTTTGACTGCAAGCAGCAAATTCTTACTGAAGCCGGGCCAAAATAACATGTTGCCAATAACCTCCTGGCTTGGAAGGTTACCATTAATCAAGCTATTGGAATGGGCCCAATCTGGCCCACACATGGCAGAGAGACGCTTCCAGAGGGCAAGGAACATGGAATTCCTCTCGCTCAGCTGATCTTTATATTGCTGTTCAAGGGTATTGAATCGCTTACGATCCTGGCCACGAGCATTTTCCAAGTCAGAAATTCGGGTGTTGCTATGGGCAATTGTCCGTGACGCTTGTTGGTGGGATTTGAGGGCTTGTTCGAAAGAATGCTTATCAGCGCGATGTGCATGGCGTTCCCGTTCCAATAGCTCTGCCAGCTTACGAGTTTCGAGACCGTGACTTTCCAAAAGAGCGTCGCGATTCCGAAGAAGAGCCTCCTTCTCGTCAAGCTTGTCGCGGGTACTCTGCAGTTCAAGCGTAGTCGATTCTAGCTCCTTTTGTAATTTCGTGATTGACATCAACAAACTTGACCGGGTTCCATTCAAATCACCCAAAGCTTCCCGAAGACTGCTCTCAAGTTCAAACAGCCTTTCTTTCCACGTATTTGCTTCAATTTCCCGTGCCGAAAGGGCTTTTTTCAGCTTCCGAATGTCATCCTTGACGCCTGTATTCTCGCGATTCAAATCATTCATGATCCTTTGCACTTCTTGTTTCTCTTTACTGCCGACGACTTCACGTTGGTGTCGTTCTTCCGCAAGTCGCTGGTCCAGCTCCCTGGTCTGCTCCTTCTCGCTTTGTAGATTTACCAGGGTCGTCTTTAGTTCGGATTCTAGGTCACCAATCTTGATCTTGTCCCCGTCCTGCTCTTCGCGGAGGAATGCTATCTCATTCTGGCTTGACTCAAGCTGCACTGTAAGTCGTTGAACTTTTCCATTTGATTCAAATAAATTTTTTTCCAGGGACTCAAGCTCGCGGTTCGCATCTTGTAGTTCTTGGTGAACCGCTTTATACTTTTGTAAATTATTTTGCGCATCTTCTTCTAACCTGAGAATTCCTTCGTTTGCGGATCGCATCTCTGCTTGTAGTGCTATGAGATTTTCCTGCTGGGTACGCAATTCGGCTTCCATTCGCTGACCGTCATCTATTTTAAGTTCAAGTTCATCCTCTAAAGAGTCAATTTCGTGTTGAGCTTCTGCTTTCAAGTCTTGAAGCTCAGCCTCCCTCTCTTCGGCAAGCTGGAGAGCTTGATGTCGTTCTAGCTGAAGATTTTGAACCTCAGCTTCCGCCCTGTTCATATCTTCTTGATATGCGTGATCCATGCTTTCAATTTCATTCATGTACTCGTCCAGTTGTGCCCGAAGTCCTTGGTTCTCAAGTCGGAGGGTAGAAACTTGATCACGAAGCTCTCCGTTCTTTCCTTCTAAAGATTCACGCTCCGCATCACTTAATCGGGACACTCTTGTTCCGTCACTCGCCCGCGAGTTGGATCTATCCTGGGCCCGAGATGCGGAGCGTTCAAAGATACTGTCTCCTGCAATCGAACGACTGTCGTAACGTCGCTGCAGCTTTAAGTCCTCGATTTCTTGGTAAAGACGCTCCTTCTCACGATTCCGTGAAGTAAGCATAGAAGTTTGGGCACTAACCTCCCGGCGTAGTTCAGCATTCTCTTGTTTGAGGAGTTCCAATTCAACAGTTATATTGTGCGATACGGCTCCTCGAGGTGTGCTGCGGGCGAAATCTCTCTCAATGTCGGAATGTGATATGACAGAGGACATTCCGCGACGTCGTGAGTTCCTTGAAAAGCTTGTCGAAGCCGCATCTGCCTCTTTCATACATAACATTTCGTCACGAAGGCGTCGATTTTCTTCCTCTGCTTGTTCACGAGCAGCTGTTTCGGCATCTAGCATATCTTTCCACATATCCTAAACGATTGAAGCAATCAGTCATAAGATGCTCGAGTCCTGTAACACCGAAAACAATAGAGTAAATGAAAGTAGGGGCTCACCCTTTCCTCCCTAGCGCCAGCATCGGAACCAGCAGCTCTCCCCTCGCTTAGCGATTTCACCATTTCCGCCAGTCTTCTCTTCTCGCTCTCTCTTGCAATGTTCTCAGACCTCATTTTCTCTATTTCTACTTCATACGTCTCGATTCTCTCTCTCAGATATATCAATTCTTCCTCTTCCATCGTCACTCGTTCTTCTTCGGACCCCGAAGCACCGTCATCTTTGCTCTCATCCTTTTCCCCATCCCCACGGTCTCTAAGCTGTTTCCCCAGCTCTCGGATCTTCTTCTTCAAAGCTTGATTATCTTTTTGCAATTTGAGTTTATCCGACTTTAACTCCACATTTTCAGAAATCATTTCTTTTACACCTTCCTCGGATCTCTTGTTAAGCGCTTCGTTTAAAAAATGAATTCGCATTTTTAGATCAAAGTTCTCTTTCGATAGTCTATCAATAGTGCTACTTTGCTCTTTAAGTGTCATGTTTTTTCCTCGACTAAAGCCAGGAGTAGGCGCACCACGCTTGTCGGGAGACAGCCCTAGGCTGACATTGCTCTCGCGAAACTGGCGAGCAAATGCACTTGGGACTTGGATATCCTGAACATGTTGAGTAATAACAGTCTCAGTTGGTAATGATAGATCGGTTGCTTTCGCTTTTGGAGTCATCGGTGCGGCATCTTCGTCTTTCTTAGCCGTCTGTGACGAATTTGGTCGTGACTGTAAAACGCCATCCTCTTCATCTAGGGTATGCAGATTGGGCTCGGAGAGGCTACTAAGCCCTCTCCGCTCAACTGGCGTATCGTCGCTAAGCCCGGAAATTCCAGACGCCATGCTACCCAGACTTGTGGATCTAGACAAGTCTTGTTGCTGCCTTCTGTCTCTGTGCGGCCTGATCTCGGTGTTGGCTGGAACTGCTCCTCCAGATTGCAGAGCATAGTCAACGCCCATTGTAGCATCACTGGAAGTCGTATCAGTATTCACAGATGACACTGAATAGCGATGTGACAAGTGCCTGCTGGTGAGATACTTGGACCGTTTCCGTCTATGCTCTGGTGCTGTACCTACACTAATTTGGGACTGTCCAGCATCACTTATATCCCCATCCGTAGCGTTTCCACGCTGCGAATTTGATAGAGATTTAGGCGGTAAACTTCGTCGAGACGAAACACTTCGTCGTGGTGTAACATCTAAGTCCTCCGCACCAGAATTCGCAACACCCTCCACCGCGCCATGTTCCTCTGCATGGTCATCCACAGCTCCACCGGAGGTTGTGGTTGACGCGGAAAGAGCGCGCATTATGGTTCTGGCAGCCGCCGCAGCAGTCGGGGACGATGAAATGGTTTCTAATGTGGTCGTGTCCACGGATGTATCACCTATCATAGACAGCTGGGCATTCGAAATTTGCGCGTAGTCCTCCTCCTCGTCGAAGATCGATGGCTCTAGATTCGTTTTGTGTTCGATCCCACGCTGTTCGTACGCGTTTGTGGGCGGAAATGGAGAGAGTACCGGCGATAAGCCATCCTGCCCCAAGGGTGACGCCTCCACTCCAACAAGGAATGTATCGTCAATGCCTGCACTGCCCTCGCCGAGTCTAATTGCAGATGGCTCGGGTAGAAAGCTCGATTCCACATCCATCAACTTGCGATGCATTTCCCTTTCTTCCACCAAGGTCTGGTTCGGTATGCTGATCTCATCGCCATCATCAACAGCCATTATTTGGGTTTCGTCATCGTTGTTGGATATACGGATCGTTGGAGGTAGGGGAGGTAGTATGGCGCTTGAGTCATAGTCGTCTTCCTGTAGGGAATTGTGTCTGTCGTTGTCTTGGGTGGCCTGGAGGTGGACGGAAGGCCGGCATTGTGATGGAAGTGGCGGTGATGACGGCGCAATTGATTTGGAACGGAGACTTAAACCGGCCATTTTAAAGGAGGCGGCATCGCCTCTGTCCTCTGTAAAACTAATCTCCTGTCGCAATGTAGGGCTGTCGTCATTGTCTTTGTTGTTGGTTGTGCTCTGCATCGTTGCATCTCACATTCTCCAGAGCTGGAAACTGCAAACAAGGGAGCGAATCCCCAACAGCTTGATGTCTGGAAGAAAAAAAAGTGTTGTTGTCCAGTCAGTCGAATGTGTTTTGGGATACGGCGGTGATATCACTCAACTGATGGTCCGATGCCCAACCTAAACTTAGTTTAGTTATTTGTTTACATGCATTTGAAACTCTATGTACTCTACTTACACCCAGGAAGAACCTCATGCATCACCTATTATAAGTTACAAACAGAAGAAAGATGTTTCCAGCAATAACAAGGTTATTTTTTCTACAGTTCTGGTTTAATCTGAAATACCCAGGAAATAACCCCACTCTAAAGTCGGATCAATAGGCGGGTACCGACATTTTAGCCCATATACAAAACCTAAGGCGCAAATGCTCCGTAATTAGGTGTACGTTTCTCATTCTTCGTTTCAACCGTATATACATGCATAGCAAGAATGGGGTTGCTCTCTAACAGTGCGACTTATTAAAAATAATTAAGGTCAAAATTGCCCAAAGGATATTAGTTATGGGGAATAAAGATTGGGTATAAGGATGTAAAGGGGCCCAGGTGCGTGTCGAAGAGAAAGTCCAAGGGAAAAGAAAAACTGGGCAGAAGGAATAATTTCTAAGCATATGTGGATAAGTTAGGATCATAATTTAATAAAGAGAAATATTAAAAATTTGTAAGGATTCAGGGCATCAGATGAAGAAAATATGTTCTTTTGAAGTCGCCGAGAGAAATTGGCAAGGTTAGAGGAATATATAAAAAGAAAATTAAGGGGGGAGAATTTAGTTTAAAGTATTGGGTTGCATTGATTCAAGCCCTGAAGCGGCATGAGCTTGATGGTCTTGGTCCAGCTCTCGTTCTTCGTTTCGAGCTGCGTCATTGAGAAATTTTTCTTTTTGGGTCTGGGCGGTTTGCAGACAATCGATATAGGTGCGGAATTTGACAATCTCCCTCAAGAGGTACGATGATTTGCGTTCCCAGTTGGCAAGTGCTTTCGAAGCATTCGGGTGCCGAGGAGAAAAAGCAATGACCATGGCGCTTCGAAGTTCATTATGCCGTTTGAGTTCCTCTTCGACGTAGTTGACATATTTACGGAGTGCAACTAGCTGATCTGCTTCATTAAGAATCGACGCAATCATGCTTTGTTGTGGGGGCATCCAGTCGCCGATATGAACCCTATCTCCGGGAAGTCGCGGGCGAACACTTTGCTGATCAATGGAGCTGCGTATCGAGCTTTGAAGGCTTGGTCGAGGGCCCGAAGCACTGGTAGGTTTGTACTCGTCAGATTGGGCCAAAGAGCTATTGGCAACAGCATCGCTCCATCCATATTCAATATTGCTGATTCCGCCAGACATTGGCTCCTTAGAGAGTCGGGCACTCCAGTAATTAGCCGTAGAGACAAACTCTTTCACAATTTCTGGGGTTCCAACTTGGAAAAGGTGAACTGCCCCAGTGGGCAGACTCAATGCCCAAACGAAAGGTCGAGACTTAGAGTATCCAGGTTGAGGTAATGCACTGGCGATAGTATGGCGAAGTAAAAATTTCGATGTTTCTTCTGCGTTCTCCATCCAGTTTCCCCCTCCAACGACAATACCAGCGTTGTGCCTGTGCTTCGGTTTTAAACGCATGGATTTTGTCGTCGAGTTGAATGAAAATAATCTCAGCCAGCCTCGCTGAATAACGCCAAAAGTTTCGTTCCAGTTTCTATCTTTCGCTCGTTTGTCTACCGAGTCCAGATGATGTTTATGTTTTAAGCTACCTTCCTTCGCCCATGGCGCTCCAAACAGTTCTAAAGCTTCGTCCTCCAACAGAGATTCAGCACGGCTAGGATCATCTATCCCGGTGAAGCAGCTTGCAGAATCCTCTCGGATGATGGCATGGCTGAGGGCGTTGGCAAACCCAATGGATTGCTGATAGTCAGCACGCGGATATTCGGAACCAAAAGAGTCGACCGACATGGAGGTCAGGGTCTTTCCTAATGACACCTTGCTCCATGTACTAGAGGCGGCGGGTGACCAAACAGATTGGTCGTCCAAACTCGTACGACTAGAAGCCATAGTTGATGAGGGGTACATTCGTGCTCTAGATCTAGGCTTGGACGTCCAACGGGCAGTAGACAGACGATTGTCCGCAGGTCGACCACGGGGAAGCGTGTCGGATGCCGTAACTCTGCTAAGGGTACTGGGGGTTCTGCGTAACATGTTTCCAGTAAATGTTAAAAAGTTATTAGTAGGCTGCTGTTCTTCGGGTTCTACCTGACCATGGAGTGGCAAGCGTCGCTTTTGTATGGAATAGTAACAGTCTTTGAGAACCATTTCAACTTGATGTTCCCACGCCTTTCTGGTCCCACGAAACGGGAGATGTACAAGTTGCCCGGCACTGCTAATGGGCATTTCATTACTAGCAGAGAGGTTGATTACTGGGTTAAGCTTAGTGGTTGTATCCTGAGGTCTGGGCGCCAAATTGGATACTACGTTCGACTCAGCTTCATCCCCCTCAGTATGTGGCGTTGAGCTTCGCTCGAGAAACGGGCCTGTATCATAAATACTTCTAGGGCGTTGAAACTTTGACATTTCAAATGAGTCTGGAGCAGCATCATCGACAACTCGTTGAATTGTAGGCATAGTGTTCCGGATAAACTGAGTGCGAGTCATTTTTTGCTCGATATCCGCGAGGTGTAGGTCAGTATTCAAAAGTAAAAGCGAATAGCATATTGTATGAACAACATCTATAACGAATATTAGCATTATCCTCGTCTAACGGCGTGCCTTTCGACATACCTGTTGCTTTGAATCCGTGATTCGGGTTGCATTCGCACCATCGAGCAGAAAATGCATCCAGCACCCTATCGACCTGCTGCGTTTCGCCCTTTAAAGCCATTTTTGAACATAGACTGCGAAGTGCTGCCAAGATAGTCATATCCGACCAATCAAACAAATCCATGTAGGCTTTCCTGAGGCCGGCCCTTTGTGGATTCCCAAGCCAAGTTGCAGTAAGTTGCTCTTTCGAGTGCTGTTCATCGGCATCATTAAAAAGCTTCTCCGCGTGTTGCCGATCTATTGTTCCTTGGTTTTCGTCACTGGCGGTATTTACAGAACTATTGGAATAGGGAGTTTCGTGAGCGCTCTCTTTGATCGGTGACGTAGAAGGTGACATTTTCTTGGCCTGCTTCGAAATTGGCTCATCCTCGGGGCTTATGAGAGGTGTACTCGAGGCGGTCTGGTAATGGGAAATGGTGGTAGATGCCGATAGAGGGGGAGAATCGGGAGCGCCTTTGGCCGACAGCATGGATTTGTTAGGCTCGGCTCTCGAAGTCGGGCCACTTTCGGGCTGAGATTTCTCTGGTGGGGTTAAAGAAGTATCAATAAATAGTCGGTTGTTAGGACGCGAAGCGATATTTGAACTCTGCTCGTTTCCATTGCTGGGAGGCATGAAATTGCGAGAGGAGGTCTGAGGACTGGGGCTTGTCTTAGGACGCGCAGATACGTCCTCTGAGCTTTGTTGGTAGCTGTTGTCGTCTCCAGTGCTACTGGCTAGAAAAGAACCATCACGATCAAGGCGTGCGAAATTCCGTTCGGGACTTGCCTGAACCTTTTTAATAGTGGCATTGTTCGACAGCGGTGATCTACCACTTGGATAAGCCCGTTTAGTTGCTGCTAGAGGTTCATCAATAATGCTTCTGCCTTTGAGTGGGTGAGTTCCAGGTTCGTTATCTGCTGAATCCACATTCGCGTCAGATTTGGTACGAGGCGTCGAGTCTTCAAATCTAGGGGACGTTGGCCCAGCTATGTATGGTTTCATGGCCTGGTGTAAGCTACTGCTTGGACTTGGCTCTGGCTGTAGATCTCCTGTTGCATGACTATGTTTCAGATTTGGTAGGAGATCCAATGGGAGCGGGACATGATCTGTCGGGGATCTTTTCCGCCGTCGGAAAAAGGAAGAAGGCTTTTTAGTCACAATGGGAGTACTCTGTTGATTATGCGAAGGGCGTCCTTTCGAGCTGTTTGGCGCACTCTGTGGCTCTTTAGACCGGCTGAAGTTATCATCGTCGCGTGAAAAGATCTGAGTTTTATCGGATTGCGGTGATGAGGATTTCGAGGAGCCAAAAACTCGTCGGAAAAAGCCATAGCGCTCCTTGACTGTGGGTGGTGTGATAGGTTCGGCTGGCGGCGAAATATGAACAGGCTTTTGAAAGCCAATTGCTGGGCTAGGGGCAGGACCATGAGTGCGAGTTGGAATGGGAGGAATATCTGAGTCGTTGTCCCTGAAGTACCTGCCGTTGTCGTCAGGTCGAGATCTAACTGTACCAGTTCCCAGAGTATCGAAGCGTCCCTTCTTAGTGTACATGCTTTTAGCAGACTTGGCACTATTCTTGCGAGTCAAGGTGGGAGTCCGCGAAGATTCCGCTAAACATAATTGAGGGCGCGAATGGTCCCTCAGTCCGGGCGAACGACTTCGAGGTCCGGCAGGAACATTAGGTGTGGGTGCGGCATTAAAGTCATCGTACTCCAGCATGGTAGCATCAAGTGGTTGTCTCAACGGCCTGTCTGCTCCATAATCAAAACTGATAGAGCGGCGCCCTCTACCAATGCGACCACCGGCTAACATTTGGGTGATATCCAGGTTCGAAGTCTCGCTACGGCCGCCATTGATAGGATACCGGGTGAGCTGACCACCCATGGCGGCTCGTTGGGCTTCAAAGACACGGCTTCGGTTGCTCAACTTATCTTTACTAGCAGCAGAACCATCCGGCTTCCGTGCTATAAACTGGAAATTCGAACTGCTGTTGCTGCGACGCCCACGGCTGGAGAGATGGGGATAAACACTGTTGTCATCCAATGCTTCAATCTCTGAAGAAAGCGACGAAGAGAATGTATGGCCACGATGGCGAGACATTTTGGCATTTGCATAACGTGAATATAAGGTGTATGGATCCGGCTCCTCTGCCTTATAGCCTTGGGCCTCCTCCGCAGTATTGAAGTTAGATTCGGAGAGCTGATCCAGAGAAAGGAGCATGTTATCCACTACAGAGGTTCTGGTGACGTGCTGTGGGGACAGCGAAAGGTCGTGAGGATCCTTCTCTTCATCCGCCGAGTCCTCATGCTGGTTATTGTCAACAGAGGGGATATCTTCCAGAAAAGTCTCAGGGAAGGAGGGCCGAATGGGCATGTGGCTATTCTTATTGGCGCTGCGTGGAGGAGTGCGTGGCGGCGAACTGGTATGATACTGGTCATGCTGCCAAGGGGCTTTGGGCGGCACCCGGTACCCAGACATATCAAGTGGAAAAAACGAACGTCCCGTGTCCTACGATAGCAGAAAGCGTGCGGCGGAGACTCAAGGGATCATGAGCAGCGATGGTACTTTAGGGGGAACTGCCATTGGCCGACTGGACAATTGTCAGAGTATGGTCTAAAAAAAGGGAAAGGGCTGGAACAAAGCTACGTGCAACCAAACGCTATAGGATCACGCAAGGGTCAAAAGGCGCAAGGCGAAACTTGGATGGGGTGGAGTATAGAGTACGGCTCGCAAGGCCAGAGAGCGAAGAAGTGGGCGAAGGAATCGACGACAGTACTCCGTAGTAGGTAGTGACCGGACGGACAGATGAGGAGCTGTCCCTGCGTAAAGCCAAAAAAAAGAGAAAAGGAATTAAAAATGGTCCAGGTAGGATTTGATGGCGGGAGCGATGCAAGGAACAAACCTTGGATATCACAGGGTTCAGACAATATCAACGCCCTAAACTTACCGACTCGATTGATAAGAAGCGCCAAAATAAGAAACAGGGAAAAAGGAGCGGGAAGACTGGGCCTGGTTGATGATCAGTAGGCTGAATATTGAGGCGACACCACACCCTGGTGGCCTGTTGCTGGAACACTGAGCGAGGAAAAGGCGGCCAGAACGTAGGGCTAAACGCGAAGAAGTACCTAAGTCATAAGATGGGTCAAAGACGATACTGGGCGAGAAACAATCGAAGGGCACAGCCCCCCCGGTCGGACGTGCGCTAGTTTACTCCGTACTCTCGAGTTTGAGAAAGGAAGAAAGTCCGGCACCCCGGGCGTTAGATCATGGTGTCTTAGCCCAGAGAATCGTAAAACGGCTGCGGACAGGCTGCTGCGTAAGGCGCGGGTTGGGTTGCAGTGAAACAGTCGCGGCGCGGCCTGAGCTGAGCCGGGGGAGTGAAGAGTCGATCGAAACCATCACGAACGACGAGGCGCGATGTCGAGCGACTTTTCGCTGGCCGGTCACGGGAAGCGCCGTTGCTTGGCGGTTCGGCCAGTGAATCAGGGGGTGTTTGTATTGCAGCCCGTATCGCAGCTTTGCATGCGGGCCCATGCCACCAATCGTGGCCCGCGGTTCGCGTCGCTGGTGTCCACCTTAGACGAGCTATACCTATTTCAGCTTAGTCTTGTCCACGTGTACGATCGTCCAGCTCGTATCCATTATTATTACTGGCGGCAGATCTGGTGCTGATATCGAAAGACGCATCCTATGGGTGAAATACCACGGGAATTCTGGGCTGACAAAGCTCTCCTTAGCGCTCTGGGACACTGGCGAACAACTTGTTCTCATAGACTAATGCTGTTGTCCCCCTCCCCTTTTGTTTGGAATTGGGCATTGCCTTTGGCTGCGGGTAATTAACCTTAACTCACCCGTTAACCAGGCCGCGCCTCTGTCACTCAACGATCGGTACGGAGCGCTCCGTATCAATATGTGCTACCGGCACTTTGAAAAAAAAAATGGCGCTGTGGGTACTGGAAAAGCGAACGTTCGAACTTGGAAGTGGGCATGGTCTAGCTTGAGAACGTGAGCATAAGTGTACGGAGTATCTCGAAGCTTCTATGTAGTATCTCGATAATAGAGATGCAGTAGTGGCAGGTCTCTTGGAGACGCCGCGCTTTAGAAAAGATTGGCGATTCACCGGCCACACCGGACATGAAGCAAAACAAGAGCCGGGAAAGAAGCATGCGCTCCTTGCATACCACAGCAAAATTCCATCGTCTGCTGAGAATTGGACACCGTGGAGCCTGCCACGTAGATCTGTTGGCCAGCAACCTCAGAAATGCGCCGATAGAGCACATCGACCAGACAATGCATCCATAGCTGGGTTTACTACTAGGGCTGATTATGCATGTGATGAAGCACCCAGAGAACAATTAAATATCTACGGAGTTCTCCGTACGTTGGCCTCCAAAAGCTCTCGAACAAAAAAGGAACAAATATTTTTGCGGGGAAGCACCACTTTTATCTCCGGCCGTTTAAGTCCAGCATCGGATAAATAAATATACGCATCCCGAAATCACGTGATTATGGAAGATCAAACCTGATGATATAATTGGCCGGCCCGATACCAGCGTCATACCTGGCATCAACAACTGCTGACCTTGAAGTGTTGAAATCACCCCAGTCTCGCAACATCCCAATTTACGCTAAAGGAACCCCGGCGAAGACCCGAAGCTCGAATGCTCTTCATACAGCTACATTGACCATACCGTCAGGGCGAGGGGCCATGAACCCCCATATTTCCGTTCCACGTCAAAATGGCGGCCCGTCCAACGCTGGAGGGACGGCTTCGTCGAGCCGCAATTCATTACGTTTACCAAGATTCTTCCGAAGGTATGCAATCCACGACCCATTAGTATTTGCAGAATAATATTGGCTCACCTTCCCTGGATAGGCTGTTCAAATTCCCCCAGATGGACTTCGAAATGGCCATTTGGGAGATGACCTCGCTCCTGATTGCACCCAAGAAAGTGTTTAAGTCCATGTATTATCATGTTCGTCTTCTTACCTCTATTTCTTGCTTTATGGCAATTCTGACCTGAACTTTTCGTAATATAGAAACGTTTGTTTTCCCCTTGCTACTTACGATTCTCCCCGTAGCCTGATTATGTTGATTAGAAACGAAAAATACATGGCACCGACCAGATCCCTCATTCACTTACCTCCTATCCTTTTTTCTTCTCCTTACTGCCCTCGCCTGGGGACTCGCATATCGACCCGGCTTCGGCCCCATAGTTCGCCTTTGTTCTAGCTTCATACTTTTTCATTTTATCGGCGGCTCTCTCCTCATTTCCACAATAGCGTATTTTTCTGTCGGCAGAATATTTGGTCCCAATGGACCCGCTTCCACTATTGGTGAATGGCAAGGAATGAGATCGAGCTTAGGTCGAGTACGGCGTCGAGGAGCCGCGCAAGGTCTTTTTGCACAGCCAGGAGAGAAGGAGCAGATTGAGTTTGGCTATTGTTTCGATGTATATCCTCCATTAGAACTCTAGGGGCGGTAGATGCTGACAGTAATAGGTCTCTAATCGCGCGTTCTTTCCGCTCTATATTCATCTATACGTGATCCAGTTCCTCCTCCTTCCCTTACTTACTCGAAAATCCGACTCCTCTCCGAGTTTCCTTGCGACGTTCCTCGGAAATACACTTTACTTGTCCGCACTTACATATTATATATATATCACGTTCCTTGGATATAGTGCTTTGCCATTTCTCCATCACACGGAGCTCTTACTCTTGCCCATCCTTGTTCTTGCTATTCTCTGGCTAGTGAGTCTCATCATTGGATGGGGAGTTGTTGGCCAGGGAGGTGCGGTAGCTGGTTTATTCTGGGGCGTTTAAAAATATCTACCGCCTTTTAAAAAACCCGCTTCCTCGAGAGCGGGATTTTTGGCATTTGGCACTTCATACCATAGTTGAGGCCCTGCAAGCTCCTTTTTAATTCTGCCCCAGAGGCTTTCTTCATCATGTATAGGCATGTTTTTCTTGGTTTGATATGTTATCGTTCTCTTAGCGGGTCGGGTTTGTATTTCAATAATTGCACTGTACGACATATGCATTGAAAAAAAGGTCTTTACTGTAGACTATAGGTGATCTTGGCATATTTCATCCCTTTGTTTGGCTTCTCGTGAGCACTCTATGTCCTTCTCAAACCTCATCTGCAAAAATCTGATTGAGGCGAATAGGTCTTGAGACTCTTCAGCCCCCCGAAAGATGCCACAACGAAAAGCAGGAGCTCGAAACGATAAAACTTCAATCTGTACTCCGGACAGAGTACTTTCGGTCCGATGGGCCACAGCAGTCCAGAGGACTTGGCTTTTCAGTGCTGAGTTTCGATACGAGAAACCAACCTCTTGAATAAATCTCATGGCAACATGATTCTCGCATACGGCCGTACGCAGCCCATTGTCTTATTTCAAATTAAGTAGAGGCCTCGGTGCCTCCGGCATTTTCCGAGCCGGGCGAACTCGCCTTCACGACAAGCGCAAACTGCGTCGCGACTTGTGAAAGGCTAGACACAGAGCCGGCTCTTGTTCCAGTGAGCAATGACGAATCTAGATGCAGCTCGTAGTTGAGAATATAAACCTGACAATCTCAGCATCCTGCAAAAGATGACCGGCATTTTACCTATAGCTACACCTTTCCTCGTCTGTTTACAGCATCCTGAGAAATGGCAGACCCGTCACCTACTTCCACGCCCTCTACATTCTTTTCTTTCCTACGATGTCTGCGTTACCACCAGACACCAATAACAACGTTCCGCTCCAGCCTCTCCGAGCGCATTGTCAACCCGCGCGGGCATCGTATCCTCGAAGACTGCTACACAGCCGCACTTCCTAGTGATACGCTCGTTCGAAGTGCCTCCCCTTTGGGAAACACTACGTCAAAACCACTTTTTCAGTTTGGGGATGAAGAACTCCTGGCAAGGTTCACGCGAGGATTTTTTGGGGGGCGAATTTTTACACCAGAGCGATTGATTCTCGGAACAGGTGCTATAAAAGCGCTATCCGTGCAACTCGAAGGTATTGTTCTGCAAGTCTTCATGACTTTGAAGCAGTGTCCTGATCCCATCAAAACCAGGTCTTAAAGACTCTGCAGGAAAAGCCGAAGTTATAGATGCAATATCCGTTCAAAAGCCCTCCGATATCCCCCAAGACAGACTACTTCCCCTCAAGTCTAAGTTGTACGGCGCATTCCAAGTGATCGACTTCCATATTCTCCCCACCTCGACTCCTATAGCTGATAGCAACTCACCCAAGGCTCCTTATTCATATATTGATATTGGTTTTGGTAGCGGTCGCTTTGGGGGATGTCATCGGTTCTCCGTACATCACCAGCAAGATCTTCGCCCTTCTTCAGATGCGTCCCTTAAAAAGGATGGACAGACAATAACCTTTAGCTTAGCCCAGTTCACATGTAATCCTATTGATAGGGATGATTCACGCGCCGCTATTAAATATCTGAACTGGTTCCATCAGGTGTACGCAAAACTCTTGTTTGCGGATGCATTACGGGGCATCGTCGGTCACTATGGATAGAGTACGAAAGAGGTGGCTATATATATATATATATATATATATATAACTACTGGAGAATAGTGTTTGTTAGATAAGTCCCTTAAAAGCTGGCCTTACCACACAACATCCCAACTCTGAAATGGCTTTATTTGTCTGCTGCATGCTACGGGGCTGCCGAGGGGCATAGGGCAAGAAATAGCAAATCTACTTGTAAATAGTTGTAAATCTTCAAATAAATATCACTACCATTCAAAGACATTGTCTCTATGCCATAGGCAAATATCTTCGCCTCTAAATATGCAATGACGTCTACCCCCAGCCAAGCGAAGAAGCAAGAGCTGAATCTGCTGAACCGAAGAAAGGTAGACAAAACGGAATTGAACCTAGCAGCACCATTGTCATTTGAAATTTTCGTCGCATCGTAAAGGAAATAAACAACCATCTCTGGGAAAACCAGCGCTATAGGTTATTTCCGTCCTGTAGTTTTCTTACCACCCTTACCTTTCGCAGCAGGACCCATTGCTGCTGCACGCAGCTTCGCTTCCCTCTCTTTTTGCTCCACCTTTTCACGCTCGCGTTCCTCACGCTCTTCCTTTTCTGCTTCCTTACGGGCCTTCTCCGCTTCGCGCCGCTCCTTAATAAGTGCCAGACGTGCCAAGTCAGCACGAGCCTGTTCTGTTTTTCCTTCTGCATGAAGTTTCATGTATCGTTCCCGGGCTTGTTGCGCTTCAATTGCCTCGCGCTCACGACGAGAAAGTTCGCCCGTGGGCTTAGGTACTGGTGTTCCGTTCGGAGCTGCCGCAGCTTGGGAGCGCGATTTGGCGGTGTGATTTGGATTTGCCGGCATATCTTCATCAGATTCAGTTTCACTATCGGAAGGTGGCAGGTCTCCTGGGGCTGCTGCTATTTGATTCTTCTTGGCAATAGCGGCTTCTTTTCGTGCTTTTGCCGCGGCTTTGCGTTGCTCACGGCTCATTTCTTCTGTTGCTTTAGATGACGTTGCTTCGTCCTCCTCAGATTCTTCTTCAGATTCATCCTCTTCTTCCTCAGAAGAGTCATGTTTTTCGGCCGGATCCTGCGGATAAACAGGTTTAGAAACGCATTATAAAGACCACTTAAGAGATAAGGTACGAACCTTCCACATTCCGATAGGGTTTCCATCTTTGTCTAAGGGCTGAAGGTCACGACTAAAATGCTTTCCGCCTACAATGTTTTGGAAGAGGCTGTCAGCGGGAGTCATATCAAGCATTCGGTGTGTAATACCACCACGGGAGGGCTTCCCAAATTTTCCTCCACGCCCACGGGGAGCCATGATTAGCAAGAGTAGGTCTTTGTATCCAAAAGTCTACCCTGAGGGTCTGCAGTAGAGTACCAACAAAATAGCCAGTCGACGAGGGGCAGGCAATCGTAGGTCACAAGCGGGGCACGTGCAACAAGGTTTAGCTCAAGAAAAACTAGCTTATGCGGTCCTTTAAGGCTGGGATGTCCAAAAGTACAAATAGCAGAATCAGCACATAGTCTACGACCTGAATAAAACGAACCGGACGCTGAATGGCGGGGAAAAAAAGAGGGGAGAGAATGAGTGACTCGTTTGGAGCTGCAGCGGCGTTGCTTGGCGGCGGAACCCTGTGTCTGTTTGTTCTGTTTGGTGTTGGCACTGTTTGCACTGTCTAACCACTTAAGGCTGTCGCTTTTCAAAGCATCGCAGCAGCTTTCTTCGACGCAGCTTAACAACCATCTGTGTGGGCTACTCGGTCCAGCTTTCTTGATATCAATGCCTGGTCCTGCTCAAGGCGTCATCCTGCAGAGATGGAGTTATTATTGAAAGAGGATGGCGACTTGCGCCACCTTATGCCTTCATTCTCATCATACACACCATCAATCCGCCTTTGTGGCGTGCGTCTTGTTATCATACCCCAAAGATGGTGTCCCTTACATTGTTTACAGAAACATATTATTATGCTTGACTTAATATCTTCCTGGATGATATGGAACTCTAAGCATGCCTTCTTCTAGTGACTGCTCTCTCTCCACAAAGACACCCAGTGCTGCATGCGTCTAGATGGTTGTGTGGTGCTCTTGCTGTTAGCCCTCATCTTAGGAATGACCCTTTTGGGTGTGGAATTCTCCTGAACTCTCAGTTCATATCTTGTAATACCAGGGTTAGGGCTAGTCGCAAAGGGGATATTGTTTTTTCACTCTTTGAAAAGTATCCCCCCTCGTTGAGAAATTTTCGGACTAGATGATATATTCAATGAAATACTATATTCCGCCTGAATGGTCGGTAGGTAACTACTATACCTTAATGATGTATTAGAAGGTTAGGAAACAGTTTTCATGTGCCAATGCCTACGTTTGGCAAAGCCAAAACTTGCACCTTATTCAATTCATCAAAGGCTCTATAAGCCTCAAGAGGGCAATATACAAAACACATTAGACTTTTGCTTTTAGTTTCGGGCCTGTTAGAGCAAAACGAGCCAGTATTAGAACACCTGTTCCAAGAAGCATGGACAAGCCGGCAAACAACTGCATATACAGATACGAGCCGTTCCCCTTTTCAATTAAGGCGCCAGCAATAGGGGGGCCCGTCAAGGATGCAACGCTAACAATACTTAAAATCATTCCAAACCTCACTCCGGTCTTCTTCATATCTGTTGACAAACTGGTAGCCACCGCAGGAAATAGAGCTTGCATACCGGCACCAAAGAAGCCATAGAGAGCGGAAAAGGCATATAAGGTGGGGGACGATTTTACGCCACTCCAGGCGAATAGGACTATGGAGGATGCAAATGTGAAAGGGATGAGTGCATTCATAGGACCGATAAAGTAGTCTGCTAAGAAGCTGGGGATCATCCGGCCAACTGTGCCGAGAGCATTCATAATCATCAGGATGGTAAGGCCTTCGCTTTGAGATAGTCCAATTGCGTTGCGACCAAAACTGTTTATGTAAAAGAAGCCAATATACAAGGCCCAGAAGTTGAGAAACATACCAATGGCGTATAGGGAATATGAAGGTTCTTTAAATGCTGGCCACTCAAAAAATGGACCGCTACGACGGGGTGGGATGCGTGTGCGAAAGAATATGAAACCAGGGGCAAGAGTGATAACTGTAACTAGTCCAAGAACGCGCATCGTCCATGGGTAGCCAATGCGAGGAAGGAGTTGCTGTACAATGATAGGGAAAATTATTCCTCCAGTGGCCGAACCACATGCAGAAATAGCGATGGCAATCGATCGTCGAGATGAAAAGTATGTGGACACCAAAGCAACGGTGGGGCAGAAGATCAATCCGCTCCCTATGCCTAAGCAAAGTCCCTGGGCAAGGAATAATTGCAAATACGTCTTGCAAAGAGAGGTCATAAAGACGGCGAACATAATAGTGACAGCACCAAGGCTCCACACTGCCTTGAAAAACCCGGCGTCCGTGGCGCGGCCGGAAAATGTTCCAATACCAAAAAGCAAGAAGATCTGAACGCTCCCAACCCAGGATATATCTGAAGGTGAACGTTTAAGGGTCTCTGTGTAGTAGTCTTGAAACATTCCAAAGCTATTAACAAAGCCCCATGTGTTAAAGATGGCCGCATGTGCTAGGATAGCTTGTAACCAGGCGTGAAATCCTCCATCAGGCGGGGGGCCTGGATCTCTCCCGGAATCTTTTGTTCGTACAACAGAAAGTGTTCTGGTAATTACGTTTTCTTTCTCAATTGGATTGGTGGGCTCACGGGTGAGTGAATATCGAGGATGCTCTTCAATATCGTCGAATTCACTTGACGATTCTTTTTTTCTTTCATATGTTGGCGAGTTCGAGTCATCGTGAACAAGGTGACCAGTGTTATCCAGTGGTTTTTCAAGATGTATCGAAGAGATAGTGTCTTCCGAGGTTGACTCAAGTGGTTTGCTCGTCATTGCTAATAAAGTGATGAAGACTTTCTTTAATCTCTGAGTGGAGGATTCCTTCTTGGGGTATTGCTGCACTTCCGGGTGAAGTGTAACGTTTCCAGGGCTGCTGTTGTGGTACCTAAGCAGTGATTAGATCGATATATATGCTATCGAGCATCATACTACTTACCCTTGAATAGAACATGAAAGAAATTCAACACGATAGCCCAAGGACTTATCTATGGCTGTTCTAAAATAACTAAACGACCCTGCAAAATCTTTGGAATCGTAATTCTCGGCTGAAAACCAAGACAAAAATGTTGGGGCGATACCTTTTCCCGAGGTAGATTCATCAACGGGGTAGACTCGGTGATTATAAAGGGCAGAAAGAAAAAGTGCGTTTTCATGTATCACCTGTTATTGCAGAGAAGGATAGAAAAAAAGAGAGGAAATATGACAAGAATATAATTACCTTCCAGTCGGTGAGCGGACTCTTTTTTGACTTTCATATTCCAGTCATTTTGCAGCCCAGTTCTGAGCCCGCGTCTCGGTTTAATATGACCCGCGGGCTGGAACCTCTGCACTATGTGGGTAAGGGACGTGCTAGCTGCGGGGCTCCCGGGTTTCATGGATTTTTGGGCACCACAGCATGCTTAATTTTCAGACATCGGCGCCGGCAATCATGAGCCGTACAGCAACGGCAAGAAACAATCTTCCACACCAACCGCATTGAACGAGAAGGGGGAGGGCAACAAATTTTCAACCGAGAGACGGAGGCCCAGCACATATTGAAACCCGAGAATCCGAGCGTCGGAGGTGCGTCTCGCCAAAGCCAAGCTCGCCATCGTTCCTGCGGCGAAGACGTTTGGCTTCAAAATGCTGGTCTGGCCGGCTGAATCGGCACGACAAACGACAAAAGGGCGCGGTCATGTGATATCTGGAATCATCGGATAAATGATAATGCGAATCCTTCCACTAGCATGGAGGCAAGCCGTCGTTGATAACCGGCTCTACATACGGAGTACATGAATACTTATTCTGTTGTATGATCTGAACTGTGAGAATTTGACATGGCTGTTTGGGACAGGCCGAATACCCATTGGTACTCCGTATAGATTGATGAGATGAGACTACTATGACACCTGTTTGGAAACATCGCAGTAGCTGTAAGCCTGCAGATCCTTCTCCCTACCCTGGAAAGCGTGGAGCTTCGCGCTGTGCTGGCCTTCATCCGTCTTAACCGGTCAGAGGGGAGAGTGGTCTTAGTGAGGATCTTTTTTTAACCCGTTTTCTCAAAGCAGGCGAGTTGGATAGATACACCCTCTGCGAAACAAGCTTTTCTTGCACCTTGGCGTAAACTGGGTATCCTATCCCGAATGTGAAGAGCTATTTCGACGCCAGATACGAACATAAGCACATCTATCTTTGCTCCACACGGAGCTTGAAGGCACGAAAAAGCTGGTATCGCTACAGTGCGAACTAGGTTGGGGGGCTATTATGGTTTTTGGGGAGATAGAAAGCAGTAATCCGACAAATATGATTCGGGAGGTATGAGGCACCTGTGTCTTCAAGAAGAACAATTCATGAAATTCATGGATTTCAGGTCGCGTACGTAGTAATGAATAATTGATGGATGGGCTATTTTTCAATATTTTCAGGATGCGACATCAAGAGGGTAAACAGACCATACACTAGCATCTATATTTCGCTTCTTCGCTCCCAACTTCCCTTCAAAAGACTGCCAACAGCCTATTGAGGGGGGAGGAAGGAGGGTGTCAAAGTGTTAAAATTGTGGCTTCAACAGCGCTGTTTTCTACTGGGTCTTGGAAGCAGCAGTGTCGTGCACTATTAGTCAGCGCCAAGCGGCCTTATAAAAATATCTTTACCAAGACGATGTTACGGAGAGTACTCTGTACGGAGTACGGGGTCTAGTCTTCGTCGTAGGGTAATTGGCCCTTATCCGTTCTTTATAGAATTTATACGTCCCCGTCGCTCATTGAGGGCTGGGCCGCGAAGTCCTCGCTCATGGCTACGCGACGACCACTTCACACCACCCTGGGCGCAGCCTCTTGCGTCCCCTCTTCCTTCAGCTCGATACCGTCTTTCCACCCAATATCCTTTCACCAACGCAACATTCGCTCTACCCTTGCGCACTTCTCATCCTCTCCCAAGTTTAGTGTACCGCTGTCGCCGTCAGAAAAACCCGCCGAAACACAGTCTATACCTCATTCCTCATCTACCTCCTCCGATCTTTTTTCTGCCGTAAATCCGTTACCTTCAACCAGACCAGCACAGCTTGAACTACCGGAGACGTCGGCAAAGTCCAATGTATTAAAGTACGCCTACTCCCAGGCAAAGGCATATATTTCTTTTTACAAAACTGGAGTTAAAAATGTATACCATAACTATCATGCTGCTGTACCAATTTGGAAGAAACTAGGTTTCAATGGATACTTGCCAACGTCGTTGCCTCCACGGGCTTTATCGGGTACAACGGTTTTCGAACAGCTTGTTTTACAACAAGGTGTAACGCGGGCGCAGTTCCAGTTGCTCCGGCGCAGTGCCTACGATGTTCGCCGGATGCTTCCATTTATATTAATTTTGATCGTCTGCGGAGAGTTCACTCCGGTTATCGTACTGGCACTTGGATCGAGGGTCACTCCACTAACATGTCGGGTACCAAAGCAGCTAGATAAAGACCGGCAAAAGAAACTTCAACGGAAAAACGATGCTCTTCGTGTTACCGCATCCTCGAAACAATGGGAAAACCCTACCGCATTGCCAAAGTCAATCGCTGCTGCTGTTCAACATGCATCCTCCACGGACATTTTACGTTCTTGTGCAATGTTGGGGTTATCGAAATCCCACCGTTTACCCACTTTTGTGCCTGGGTTTATGGAGGATCTGTTCGTGAATTGGCGGTATCGGCCCCGATTAAAAAGGTGGCTGGAGTATCTGGCTGTTGACGATGCTCTTCTTAGGGAAGCTGGTGGTGTGAGCGACTTGATCCCGGAAGAGGTTCGTATTGCGGTGGAGGAACGAGGCGGCGTGGATGTTGGACTAGACGCTGCGACCGAGGACCAAAGAGTAAAAGCCATGAAAAAATGGCTACGGAAGTGGATAGAAGATGGTGAAAAAGTGTGAAGATTGGCTTAGACACCCCCTTTTTTATTTTCCTTGACCTGGATTAAACAGTATTCGGATTGGGTGATACAGCCCAAAATGACTGCGGGAATCGGACGAGACATTTAGAATTTTCTCCATGTATGTACTAACACTTGATTTCACTATATCCTGTATTACTATCATGAATGATGTTCTACTGAAGCGTTTCAACCGGAATTTGGATGTGAGGTACAAATATAACTCTGCTCGGATATTGAATCGCCTTTGTTTTATATACTACATACCTAATATGGATCAATCTCAACATGTAAAATATGCGGCGAGATCCCTAGGAAGAGATTGGAAACGCCAAATTGACAGCTATCCATCGGTACCAAGAATGATTTTATCCCTCATCCGTTCAAGATAGTCATACTTACCACCCAAAGCAAAATCCAACAAACCTGCAGTTGCGCTGTTCTCAGCTTGATTAGCTACCGTTGTCGTCATCATATGTTGGTCTCCATGATGTTCCGAATCAACACCCCCTGGCTGTTTATCCCATGCCGTTATCCCGCGCTTCAAATCCTCATAAACATCCCGAAACACATTTTGCAGTTCCAAAGTCCGAAAGCATGTCATCCCAAGATCATTCAAGTAATTAGCAGGGTCTTGGAGACACAGCATATGGCTACCCAACCCAGCTGATCTCTTCCCAATGCTGATTTGGCCTCGAACAAAAGGCGCTCTCAGCTCGATCCGCCGGTAAGCTTCGCGAAGAGGGCCTCTTTTGCGGAAGACAGAGGGTGGGTCGACTGAGATCCCGTAGCGACGGAAATTAATCGTGGAGTAGAAGTGAAGGATATGGAGGAGTTGTTCGGCTACATTAACACGGGAGTATTTACCTTCAGATAGCTTTAGGGCCGCGACGATCATCATGGTAAGAGTGTGTACATCTATGGTCCGATTCTTGACGCCAAAGAGACGCCGATTTTGTAGCATCATTCGTAGGACGGCTAGGAGGGGGCGGAGGGTTGGGAACTCAGATTGATAGGTTTTGACGAATTGAAGGGAGCTGGGTAATTGGGTGGCACAATGGAAAGTCATTGGGAGGTTGGTGGCAGCATGCACTGCGTCGATGACTGGGACGCGAGAGCGGATTAGGTCGACGGAGGAGAAAAGTGCAGTACCACGGAGGAGGCGCGAAAGTTGTTCTTGCCGCTCTAATTGGAGTTCGGTAATTTTTGGGCGGGTTGGACTTGGGCGTCGAATGTCCGAGACGTCGTCCGGATCGGAAATAATAGTCAGCAATTCAATTGAAGAGTCGCGCATTGTCAATCCGACGGCCCTAGGTCCAATAATATGTAGGGGAAGACAGTCTGCACCCCGAAGCTTATCTGTCACGTCGCTGATGACTTTGTTCGCAGCAGCGGTTTCCTGCGGAATTGGGGCCATGTACATCTCAAATGCTTTTATTTCCTTCTCCAATCGTGAAATTCCATTGGTACCAGAAGTGTCTAGATAGTCCACCCAGGGATATTGAAGGCCATTTATGATTGATGGCAGCTTCAACCTGCGCACAGAACTCTTAGTAAGTCTCTGGAAAAAAGAGGCAGCTCCATGACCCCGAGCAGGTAGTTTGACGTTCCTCGACGGTGCATGCAGTCTTTCTGAAGTCGGCGGTTCGGGTATTTCAGTCAAATTCTGGGCGATTGAAAGGTCACTTTCCCGCAGTTTTTGCTTCTCCCAGTGGGCACGGGCACGCTCAATCCCACTGGGCTCTTGCTTGTCACCATTTTCGGGTGTAGACAGAACTCGGCGGATTAGCCTGAACCGATTCGCAGATCGATGCGCCTCAAGAGTTTCTTTCAGACTGCTCGTAATAACTGGCAGATCGTTCGCGGAACGGCCGAGTGAAGGAGAGGCATGGTACTGCCTGCTGCGGCGAAAGACGGGTCTAGTTAGTACAAGGGGGGAGAGGGAGACCATTCGAGCCAACAAGACCCGACCAAAGGCGCGTCACTGATGACCGTGTGGAGATGGCGAGATGGAATTTGAAGTTCTAGGGGCAGGAATGACTAAGCGAGAATAAATTACTGCGAAATGGCCATACCGCCGCTCTTTTTGGGGGAGAGATAAGGCGTTCTCGGCCAGTTCCTAGGCCTCAAGGCTGGCGGTTTAGGGGTGTAATTTACTGTGTATTGGGTTTTCCGTTAACCAGAAATATTCCGAATATTGAAGCCATCCGGCGGGTGTAACCTCCAGAGCAGGGGGGATTCCCGGGCAGTATGTAGCTCCCTGAGCGACGAATGCTGGGTAAAGCGTAAAGGCCTCGTCATGGGACGACAAGTATTCCGATGCTCATCCGCAACTTATTTCGAACTCTCCCTCAAACCCGATAACCGGCATGGACGCTGGCGGGCAGCAATACACCCCTGACTTTCCTTTGGTCTAGAAAGCGGCAAATCCTCCAGCTCGTCAGGTTCCAAATTGTCCCGAAGCCGGTGGGTGGCGGAATCCGCCGGCCAGTTACTGGTCCATGCAGCAAGAAAAGGTCAAATCGAAATCCCCGACTTATCAGAGCGAGGATAATCCGGCTGATCCAGCGAATTCTCGGAAATCCAGCGAACAGCCGCGCAGGGATGCAGAGCAGGATAGATTAATCAATGACGGCGTAGTATTGTAGCCCCGGTGGCGGCCGCTGCAGTGATACTGTACCCGTCCGGCATCGCGGCCCACAGGGCCTTCGCAGGCTTGACTGTTGTTCTCGACGCATCCGTCGCCCCCAGCGCTTGAGAATCTCCAGTCGTCGTGCTTCCCTGCGTGAATGGGCCGCCCGTCCAGCATCTATCCCGCCTCTCGCCGTCCCGCTGCATTCCGGCCAGCCCAGTTCTCAGGCCATCATCTCCCGCTCGACCCCGCAGTCGTCACCCTCTCCCAACAACACCGGCGGACCGCTTCCCTTTGCTGCTGATATTTCTCCTTGCATTTCTTCTAGTCGTGGATTTGTGCTTCCTTGCTTATTGCGTCTTCAGCGCTTCCTTGGTGTCGATACGTGGCCCCGTCTGTCTCCCTGCCCCCAGCTGTCATCATCAACGGGATGTCGCTTGCTAACTGTAGCTCTATGTAGGACTGCCTGGTTTCGTTTCTTTCACCTATTCGATTTACTTTTCGTACACCTTCTGTTGATGGCCTCTTCATCAACAGTTTTTCCTCCTGACCCGCCGTCGATACGGTTGAAGGAACCCGCCAGCAATGGAGACTACTCTGCGAACCACAAGAACCCACCGCCTCTGCTGTCAGAGTTGAAAACGCTGGATACAGCAGCCCCGGAGCCCCCGGTAGTCGAAGATGGGCCGTTGGGAAACTCCCCAGGCAATCCGGCGGAAGCCGCGAAGGGTGCGCAGTCAGGGCGAGAGCTTCTTCGACGCCTCAGTCTCGTGGGTAACAAGCCGATGCCCTCCATCATGACGAGTCCTGAAGAGCATGCAGACCTGAATTTAACAGGCCGGATCATCAGTGCTGCGTTTTGCATCCCCTACAAGGTCCGCTATGGATCTGGATTGGACTGGGTAAGAGATCTAGGGTTCCGACGATAGCATCCTTCGCTGATAGATTGGATTCTAAATATTTACATAGGAATTACAAAATCGCCCAGGAACATCCGCTCTATTTGATCACTTTCAATACTTAGCTTCCACTGCCAATTCGTGGTCGCATACTCTTGTAGGATGGACCGGAGAAGTCGAGAAGTCAACACAACAGCTCTCATATTTCCAGCCACGAGGCATACCGAACTCTGATGCCGAGTCACCGCAGTTTCGGACCACTTTAATGCCTTTGAACAAAGCTTCGGCCCCTATCCCTGTCGATGCGAATAGAAAGTCAGTGCCACCGGCTGCTGATGGAATCAAAATCACAAAGGATGCCAGAGATCGTCTTGAAGAGCAATTGAGCTCAAGCAAGTATGGGAAAATACTACCTGTCTGGCTTTGTGACAATTCAGAGCCTCCAGATCAGACTCTCCTCCTTAGAGATCAAACGCGCTGGCGACGCTATGCCGAACGTGAGATATACTCGCTATTTCATTATAAGCAGCATGGCCCGAATGATGGGCGGGCTGAGCGCCGCTGGTGGCAGGATTATCGGCGAATGAACCAGCTGTTTGCTGATAGGATTTTGGAAGAATATCAACCAGGCGATATAGTCTGGATTCATGATTACCACTTACTTCTATTACCCAGCCTTTTAAGACAGCGAAATCCTGAGATATATATTGGCTTCTTCCTGCACATCCCATTTCCTAGCAGTGAATTTTTTCGCTGCCTAACACGAAGAAAAGAAATTCTTACTGGTGTTTTGGGTTCGAATATGGTCGGTTTCCAATCGTTCACTTATTCACGACATTTTTCTTCTTGTTGTACCCGCATTCTCAGATTTGAATCCAATTCTGCGGGAATTGACGCATACGGTGCCCATGTGGCAGTTGACGTGTTTCCCATTGGAATCGATGTCGAAGCCGTGCGAAAGCTGGCATATGGAGAACCAAGCACCGAAAGAACCATCGCGGAGATTAAAAAGCTTTACGCAGGAAAGAAAATTATCATTGGTCGGGATCGCCTTGACTCGGTTCGCGGTGTGACCCAAAAACTAATGGCGTTCGAAATGTTTTTGGAGCGCTATCCTCAGTGGCGTGATAAAGTCGTCTTAATCCAAGTAACTAGTCCTACCAGTTTGGAAGAAGAAAAGGAGGAGCCGGAAACCAAACTTTCCAGTCAGATGTCGCACCTCGTCGCAACAATTAATGGCAAGTATGGCTCGCTCAGTTTTTCACCTGTTCAGCATTACCCTCAATATCTCCCTCGGCATGAATATTTCGCACTCTTACGGGCCGCAGACGTTGGTCTTATCACCAGCGTTCGTGATGGTATGAATACAACCAGTTTGGAATACATTCTCTGCCAACAGGAAAATCATGGACCCCTGATTCTTTCTGAATTTTCCGGCACCGCCGGAACCCTACATAACGCCATTCACATCAATCCTTGGGACTCAGGGGGTGTAGCCGCGGCGATTCACGAAGCACTCACGATGAGTCCTGAAAAAAAGCTGGAACAGCACGAGCCACTGTATAAACATGTAATAACAAATACTGTTTCGAGATGGTCGGATCACTACGTCTGGCGGCTTTTGACCAATCTTTCTTCGTTTAATCAGTCCATTGCGACGCCGGTCCTCGATAAAGTCAAATTACTCGAACAGTATCGCAAGGCTCGGAGTCGCCTGTTCATGTTCGATTACGACGGTACATTGACACCTATTGTCAAGGATCCTCAGGCAGCTATTCCGTCAGATCGTGTGGTGAGAACACTCAAGACTCTAGCTGCTGACCCCAAGAACTCGGTCTGGATTATAAGCGGGCGCGACCAAAATTTCCTAGAAGAGTGGATGGGGCATATCTCTGAACTTGGGTTGAGTGCAGAACACGGTTGCTTTATTCGCAAACCGCATAATGATACTTGGGAGAATCTGACAGATAAATCTAACATGGGATGGCAGAAAGAGGTCGTCGACGTATTTCAGTATTACACTGAAAGAACACAAGGCTCCTTCATTGAGCGCAAGCGCGTTGCCTTAACATGGCATTATCGACGAGTTGATCCCGAGTACGGAGCCTACCAGGCTAAAGAGTGTAGAAGGCACCTGGAAAGTACGGTGGCGAAGAAATGGGACGTCGAGATTATGGCAGGCAAGGCGAATCTGGAGGTTCGACCAACATTTGTCAACAAGGGGGAAATTGCGTCGAGACTCGTCAATGAATGTGATGGCCAGCCGGAGTTTGTTCTTTGTCTAGGTGATGATTTTACCGATGAAGGTGAGATCATCTATGTTCTTGGCCCCTTTTCTTTGCTCTGGTATAGTATTCTATTGGCTGACACTTATCTTAGATATGTTCCGGGCTTTGCGACGGTCGAATCTTCCCCCCGACCGTGTTTTCTCAGTCACTGTTGGTGCAAGCTCCAAGCAAACGGAGGCTAGCTGGCATCTACTTGAGCCATCAAACGTCATCGCTACGATCAGCCTCTTGAACAGTTGCGACGACTAATTTTTTCAGTACGCCATATGTCCCTCATTTTGGTATTTCCGCGCCTAGAATTATTCAGCGTTGTATTGCTTAATTATTGGGGAAAGGAAAGGAAAAGAATGATGTGCTTTATAATCAAATAAAACTCTGGAGTAGCCTTGTATCAATGTACATACTTGCATGCATGTACACCCACCATTGAGCTTTATCCATTTCGTGCTCACTGTCCAAACGTTATAGATAGATTACTTAAAAATATATATATATACAGGGAGTCGGAACAGCGAATAAACTTGTAATGATTTTAATGATAGAAACAAAACTCGACTGGCATATGATTTTCTCTGCAATAAACAGAAGTTACTTTAAACTAGAGAAGAACAAAAAAACAACTTGCCCCCGACCAGGTTCGAACTGGTGACCTCCGGATTACCAAGCATTCACTGCTTGTCACAAGAATTTTCTATGAGACCGGCGTCATGACCAACTAGACCACGGAGGCTAATTGTCAGATGGGCTACTATTTTGCCTGTTGAACCAATGCACCAGCAGATGAAGTGCGGCTACTTGATTTCAAACTCCAATAATAAGACGATCTGCAAAGCTCAATGGGCCTATTTTGATGTGATGTTTATGACAGTAGAGAGAGGTAGCATTGAGTAAACCGAGAGTTCGCGGTATTATTGCGAGAAAAGATACTTACCTTCCCCCCGCTTCTCCATTAGCACAATCTCTCGCAGCAAAACAGAAAGCAATAGACATGTCCAAAGTCAGACCAAACCCTAAATACTCATTACACACAAAATGGCAAGAAAACACTCATTCTTGAAGCCATGTAAAAACAACCAAATCTCAGCCCACGGCTTCGTACGTGTTGATGACAACTTCCTTTGAATCGTTGTCGCAGTTCCGATATTTCGCCCAACAACGTTCAATTGCCACAAGAGTGGAGAGCTCCAATAAACCTACGTCCAGCGGCAGACTCCCATTTGCACACCAAGTCAAGAATCCCATCGAAGACAAAACCAGAAAGAGCAGTTTCAATTGTTAGAAGGCACAAAAGTGCGGTCTGTAGTCACTTGTCCTGCTCGGTACTAGTAACGTGTATGCGTAGCATGTAGAGTTTATGCTTGATGTTACTCTTGTTTTTGAGCCGCTGAAATTAGCTCCTCATCACTCGCATCTAGGATATCGTACTCCTCATCAGTCGAGAACCCATCCGAGTTAGCCAAGGTCAGGCTCTCAACATCGTCCACTAGATCAAGCTCATCGGATTGCATGGCGTCTACAGTTGCGTCACCAGAAGCAAAAGTGATACTGGACTCGGGAGATTCCTTTTCGAGCTTAGGAAATACCATATCGCCCTTTTCAAGAGTGGGTTCAAGCTTGGTTTGAACTGTCCCTTCACAAGGCACAGTTTCAGTAGCAGATTCAGCGAATATCCCGGTGGGCTTGAGTTCGGTTTCAGGCCGCACAAGAACATCGCACCACAGCCGATCGCCGAAGGGAGCGCCATCGGGAGTCTTAAGGCGCCAGTAAGAAATTGCACGACCAAGGCGATGGGGGGTTTTCAGATTCAGGGAGAATTCCGCAGACTCAAAGGGAGGAACGGGTTTCATAAGTGTGGTGCTTTCCATAGCAGAAATGAGCTCACTAGTGCTAGTGGGGTGATTTGTATCAATATTAAACATGGTATCACCGCCTGCGAATCGAACACTGGAACCCTGGGGCCATGTTGCTGGGCCAGGGTTACGAAGAACCCATTTTTGAGTGAAAATAGCGCCCGGTGCCATTTCGCTTCCATCAGCAACGGTGTCCTGAACAAACTCGGCTTGCAATAATCCTGCAGAGGCCAGATCACGTGCTGGGCTTCTCTTCTTTTCATTCTTTGTAGAGAATAGAAGTGGAGATGAAGGTGCCGTGGATGGGAAGTCACCAGCCTTCAGTACTTGCGTTGCAACATGACATACGCTAACAGGTGCGGGGTCCTGAATGGTGGATTCTTGGTGATCGCCCATTTTCTGCAATGGAAGGCCATTTTCATTCTCACCAATAGTGCTGATTGATACGTGGCGAACAGCAGTTTTGAATTTAACTAGAGGATGCGTTTGATTATGCGTGTTGGAGGGATGAGCCTCACAATTGGCACAAAAATCTGTGTCATGGCAGATTGCGCATTTATAGCGAACACCGGTGATATAATGGTCTGGGCCATTTTTAGAGGAACAAAGCGGGCCATCGCAGTAGATTCCATAGTGGGTCTCAGCGTGCCCAGCAGCAGTTGCAATGGGATCATAAATCGGCACGAACCGGTGACCAGGGTGACTTGTTATAGCACCATGAATGCAGCTGAAGCAATAGTCAAAATCAGGACATTCGAGGCACTTGTTACGAACACCATGAATACGCTATAGATAATCAGCTGGCCATCCATTTCCGTAAAAGTCAAGACCGACAAACCTGATTACACCCATCGCAGATCGCGTGATGGGATACGTCCCGACCTGGCCTGCAGTACCGTTTTACCTTTTCCCTAAAGGAGGAGAGACCAATATCTTGGGTAAAGAAAAATGTATGGCCAGGGTGATGACCATGCTTTTGGGAAATCATGCATGTTAAACAAAGATCGTAGTCAGTGCAGTCAGCGCAGGTGACAAGGGATAGAGCGCGGAAATCTAAAATACTTTAGAATCGGGTAGCAACGCCGTTATGGAACGACTCTCACCTCTAAAGCAAGCATTGCATGTCCGCATTTCGTCATCATGTGGACAAGGTTCAACTTTAGGTTCCTCCTTAAGTGTACATCGCGAGACTTCGTCTACATCTCTTTCTGGTGCCTTAGGTGAAAGGTTAGACTTGGGGGCAAGTTTTTCTGTAATGCTGCTCATGACGCCCCTCTTGGTTACGTATCGTTTAATGAGCCAATGATTCTCTTCTGGACAGCGCACACCGGATTCAATGCAGGACAGGCACAAATCATAGTCGCCCCGTTCACAGGTGCCGCAATGCCAATGAGTATTTGGAATTGAAGACCCGCAGTTATTACAATCAATGTAAAAAGTAAAAGGCGGAGCTGAGTCATCATCAACGTGGCGAGTAGGCAGGGTTACCGCGCCGGTAACGTGTGGCGGATTGCTGCTGCCTGACCTATGTTCGAGAGTAGAATCTTTAGATATGGATTCTGACTGGATGGCTCGGATACTATTTGCCAAGTTTGCCTGACTTTCGGCGGTGGCGGTCGACAGAGGATAATTCAGCACAGTGTTCAGGTAGCTGCCCCGAGTTGCGTGGGTGTCTGAAGAGGAAGCGGTGGCCTCTGTTACGGCATCGTTTTCCCGAAACTCGCTCCATGGGAACCCATCCTGTGATCTTGATGGTTTTTTGAATTCTGTGACCTTAATTCGTAATTTTAGTTTTGCCCTGGCGGCTCGGTAGAGTTGTTTGTATATGGACGGATTCTCGCTGTCTAACAATACCCATTTGGCACTGCTGTCAGAATATCGTTCAATAAGCAATTCGGAATCATCTGGGATATTGAGGAACTGATGGATCTAAGTTTAGGTGACGTCAGTGGAATGCAAGCCAATGATGGTGAATTATCAAAGGGTATAAAACAAAGCCCATCATTTGCAGTACTGTGGGATAAATGTACTCACTTGCTGAGGAAAACTTTGAGCTCCCAGTTCCTTCAAGGGCAACATGAAACGTCGAGTCACGCCTTCAAAAAGAGCCTTGATGACAATGAGAGTTTCAGGGTGAATCTGGGAGGCCATGATATTATTCTTTTCAAGCAAGGAATGAGTAAAGAAGTGTCGAGTGATGCCTGGGAAGGGGAGGCTTTTAGAGACTGTTGTTAATATGGGAGCCTAACAAGCAGGTCTCTGTATCGCTAGCTAGCTAGCTGTACATCGGTAGCCACAACACAAATAAGGAAAAGAGCCCTCGAATATAGAAATATGGGTCTCGAAAACCGTCTGTATGCAGCAATAGACTGAGATCTGATGGATGGAAGTTGGAAACTCGAATGAAATGGGAGGCAGCTGGATGGAGAGGGAGGAGGTGAAGCTCTGGGGGCGCTGCAACTCGAGAGGGGAAACGGGTGGATTACATATGCAATGGAAGCTGAGCGGCAACCAACCACACAACGTATTTACGGACTGGGAGGTATGGCCATTACGTGCTATCTAGCTGCCTGCATACGTGACTCGGGGCCGATACGGTAATTTACGCAAGCCATAACAGTGGCGCTGGCCGGGGATGGCCAACAGCCACTATGAATAACCAGAGTCTGGAGGCGATGATATCACCGGTGCTACAGAATACGCCCGGTACCGGACACGACAGTACATACATACACAGAAACCCCAGCCCGTAACTATTTTACCAGCGAAACTTACACCGCCTCGATGAGACGCTTCCTCTCCTCCGTACACAGGAGGCGCACACGCTCGCCGTTCCATGTTAAGGTAGGCCGGTGCTTCGGCAATTCACTGAGTTCTTCGAAGAGAACTCGACTTCGCTGTGCTTCCGAAACTGCTGATAGAGCTATTAACGCATCTCCGTGCTGGGTGACGCACACTCTCAATCGGCTACATTTACTCCGGACTTCCGTATATAGTTATACACTTCCGTACGGAGTACAGATACCGACAAACAAGGCTTGGGGTAGGATGGCGAACACTGGTTGGATACTCCAGACACTGACAAATCACAATCGGAGGGCCAGGAAGAAGTGAATACGCAAATGAGACTTTTACGTCGAACATGCTTAAACACTGTGAGTATAGCTAGTCATGTATAATACATACATAATACAGAGATTGTTCATGTTGAACGAACGAGTTGTAACACAAGAAGGCAAGCCTAAGAAGTGTCGAATGGACGACAAACAGCATATCCGCAAGGAAAAACCCATGCTCAATAGACAAATACACTTTAACATCAAGAGGAGGAAAGAATTCACCGAAAATAATTGACGATGTTCAAAAGGCAAAAGAAAGGCAAAGGGAGAGAGAGAAGACGCATAGGCGAAATCATTCCCAGGAATAAAAATCGATTAAAATCAAAGATGGTAGAGAACAGAATAATAACTATTCCATACTTTTAAGAAAAAAATATCATATAGGTCGCTAGCTCGCAAGATGACGCAGAATGGTACTAAAAAAGCAACTGACATGAGGTTATCATTAAAATATTGACCCAGCGTAGAAAGAAAGGCCTCGAAAATATAAAAAAAGGGAATAATATGTCTCCAGTATGCATGAGAAGATAAAAATCTAACTAAATAAAACCGAACCATATCCGCGAAAACATAAACCAAACAAGAATGCAGAACGCCGGCTATCATGTAAGCAGAGGGATATAAAAGAGTATAAAGGATTTGATAAAAAAATCCCTTAACAAAGAGGGACTCATGGACAACTATGTGCAGCAGTATTCAAGTATAATACACTGCACCATTCGAGGGCTGAGAATAGAAGTACGTTCCAGGAGGGGTCAACATTCCGCCCATCCCGACCACTCCACCTTGCGGAGCCACGGGGTAGGTGCCGCCCGAGTAGTTAGGAAATTGAGAAGCATCGTAATAGTAGACTGTACCGTTAGATTCATGCGCAACGGTTGCTGGCTGACTAGATTGATCAGAAGCAGGTTGTGGGGCCATGGAGTAGGGTGCTTGTTGCCCTGTAGGAACAAAAACAGTGGGAGCACCGGGAGGAGGAGGAGGAGGAGGGCCATTGTAGGGGGGATACTCCGCTCCGGCGAGCGGGTACATCAACGGCCCCGGTGGATAGGAAGCCGGAGGATAATAATTCTGGGGTTGCTGGTATGGGAACGGATGAAAGGGAGGTGCATGGATCGCGCGCTCTGGGATCTGAGATAGCGGGGTTGCTGAAACCTGTGAAGGATGCGAGATTTGACGAGCGTGTGAGGGGACTCCGGCGACCTCGGGACCGTATGGTGTTTCGTTAAGCGTCATAGGCACTTGGTGGTGGAATGGGGTGTTGTAGCATTCGATGTCGGCAACAGATACCGTTTTTTGTGGTCTAGGTTGATGCATCGGAATGGTAGGAGTTGGACGGTTTTCTCGATAGGGCTGCGCGGTATATGGTGGTGGGTGACCAAGCTGTGGCGCTCCAGATGCAGGGCCATAGCCAGGAACTGGTGGAGGTGCCATCGGGCCGCTAGGTACAGAAGCACGCGCCGCAGGCGGGAGGCGAACGACTGGCTTCCCTACTTCAGTGGTTGTCATGGGGGCTCGGGACACCACAGAGCCTCCTGGTGAGATGACATCGTTTCGGGAAGCTACTCTTCCAATAGACGACCTTCGACTCAAAGCAATACTTGGAGTATATGCCGTACCACCATACAGGCTATTTCTTCTACTGTTATAGAAGCCACCGCGTCCGCGGCCACGATAAGCCTGCTGATTTGGCCGTAGAGCACGTGGAATGAAAATGAACGAGCGTTCAGTCGACGGGAAAATATAGCGCGGGGGCGAACCTGGCAACGCAATCCTCACTGGTTTATCTCGACGCAACGGCGGTCGGTGCTGGGGCAAACGAGTGTATTGCTTCTTCGGCACGGCTGAGTAGGGGATTGGGTTGGCCATGCCAGGTAGGAAAACAACAACCGGCACGTTGCCAATGAGTACGGTGCTCGAGAACGAACGGTTGGGCGGCGTTGATCGTGGAGCAGTAGGAACAGCCCTTGAGTTCGGCGCAATGTTCGAAGGGATAGTGGACGATGGCCGACTTGGAGCTGGAGGCGGTGCTTGATTGACGGAGTCGTGTAAATCATGGGTCCACGGACCATCTGTAACATCCGGTTTTGGTTGAGAGCGTCTGTGATAAAAGCACAACGGTCAATAAATGGTAAAGACAACGGACCGGTCAAAATACTAACCTTACGTTGCTATCTACGATTAAGCCATGCGGTTTGCTTTTCATTTTATTGTTGGAGCCTCGATGGCCATTTGCAAAACCATTGCCTCTCTTGTCATGGAGAAAGAAGCCGCCTCGAGTGGGAACGAAAGCCGGGTTTCCCTCTTGCTCCTTGCCAGACTCCTCTTGATCTCTTCTTCTTCTTGGTGAGAGGGTGGACTTGCCATTATTTATGCCGGGCGAGGCGTCCCTTCCAGAAGTCACCTCATCAAAGTGTATCTCCGCAACCTCTGCACCACTATTCTCCAGTTTCATTCCATTTAACATTGCTTGCGTGTCGGACATGCTGGCGTCGAATGGGGTTTTGATGGGTGTTGAAGTTTTTGCCTCTCTGACAGTAGCTTCAACGTGACCATCCTTGTCGGCCACAGGGGAGGTAGGCAGCTCCGTGTCACTGAAATCACTGCCCTCACCATCAGCATCATCATCTTGATGGCTGCTCGCTTCGCTAAGCGAATCGTCTTCAAAGTCCCCGGCAACCGAACCATCTTCCTCGCCCTCATCTTCGACACGGCGACGGCTGGCGGCAAGACGGCGTCGGTGATTTGGTGCCATCTGTAAATTCGTTAATAACGATTCAAAAGCAAATACAAAAGCAGCAGCAGTAAGCACCCTGAGCTAGAGGATATAAATGCTGAGTGTATTAGGATGCAGGCCGGTCGAATGATGGTAAATAGAAGACCGACGAAGAGGCAACAGCTTACTGCAGAGGCGAAGGCCAAAACTTGATGGTAGACGCGAAACAAAGGGCAGAAGAGAGAAAAGGAGAGATGAAGGACAGAAAGAAAAAGATACCTTGTTCTAATCAACTATTACCCACAAGGAAGGAACTTGAACAATTAAGGAAAAGAAGAAACGAAAAAAAGCTCTGTTGGACGCATTCAACCGACTGAGCCGTTATCAGAATCCACGAAATCGGCCACTAGCCACTAGTGCCCTTCAGGCTAGTGGCCTGCAAACATGACAAAGGATTGACATGGACTAGTCTCATGCCGCGTTTAGGGGACGCCCTTACGGAGTACAAACATCATAATACCTAGTCTCAATTGCTAGTCATTATAGAGATAGTATCTGCCTAACATCATCTACTTAATCAAATTTAATCTTCTTGCCCTCAGCTTCGACAATCGCACCGCTAAGCCGCTGCACAGTCTCTTCAGAATATCGACCTCCAGAGCCGACCTTCTTGCCTTTAGGCCTCAACTGTGTACGCCTTTCACCCCTCCAAGATTCATAATGGTTCTCCCTAGGAACCTCGTCAGTTGGGGGTAAAGAGCCGTCTTGGACTCCACCACCATTTGTAGGAGGCTGCGGCCGTCGGTCGAAGCCTTCTTTTCCAAAACGTTTTTTGTACCGAGTGCTGCTGTCTTCAGCAAAATCAACCCGCAGACTGCGCCCCATCAGACGATTCACCCACATTTTTTTCTCCTTTAGCTTCCTTTTTGTCTTTTCTCCATGTTCTGCCTCCACGTGTGCTAGCGATTCCTCGTTGACTTCTATGTGTTCGCCATCTGGGACTCTGACAAATCCACGAACTGCGGCTTCGGCAGCATCTAGATCGTCGAACTCCACCCAACCATATCCCTTGCACTTGCCAGAATCTTCAAAGGTGGCAAGGTGGACATGGCTAATACCACCACAGGACTTGTAGTGCTCCTCTAGTATCTGTTTCGTGACGTCAAATCCTAGGTTTCCGACAAATATCTTGTTAGAGGCCGGGTTGCCTGGCCTTCTGGCACTGTCATCCTTATTGTCTCCGCTCTTTTCGGGGCGTCCAGAGAAGTTATTCGCATCTTTGATGAGTACCGCGCGTCCGAGCAGTAGCTTCTCGCTCAGAGCAATGGCACGTGGGACCGCAGCGCTTGTAGAAAAATCGATATATGCAAATCCTTTATTTTGCTGCTTTCCATTCCTCTTCTCCCCGTTGGGGAGATGTATTCGAATAATCTCATTAGCATTGAAAGATCCCAGCGTTGTGAAAAACTGCAGTAGGTTATCTTGGCTGGCGGAAAAGGGTAGATTCCCAATCCAAATTCCAAAACCACTCCGTTTCTTTGTAAGTTCTTTTGGGACGTCTTGAGCTTTGGGCTGTAGCCCCGTTGACTGGGTAATGTCGATTTTAGCGGACACTGACTTTTTCTTCGCTTTTCGAAGAGCTTTCTTTGAGGGAGGCTCCGGCGCGTTTATGTCAACTTCGATATCTGGGTCCAGCTTCCGCTTGCCATTGGCCTTTAGCGGCGAATTTGAATCGCCTGCCATTGTGGGCAAATAGGAAGATTGCTTGTCTAAAGTCGACACCCAAACGAAGAATTTGGATTAAGCTTTGGAGCTGTCGGTTCCGTATTGTTATGTACATAACTAACTACGGAGTACTGCCTGACTGACCTCCGCAGTTCATGGAACGTGGATCCTAAAGCATCAGCCAACCTCACCTTCAATTTTGTATGAAGGCGGCAGACTTTCGGTAACGACCCACAGTTTCATTCATTTTCTATCACCACATTTCCCTCAGCAGCCTGCTAGGCATTCTGTGCCCATGGCATCCCATGGAGATACTACTGAGTCGGCGTCCACTGGGAGCTGTCTTGGGGGATGGAATGGCCACCGCACGTACAAATCTTACAAGTTAGATGCTCCCTACGTTTACCCTCTTTATAAAATATGCTAAATATAATTGTGCAGGAGGAAATTTGCGAAGCTCAAGATCAAGTTCGAATTGTCAATGAAGGAAAGCACGTCGCTGGTGATGGAGGAACTAAGAATTATCGACCTCTCAAAGCGGTTGAAAGAACAAAACGAGTAGGAAGGACTTTCTTCTGTATATTTACTGCTGCTAACAACTGTCTCTAAAGTCAACTCCTAGAATTGCTACTTGAGCTGAATTCGAGCATCCGCATCCCTCGACATTTTCGCTATGACTTGGGCGTTCCCACGGAACCAATGCCCAAAACACATTTTCCCGGCTCTGATAGCCTTCCGGAACTTAATTATGATCCTGCAACTGCCCGCCAAAAACTGCGTGAAGCGAGAGAGAAGCTACTAGAAGGATCGATGTCGATAACCGCGTGCCAACGCTTGGAGGAATCTATGTCTCGAAGTGATAATTTTATACCAGCTCTTCGATACGTCGAATTACTCAAGACGCCGCATACTGTTCCGGCCAATGCTGTCAACTTAACTTTGGATGAAGATATCGATGCTGCGTTGGGGTTTTTATCACCGGAACACGACCTGGAGTATACAAAAAATCTCGATTCTGGTTCCGGATTTACCCGAAGCGGCGATAGGCCAATGACGGCCGAACGAGAACGCGAAATTATCCTTCGCAACCCAACATCAATGTACAACTGGCTGCGCAAAAACGACCCAAGCGCGTTTCAGGAGGCTGATACTCTCGGCTTTTCTGAAAAGTCATTAACCTCGGCGAAATCCGCAGCGACCCGAACTTCAAAAAGAGCGGCTGCCCAAGGACCGAAAGATGACAAAGTGTTTGAAGATGATATTCTTCTTGAGGTAGAGCCAGAACTCAATCGAAGTGCCGGCCGTAATAAAAGAAGGAGAGACGATGACGGCGGGTATCGTCCAAAGGGTGGCAACGGCGGAAGAGGCAGAAAGAAAAAAGAAGACGGTGTCAAGAGGAGAAAGGGTGTAGTTACCCCAACCATCTGAGCTCCTTGATATTATTGCCATTGCTATTGTCCCAATTTGAATCACTCTCTGCTTGTATAGTTCCACTGTACTATAACTCTGTTCATCCTTCTCCTATCTTTGATTTTTTTCAATATTCAACAGTCACAGGTTTGCAATGTCTATCTCACTCCACCTTTATATCCTCATATTTAGGACAACGTCTCTCAACCACCCAAGGTGTGGCTTCGAATTCTCCCCATATTCCTATTTACTGCCCAAGGAAGGAGAGAGACTCGCTGATAACCTTGGTTTTTACAGCTATTCTTAACGTCTACTTCAAAAAACCGCGGCCTCTGACCAGGTTTTCACAGCTTTCATTGATCTCTCAGGATTGGATAGCGTTATCAACCCATGAGTCTCGCCTCAATACACGAACAACCTCAGTACTTAAGAGTCAACTGCGAGCTCGATACAACACGGTACGAATACCCAGAAGAATTTCTGAAACAGATAAAATATTTGTGGGGAACGACCCATTATCAATCCTTACGTGAATTGAAGTCCCTGCAAGATAATCCACTCGGCCATATGCCCCAGTAGGCAGAGTATTCTTTTGATAGAAAGGTTTGTGACTACAATAACCTCTTAATTCCAACGATAGACGTGATAGCCAACGGTAGATAATTCTTAAGAGACTGAATACCGCTGAATATCCAAGCATTATCCAAGTATACAGCTAGAAATGTCTCATCTAGTTACCTGAGGTCGTCACTCAGAGTTATATATGCATCTATGCCTACGGAGTCCACACACACTAGACTGGGTCCCCCACCAAAATTACGTCTGGAATATTATCGTACACCTCACTCGCCTACCCCTAGTCCAGGAACTGTGTGAATACCTTCGAAGGTCCTACCAGCCTTTACTCTCTTGGGTGTGAAGCCAGAGGAAGATATGCCAGTTAAACCTGATTGGGCGAGCTAGTGCCAAGCAACGGGAGTGAAATCCCGAAAGTTTGGTCAGCAGTGACAGCCCTATGCGGATGACGTCAGCATTTTGCCAGTTTAGGAAGGCGTTTTGCTCTGGGCGTGCCAAGCACCATTACTCGCCCTCAATAGTGATTTCAACTGCATCTCTTCCACTGCTGGGGCTACCAGATCGCACCAATGCTACATATAATTCATTCCATCAGGATCTATCCAGGAAATGATTTTTGTAACTGGCAGGGCCCTTTTTTTGCACCCAAATTTTTCCTATCACAAAACTTGTCGCTCAGTGCTAGCCAGGGTTATTATGTGGTATGATGGGCAAAGCGGCTGAAGTAACGAAAATTTGAAGGGATTGGTAACATTTTTCTAGAGAATTTGACAGCATATTCGAGCAGAATATTCTGAAAGATTCCGACTTCGGATTAATGCATGTAGAGAACCTTGCCCATCTGGCACTCATGGAACTTTATTTCTCGACAGTGAGGAGATGTTGAGATTTTTGGCCTCAAGGGGCCAGCGATTGGGCGGTATAATGCTTGCCACGTCACCAATGCAATAGACATTAAAGATATCAGGGAAGCAATCATGCCCCTGTGAACATCGATGAATAGGATGATCTGGAAAGATGGGGGGAGGGATTGGAGGTTGAATGCGGAGTTGAATGAGAGGGGCCTCCTAGAAGGCCCTTCACTGCCTCGGGATATTAAAACGATGCAGAATGGAGCATCCAAGGAGCTTTCAGAACCGAGTGCGTTAAATCAACTGAATTGGATAACATTACCAACGGCTTAAGCATGGCGAACAGTCGCTGGTGGGGCCGAAAACGAACAGCAAACTCTGTGGCTTGCTCGGAAGTATAACTACTCTCCACAGATAACGAGTCGCAATATTCCCTGTCTATGGACCCCATGGATGTCACTGAGACGCTGATGAGGGGTCTGGGGTCTGTGCGAACTCGTCGCTTCCACGCGCAGTGGCTTGACAGCATGCTCATCCGACAATATCCTTCCATCCGCCAACGGGTTTTGACCACGAATGGCGGCCGCCAGGAGAAACATGCTTTCGATCAGCTGAAATGACGCTGGCTGAAACGTTCAAGCTCACAAGGCTCGATTTTCTTGGACAAGTACCCATGCCAACGCCTAGGGCTTGATTAAGGTTGAGCAAGCACCATGGCGAGGATTTACTAGCCGAGCCCTCATAGTAGGCCAGCTTTCGAGAAGCATGCCTTGAAAACCCCGCCGGTTGATCGGCCCTCAGTCAGACCGTGTGTTTATGTTGTCTGCACCCTGACCTCAGATATTCCAATAGTCAGTAAAGTTCCGCGATAAAGCCGAATAGCTTCATTCTTCAGTTATTAACTAGATATAGTTAGCTGCCCCTCTGTCGCAGGAATTAATAATATATCCGTCAACCTAGGATACTCTGTAAGCCCGGCGGCCCGGGCCAGACCGCTGCAAACAGTGACATGGTTCTCCGGGCAACTGCATCCTCACCCCTGCCCTACAAGCTCTAGAGCCAATGACCTCCTTTCCCTCTATTCCACTGAACACCCTCTGCACTTTGTTGACCAAGCCTCACACCCCTCTTCTCGCTGAATTACTTTTCTACTTGAGCCATATTTCCTATAGCACCAGATAATGTATGCATCTATGCATACTAAATTGACATTGACGAATCCGGGAGTATTGGAAATAGAAGAGAAGTGGGGCCCTTGCTACATAGGCATCGTTCCACCAAGTTGCTGATATTGAAGAATGCACGGCTCTTCAGGGTACTCCCTAATGGAATCAGCACAGCCAGCCTTGACAGGAAATGGGCGGGTAATTCGCCTCGAAATGCAAGCCACCTCCCATTTTAAAATGAGCGAATTGGAAGACAATTCTGGAGTTTTGCAGGGGAGGTTTTGTCAGTTGAATATCCATTCTATCGTGTTGTTCATGGATGGGTGCAGCGAGATGGCTCCGGAGCTATCTACTCCTCGCTTGGGACGCAGAAAAGATCCGCTATTTTCGTTCTCTGAACCCCAATTGGGATACTGCTCAGTATCATTGCGTTCAATCTTGGAGGGACGCACATGAACGATGCACACGCTCAGAAGCTATCATTTGATTACCTCCCCTCCTTCGAAATCCGACTGCTCCAGCCAGTTTGGCTCATTCCAAAAGATTCGATTGGCTTTGGGCATTCGGGAATTTGGGCTCCTGGGCTCATACATACCATGAACCCTGAAGATGCTTCGGGTGATCAACTGGCATGAAAAGAGGATAAAAGGGCTCCTCACACCCACCAAGAACGTCCATTTCTGAGATACAGTCCATCAACCCTCTACTCCCTCTTCTTATAACCTTCAATTCCAAGTTCACTCCAAGAACATTCAATCTACAACGCCACCATGAGTACATTTTCCGGTAACAAGGTCTTTTGCTTCCACCAGGGCAGTGGTAGGAACGGCGAGCTTTGGTACAATGTGTACAATGGATCCAACTGGACCGGCGATGTGCGTGTCCCAAACACTGGCATGTCTTCAAGACCCTCTGCAGTCTACTACCGATCCAAGCTCTATTGTTTCCACCAGGGATACGGTGACAATGGTGAACTTTGGTACAATGTATATGACGGAAACACTTGGGCGGGTGACGTCAAAGTTCCAAACACTGGAATGTCGGCTGGCCCATCTATTGTGATCTACAACGACAAGATCTACTGCTTCCACCAGGGTTACGGAAAGAACGGCGAGCTTTGGTACAACGTTTTTGACGGTTTCTCCTGGGCCGGTGATGTGCGTGTTCCCAACACTGGCATGTCATCTGAACCCTCTGTCATTATCTACAACGACAAACTCTACTGCTTTCACCAGGGATATGGTGACAATGGTGAACTCTGGTATAACGTGTTCGACGGATTCAGCTGGGCCAAGGACACGAAGGTGCCCAACACTGGAATGTCTGAGGGTCCCTCAGCGATCCTCTACAACTGCAAAATCTATTGCTTCCACCAGGGCAGCGGACATAACGGAGAGCTCTGGTACAATGTGTTTGACGGCAGCAGCTGGAAGGGAGACGTGAAAGTTTCTAACACTGGCATGTCCTCAACTCCGTCTGCTATGATCTACGACAACAAGATTTATTGTTTCCATCAAGGATACGGAGACAATGGAGAGCTTTGGTATAACAGATTTAATGGAAACGCATGGTCCGGCGACTCCAAAGTGTCCAACACGGGAATTTCAGTTGGTCCCTGGGCGGTTGTTGCCTAGGTATGTGTGTACAAGTGGAGAGATATCTAACGTTGCCGTGGATGCTGATATCAATATAGATTAATAACAATAAATCATTGGCAATTTTTGTCGAAGGCTTCGTGTTTTCCGCCTACTGTGCCGGCCGTTGGATGGGCCTCTGGATGATTGAAGGCCCCACGTTGGAGTGTATGAAACTTTGGCCTTCCTTGATTTCAATGATGAAATGTCTTTTTTCTGTCTCCACGACTGTGGGGAGACGGATGTTTGCTCTGCTCAATACGGGAAACATAAAAAATCAGCGTGTATCCAAAATCTTAAATTTCACATAGCAACGATCGTCAATCCTCCGTGCACCAAATGCCAATATATATCTTGGACTATGAGTCGTTTTAAGCTCCTGTAGTTGATGCCAGGTATTAATATAGGTGGGACATCAGAATATGTTTCTGATAACATGTTCATACAATAGAGCAGAGGTGTACTGAATGAGTTCTGTGGTGCCTTAGACTACACTCCAGGTCCTCCAACTTAAATCAACACAGCTGGGATCAATGGTCTTGTTGAACTGTAAAAGCTTGCTGAGAAAAACTGTTTCGTACACCTCCCAAGCTTGGCTCGGTATCTGGATTGTGTCTGGAAATGCGTGTGCTTGAACCACACACACAGGTTTCTAGGTAAGCGTTCTCTGGAGAAAGAGGGGTTTCCTCCGCAGCAACACGGGGGCTGGTGGAAAACGAGGCTGAGGCACAGCCATGTCAAGAGATGATGAAGAATCAAGAAACGGTGCTGCCCAAGGGTAATGCTGACATTATTGAGGCTTTGGTTTAGTTCTATTAGGGCTTTGATCTCCTGATTTGTCGATTTTTCGTGTTTGCCCTCATCGCGCCAAGCATGCCGCCGGAGCAATCAACACTCCGCAATCTAATAACAAATCCCACGATGGCTCTGCCGGTCGACCCAGTCAATGGTTAGAGCGGAGATCTTTCGCATTCCAAAAGACAGTTAATCAGAAAGCACTAAGAGACGTGTATCTGCTGCGCCCTGTTAGCCAGCCATATATAAAAACTAGCCATGGTCGGGCCGTGACTGGTCTTTCTATCCAACGATGGTCACATCAACTTAAATAGTTGACAAGTTCATATTTCATATCCGGCTTTCTTTGCTTGCATAAGTGCTATTACTATGAGGAGTGGTCTGGTTCTTACCTTGCCCCTACTTGCGGGATCAACCCGTGTTCCCAGTCGTCGATGTGCATACGGCGATGCATGCTGGCCAAACGCTCATGAATGGAACTCGTTTAATTCCTCAATCTCAGGCAGTTTGATCAGGTCATTTCCTTCGGCCGCAGTTTGCCACAGCGAACGCTATGATGAAGCACAATGTACTGTTGCAACAGATAACTGGGTAAACAGCTATTGGCGAACGAATCAGACAGGCGCTTATGCAGCTATCTTATGGGAACTTGGTGAAAAGGGTCAATGTTTCATTGGATCACCGCGGGATGCTCCTTGCGATCAAGGCATTGGTACAAATGGGGCCGAAGCTCGTTCAATCAAGCTATACCTCTGATATATGGAGTATGTGAATAGTTCCCTACTACTCTGTTAACGTAACACACGTTACGGATGTGCAGGCTGCAGTTAAGTTTGCGTTGAAGCACGACTTGTACCTAGTAGTGAAGAATACCGGGCATGACCAGTGAGTATTGTTCTATACTAACCTTCGCACCATGAAACGACTGCTTAGCTTCAACTAGTCTAGATCGCTCAAGTGGCCGGGGAGCATTTGCAATATGGACTCATAATTTGAAAGGAAAAGAATGGAATAGTTCCTTCGTCCCACAGGGAGCTCCGCTGAACGTGGCTGGGATTCCTGCCGTAACACTTCAAACAGGAGAACAGTGGCAAGGTATCATTTCACCTTTATATCATTTATGGCCCCATCCAATCTGATCCCGTCACAGATGTGTATAAAGCTGCCGCCGAGCAAGGTGTCATTGTGGTTGGTGGTGCAGCTCGAACTGTTGGCTCAGCTGGGGGTTACATGACGGACGGGGGACATGGCCCCTTTTCACATTTTTATGGGCTTGCTGTGGATAGTAGGTCCTATATTTACTCTATAGGTTCCAATCTCAGATATATAACTAATATTCTCAGACGTATTGGAAGTTAAGCTTATTGATGCGAAAGGTAGACGCAGAATTCTCAACCAATATACTAATCCAGAATATTTTTACGCCATTCGTGGAGGTGGAAGTGCTAGGGGTGTAAGTTCTACTGGCATCCTATACATATTAAAATTAGTAGAATTTAACCTCAGTCACAGGCGATAACGTCAGTAACATACAAAACCCATACTAACCCATCGCATATCCAAGTAGGCGTGGTTCAATTCAATGTCACCACCACCTCTACATTGTGAGTTGTCCTCAATAAGTCATTGAAGGCGCTACCGGTCGTTACAGAGGCAGGATATACTGGATATGGTACTGCGAATCTTGTCCTAGGGGCTGATGAGCCAGCAGGATTTGCTGCAATTTTCATTCAGCCTAATGCGACAAATACTACTTTTATCGAAGCTTTCAGGGAATATCGCGATATCTCCAAGATTCCAGGAGTGTCGGGAATTACTGCCAATTTCGATTTCCCTAGTTGGATTGAGTACTCGAAAGTCTTCATACAGGATCCACATATTGCGTCGAACACTATTGATGAATCTAGATTACTAACTTCTGACGTTTTATTGAGCCGTACTGATGATATTGTGGGCCTTATGATGGAAAATGTGTCGAACCCGTCTGGATTCAATTTCAGTATGAATTTTGTCTACCTCCTAACATGTCAGCTTTCCTTGCTAATAGCGTACAACTATAGTTGGCAAGGTAAATCCTGCCGAACGAGATAACACCGCCACCCATCCCGCGTGGAAGTATAGCCGTGCTCTTCTTAGTTTCTCAGCAAATTGGAAAGACGATGCTTCGGCCGACGAGAAGCGAAGAGCTCAGCTGCAACTGGTGGAAATAAGTAAGAAATTTAGTGAAATAGTAGGCCCAGATGGAGGAACCTATCTTAACGAGGCTAATCCGTAAGTTCTTGTTCATACTGGCTGGCCATACTCCGTACTCTGCATGCTTTGTCACTGTTATTTGTGCTGATGGCTGTATACAACGATATAGCTATGAACCGGACTGGCAGAATGTCTTCTGGGGAGAAAAATACAAAAGGCTGCTGGCCATTAAGAGATGCATCGACCCGACGAATCCTTTTGTGTGCAATCGCTGCGTGGGGACGGATATCATACTCGAGCCATAAAAGCGGCATTCGTGCACACCACGAATCAGGTGCTGGTACTTTATCCTTGGACGTTGTCCAGCGTCAGGTTAACTAAACGCCTTTATTGTCTGTTGCTACGCACGATAACTTTTTGTACGGGGCACATTGGTCTACCGAGTTTGTGGAAGAATGTATATACTTATGTTCTATTGAAATATATGTACATACATACATAGGCACACAGTAAGAATAATGCCATCCTAAAGTTGAGCTGAGAAGAGCTGGACGCGACGTGAAGCAGAATGACTGGACCAAAATAGCATTCAACAAACCAAATGAATCAAGTATCCGAGTTATCCTCGCATTGTCCACCTAGGTATTCTGCTGGAGGCGACGGCAGAAACAAGACGACGTGATGGGAACATCGGCCAGCGTGAGTAGGGGGTCAAGTATCCGTTTGATGGACTGAGCTTCGGGGAAGCGTTTCATTCTCACGAGACACTCGTGATAGCCATGCAAAGCCCAAACATTATTTGGATGAGTACGGGCACGAGGTAGCTTGGTATTATAGCCCAGATCAGCGGCGTATACCTCCATAGCACGTTGAGTAGCCCCCGATTCGAGTGAAAGCGCACCATATGCGTGCCGTGCTGGCTGCATCCACCCCCATGGCTCATCGTAGGTGAGTGAGCCTTCCAGTAAAATAGCTCGTTCAAGGTGAATAAATGCTTCGTCCGTGTTGCCTTGGCGGAATAGATACTCGCCTTCCAGCATCGCTTCTGCAACTCGAAGAATATCACTACATTTGTTATTAAACAAGGTGCGAGAATCGGGAACACGCTTCAGTGCCTCGTGGAAATTCTCACGATACAATTTGGCTTCTGCAGCTCTGCTGGTGACAGCAGCCGCGATTCCTTTCGCGTACCACATCATGGCCGTAGTAACAGCATATAGATCCGGGTCAGTAGGGGTTTGGAGAGCGAGGATATCATCCCAGCGCCCAAAACGAATGAGAACGTGCATCCGGATGCTCAAGAAGCTTTCCAGCCAATCTGCCATTGGAGGGGACTCTACACGAATCAGCTGCTCGGGAACAGCAGCTTCTAGCAGGTCGACATTTTGAAGAGCGACTTTTGACTGACCCGCAAACATCGCAGCATAGATCAAGAAGTGATAGTCGTGAGCCCTGTAAAGTGTGTAGAAGTTCAGAGAACCTTCTCGCTCCACAAATTTTCGATCTGCAGCAGTTGCTTTTGTGTTCGCAGTAATAGCCATCTCATAGTTCCCACATAGGATATCGATATGGGAGGGCATGTGGTTGAGGTGGCCGGCATCAGGAACAAGTTCGCGAAGGGCATCGGCCCAAGGCGCCGCCACCTCGGGGGTATTCGACATTTCCATGAGATGAATATACAAGTGTAGTAGTCCAGGGTGTTCAGAGCCACCAGGGAGCCTGAGAGCAGGCTCCAGAACCTGACGTGCTTCTTCTGTTCGCGCACCCTGGGCAGGCTTCCCAGTCTCCAGATCCCACAGTTGCCACGGAGTCAAATTCATCAATGCGTCTGCGTAGAGCGCAGCAACGTCAAGATCCCCCGGAAAGGACGCGTACACCGCAGCCATGGCAGCAGCATAGTCCAGATTCCATACTGAAAGATCATCCACCAGACGGCTTTCTTGGTATCGGTGCTTGAGAGCGTTCACGAGGGCTTGTTCCACGACAGATGCACCGTGTATATTTTCTCTCGCCTGTTCAACGGCACGATATGTCTGAGTCGCAATCTCGTCGCGTTCGTCTAGATCGAATGCCTCCCATGGCTTGTTGTAGTTTGGACCTCGGGTGTATGCCAGGCCCCAGTACGCAATGGCGCAGTCAGGGTCGTGCGCAATGGCCCGCTCAAAGCATTTCGCGGCCTCCTCGTGATTGAAAGCGTACGTCCAGACGAGGCCACGGTCGAACCATGCCTGCGCGTGTGAGCAGGTCGTGGAGACGGGGCGGTGGAATGTGCCCAGGTCGAAATAGGGGTCGGCGCTGGAGACGCGTGCGCGGTCGGCGGCCATAATTTAACTAACTATTATGAGAGCTGGGCGGGTGAGCAAATTAACGCGGATTGCAACTCAAACCAACTCACGCAAAACTAAAGCGTGTCCCTGGCGATCGCTGGAGGCCTTCGAATGCGACTGAAGGCATCATTGACCCTTTCAAACCCTCAGATTGCGGCTGTGCCGCCGTCGGTTGTACGGCATTCTCGGCCCAGCCAGGCCCTGAGGAGGCGAAATCGTACCATCCTAGACGGCCACTCTCCAGCGTGCTTAGCGACGACGGCGTCAACACGAGCACAGAGTTCACCTCTAGTGCGTCAAGGCTGTCAGGCTACTAACCAACTAACTATGTACGGAGTACTCTGCATCATTCGAGGGTGCAGGCTGGGTTGCAGGGCTGCCTATCGTCAGCCGCATGACTCACAACGGCGATGTTTATGGCGGCCTACGGCCTTGTCTTCTCTGAAATGACTTCACGCCTGTAAAGATCGTTGTTATATATCAGGAATAAAAAATGGCTCGCCTTCACGCAATCAAAACCAGCTACAGGTCCAAGAGTATCCATATTCCCTCCCCCTTTCTCACCACAACTCCCCCAGATGCCAAACCGATCACGTTTAACCAGATTGATTTTGCTACCTCGCCCCTGCACGAGTATAAGGACCACTATGCTGTGGTGCTAGATAATGTTCTAAGCCCTTCAGAATGCGATGAGCTGCTGTCACTGGCAGAGCAAAGCGTAGAAGAGCCTGGCGACGACCCTTGGAAACCGGCCCTGGTTAATGTCGGCGCTGGGCATGAGGTCCTTCATACCGACTACCGGAACTCGGACCGCATTATCTGGGATAACGAAACCGTCGTGAGCCGACTGCTGAGCCGATGTTTCCAGGCAGATGGGATAAAAGAACGGGTGAGCATCATTGCCGGGACTCAGTGCAGGACTATGCTGGGGAAACGGGCTCTGGATGCAGGCGAGAGGTGGCGTATCGTTAAGCTGAACGACCGCATGCGATTTCTTCGCTATGGGAAAGGGCAGTTCTTTAGACGTACGCCTGGGATTTCTCTATGTGTGAGTGTTCAATTTTGAGCAGACTTGACTGACCATCTTTGGGGGCCATAGCGCATTGTGATGGTGCATATGCAACGGAAACTCAACGCACATTCTACACTTTGCACCTTTATCTCAATGGGCCAACAGATGCAAACCCACTCAGAGGAGGTGCTACCACCTTCTGGTCGTCTGATGAGAAGCGGAGGGTTGATGTTCACCCAAAAACTGGCAGCGTCCTGATCTTTCAACATCGTGGCTTGCTGCATTCGGGGGATGATGTCCTAGAGGGAATTAAATACACGATGAGATCAGATATCATGTACGAACGGGATGATATTGAGGAACAATAGTAGTCTGGAAATTAAAATTATCTTTAGTTAGCACTTGGTTCTAGAAGACCATATCATTTACAATCTGATCAGTTTGAACCTAGCACATATTATAAAGGGGAATGGTGTCAATGAGCAGTTTATATAGCAGGCCTAGTGTTCGGCTCACGGTGATCACTACTCAAAGAGCCAAGAAAGGGGAAAAGGAAAGGTGCTGGGCCTATGTATAAAAAGGAGGCTGCGTACTCGATTAGCCCCCTCATATGTGGTATTGGGTGCTATGCCGGGATACAAGTAGTCACACCTCAACGCAATTATCGCAACTTTTGATTGTGAAGCTTCGATGGGCAACACCTATCACCTCGCATAAGGGCAGAGAATTGACTGCTTATGACCTGTTTCAATAGATAATTTTACACTCATTCTCTTCTACATTTCTTTTCAATCAACCGCAATGGCAATTACAATTCTTCCACCCGTTGTCGACGAGCCATACACCTCTGAAAATGACGATGGCCATAATGACGCCGACTCTGACATTGAAATGGAGGATGCTACCTCTCGTCCCGCTAAGAGGCCACGCCTCTCCAAAGGCACAATAGTTACCCCAGGGGAAGTCGTCACAGATGATCCGCAATGGATGAGGTCTGCCACTCGCGCCCCTCTTTTCTCACGAAAGTGACTGATGATGTCTACCGCAGAGGCCATGGCACATTCACTCCAACACCCTTATCGAGCACCATCATCGCGACCGTTGCCGGTACTATCCTCAAAACCAATAAACTCCTTTCCGTCTACCCCCTCCGCGCCCGCTACACCCCCGAAATCGGCGACCTGGTAATCGGTCGCATCGTCGAAGTCCAATCGCGTCGATGGAAAGTTGACGTCGCAGCTCCTTTACTTGCCAATCTTCCCCTTTCTGCGATTAATTTACCCGGTGGCATCTTGCGCAAACGTACTACGGCAGACGAGCTCCAGATCCGGTCATTTTTTAACGAGGGCGATCTCTTAGTAGCGGAGGTGCAGAGCGTGCATCAGGATGGTTCAGCGTCGCTGCATACGCGTTCGTTAAAATACGGGAAGCTACGTAATGGCATATTTCTCGCTGTGGCTGGCATGGGTGGTGCTGGCATTGCGCGTGGGACCGGCGTCGTTCGGAGCCGCAGACAGGTCTGGACTGTTACAGGCGCCAATGGCGGTTCTGACATCGAAGTCATTTTAGGCGTTAACGGGTATATCTGGATATCGAAGCGATCGGACTCACTTGGGGCGGATGAAGATGGTGGAATGGGCATGTCGATTACTCGGCTGGAGGATATGGTTTCGGGCACGATGTACTCGAGCCAGAATGATGAGATTTCTCTTGCGACAAGAAGAGAGATCGCAAGGCTGGCTGGATGTATAAGAGTATTAGTGCAAGGTGGGATCAAGGTTGATGAAGATACTGTTATGAAAGCCTACATGGTGAGCTTGGACGTGGAGCTTGAGACCGGTGTTGAAGACAGTGATGATGAAGATGAGAAGCACGGTACGAAAAGGGAGGGGAGGGATTACTTGGGCGGTGAGCGAGCAGCTAGGATTCTAGATGCCGTCCTTGATCGGTGATTGCTACTAAGTGAGTTTTCAACGAATACGATCACTACCATTGGGAGAGAAACGTCGTTATATCGTAAGTCTATCTATATCATCAAAAAATACAAAGCCAGGGGCACGGGGCGATCAAGGACCGCCTATAATCAACGGGAAAGGTCTATAGTTTAAACACTGGCACCACTCCGGCCCATTCCCCCTTCGCCCTCTCCTCCCAATACCCATCTTTTCCAATTTTCAGCTTCCAAACTGGCCCATCATCGTCCTCATCTTCTACGGCACTGCAACTGAATCCATCACCAGAGTCGAGTCGACTGAACCACTTGGGCTTCCAAGCTTCTTCTCTAACCTCCATCTCCTTTCTTCTATGCCTCTGGCTTTCCTCTAATAATCCCTTCAGCTCCTCTGCTGCATCAACATCGCCTTTCTCCAGCGCCCTCTGATCTGGCCTCAGCCGACTATCCGTTGGAGGTAACTTCCCGTCTTCAACTACCGTGATCTCGTTAAGGCTAGCAGTAAATACCGTAAAGCCATAGTGTTTCTGCGGCTTATCGACAAGCGGGCCTGCAACCCAAATCGTCTTGCTGGTTTCTCGGCCATGCTCAGTAAGGTGAAGGGACGAAGCCCAGGAGCCCTGTAGACCAAGAGGTAACACTTCGCCATGGGTGTCAAGGGCTTGGACGCTGACCTCTTCACTACGACCAGAGAACATACCGCCGGCCTTGAACGTGACAATAGTCTTTTGACCCGTAGTTTCGTTGACGATGCACATCTCACCTACAGGCTCAACGTACTTCTCGCCGGCAATGATATTCCTTAAGAAAGAAGTTCCAGAGGACCAGCTATAATGTTCGCCACTAGAATGCAATGTTAAACGCACTTTACCCTCAGTGATAACCTCCGCAGACTTCCCCCAAAACTTTTGCGTCGGTTTAGGGGACTGGGCGAAACTCCAGTCTTTGGAATCCGCTTGGTATGCCAGTTGAACTGGCCGATGTGAGACTTTCTCCCCAATAAACCGGAAGCCGGCGTCACCGCGAATCATTTCATACGTTTCACCTAACATTGGGTTGAACGGTTTCCGTAAGCTTCTCTCCCTAACTCGCATATTCGAAAATGGCGAAATTGCGAATGCGGTCACATATATAAGCCGCTCTAAACCATCCGTGGCGCTGGCGGCTTTATCTAGCAGCCCTGAATACTCAAATTGCTCTGCAGCGCGTTGCAGGAGCGATATTGGCTCATTAGCAGAAACGGGCATCGAAATTGTTGATAGATCTTTGCCGACGTTTTTGCGCAGAAATCCAATTAAACTAGGCGGCATCACCGTTGGAGCGGTGATGGTCTTTCGACGAGCAATGTTTTCCACGGGTAAGGGGGCTAAGGATTTCGACTTTATCGGGAATAAGGAGGAGGAATTATCGTGTTTAAACTTGAGAAAACGATCCCCATCTTCAATATCACTGCCGGAGAGTGACGACTCGTCGCCTGCCGCAGTCTCTGCGATATCGCTTTCCGCAGCTTCATCTCCACTGTCCCGATGAATTTTTAAAAGCGGAGAGCCAGCGCCATCGTGAGCATCAAAAAATTCCTGAGAAAAGCTCGATTCCATACTTGAGCGGGTTCGAATTGAGGGAGCTATCGAGCGAAGCCGTCTCTTTTCCAGAAGGCCCGAAAAATCGGAAACAACGGAGTTTAGCTCTTGAAGAAGTGCCATGAGGCTATCATGCACAGCATCACCCTTCCCGCTGCTCATATCTGTTGTTGGTTTGATGCCTACAGATGACTCTTGGGAAATTGATCGCGGAGTTGGTGGAGCATTTTCATTTCTGGGTTTCAGCTTCCAAAAGGACCGTTTTTCACCTCGATCAGTGATCTCATTTGCAATGTCCCCTTGCTGCGACACATTACGAGGGCTGGCCTGGCCTGCTCGGCGATCGCCATAAAGTAAGTATTTCGGATCCGTGTCTTTGGCAAGCTGCTTCACTGTATCTCTAGCAATCGCAACTTTCTCCACCAAAGATTCTACCTCCGTCCAGGTCCTGGTATCATGAACCATAGTACTCTGCCTTCGTGCTGGTATTGAATGTGTTCGCACTTTTATTTTCGGCGTCGTTGGCGATGCATCGTCCTCTGCTTTAGATGCCTTTTCCATCGCGCATTTCCAAAGATCAAAATCCTGGTCATTGAGAGCGCGAAGATGCCAAATCTCAGCACCAGAATCTATAGAAATTTCTCTGGTTTCTTCATTAGTTGCGATGGCAGCAAGCGAAAGAGGGATAGCACCGCGTAATGCAGGAGAATTGCGATCGTGGTAATAGGAGAGAGTTGAGGTATTGAAATCCAAAGAAAAGAAACGGCGGGCATAGCCTTGATGTCTTTTTCGACGCCGCTTTTGGAGAACACCAGTATGCATAGGCGGAGGATGTGCAGTACTTGACCCCTGGGATGCTCCTTTTGTATGGCTCTTTAATCCGTGGGAAGCCCCAATTGACTCCGTAGAATCGGCGCTATTAATCGGACTCGGCCGGGACATGGTACTGTTCCCAGCAACCGAGGTGGCAACAGCTTGCGAGTGGTGAACCTGATGACCGGATCGCGGCGGGCAATAAGTCGGATATGTTAATAGTACAAAGGTCGCAGTTTTCGATATTTGCTTTGAAAACGTATTATCAAATACCAAGGCATAATTTCCACCTTCGCCAGTTCCAACATCATAGGTTCCCTGTGATATTTTATCTGCTTCACATTTTCCAACCCACCGAACTGGCTTTAAGCCGATACCTTTCAGCTTCTCCGTAACAAGCGATGACGACGCATTGCCCAATTTTCCATTATCCTTTACGTCACCAATATCATTGGTAGAATGGATAGAGGCAGAAGTCGCGGTTAATGTTCCCGCAGTGCCAGGATGCTTGAATAGTCCGAAATTCAGGGACTTCTTATGGGGCTGGATGCTCCATGAAATAGTATGATCCACACCCACATTAACCCATCGGACAAGGTATGACTGCGGTTGTTAAGAATTGATGGCTCATCAGTCTCACGTACAGCAAGAGACGGCGTGGGATGCATACTTTGCTATGGATTTCAATTTCCTCCATTCCAGCCATCGTGCTGGATCACGCACAGATTGTTATATGGTGGGTGCAGAATGCTATAATTGCTGAAATCAATGTTTCAAGGGCTTTCACGAGCCTATCCGGCTACTCCGAAGTGGACAGATAGTGCGGAGCCGAAGTCGTCAAGTTTGGATTAGAAAGATAGCGCGATAGGGGGGAAAAACAATAAAACCACCATATCAAAAAGAAATGGAATAGCAGGCGTCAACCACCAGGCGAAAGCTGCCAGGTGCTTGCAGTGCGGCTGGACGCCAAACTAATGGCGATGATGCGGTTGGACGCATGCTCCTGCGGGCGGTTCCGCGTGGCAGTACCCAGGTACGGCGTCCACTATTAGTCATTTGTACTAACCGCAAATAGCTAGCGCCACTATATGACGCAATTTCGACGGCGTTGAATGTTTTCAAGGTTCGAGTTCGCGGTTTTAAAGGGTGACATGGGAGACGTTGGCTATGTATTATACAACACATCAAAATTGGAGCAATTCTCCATCTGGTCTGCACAAAAGACCATTCATCAGACACTTGGACAACGAATGTATGCGGGCAGCTTGGAAAGAAGTTCTGACTTGCGAAAGACCAATTACCCGATGCCATATAATCACCCAATTTCATTCTCTACACACCATCAATAAACCGTAAATAAAAACATATATCAGCAGACAAATTGGAAATAGAGTGATGGGAGAGCAAAGAACCTAACAAAATCCAAATACATGAAGAGACAGTTGTAAAAGTATGACTGGGTGAACCAAGGTATATCCTCAAGGGCCATGACCTAAATCAATGCACACCCCTTTCATGGTCATACAAGTGTCTCAAGCCGAGAAAATGCTCACAACGCTAATATAGAAACAATATGACGGTATAAAAGTAGCGCTAAATCCAGACGAAATATGTTTAGCAAACAAAAGAATAAATATAACAAAAAAACAAAAACTTCATACTCTTATGCTGCTGCAGGAATAATAGCTCTCAGGCTTTCTTTGATTCGATCTCGAAGTCTCATACCCGTGGGGGCTTCATCTTCAACATACCTGCGAGAGTGGCGCCGTTCTCCCCGTCGCTCTCGATTCTCGTGGTGCGTGTAACTGTCCCTTCTAGCAGACCTTGGCTGAGCGTCACTATCCCTCCTTGATTTATGGTGTTCTTTGTGTTCTCTATGCTCGCGGTGGGTACGAGGACCCTCTCCTAGTAACTCCCTTCTTCGACGTCGTTCATCTTCCACACCCGGACTCCTATCGCGGTGATGGCGCCTATGTCTGTGGTGACCATGGCCATGTGAGTGGGAACGATTAGAAGAATCAGAATGGCGCGCAGGAGATTTCGATGGTCCTGAACTAGACCCGTTCACCCTGAGAATCGGTCCCGACGTATTTGATTCTCCATTGGCTAGAAGTTTGAGTAGAGCAACGGGCTTTGCTGCAAGAGAAGATAGGCCGTTCTGACTTGAGCTACCCCGACTCCTCGATGCTGACTCGCGTCGAATTTCGTGATATTTCGGAGGGGCCCGTTCTTCCTCCCTGTGTCTTCGTCTCCTCCGCTTTTCTTCTTGCTCCTGCTCTGCATACATTTTTGCGGCCTTCCGAAGCCGACTTGCGGTTAGATTATTAGGCCCAACATTTCTATACTCTTCCTTTTCGCCTCTTGACTGCTGGAACCCTGGTGGATGTTCAAAAGAAGTTGCATTATCGTGTCTTTCTCGTTGCCTGCGTCTTCTACGCCTGGTATCTTCCGGCAGCTCCCGCCTGTGCGACCACACGGATTCAACATTGGGGGAGCCCACAGCAATGGTTTTGTCTGTGGCTAGCTTGGGTGTTGCCGTGTCTGCCGGGACTGGAACTTCTTCAACCGCAGCCTCTTCCTCTGGAGTCTCCTCAACTGTAGTCTCTTCTACTGCAGCTGCTTCAGCCACACCCTCTTCCACTGCAACCCCTTCCACTGCAACCTCTTCCACCGGTATCTCCTCAACCACAGCTTCTTCAATCACAGTCTCTTCCACTGGAGTCTCCTCAGCTGCAGCCTGTTCTACTGCAGCCTTTTCCATTGGGGTCTCCTCAACCACAGCTTCTTCAACTGCAGCCTTTTCCACCGGGATCTCCTCAACCACAGCTTCTTCAATCACAGTCTCTTCCTCTGGAGTCTCCTCAGCTGCAGTCTCTTCCACTGCAGCTGCTTCAGCCACACCCTCTTCCACTGCAACCTCTTCCACCGGTATCTCCTCAACCACAGCTTCTTCAATCACAGTCTCTTCCCCTGGAGTCTCCTCAGCTGCAGTCTCTTCCACTGCAGCTGCTTCAGCCTCTCCCTCTTCCACCACTGGAGTCTCTTCCACTGGAGTCTCTTCCACTGCAGTCTCTTCCACTGGAGTCTCTTCCACTGGAGTCTCTTCCACTGGAGTCTCTTCAACTGCAGCCTCTTGCACTAGTGTCTCTTCAGCTGGTATTTTCTCAGTGGCAGCCCCTTCAACTGAAGCATCTTTAGTCGGTTGTTCTAGTAGGGACTCTTCCGGTTGACACTTTTCTAAGGGAGTTTCTGTTGAGACTGTTGCTTCCGTGACAGTTTCATTCGTTTCTTTCTCCAAAACTACTTCAACAGGTGTATCTTCAACAATCACCTCACTTACTGCTTCGGGTTCTTGTTTTTCTTCACTTAACGTATCATCATCTATGTCTCGTTCTGGTTGAGCAGCGGCCAAGTCTTCAGGAAATGGTTCCACAACAGTAACTTCCGGTTCATCAGATCCGGCTTTCTCGACGTCGATATCTAACTCTTTCGTCTCCGTAGGAGTTTCCATGGTATTCTCCTCCGCCTTACCTGCCAAATCTATCTCTTGTACGTCGTCTTCTGCGACTAGTTTTCCAGACTCTGCACCTACCACGGCTTCCTCCACAGCCTCTCCACTGGAAGATTCTTCGGTATCGTCTTTCGTATCGGAAGTGTTCTCATCCAGGGCAGGCGACTCCTTGAGCCCTTCAGCCGGTTTATCTTCCCATTCCGTCCAGTCATCTAGGGTATCATCAATGCCTGGTATTTCTTTAGGCTCATCATCAACGACCGTCTTTGCAGTGGTACAGTTAGGGTCGGATTCAGAATCTGCCTGCGGCTCTTCGGTAACATCATGCTCGTTGTCTGCGGGAGACAATGATTCACCGGCAGCAGACTCTGATGCTGCCTCGTCCAGAGTATAAGTAAGTTTGTCATCTTCGAGATCCGGCGCTTCGAGAACATTGCCGCGAGGATCTTCAAAATCAAAATCATCAATTACAGCTTCATTTTTTTCTGCCTCCTTTTCTGCTTCGACTTGATCGATTTCCGCTGCAGGGTCAACATCAGGAAAAGTTGATTCGTCTATTACGTGAATTAGCCAGCCGCGCCAGGAATAAAAAAAAAAGCAACACAGCCAAACCTTCATGTTGCTCCTCCTCATTTGCTGCTTTAGTGGGGACTTCTGGTTCCTGTACTTCTTCTCCATTGTTAGAGCTGGGCTCTGTTCCAGACGATTCGACTGTTTCTAGGTTATCCGACGCTTCGGGACAAATAGGATTGCTGCCATCTACAGTTTCGTCTGGGGCCTTGGATAGGTCTTTTGTATCATTTTCCCCTATCTGCCCTTCCACGGCCAATACATCTATGTGTTCCTCAGTAGGAGAGGTATCAGCGGTGTTCTCACTCGCCGTTCCGTCTTCAGAGGAGGGGCAGTCTGTCGCAGTTACGGGCGCTTTTGACGGCTGCTCTTCAGGTACTGTTTCTATATGTCCTGGTTCAGGTCAGACACGGCAAAATGACGAGAGATTAAAAGAGCATAAACTAGGTTTTCTAGCAAACTCACCAGCAGCCTGCTCGGGAATATCACTGGTATCTATCGGCGTCGACTCATCCTTGGGCGGTTCTGTAGGAGGATCCCCTGGGGCCGTCTCCTTCGATTCAGTGTCAGTGGAATTGTTCTCATTGTCGACAGTCGTATTAGCTTGAGGGGGATGGGAAGCCACGGGAACACCCAAGTATACAAGGGAGTCGCGATCGAATGAATGATACTTAAATCCAGGAATATTAGCATACGTGAAGGACTTTGTTTTCGCCATCTTCAGCTGTTGCAGCCTGGGCTGCAGCGCCATCTATCTTCTGAGATTCCTCGTTGACGTTCTTATTATTAGGTTCGGTAGCGTTGAAGTCGAATGGTTGTCCCTTCTTGCTTTTCTTTTTCCCTTTTTTTGCCATTGCTATGAGCCTGAATTAAGACCGGGGAGGGGGGGGGGGTTTGGAGGGAAGGAATGGCAAGATGAGGAAGGTTATCTAGTGAAATGAGTGGTAAGTCTCGGCACCACGAAGTCTGTATATGGTTCAAAGGAGTGACACCGGACAAAAGAACAGCGTCATTGAAATCCGATAGGCGCAGGGCTGGTCACGAAAGCAACTTGTTGGGCGTAGTATTGGTAAGGAACCAGCAATGCGACAGAGTCAGCGTCTAACCTTGATTACCCAAATAGAAACAGGGACATCATGTCAACTAGAAAGGGCACGCGTTAAACCTGGATGGCGCGAATAATTCGGAAGAAGCGGCCGAGGATATTCATTGAACCAGTAAAATGGGGGAGGGCTTGCCATTGGGCCACGTCTCGCGAATCCCGGGTACGATAAATATTTAGAAGCCCCGATCACGGATAAAGTGATGCGGTTCCACGCCAAGAAGGATCCCAAGAGCATGGACGTCGAAAACGGCGGGAAGCACTAGCATTGTCGAAACCAATGCTGGTGACATCCCTAGGACCCCACACGGGATCCGCAACACCGACAGATCAAGAGAGGCTGGGATACGCCGCTCGCTAGCCTATTTTCTATAACAATGGAGGACCAGTATGAGAGTGAGGACGTAAGATGCATGGCCTTGCACCTGAAGGGGCCGGATGGCCGAAGAAACAAGAACAGAAACCAGTGGAATTGCAGCAAGAACCAAGACAGCCAGTCTTCTGTGATGATAATCCACGAAATAGGTTTGACAAGCCATGTCTTTCGGCCCAACGTCAGCAAATTATTGTGTATCATCGGCAATCAGCGCCAGTCGGAGAAAGCAGGGCGGCGGGCAACACTACGAAAGCTTGTGGAACAGGCTCCCTTATCATTGGCTTTGTTGCTTCAGTGGAACTGCAGATTCACGCAGGATTGACGGCGACATGCTGCATGGCCAGAGTGGGGTGAGCGACCAGGAGGACATGGCCCCTGGCACCTGACTGCCAGCGCAGTCGATTCACCCAATTCCACGACAAAGACATCTTCAGGATCAGGCAAAACGACAACGAAGGCTGATGCCCCAGCAAGGGCGAGAGTCAGCCCAGGATGCCAGCGGTGGTGGAAGACAAGCGCGTGAGGCGCGAGAATTGTCGAGGGCTGGGCCGGGCCGAGAATAGCGCAACTTGGTGGGCGGCGCTGATTGGCTGCTTGCCTTGCTGCGCGTTCGTGATTGGATGCCTCACACGTGGGCTCGCAGGCAGCCAAACACAGCAAACAGGCAGCGATGCACTCGCCCCGATCGAGCGATCTTTCATCCCAAGGCAGCGACTCATCGGCGGCTGGAGGAATGGAGATGCCAATATGTTACATATCACCTTGGACATGGCAGATTCCAGACATGTCAACCTTTCGCCGTGAGACTAACAGGAAATCACAAACCTCAGTGTGTTGACAGTACGGAGTAAGCGACTACGGAATCGCGAGCCGGAGCACAGACGCGCAAACCCCAAACCAGGATCACCATACAAGCAAATATTGCCCGCCATGCAATTGGTGAATCGTCACGATCCGATGCCTCCATTCACAGGTTCACGTCGCATGTCAACCGAGTCATGTGATTGCCGTTCCAGTTAGCCACCCCGCTCGTCATTTTGCGGCCAACAGGCCACCATCCCAAGTCAGCGAATCGTGGCGAACAGCACTCGGAAATACCTCCTTTTTTAGAGAGCCATGCAGATGCATAACGCATCTGTACCGATCCTGTCTTAGTAACCCGCATGCTCAGTACCTTGACAACCGGATCGATACGGGGTCATGTGAGTAGTGTTTTGTTTATTGTTTTTTTTTTTTTGCTTGCCTTGTCAGGCCATCAATGTTGCATGCCTGACGGGAAAATGCGGGATCTGGGGAAGCGTGAAACTAGCAATTATTGGATCATAACACCCTGTACTAATTGTGTGGGTGGTGCTGGATGGCCGAGGATATCCGCTGTGAGCGAATTATGCAGATGGTGGCTAAAGACTCCTCCTCACGCCTTTGGAGACGAGGGGAGGTCCTTTCCCTTTGCTCAGCATAGGATGCTCTAATTAGCCCGTCATCTGCGCCAGAGAACTGCTTGCGCCTTTGGAGAGATTCCTGTTGAAATTGATTTCGCGGTCCAACAAAGAAGCGCCTCTTTGTGGCCTGAATTCGGAGTATTTGTTGTCTCGCTGTGTCTGGCCAGCATGGCGATGAATTGCCACAGTGCGTTGCCTAAACGGCGAATGAAGAGCTAGAGAATACTCAACGGCATCCACCAGGCACAGGCCCGACAGCTCACCACGTATGGATAGCAAAATTCCTTGCTGTTATGGTTCTGTCTATGAGTCATTTCAGGCCTCACTTGTTTCCTTCGTTTCAATTTTTTCTATTTTGATTCAATATTGAATCCAGGCCTTGCCGTTTAGCAGCCAGTTCCCCTTGGAATAACCTCTTTTCATTCGCCTTGGAGCCGTCATACTCCCTTCAGGGCTAAGCAACTCAAATGTGCCGGGAGCACATGTATAAATGTTAAGGCTGGAGCTTACATATAGCCTTGCGGCACAAGACTTGACACCTGGCTTGCACCATCTTATCCAAGACGGCTGTGGATCACATTGCGCCCACAGGGTCTTTTACGAATTAGAAAGTGCGTCATAAGTACTGCCAAAGATAGGATGTTTGGCCGGTCGATCCCGTCAATAGCCAAGAAGTGTCTATAATGAGGCGAAAGCCCTGTCGTAGCATTGAATTCCACGAGGCGCGGGTGTAGCATGCAGAAATGTACGGAAACAGGGCCAATGCATAACTTCATGTGAATATCACAAAGCAGCTGGGCATGTGCCTTTTCCACAAAATACATATGGCAACATGCATTTCTACACGCCACGAGAATCTCTCCAACATCTACTTATGCAGCCATCTCATAGGATTAATAAACAATTGCTAACCTACAAAATCCTTCTATCATACGTCTATTGGAAGCTGGCGTTATACAGCAGCTTTGCCGTGGTGTTTACACCTGGGTTGGTAATTGCCGGGTGAGCCAAGGCCTTGATAGCGTCACAAGCTACCTGTGGTGGGACGCCCGCAGAAGACATCAGGAGAGCAGCAACTCCACAGACATGGGGAGCAGCCATAGATGTGCCGGAGAAGATTCCAGTGCGGTTTCCAGGCAACGTGGACAAGATTCTGTTTCCGGGTGCATAAACATCAACTACAATTCGGTAGCATTGTTAGCGGCATTTTAAACGCATAGAATGCTGGTAAACAGCCTGTGGAGGCCAACATACTCAGAGATCCAAAGTTGGAGAAGGACGCCTTGGTGTCATCAATGGAGCTTGCAGCAGCCGTGCAGACTGATTTGACAGATGCAGGTGACTCATTAATGGCGTCACGCTATGGAGTATACGTGGTCAGTTTCCTCCAATTTCAAAACAAAATAGCCACAGTAGGGTGGAAGCATCTTTTCACGCACATTAGCATTGCCAGCGGCAACCCCGAGGAAGAGTCCGGCTTTGACTGCATTTTCTGCGGCCGCATTCAACGCAGTGGCAGTGTCACCCGTCAAACTGAGGTTCATGACTGCCTTGCCAATAAGACGCCTTTCTTTGGCATGTTTCACGGCCCAATCCATCGCAGCAATGATCCCACTGTCAGGACCTCTAGAATCCTTGCCAAGTGCCTTGACTGCGATCACCTTTGCTTTCTTAGCGACACCATAAGTCTTTGACGCAATTGTACCAGCGACATGAGTCCCATGGCCATGCTCGTCGGTAGGCACTTCATCCACAACATTAGTGCCCCATTCTGCCCGACCCTCGAATTCTGGGTGGGTGATATCGATGCCGGTGTCTACAATATATGCCGTTACACCTTCTCCAGCAGAGCGGTGATAGACGTAATCCGAGCTACCACGTTTTATATGCGAGACTCGACCGAGTCCCCATGTAGGTGCATCTTTTTGGGTTTCATACAAAAGTGTTCCGCTGGCCATTCGGTCAGGTTCAACATATGCGACCTACAACAGGATTTTCAGAATTGTTCTTTTAAAAGGGAAGAAAACTGGTTCGTACGTTAGCATGGTTAACAATTTCTTTAATTGTTTCGCTATCGAATTTTCCGCTGTAGCCTCTCCAGCCTTCAATATCAAAGCTGAATTTCAAACCAGCGAAGTCGCTCGATCCTCTCTTTGCAAGGTTTCCGCGATGAACTCTGGCAGCCCAATTTTTATGGGAATCAAAGTCTGAACTTGAAGTTCCATCCTTCATCACCACGATATAGGAATTCGGGATGACATTGTTTTGATTGTCGAAGTTAAGAAGGTCCCCGGCATCGACAACGGATGTCAGAGCCAATGTACCAGCAAGAAGTTTAAAAAGAAGTCCCATGATTAAATCGAGATAGTCAAATAGCACGCACACGTTATTCGTTGTATGTAAAACTCCGCAAGGACAACGAGGGAGGGATCGGTATTTAAATGTACCTAAACACCTGGACCCTATACCCCGTCAATTACTCCGTATTCACAAGACTTTGTTCTCTTCTGCCCACTTCATTCGGCTACATCCATGAAATTGCTTTGCAGGAGATCATGGGGAGAGGGGCGAAAACGAGGAAGACCAGGTTAGAAACAGCCGGTATCCCAGCAGCGACCAGGCATTTAGCAAGCCCTCCGAGATAAACATTATTATTCCCGTCAAACACACCAGGAAGACATGCTAATGCCGAGAGATACTGGGAGCAGTTTGGTTTGTTCTGGAAGAACTGGGGCTTGAATGTTTGTCCATGATCCTAGTACGATGCAACATCCACCAGGGTTCCTCGCCCAACATAACAGTTAGCGCTGGTTAACTGACTAGTTAACTGTTCCATTGTTGGAAAGGTAAGCTAACTTGTTCATCAGCATACTAATAAGTTGGGAAAGTGAGAATCAGGAGATCGAGCATTCTCCTGGGAGCATGGCGATACTATGTCCAGCTGAAAGGTTGTATGGTTGTATGTCTGTACACAATGAACTCTTTTCTTTATGAGTGTTTACCACTTCGTAAAGATAGCCGTCCAATGCTAAGTTCCGGCCTAAGACACGATTTTTGTTGTGTGCTATTCCTTGACTGGCAATGGCAACAAGGTAAGTTCAAGGATGGAGCCATTCCAGGAAGTAGTGTTTGTTTAGATAGATAGATGTATGTTACCGACTTACCCCACCTAGTTATGCATAAATTGAAATCAAATATTCATGGTTATTTGATTTCTTTTAGAGGTTGTTCGATGGAAAACTGAAATGGTAGTCGCGCGGAGCATAAAACAATCTCTATAACTTATTCTTTCTATCAGCTGAGTCTGAAATTCTGGGTAACTAGTGGGGGGATGAAGGTAATAATTTTATTGTTAGGAAACGACTAAGCAATTAAAATAGTCTTGTTTACAGTAAGATGGTGTGGATTTCTGAAACAGAAGTAACTAACAAAAAGAAACTGGGTGCATAAGACGAAGCAAACTTAAGAAGTGTTCCTGATCAAGGATATTAAAGCAACTCAGCACAAGATAGCTGGTCTTTTTTCTGCCGGAAGCCCATAATATCTTATGGTTGTGTTTCTTGATTTTTTTACCTAGAACGCTCATGGTCGCTGAATTTGGGAAGGGGCAATTTCAGTCATATCATATATATAAGGATGTTTGCAATGTTGGCTCTAGACCGTTAAAGCTAATGTCTGGATATATTGTGTGCAGATGGAAGGATTTCATTGAGGGGTTTGATCTCCAAGTCACAGGCTATCTCACACCCGGGCAGATCGCCACTTCGCTGATAGATATAATCGATACCATGGCTCCATAACAATGCGAATTGCTAGATGCAGTCCCTACGCTAAGAATGGCTCTCGTCGCTACGCTTGACAGATATATACACATTATTTGTATAAAAATATACATGGAAAGCTATCACAACAGGAAACTCAGCTAGAAAGAGAGAGCCTGTTCTCGATAATCTTAACAATTTCGGTCCACTCTAGCATGGCACCAGTTCCCACATCTCCACAAGCAAGAGTCTTATCAATCGGGCGGAGCACTTCGAACCAGCCCTGTTGAGCAACGCCACTCTCTTCATCCTTAGCGTTAATAGTCTTGACGCCCCAATCCTCCTCTAAAACACGCACCTGCTGCGCCGTAATAGGGTGCACCCACATTGCTGTGTTCATCGCTGGAGCCACAATGATCCTAGATTTTTTCCCATCAATGGTCCCTGTTGTGTCCCACGCTCGTATCACACTTGTGAGTAGTGTATCAGATATGCCATTAACCACCTTTGCCAGAGTATTTGCACTTAGTGGTGCAATAACCATCATATGAGCCCAGCGGCGCAGGGTGATATGGAGAATTTCCGTGCCTCTCGACCACGGCGTAACCCACTCATGCTCATCCTCATACACGGAATCAACATTAGGGAGCGACGCAATCGACGTTAGTGAAGGCTTTTCCAGGGTCTGCGTGAGGAACCGTGCCGCAGCCTTGGTAAGGATGACTCGAATTGAAAGGTTGGGGTGTTTTGACAGCGAGGAGATGATATTTGGTAGCTTTATTGTCGCAACGGATCCGGTCGCGGCTAAGAGTAAGTGTATTTTGCCATCGTTGACGGAAGCCGCAACATCATCTGCGGGTCTTTGTGAAGGAGCAGACCGATCAGCTGCGCAAGTATCCGCCATGTGTGCTATCGTTGCTGCTGGGATGGTTTGTTGAAGTGACAAAAACTTCTTGTGGGGAGGGGCGGTGACGTCAGCGATACATCGCCTCTTCACGATCTCTCCCAGAACAACTTGAGAGTCGAGAACAATGCCCATTCTACCGCCATTTTAAACCAATTTTGTGGCCGAAGGAATGCATATGCCCAAACACTAAGATGTGTGCTGTCGCTAAGGCTGATGGTGGAAAATGAGACAGCGTTCAACACATAACCGCTGCTCTCTTTAACATCAGCCTGCTATGTCATGGCTGCTACAAAGATATCCAGATAAAATAGCGAATATATATATGCCACATGAACACATTTAGACGATAGAAATCTCTCTTATCAGAAAACTTTCTACTTCATATGCAAAGCCATTATTCAGTGGTGGAAGCAATATGGCTTGCTGATATAAGAAAGGCAGTACGGAGTAGATCCTAAGTCCCTCTATGTTTTCTATGGGACTATCGAACCTAGCACTTCCTTCATGACCAAAACCCATTCAAATATCTAATCGCGTCCAGTGACGCTTGTGATTAAATGGGCAAGTTTTGAAGTTCATACATCTGCCGCCATATCAGCTATAAAGGGAAAGAGAACTAAAATGAAATTAATCTGTGATAATGCTAGATAAAGGCTTCAATCGCTGTGCACATTTTTGTAGGGGTGGAGGTAGATAACCCTGAGACGTCTGGATATCAGATGATAGCATTGACTATTACTCGTCCTTTTTAACCTCCATATTGAAAATAGGAACAGGAGCACCCAAGTTGATCTTCAAAACATTTTGTGGCTCCGATTATTAAAAAAAGAGATGTATTATGTCGTAATGAGGGAGTAAATGGCCCAAATGTTTCCCAGTCACCTTATCGCCGTTGTATGCTTGAGTTAAAAGAAATATAATGAAACAGAAGACGGATAAAAATAGAGGTGACGCTGTTAAGTCGAAATAAGCAGGAGATGCTGAATACGCTGAGAAAAAAATCTTGATAAATAAAGTGAAAAGGGGGTGCGTTATGTCGAATGGGCTTCCGATTCTTCGTGGATGGTGGAAAAGCTATTCAGGACTTGCTTTAGGGCGGGGCGTTTGAGCGGTTTACTAAACGTATCACCAGATGAGTACGATGTTTGGTAGAAACAAGTCTTGGTGTTAGAGCTTACCTGAGGAACATGTTCATGCCTGAATCCATACAGACTTTAATATTACTTTCTTCAGAGAATGCGCTGAGAGCAACTATGGGTGCGGAGTATCCCATCTCTCTAATCAAACGAGTAGATTGGATACCATCGACATTAGGCATCTTGGCAAAACCCTTAGTATCCCGGCATCTATCGTCACTATGTGGCACCTTCTTACCTGAATATCCATCAAGATGAGGTTAAAGGCTTTGCCTTCCTCCATGTTGGCCTTGACGACTTCATAAGCCTCTTGGCCATCTTTTGCGATGGTCACATCATAAATATGTTCTAATTTCAACATTCTAAACACACGTTAGCACCATTCACACTAATATCAGGTGGGATACATCATACCGGAGAACCACTTCCTGGTTCACCACATTGTCCTCTGCAACTAATACTCGAATTCTGTCATCTGACATTCCTTCACCATTCGAAGAATTTGCTTGCAGATCCTCCTTCCCTTCTGGCTTCGAGGATGTTGGTGACTTTACTGCAGCAAAAAAAGGTTGACTCAAACCAACTAGTCTAGGTCCGAGTTCCTGTTCAACATTATTCGACTGAACGGAGTCTTTTCGTGACATCGACGAACGAGCACTGGGTGCAATTGAAGCTGTAGTGCTAGAAGTCCTAGTACTTGGGGTCCTTTCTTTGACGAACAGTAAAGGTATCCTAACAGTGAAGGTGGTCCCGACACCTTCACTGCTCTCCAACTGAATTGTTCCATTCATTAACCTGGAGAGTTGCGAACAGATGCTGAGGCCCAACCCAGTTCCTCCATACTTCTTGCTGAGGCCTGGATCGCCTTGAACAAATGGCTCGAAAACACGTTTGTGCATATGTGTAGGTATACCCGGACCGGTATCCTGTACAACGAACTCAAACAGAAGGGATTTTGCGTTGATGGGTGGCGATAATGGTGGCAGGTCGTACCTTTGCGACGATAACGATAATCGCTTCTCCCTTTCATCTCGCTTCTGGTTATTTACCGAAGACGCCTTAGATTTTCGTCGTGACATTCTCGATGACTCGAAGGAGGATTTTGGAGCACCGTCAGTCTGCTTATCTAACTCTCCGATGCATTTGATGCGCATTTCCACTTTTCCGCGCTCTGGAGTGAATTTCAAACTATTACTGACCAAGTTGATCAGAATTTGAAGTATTCTGTGTTGGTCTCCCCAAAGGACCATGTCTCTCAGTCGCCCGGTACCAGAGGGTCCAAGTGCTGTCCGAACTTGAACAGGTTCTCCAGGCAACTCTTCTGCCTCCGTTGAAACAGTTGTTGAATCCATAAATTTAATACTGAAGTTTATATTTTTCTCCTGTATCTGTTTCTGGAAAACAGCCATGACCTGAGATTTAATATCTGCCAAGCGAAACTCCTTTTCATCAAGTTGAATTACTTTATCGATTTCATTTTTGCTGAACGTCAACAGGTCATTCAGCAGGTGCAAAAGCAGTTCTCCGGACTTGTACACTATTCGAAGAGATTTTTTAATTCGCCCAGCATCGTCATCACTCATACAAACAGCGCACATGCCGAGGATGCCATTCAGTGGTGTTTTCAGCTCGTGGGAGATATTCGCAATAAACAGTGTTTTGCTTTCGTTGGCAGCTTCCGCGGCCTTCTTGCTAATCTCCAGTTCTCTCGTTCGCTCTGCTACCCTTTCTTCAAGTTTGGTGTACTGAATCATCAATTCGTCGGACATTTCATTGTAAGTTCTTGTCAACTCACTCAGCTCGTCTGTGATACAACGTTTTCGTTCTTGCACTTTCCCAGGTACGCGATACGTCTTCCCCCGGCCTTCTTCAACGTGCTGGCAGTTAGAATTCTTTGCGTCACTAAACCCAAGGAACTTTAAACGTGTACGAAGCCCGGATTTTTTCTCTGAGCGTTGGCAAGGCTCGCATCTGTTAAAGCTGTAGGGTGAGCCGTTCCTGTACTCAGAGTCACTGGAAGAAGGGGCTGCCGGGGGCTCCATAGTTTGCATAGTGGCTTCTTTCAACCGGCGAATCGGAGCAACACTGAAATGCGCCAAAGGTAGGACAACAAGGGCAATAAAACCTATTACACCAAAAACGCAAGCTAGAATGATCTTTTGAAGTTGGGCGATGGGGGCCCACGCTTCTGAGTGTGCTTGCTCCACAACCAACATCCAATCGACTAGAGTAGTTTGAGGGCGGGCAACACCAACTGCCACCTCAGCATTTTGCTCATTCCTTGTTCTTAGTGTGCTAGTGGCATTGTTGGGAGTCTGGTTTGTTTCGGTTAATGCTGAATAAACAGCTGGAAACGCACTCAGCGGAAATGATGGAGTTTCGTCTTTGCCGTAAACATGGTGCCTGTCCGCGACGCCTGACAGCTGCGTTGGTGGGAAGAGATATTTCACGAGCGCATCTCCTAGAGCTGTTATATTTGTCGCTGGGGCGGTCGGAGAAGATGGTCTAATCTTTTTCGGGAAACGATTCTGAGTGCCTGAAGGTCCCAACAGTAGTACGGCGCCTGTAGTATCAAGGCCTTCTCTAGACAGTAAAATCCGTTGTAATCGTTCAGCGCCGACGACAATACTATATAAGCTTGAGCGAAGGTCATGCATTTGAATAGCAGTGGGACTCACGTCATAAAGCCTAGAATATCAGTCGCAGATGTGTTATTAATAATGGGTAGCGTCAGGGAGGCCAGCGCAAATGTTTTGTTGACTCGCAGCGGCCCCAGGAATAGGTTGGTACTAAGCCCCAATGGTAAATCGTCGAACGCAGTCACAGTTGTGACATTTGTGCTCTCGCCATCCCGATCTTCCTGTGTCTGTACGGAGTAGGTTAAGTTTGGATATAACATGGGAGGGTAGCCAATGCCACTGTCGCCCAGCATCACAGTAGTCCCATTTGGGTGTGAGTATGGTAGGGCAATGGGGGAGGTATCTGAGCCAGTTACATTCAGCACACCATGCTGGTCACCGGTGCCGTCTCTAGAGAATACCACGGCTTGGTAGAGGGAAGTGTATATGCCACTTCCCAGGGCCGATTGGACATCGATGACAGCCAACGCCCAGTTCTCATCGGTGTTGTTGCCGCGGTACAGGCGACGCAACGCATTCTGAATCAAAATGCGCGTGACTACGGTCTTGCAGGACGACTGGACCAGCTCCAGATCGGCTGCAATTTGGCCGGCCTTGAGCGACGCCGTCAAGGCGATGCTTCTCGACCTACACACTGGTCAGCAGGCAACCAAGATCCATCATGTTTCTGGGGGCGACGGACTTGACATCAACGACGAATTTGTAGTTGTTAGTCCACTTGAACAGGCGCAGTTAGTGGGATCCATTGCAGCGGGCTCGCTTGGACCGGCGGCCGACGGGGGGAACTCACCGTCGCGATCGAGATCACGGTCACGGCCAGCAAGGAGGTGACGAGCACCAGGAGGGCCAGCTGCACCGCGATTGGGACTCTCATTCGAGAAGATCTTGGGGGTGACTGGGGAGAAGAGCTGGCGACCTCATTCCTCACTGCCTCGTCCACCTGGGGCACCGTCGGGGCGTCGAGCAAGGATCGACGCGCGTTTAAAGGGGAGGCGGGCGTGGAGTCCAGAGAAATTAAGAGGTTTCTGAGAAGATTTGGGCTCAATTAAGATCCGACCGGACGGTGGTTCGCGGCCGGCCAGAGCCACCCTGGCACCGCACCGGCAGTCTAGAACACCCGGCCGCTGCTGGCGAGGCGAGCTAACTCTGAACAGCCTCCTCCAGTGCTGCAGCCACGCGGGATTGGCGGATGCTTGGGGCTGAACGGGCAGCTGGCGAAGACTTGAGGATATCCGCACAACCCATTCCCGCCGCGGTCGCTGGGCTTTCAGGCGGTAGGTGACTGCGCAGGCTCACGTTGGACGGCGTGCGGCGGCGGCGTACCACTCAGGGGCACCCCTGCCCCTCTTGGCGTTATGTGCCGCCGCTTTAACCAGGCCCGACGCGACCCGCGACTGCTGCTTAGTCATCGTCCGATGGCTGATGTGGTTCGTCCAATCGGGCGCAAAGGCGGCTGTTTCGGGACTAGCGCAGCCCTCGCGACTTAAAGTGGCACGAGGCCTGTTTCCCCGCCGCGAATCGCGCGTCAAGGGAGAAGAACACACAACTGCATTATTATTGCAGCCCGGGTTTTCTGAGCCAGGATCTACCTGCTCGCCGGGTCACTCTCAGTTGCGCTTCTCTTGTCTTGGCTCGCTTGCAACCTGTCCTCGCCCGCTTGACATGGGCCAGCTTTGACGTGCAGACAGGCCTCCCACCAGGCCGGCACCGCAGTTCTCGCTCACCGTCCCATCCTATTGGTGGCGAATCGGCGAATATCAAAACCGGAGCCCGTGGAGCCCCGTGTCCGCCTATAGTGCGGAGAGTGGCCGGAGTAGTTTAACTTTGTGCGACAGAAACAATTATATCTCTCCATTAACATGAAACATGTCAAACCACACCCAGAGAACTCCGGTTTATCAACACTCGGAATGCTAAATGCGAAGCGCAACGCCTGTATGGGGTAACTAGCAGGGATCTAATGACAATTTTCAATCAATGCTCCGTACGGAGTACAGTGGTCAGGATTCTACACCAGACAGGTGTTTGCCGGTTCACCCAAGCTTCGAGCTCATGGATACCCGCCACTGAGGCCCGAACTTGCGCATCGCCCAAATCACAGAACAGCTAGCTAATGCCACCACACCAATGATCGTGAACAGCCATCCATTTCCAATGGCATGTATGACCGGAGCTGCTATTACTCCTCCAACACAAGAAGTGAGATTTCGAGTGAAGTTGTTCAGCGCAACCCCAGAGGACGATCGACCGGGCATAAATTCGGTGAGCATCGTGGTGACCATGCTGAAGATGATCATGGAACCAATGCCAAAAAAGAAGTTGCATATCATCTGCGACGATCAATCATTAGTCTAGTTACCACAACTAACTCAAGAAACGTAAAAAGGGGCCGCTGAACACTCACAGGAACGATCCAATGTACCCCCTTGTCAGCTGTCCAGCCATATACGATTAAAGCCAACGGATACATTATTGACCCTAGCCAAGCGTTTTCACGCATTCGGTCTTCTGGATGGTACACCCATTTCCCGCGTTCGTCCACCCTATTTGCCCGCTTTGCCTCTCTGTGCATAATGCTGTCCATCCACCGGCCGCCGATAATGCTCGCAAGAATATACCCCAGGGAATTAGGTATGTAAAGTAGGCCAACTATGAGCATTGAGAACTCGTAGGGAGGTTTGCTAAATGTATCCTGCACACTGATATTCAACACATACAGCGCTCCAAAGGCGATACTGGCATAATACACAGTCACGAGTACCGCAGGAAACCTCAGGTACAGGATCACCTTTAGGGGATCGATTAGAACCATCTTGGATACCTTTAACCACTTGGCAGTTTTTTCGACTACCTGGCGGGAGGAAACCCGACTCAGTGAGTGCTGGATAGGCTCTTGTAACTCTTCGGTCACAGGCACCTTATTTTGGACAAGAGTTTCCGGAAGGCCAAATATCAGGAGAATTAGAGCTACTCCACCATAGATCGCGAGGAACCATTGCGTACTTCGCCAATCCCAGACCTGAGATAAGAACCCACCGATGATCGGAGCAAGAAGTGGCCCACATAACGGGCCAAGGTAAAAAATACCCATAGCGCGGCCTCTTTCTTTCACTTCCCATATATCTGCGATCGTCCCTGCACCTACTGCTTGCACAGAAGCAGAGGCGCCACCACCTAGCATTCGCATGACGATGAGCATGCTGATGGAGCTGGCGATAGCGGAGAGGATGCTCCATAAAATGAATAGCGCAAAAGAAACTATATATATTGTTCGGCGCCCGAGCCTTTCGCTAAAGGAAGACCACCAAAGGGGGAATATCGACAAGCTCAACATGTATAAAGCAACTGATAAATTGGTGATTGTGGGACTAGCATTGAAAGTACGGGCAACTTGACCCAGTGCAGCTATTATGAATGATGTCAGTATATTTTTTGATTCTAGGCGGCTAGTATGGGGCTACACACGAAAGAATATAGCACTTCCCATTGGTGCCGCCATTGCAGCAACACCGATAATGAACGTTATGAACCATTTGGTCTTTCGAGTATAGTGTGTCGGCTCCTCAACTTCAGGTATCAGTGCAAGTTTGGCCAAGAGCCCACGCCGTTCTTTTAATGGTACTATTACAGGAGGAGGATGAACTGTGGCTCCGGTGTTGACATGGACGAGTCCTGGCTGCTCCAAAACCTCCGACAGGCTGGTCTGGGTAGAAACTGCCGGATCATTGTTGCCTATGGAGTCAACTATTTGCTCTTCTTGCTTCTGCTTTTCGTGCGAAATCGAACGGCGGGCTGTTGGTTCTTCCAAATTAATGGCAGACTTTTTGGTCAACATGGGCTTCTCAGGATCTGGCATGTTGGGTGGATGTCCCTATATGGGCGTATCAAATGGCCCATCTGCAGCGAGTGATGAAATAGTGTGTTCGTTCATGTGGCCAGGCCTGGCAATACTGAAATGCGCACTCTCTTTGTATGGCAACCCACAATGCCTGGATTGCGGGGCACTATTAATCGCCAGCTACGGTTCACACAGACCGTATAATGGTTGTTCCCGCAGTCGAGGCACAACCGCACCATATGCTCGTGCAAAATGAGTGGATGGATAGACGGGAAACGGTAAGAAATCCACCTTGGTGAGTCGAGAAGCGAAATCGAGGAATGTCTGGAGATGGAAATAGCCAAGATTTAATAGGGACTGAGGGCAGGCACTAAAAAGGCCCGCGGCTCCACACACTTCGGCGTATTTCGCGGCGATGGCTGATGCCGAATTTTAACTTTCCAGCAGCCAATTAATGCATGGACTGATCATAAATATAGGGACAGGCACGCGTGCTGTGGCGGCTTGCGACGTTCTTATATGACTGGCTGGTGAACGGCTTTGACGGCACAAGTAACGCCTCCCAGGCACGAATCAGACTTTTGGTAGCCATCCTTTTCCTGCAAGTCTCCCACCGCTGCGGGCCTGTCGGAACGAGCTTGATGTCTAGCCTAAAGGCATGGGCCGAGTGGCCAAAGTTTAGATGGTGAGTTCTGACACAAAAAGGATGTAACTCAGTTCAAGTAATCCCGATAGCCGTCGGATGCTGCCCGCTCGGGCCAGTAACTATTGCCGCCTTCTTTTCGTCCTCGTCTGACGATCGAATGGCGCCGATGTATTGCATGGCGTCTACTTGGTTCTCTCGCACGGATGCCCAACCAACGCGGCGCTTTACACGAACAGTGCGTGGATTACAACGTGGCATGGCGATCCCGTGATCGGCAAAATGTGCCGAAGTTCCGACGTGGGGGAAAGTGGAAATGCCGGCTGAGTCATCGATTAGTGCTTAGCTAATAGCCGGGTTGCGCCGCGGCTGTCGGAGTCGGAGTATTGTTATTCCATATGGCACATGACGTAGCGACAAGCGGGCCGGGCTTTGTGTTCAAGAATCAAAAAGGTCGGACGGAGTCCAGTTCATTTTTCTCTGTACTTGTACTCCGTACGGAGTACTAATGACGATATTGTCCATTGTTGGGAGCGGCAATATCTGGCTCAGGTGCGGGAGATCGCCGTTTCTGAAGTCGTACAAGCAGACAACCAAATCACACCCCAAAGGTCATCACTGCATGCCTAACAAAGTTGGTCCTTTCAATAAGCTACAATGCCAGGTGAGCGCCCCGGATTATTGATAACTGGAATTCCGGTATGGTATAGACTCTCAGTCACATGATCATCACATGCTCCTGTTTCGTCTGATACTTCGTAACGCGAGTCGGTGATAACTGATTTGTCATCCGCTCCTTGATCTATAAAAGGTAAGTGCACCTTGCATCTACCAGTCGAATTCCACCCCGCGCAACCCTCACACTGAACCCGCCGGCACCATGACAGCTAAAGGCCCCTTCCCGGATTTTGGCAAACGCTTCACCTCCGACCGTGATGCCGTCGACGTCTGGGACGATCTCTGGAAAGACGCCGTGACTCCTTGGGACCGTGGTTGTCACAACCCCGCACTCGAAGAGGCTTTGGTAAATCGACAAGACATTCTTGGCACTGCAATTGAGCATATGGAAGATGGAACGATCCGACGCAAGAAGGCTTTAGTACCAGGGTGTGGGAGAGGAGTGGATGTATTTTTGTTTGCGTCCTTTGGTTATGATGCCTATGGGCTGGAGTATAGTATAACAGCCTTGGGGGTGTGCGAGGAAGAGACGAAGAAGTATATAGATAGTGACGGAAAGATCCCAGCGAAAGACAAGACAGTGGGCAGTGGAGGTGTTAAATTCTTACAGGGAGACTTTTTCACCGACGGCTGGCTAAAAGACGCAGGGCTGGAAGAGGGCGGATTTGATTTGATCTATGATTATACGGTGAGTTATGGGAATAGATTGACTTTCTATCATCTCTGTTCGATAACTATAGCCAGCAATAAGCTAATCCGATTCTACACTAATTACCGTAGTTCTTCTGTGCTCTAAACCCATCGTTTCGACCCAAGTGGGCACTTCGCCATTATCAACTGCTGGCGCCATCACCACGTGGAAATCTCTTATGTCTTGAATTCCCAACGAACAAAGAGCCCAGTTCTTCGGGGCCCCCTTTCGCCTCCACATCCGCTATGTATATGGAACATCTTAGCCACCCCGGTGAAGAAGTTCCGTACAACACAGACGGCCATGTCAAGGTAGACCCCGCAAAACAGCCGAGCGAAAAGAGTTTCGAGCGTGTTGCACACTGGCATCCTGAAAAAACGCACAAAATGCTGATGGGCGAAGACGGCAAACACTATGACTGGGTCTCGATCTGGCGTCGGCGAAATTAGCCTATTCAAGATCTCAGCGCATATGAATCGGTGTCTCTTATGACTTATGACATTCATGGTTTCGGTTTGTAAGATGAATAGCAGGATCGCCACAAAGTGAAGTATTGGCATCACTGTCGCTAAACAGTGCTAACGGGCGGCCTCGGTCAATGCATTGTAATGTTCTCCCAGTCCGTAGGAATGGCGATAGTACGCCAGCCAAATTTTCTTTCTCTCCTCTCCATCTGCTATCTCTCCCCCTTCAAACTTCTCAATGCGTCCATCTCCTTGTATCACGTTGATTTCCACTCCATACGCTCTCGCCATAGCCTGCAGCTCCAACTGCCCGCCCCACTCGGCTGTAAACATGATCTTCCTAGCATACTCCTCCACCGGCTCCTCGATAAACGGCGCGAAATCGTTCGCATTTCCCAGCACATACCTCCCTGTCACAGCCCTTACTTCTTTATATCCACCACCCTTGGTCGCCTTTTCCGCGCTTAGCTCAGGCGCAGTCTCCCCCAGCCGTAATCCTAGTCCTACTTCTGGCAATTGTGTCGCAACAGCAGAGTATAAGCAGTGGCCATCTGGCGCTATTTCCCGCTCCGCAAGGCCAAGGCGTTTGAAGGCAGCTAGCATAGTCTGCTTCTCGTTGCCCCGGTGGTCCGTTTGGTTTGCCGCTTCCGCCTCGGCTGCGGCAACTTCTGCCTCGCGTTCCGCGGCGCGGCGCGCAAGACGCGCTTTTTGCCGGTTGGCCTTTTTGGGCTGAGATTCAGAAAAGGATGGGGCGCTGGTGGCGGTAGCGGTGGTGGCAGGGAGGGGGCTCGTTCCTATCGAATGTGTAGGTGGGGTAGCTTTTGGCTCCGCGTCTGCAGGCTCGTTGGTCATTTCGGGGGCATCGCCATTTTCTATGATATGGAGCGCATCAAGCTCGTTAGTCGGAGGGTTAGCTTCGCCATTCAATTGTGCAATTTCGGCCTGCTGGCGCTCGAGGAGCTCTCGCTGCCATCTTTCACATTCGTCATTAACACCCTTACGCGTCTTTTTTGTCGCAGATTTCTTCTTCTGGGTGATACGGGACTGGAGGTCACGCTGCTCCTTGCGGTGTTTGGCCTGAATGTCCTCCATTTCTGTCCGGCTGGACATGTTGCCGTTTTGGCAGCGAATGTTTTGATAACCAGGGAGAACTTGTATCGCCGGCAGAATTGTTATTCCATTCCGGCCTAACTTTGTCCAGCTAATCTCGACTACAGAGAATACACACGGAATATGCAATGTTGTTGTTGTTGTTGTTGTTGTTGTTATTCATTATTTTTCATAGGCTCTTATGGAGTCTTAGACTATGAAGAGCCACTCTCCCTAATCTGGCTTAGTTACAGCATGTGTTATCCTTGATATCTGGGCTCCCGCCACTCCATTCTGTTTAAGTCTCAAACTGTAGCATGTCCAGGGGGGGTCAAGACCCCTTATTTGACTTTTCACCAAATTCTTCTCTTAGATCATACCTCCTAGAGAAATCCTCATAAAACCTAGGGTGTAGCTGGTATATCTAAACATGACAAGAACCAATAGAAAATCAGAACAAGATGTATAAGATCACATTAAGACTGACAAGCCCAGTCTATTAACTTAATCTAGCATATGCTTATGTAACTCCCATATCATCATCTAGTTCCCAGCAGTCAATAACCTTGTCTCCTAGGGAGAACTCTCTCCATCCAGAGAAGAGGCTTCTCTGTTGGTAAAATACCATTTGGGGATAGCAGGATTCAAACCTGCGATCTTCTTTCCCAGGTGGTTGTTCCCCAAAAACAACAAACCATGCCAGAAGGATTCCTGCAGACGTTTACCAACTATGCCATACACCCTCCCCTCGGAATATGCAATCTTTATGCGAAGACATAAGGTAGTTTTACTGATTACTCTCCTAAGACACGGGTCGACTTGTACTCGAGGCTCACACTTTAGCTGGTTAGGATCTCCCGAAGCAAATATTTGAGCACTCCACCAGCATATGCAGACTCCTTGGGGAAAAATTTTCCGGTTTTTTTGGTGTATTCACGGAGATCTTCCAGTGAATCAAATAGCTTGGCCTTGCGGCCGGAATAGTTGTCGACAAGGTCAACAAGGTTGACGTAAATGTCGCTGATTTCCTATAGTGCCGTCATAAGCCTCTTAGGATTTTTTTTCTTATTTCAACGACTTGGGTTGTTACCGTTCTTACCTTCTTGCATTCCTTGATCGTGTACGGAATGGGATCAATGTCGACAGCAAGGCACAATTTGTGCCAGCAATTGATATCGTGAACATCAGTACCATATGTGTTATTGAATTTCACGACCATTGCATTTTTGAATTTCCTAGATGCCTCCCGCTTCTCATAACTTTGCTTATCCCATTCGAAATAATCGCACATGCGATAGAATTCTGCCACAATTGGCTTTTCTGGGCGATAACGAAATGCAGGGTATTGGGCGAAGAATTTTGCAATAGGATCTTCATCTTGACGCCTGTTTTTCTTGCGGCGTGACTACGGTGTTTTCAGTATGGTGAGCTTCGTCGTTGCAGTCCTTAAGTAGACTCTTACCCTATTGTTATTGCTGCCCATCTTCAAGAATAATCTCCACAACTCAATTTGGCTAACAACTTTTTATCAAATCAGCTTGAGGCTTCAAAATGATTTAAAGGAGTCCGCAGATTAAAGATTGAAGTCTACTCAAAAGAAAGGTGTGCCAACCTAGAGAATAAGAAAATCGGAATGTGATATAGCGCCCAAAAAAAAGGAATGGGTTAAAAGACCTCATCACTTTTATATCTCATGCTAGGCGAATTCCGTGGTACGAGTTTTTTTATAGTAATTTTCTGTCGACATGCATGGTCTTTCGTTTGTCGTGGCACGCATGTAGGAACGGGGCTTTTCTGACTTTTGGAACAACTGCGCCTCCCTGAAAAAGACTTTATATGACCTAAAAATGCTCCTGGTGCTGACATGGTAGCAGATATTCGACAGATACTCACCCTGCGAATATATGTTTTATGGCGAGCCTTTTGTCTAGAATTCAGCCTTTAGGATGCACAACGTGTTCTAGCGGTTGCAACTCTCCCAGGTGCTATATAGTGGCATCTATCTGCAAGTCTACAATGCTGTGGATACTTGTGGTTTTATGTAACATCCATAATATATCGAGAAATTTTCGATCCGAAACCACGGGCTAGAGCCCCATCCCTAGAACATCTCTCATATTCAGTCATTCCCTGGTTTTGGGAAATATCTTCCACGTGCCCTTCTGAAGCTGCCGCCTGCGGCTATACTTACCCCCTTGGGCACGCCATGATGCGAGCCGTCAGTGATGGTACTGGGTATGAATGCCGATTTTGTTATACCGGGCAACAACGATACGGTAACATGAGCAAAGTTTGCAGCGCAATCATGCCGGAGAATATTCCTTTGAAAGTGATCAACAACCCTTTACAATAATATCAGGGTTCCACATTGACAGAAAAACAATGTGTTGCATTTATGATCTGGTAAAGCGACTCATCATCAGCTAGCTCCGCTACCTCTATCTTCGACCTTGGCTTACTTGGAGGTCAAAGATAGCTCTAGTTGTATAGTTAGTATTGGTACGAAAAGATGATTTATCGGCCGCCTTATGGGGTGATTAAAAGATTTTTCTGAAAGTGTAGATTTAAGGGATAAAATATCAGACGACTAGACAAGCAAGTATGAAACAGATTCGCCAAGGAGCCGGCCTTAGTTCTAAAACTCATACATATGCATATGTCATACAATGGCAAATAGTTTCAGCTTGAAAATTCACTTCCAATGCGAGAAATCTGAATACGTCTTCTCATGATGCACAACACCAGGCATCCCATCCCGAGCCTGAAGACCATAGCTACCTTTCCGCAGCGCCTTAGAATCTACGTCAAAGCAGCCGTTCGTGATCTTTTCTGAGCATAATGGATGGATTTCACGTGTACACATATCGCAAAATTTGCCCTCTTTGGTATTCGCAAGATCTGGGCCCATGGACGTTGCGCTTTGACAAAGCTCGACAGCACTGTGGTTTACATCCTCGCTAATGATAACACGGCCTTCGAAGCATGACCGCGGACGCCGAACTTTGCTGGTTTCTGGCACCGAGCGTTTTGTACCATATGTCGGGTGGATTCCAAAACGGTCGACTCTAGACTTGTACAGCTGCAAACTTTGTTTTGCAGTCGGTGTCTGTCCAGGAGTAGGGCCACATTGCGGTTTGCCTTCTGTTTTGAGCTTCGCAAAGTCCACATCTGCCCAGTCAGCGGTGTATTGAAGTGGTGGGTCGAAAATTGGTAGACAGTGAAGTATGTCCAGCCTGGAGTAGATTTTAAAACGTGGTGTGCTCTTGCACATGGTATCGGGGTATTGAGTGTATTGTGCCTGTCGTGCTTCTGACCTTGCCGAATCACCCGCCTGGCCACTATTCACAACAGAAGGAAAGTCAGGTAAATGAATACCGTAGCCTTGAGGAATGTCATTAGTGGTTTTTCCATTGCTGTCAAGACCATCGACCCAGAAGCAGCTTGGTTTGTACAACTCCCCGATTCCAGCGCCGAGATTGGAATGATACCAGGGCGCTCCGCACTGTTTCGGGGTGTCACCAAATAGAACCCAATTTTTGGCTCCACCTGGTGGTGTTACTGTGATGTATGAAATGCATACTGCATCGCTGCCGAAACCCACGATGGACATGTACTCTGGAACCGCGTTGTTGTCTTTGTCGATGGGATCGACGACGACATTTCTTGATTGTTTCGCGGGTATTTTGTCGGAACGGCTACCACGCTTGAACCCTATCCTCAGACCATTACTATCAAAAAAGGCGATACCGGGAACATGGCCTCCAAGGCTCTTATCTTCTTCCCGCAGTTGTGGAGCACCGGCTGTGATCGCGACTATGACGGATTGTGCGACCGGTTTAGGAAAAAAGTACTGCCCCAAGGGTATTAAGGAAATTCCTGTTATGCCGAGGACGATAGCGTTGAGAGCCATTTCAAGGAAAGAAGTATAATATAATGTGATTGAGTGTCAACTGTTTGCTAGGTATGGTCTTAGAAGGCCGGCGTCCACGTTGCTGATTGTCTCTTTTATAGATAATGCCATAGTATCTTTGAGAAGCTACGAGCTTAAGACCTATGGCCGTCATAGTTGTTGGCCGTCGCTAACAGCAATGAACCAAGCCTCGTGGAGTGAAACAATATAAGCCTTGATCACATATATCCAAAACATCAACAACACTCGGCACTTCGTGTTTATGGTGCAACTCAGCGTACTCCGTATTACACAGGAGTCCTTCAACTAATACCACGAGGTCATTTCTATCTTTGGGAGATGGAATTCCCCCTATAGAAAACGGGGGCAGGATGTAAGGCAGGACTTCGGCAGCTCCGTTCCTAAGTAAGAATATCAAAATTAGGAGGTAAAGTGCCGACTGAGCCAATTTTGGTTGAAAGGCTACAACACTCGTAAGAGGTATTGGCTGTTGTTTTGATAAATGGTCTATCTTATCAAAATAGTTCAAATAAGACCATCTAGGAAGCCGATGGACAAAATAGTAACAACATAGATGGCACTCTTCTGTAAGAAACCCTTAATGAATTGATGAAGTATTACCACTAAGGTGACTTTCACCATGAGTGTGTGTGCCAAGAAAATCGGGGTATATTCTGTTTTGAGAAAAAAAGGCTGAATAATATTTATTGTAAACACGATGAAAAAAAATATAGTCGTCGGCTTGGACTCCGGTTTGAGAACCTTACCTTTAGATTATGAGGCCCGAGAAGGATGTGGATAATACTTGGGCCGGTTGACCATTAACAGCGGTGCCCCAATGTCCACGTAAAGTATGCTAAGGGAGTGATGATTTGTTATGTTGGCATTTTGAGAAACTAAACGAGGGAGGCGATGAAAGTTTCATATTAGTTACCTGGGGGTGTTTGGACAAAGCAATCCCTTTAATCAAGCTGGTATACATGACCCAGCTATTGATTACTGGGGAGTGCACGTTCTTCAAGACCACGGCGTTTTTGGAAATGTAATCCTATCTCAAAATACTTCAGAGTTAAAACGAAGCGAAGCGTTTGTTCGTATTCACTGTAATAAAAATAGCCTTCAGCTTCTCGGAGACCATGATTGCCAACTGCCAACATGTCCGAAGTGTGGACAGTTGAAGCCGTCATATTATCAAGTTAGACTTACTGAAGATAGACGACATGGGTTGTATTCAAAAGAAATTTCGGTGCGAAGCGAGAACCACATAAATATCTCAGCATAAGCCCCAGGAAAATATCATTTTTTTCTAGAGCACAGCTTACCTACCTCAAGACTTGCAATACATATCAGATATCATGCTTGTGTCAAATATTCTCCTTGCCGCGCTGTTGTGCGGATTCCAAATATCGGCGACGGCGATAGCTCTTCCGCCAAACGAACCTCAGGGTATCTGTGTTGATGGTGATGACTGTCACTCATATTTGGAACACGGGAAGGACTGGAACAAACGTGCGCCTCCACCAGTCGAAAAACCTCCGACGCCCCCGGTGCGACCTCCAAGTCCTTCTAGGCCAAACTCGCCGGGAAAAAACAATATCCCGAAAACGAATCCCAATGCACCGCCGGTGGCAGCACCAGAGCCGCAGGTGCCTAAGATTGATATCGGCCAAATGAAAGACCAAATGTTATTCTGGCTTGCAAGAAACGGGCAAAATCCGAAAAATCCTTGGATATTCTGGAGTGGATTCAATGACGGCGTTACCGTCAGAAATTTTGCTAATACTTTCAAACCTATGAAGCCAAATTGGATTCGCGACGTGCTGGAAAGCCCTGAACTCATGGCGAGCAAGAAGGCATATGCCGACGCTGGGCAGGAATGGAGATGGTGGTCGCATGCGTCAAAATCAGTCGCTCAGATCGCAGCGGAAAACGCAGAAAAGATATATGTTATTCTTCCCAAGGGCCGGCCGCTAGAGAAGCCGTATGCGGATGGGAAGTACTCTAATTTCTGGGAGTATGAAATTGCGGAGTTGACAAGGCCAGGGGACAATAAGATCAAACGGATCATGCGTGTGGACAAAGAGGACCTTGGGAATGAAAAATTAATCTGGACGCCTGGGCCCGGATGGGGTGGCCAGAAAGGAAAACCAGGCGACCCGAACGTTAAACCAACATAGAATAATCGTGCTGGTTGAAGTTGATAGAATTGATTGAAGTTGTTTGAGATGTTAGTTTGACTGAAGCCTGTTATGTAAGCACGGCGATATGCCGAGAAAGGTTAGCTTAGGGGGCGGAATAGGGGCTGGGCCCCAACATCGGAGGAATTGAATCATCTATATCAAAATGGAGTGCAATCCTGAATCCCGGACTCGTAAAGATTTTAGCCATTTGTGTGTACATAATAATACCTCCTCTCCAGCTATTCACACCTAACATAGGATCCTGTTCAATCTTTGGATTGTCAACATCCGGTTCAACCACCTCACCAGGTACCCAGTCAATTCAGAACAGATGCCGACCAGTACAAGGAATCGCCACAATGGGTATAGGAAGACCGCCACTTTCAAACTCCTTTTCTATGTTCTTTGCAATGCTTCGACACGCCTCCACCCCGCCCCTCTAATATTGCAATGCTGTGGCCCTACTGAATGTTTCATAAGGAGTGCATGCTCCTAATGCACGTCGCATATGAGCGTTTAAAAACTGCAGACCGTAAAGGAAGCTCGCATTAACCCAGCCGAATCTAAAATAAGTAACGGTTAGTAAAATAGTCTTCGGGGGCCAGAATACTAAGCCTACCCTTCTCTAGAAACACCCTTAAAATCGCTCCCCTGGTTTCCATACTCAGCATCCACCCGATGTGGATCAATAGGCCTAGTGACATCATATTTCTCCACCACTGCTCCGTTGAAATCAACAAACGCCTTTGTGATCATGTACAACCATTTGTAGGCCAATTCCTCAGCTTCGTCTTGATATCCGTAACGGAGGAGGCCCGTCCATGCCAGCATTTGCTGCGGTGCCCAGCCGTACGGGTAGTCCCACTGACGGTTAGGACGATCAATGCCGACAATACCGCGAGATTCTTCAGTCCCAGAAACCAAGCCGCCATAAGCTTTAAATCGAGGTAGAGCTTTGCTGATGAGAATCGATGCCTGCCGTGGTGTGGCAATGCCAGCCCACATAGTCCAAAACGTTGTTGCGCTCTCGTACGAGGTCATTTCTTGGGCGATGGTATCGTAGTCAAAATACATACCTTTCTCTTCGTTCCACATGTACTTATCGATCAGCGCCTTTCTACGCTTCGCTCGTCGATCCCATAAGGCCGAAGACTCGAATTCTTTAGTCTCGATATTTTTGGTACGAAATTCCGGTGGGATATCAAGCCTATCCTTGAAGAAGTCGCGGATTGTGCGAGCAATGTCGACTTCGTATTTGTATAGTAAACAGTTCAAATCAACTGTCGCCAGGTTGGCACAGACCTTTTCAAGACGATATGATGTATCATGTCCCGATTCACGAACAGCACGATCATGCAAGAAATATTCATCCAGCTCCGGAATTTGGAGTTTCCCATTGTTATACGCCTCAACAAACTGATCAAAGGACATTCCACGCTCCTCAGCATAAGGGGTAAGAATATGGTAGAAATGAGTTGATTCTGTCTCGGGTGGAACGCCGATGCCAGAAGGTCGGTATCTAGACAGTCCACTAATAGGATCAAGCCTTGGTTCAGACATCCAAACACTATAATACTCCTTGATCGCGGATAGCATGGCATGGCGAAGAAACTCCAGCGAATCTGGCTCTGGTTTAATTTTTTCGTAGACTCGCAAAGCCATATCGGTAAGGAATGGTGGCTGAGATCGACACAAATAATACGAGCGATTGGCATTTAAGATCTTCCCGTAGTGCTTGATGCAGAAGCAGAAGTTGGTCACCATACCCTTCGCAAGGTCAACCCTATCAGAGACTAAGAGTCCGAGAGATTCCATGTAGCTATCCCAACCGTAGAGCTCATTGAATCTACCACCTGGGACTACAAATGGTACTCCTCGTAAATCAGTTTCCCCAGTCTCGTCATCTGTATACTTTTCCATTGCCAATGCCAGAAGACCCGGCTTGCAGTTTAAATCTCTGACAAATTCAGGAGTAATCTCCTCTTCTGGCGGAAGCAATTGAACATCCAACCGTAGCTCTGGCCGCTTGTTAGCTATTTCCTGATAGTATTCATATTGCTCCGGTGCCCCTCGAGGAACATAAACGCGCGGCCGGGGGTCATCAGTCCAATCTTTTGGGTCCTTTCCCACAATTTCAATATTGGAACCATCAATTCGCCGAGTTAGAGCTTTCCAGAAAGAATTGGTAATCAATCGCGATAGACGGTTAACTGGGTTTTCATTCAAACGCTGCTCATCAAGCAGAATGTGTTTTCGGTGATAATCTTTCGCGATGGTTAGTTCCTGGAGGAGATTTGAGAGCATGTAGGTGCCTCGCAAATCAAATCTGTTGAAACCGGAGGACGCAGCCGTGCCGACGGAGAAAACCTAGGCAAATGAAGAGCGTCAGATCGCTATATCAAATGTGTTTTAAAAAAACAGGTACCTTAGGTCCTTCATCTTCAATTGTGATCTGCATATTTCTATCCGTGTCCTCCCTTTCCAGTAATGCCTCCAGCGTAGCATCGACGTCGATGAGAAATCTTCTAGGATGCGATACTTCATCTATTATCCAGACAAACATTTTAGCATAGCTGCTAAGTGGTTCATAGGGAAACGGTGTTGCTTACCATGGCTGGATCGTCTTCCCATAAAGCTCCCAATGTCGCTCAAATCGAACCTTTTCAAGCTCTGTATGAAATAGCAAATGTAAGCAATCAAACCAACGGCTTCAAATCATCCAATGCCTAGACAAAGGCTGAACTGACCGACGATTGCGCTCGCTGGTGCTTCCGGGCATTTCTTCCAACCGTCATTTCATTTCCACCGTAATAGACATCCGGGTCAGAGAACGGATCTATACTATCTGACCCAGATCGCCTATGCCCCGAGGAGTACATTATGCCGTGTAGATGTTTGGCTCTGCCTGTGCTGAACAGCAGACTAGGGGGGTCTTGGAAGCTCAAAGCTATGACGCAAGGATGGAGAACGTCAGGTCAAGACCCATTCCCAGTGCTCTTCAGCAGCTAGATCCAGTCAAAGCGACTGGGAGCCACAGTCACGCAGCGATATATATCGAGTCGGACCTGAACGTCTCTTGTGTGCGACGTGTCAGTGCTACCGATTGGCGGCGGCCGGCTGATTTGCGAAATCGGAAGCGTCGCTAGCGGTTAGTTAAATAAGTAGTTAACTAACTAGCCAACGGTCAAATATGGCAACAGACGACAACACCGATACGATTGAGTACAAGGAGGCCCTCGAAACCAAGAACAAAGAACAGAGGGTGAGCAATTTTGAGGCTGCACTCCGATTAAAAAGTTTAGCCTTACCTGAGCCAGCATTCATACCAAGCTAGACCCTTGGCCTGTTGGTAACTTTGAAGAAATGATGTAGAAGATACCTGGCCAGAGGTCGTAATATAGCGACTATCGGGTTTGGAATAAGCTAGTTCTATGGGATGCTTGGCCTATTTTTAGGAGCTGGGCGAATGAAATATGCTACAGCAGTTGATTGCAGTATTGAGATCAACACGAGGCATCCTCTTCGCCGGTCAACGAAGCGCATGCCTGCTTTACTGCGCACGAGATCAAGTATCAGCTACCTGCAGGGGCTCTAATTTGCCACTATATAAATTCTTTATCTTAAACTTTACGGGTCAACTGACCTTCCAGTTGAACAGTATGAAACGATAAAGCTAGGCTTCATTCAGTTGGAGTGTATTTTGTACAGTATGATAGCAAATCATCATAAACAGAGATGAGCCGAGTAGTCTATAATCTTGCCGCTACAGCACTACCGCCATCCACGGTTATTGTAGCGCCATTGACATAAGCCCCAGCACGACTGCTCAAAAATAGACAAGCTCCGGCAACATCCTCTGGAGATCCAATACGATGGAGAGGGATGCCCGCTTCAATTACATCCTTAAACTTGTCCAGCGTAGCAGCCATCATTTTGCTTTCAAAAGGCCCGCAGGCAAGGGTATTAGAGCTAGACACAAGGTCAGAACTGCATGAAATCTATATAGTCCAGGATACGAACGTGATATTTCTCTGCCCCAGATGATTTGCCAACACTCGACTGAGATGGTGTAAGCCGGCCTTGCTAGAGCTGTATGCAAACGTCTCCAAAGATGGAACTCGGAGGCCGTCGATGCTTCCAATATTGATGATTCTCGCGGGGTCAAGATCTTTGGCAGCTTTCTCCATCAATGGAGTAAAAAGCTGGGTCACAAGAAAGACACGGTGGAGGTTGAGAGTTAATACGCGGGTCCAGGCGGAGGAAGGATATTCGTCGTATGGTGCACCCCAGTTGGAGCCGGCATTGTTTACTAAAACATGAAGTTCTGACAGATCTTAGCGGAAGTTATGGGGCAAGGACGACAAAGGAAACTGACTATCTTCCTTCTTCGAGAATTCCTCAAACAGTCTTTTACAGTCTTCCTCCTTGTAGAAATCCGCTTGGATGGCATGCGCTGAACCTTTACCTAGCGCGTTTAGTTCGGAGCATGCCCTCTCGCACGCGGCAATATCGCGGGCAGTGATGTAGACTTTGGCACCATTGGCAACGAATCCCTCGGAAATCATGCGGCCGATACCTTTGGCACCACCGGTAACCAGCACAACTTTACCCTATTCTCGGAGGTAAGCACGGGCCTTGGGAGCGGCGGGAAGCACTCACCTTGACGTTGAATAGCGACGATGTATCCATTTTTACAGGCTATGATTCGATTCAGTAAAAGGAAATAACTATGTACTCCGTACAGTAGATATCTCTAGGGCAGCAAAGGAATTTGTTTATAAAGGTTATCTACGGCTGATCCCAAAGGATTCTTGCTGCGCCCGAAGGTGGTGCGAATATACCTCGGCTTGCGGAGTAGTTATAGCCTACTGATTTGGTACTGAGAAACATGATTGGCAGTGGTAACGCTTGACTTGTAATCAAGAGGCCCGCGGTTCAATCCCGCGTCGGGGCATTTCTCTCATTTTGGATTCTTTTTTTATTTCCCTTTCCTTTCCTATTTTTAGGAAAATGAAGAATGAACCCCTTTGAAAGACCGGTAACTAGTTAACATAGTAGGGGTTAATTAGTTAAGTTGTTAACTATGTAAGTTAACTAACTAATCAGCCGACTAACAATCGCCCAGGATGCGATATAAATGGAGAGCCGACTAGCCATTCAGCTAAAAAGGCGAACAGCCTATTAGGTGTAGGCTGTCAGTGCTGTTATATTTTCCCACACATCATACTGGTGCCTGATCATACTGTGAATGCCTGGTCGGTGTAAACACAACAAAGAGAAGCAGATTGCTGAACTACAGAATCCGACTATTTTGATTGCTAATATGATATGAAGGTTTGTGTATATTTTGGGAATAAATGCTTGAAATCCTATGGAATATGACTAGAAACAAGTCTAGTTTGCAGAGCAGCCTCCCTCCATTCATCTTTGCACTTTGAGACTGTTCATTCAAGAGCTGAAAGACAAGCAGTAGCCATGACTAAATAACACTATTCCAGCCTGGATCACATATATTATGAGAATTAATACCTGGAAAACCCGGAAATGGTGGTGGTCCTCTTATACATGAACACAAAGTGCGAGGTTCATAGGTAGTCACTGCGGGATTTGCAAAACAAACCAAACAAGGAGCTTAAAGCTAACAGACTCCCAAACTTTCAATAAGGTATGTTGTCCGACACAGCCCCCTATTTCCGAACCTTCGCTAGATATTCTGCAGCAGTTGCGGGCACTCTCGGGCCGCGATTTTTCTGCGCAGCAATAATTTGCCTTTGACTACTTGATGTCAAGTGGCAAACATTACCGACACCAAACCTGGGAACCAGACCCCTTTCTGAATTTGGTTAGTTGGCAACCACCTCACTGCTAGCCCTTCAAGACTGGGCCAAATTGTTCTGTACTCCGTATTAAGTGTGGTATCTATCTGCCTTGTATGTAGAATCCATTTCCATTCACCTACTGCATGGTAAATGGCGTCGAGGACTGGCATTTAGCTCTTAGAGCCTCTTGCGTTTTCTCTTTCTACACAGTTTTCCCTGATGCCTCCTTGTGAATTCATAGCAAATGGATTTCAAAAAGACAGATCTCTACATGATTCTACAAAATATCAGAGCTGGTTAATGGTTTGACATACGCCAGAATGTCATTTGATATCGCCACCCTTAATCTCCGACTCCATGTCCGTTTAACCCGCGCCTTAGGATTTTTGGGATACACAATGTGGCCAAATCCCCAACTGTCGTCATTGTTATCATTGCACTGTGGAGCACTGGTTCAATGACGGAGCTGATGGAGGTCATTGAGTTTATCTTAAATCCCGAGTCAGCCCCGCGGCATGATATAAATCTGCCCTGTCCTTCGCTTTATACTCTTTAAGGAGGGAATTCCAGGCCTCATTATTCCGTCCTTTTTCAAAATACCAGTTTAGTTTCCGATTGGGGAGGGATTTGTGGCCATGTCCGTTTCAGCCGCTACGCCCGGCCGTCTTGAGCAGGATGGGGATTATATTCCTCGCGGGACTGTCACTACAACCGCCGATTTCTATATTCCTCCTGCCGATGGCTCCCTAGCTTTCTATTACTATAAAGAGACGCCTCCAGGTGTTCCAAAAACCAATTTCACCTGGCGGTCCCATCCCATAACCGTTGAGGATATCCGTGGGCGCGAGGACCAGTTCACATTGGATAACAACGCTTTCCAGGCTATCAAGAACGTTCCTCTTCTGAAAACTGATCCGTCGTTCACTGATGAAAAGAACATCAAGGAATACTACTATCCTGAAGTAGAAGCCCTCATCTTTCGGCACGTTCCGGGTGCAAAACGCATTTTCATCTTCAACCACACCGTCCGCCGCAACACCCCCAACGCCTACAGGGCGCCTCTTAACAGTGTCCACTTCGATCAGACCGACCTTGGGGCTGAAAACCGAGTCAGGAATCATTTACCTGATGAAGCAGAGACTTTACTTAAAGGACGATACCGCGTCATCAACGTCTGGCGGCCCATCACTGGCCCAATACAAGACAGGCCGCTTTTCTTTGGCCCTGGAAGTTTAGTTCGCAAAGAAGATGTTCTTTTCACCGAGAACTTCTACCCAGATTATGTGGGAAAGGGAGCCGGGGTCATGCTTAATGAGGGCCGGAAATGGTATTATTGGTCAGGAATGCAGACAGATGAAGTGATGTTGCTGAAATGTTCGGACTCGCGCGATGATGTCCCTGAGCAGAAATGTCCCCATGCATCTTTTGACGACCCAAGAACCCCAAAGGGGGCAAGGCCAAGAGAGAGCATTGAGGTAAGATGTTTGGTTTTTGGATAAATCAAACAACCTATCTTGAATTTGCAAAAAAAGTGGTAAAGACAAACTGATCATCTGCACTGCCTGTTGTACAGAATGCAAATGTTGGCAGTAGCTACTCAGCACAAGTTGTATTACTTTTTTGTTGTTAAGAAATCCTTCCATCATCTGTGGTTTGTTATTGTGTGACTTCTACTATAGATTGGGATTAGGCAAATTGAAATATTGTTCGTTCTTTATTTCCCAGTCATATGCGTCAGCCGTCCTAGCCGAACACCTTATTTGGTGTAGGCAGTCTCCTCCAAGATGAGGTATTTTCTCTAGAAACAAAAGCGGCCCGAGAAAAGACCCCATTGAGTCTAGCCAAGAAATTCGGGCTTAGACTTTTCCCGGCTCAGCTTCGACACCCGGAATGGGTTGGTCTCGAGACGAGACAACGTCGGCAGTTCGAGCCTCTGGTAGCTCTCTTTTTGTTTTTTCCTGAATGATTAATAAATCCCCCACGAAAATTCTCCGCCAGGCTCCATCCCCAGCCTCGTATAACCTCCAATTCTGAATTTCTGACACGCCTACGGAGTACCATTATCCGTACATGTCGATTCCAATCATGTTTCCCCTTTCATGTGCAGTTTGTGCTCTATCTGAATCTTTGCACCTGTCAACGTCAAACTTGTTTACCCCTGTTACACATTAAAAGCTGCCCGAAACCAATAGCTTCAAAGCTACCCCTTGCCATGACTGGCCGTCAGAAACATTAGTGACGTATCTTTGCCTTGATTTGAATGCTCATGTATGTGTTTAGGAATCTGCGAGCAGAATGCGGGGTGCGGAGTAGTTTGCACGTACCTCTCGGTAGAGTTGTGCCTGTTTCTAGCATCCTAAGGTACCTGGTGGATATCAGGCGCTGTTCAATCTGAACCTGTCTCGGCAAAACACGGACGGAAAAAGTTTTAGGGGTTTCGACACAATAAGGTACCAATGTGTTGACGAACTGGACGCTACCCGGGTGTGAGGCCGTAACTAAAGAAGAGTTTGGTGTTGAGAATACACCAGCGAGATGGCCGCCACCACTTGAGCACGAAATATTTGTCCGGAAGACGTCTCCGTACTATTCCAAAGCTACTCAATTCAAGACATTTTGGGCGACTTTGGGCGACTTTGGGTGACTCTGAGACGATACTTAAGAAGGCCGACGCCTTGGCATACCAGAAATCGCTTTGAACTAGTTCGCTGAGTCTAAAACCTGCAACCTCAGGCAAACACCCAGACCACGCGAACGCCGCCATCTGCTACGCTACCAACCCCAAATCCCACGGCATCTTTGGGACGTTGATACTGTCTATACTGATTTAGCTTGTCGGTCGAAACCTTCGGCGCTGTTAGCAGTGATCTATACATATCTCTCAACCTGTCTTGCCTCCTACCCCACCTGTCTTCACTCGGTGATCACCACACTATTCAACGCAACCCCTTCCCTACTCCAACACTGCCACTGGACCGTGCTTTGGCGTGTACGCCATGTGTGACTTTGACCACCTTGGTCCCGTTCGTCAATCGAGCTAATGTATGCAAAACCAAGGGGCGCGGGGGCTCTATCCTTGTCTCTCTGCGGAATTGACTTCACTCTACTGCGGATCATTTTCTTTTGTCTGGTACTCCTGGGATACCCCACGTATCTACCCGAGAGTATGTCCAGCTGCAGATTACAATCAACTACTTTTTCATCAGAAGGTAGAAATTTCATTGAGACTCAATAATTGCCGGGCACAATTCAGAATGGACAGAGAGAAAGCCTGGCAGTTGTTTCTCATTATCCCGTGTTTAACTGATGTTGCAAAACAACATTGTTCCAAACGTTTAGCCAAACAATAGGTTTCGTCTTGAAACTTCTCACGACAACCAAGTCTTGAAAGACTTGAAGTGCTTGTACCCTTAGGTTCTACCAACTTGCCTGGTTAGCATCAAGCCCTATCTTAACCCCCACCTCCGAAGTCAGCAATTCTTCGAGTTAGGCTTTTGCATATCAAACAGTGGCTGGTTGCAGCATAAAACATCTACCTGAAAATAGTCCTATTTTGGGAACTCAAGCTGAGCTCTCTTGTGGTGACAGACATGTCGCTATAGCATTTTCTAGCCATTTGCTGGCCTGCCTCTTGAGTGGGAAATGTCTATATAACTGTAGTCATGTCCTCCCCTTTCGCATTTCTTTTCTCCATCATCCAACAGTCCAATCGTTAATTTCCAGCCTACTTCTGGCTTTCAGTTTCTTTTACTGTTTACATACATAATCGCTCTTTTCGGTCATCTGCTGTTGAACAACATTTGACCTTCGTTTCTTAAAACATTCAGTAATTGAATCTTAATACTACTAAGAAATCCATCGCTATGAAGTCCGTCTTCTTTACCCTTCCCCTCCTTGTAGCCGCTGCTTCTGCGAGAGCGGTTGCAAATGCCGATGCCGCAGCAAATTGCAAGGCTGAGATGGCCAGATGCGTGCAAACTGCTGTAGATACCGGCAGTCCTCGCGGGCTTCAATGCCTCGTCTTGCAGGGTACTTTGATACCAATCTCACCCTAAAGGAACTGTTTTGACTAACCCCTTCTCGCTAGATGCCTGTACATCGCATCTCAAAGCTAGAGCTACTCCAGAGGAAGCTACTCCTGCAGCTCCCGCGGCTCCCGCGGCTCCCGCAGCTCCGACGCCAATCACCCCTCCTTCTCAAGAGGAGGTTGATAGGATCAGCAATGGCGTTCGCCGAGTTATCGGCAACAACACCAGGGTTGACATCGACAAGATGGTCAAGACTGCTGTCGACAAGTTGACTGCCAAAGGTTACGACGTGAACAAAATGGTTGCTGCTGTGAACGGCACAAACGGCGGTTTTGATCTTGAGAAAACGATGAACCGAATGGTCGCCATGTACAAGGCCCGTGCCAGCAAGAGTGGTAATAAGGCTCCCCGACAACTCGGCGGTCTTGATATCGGAAGCCTTATTCAGTCCGTCCTCGGTATGGCTGGCCTTGGAGGCAACGGCGGCGGTGGTCTTCTCGGCGGTCTCCTTGGTGGCGGCGGTAACGGAGGTGGCCTTCTTGGTGGCCTTCTCGGCAAGCGCGATTTGGAAAGCTCTCCTGAGTTCCAGAAGCTTGTGCGGTCTCTTACTGAATATGCTAACAGCGATGCTGCTGAGGGTGCTTTGGCTGCCAGACAAGTTGCAGGTCTTGATATTGGAGGCATCATCCAGTCCGTCCTCGGCATTGTTGGTCTTGGAGGCGATGGCGGCAACGGTGGCCTGCTTGGTGGTCTCCTCGGTGGTGGTGGTGGCAATGGTGGTAACGGAGGCGGTCTCCTCGGCGGTCTTCTCGGTGGCCTCCTTTAATCGCCTCGCCAATATCAGGCAACTCAGACTATCGTTACTGCAATGCCCGCTGCAGATATTCGCCAGCTACCCTCAGTGGTGAGCTCCTCTCCCTGGATACACGCCATGATGTCTGGTACGGTCTTTGAGATGGGTTCTTTACTGGTATTGCGGTCAACTACTGTATAAATATTTCTTCTTTCCCTCCTACCTTTACTACTTTTAATGTACCTTGCATACTCCATATATAACACAGGCATATGAATTTCTTAAAACAGTTTGAAACTTGTTCCTATAACTTGCTCTCTTATCTTGGCCAACATTTATCTATTTCGCTGGTTGGACAACTCTTTGTTTCTTTCGAACAGGGGTAACTAGGCTATGTAGTTATTAATATTTCACCCCGCAACAAAGCTGTGTACCCAGCTTCCATTACCAATGCCGGCCTCGATTTTTATATTTTCGAAAAACAGCTCAAGGGCATTCTATAAGCCATGGACTTCTCTGTTCCGCCCCAGATCTATTACCCCTTCCCGGAGCACTCTCGGGCCCATCTCCTCAACCTACCGCTCGAGCTCCGCCACCAGATCATTCTCTATGTGCTGATCGCCAGCGCCCATGACTTTCCGCTTCCCTATGAATATGGCATCCCGCGCAAGCGGCCGCTGCTCTGCGTCTTCTCCCCTTCAATACTGGCCAGCCTCCAAGAATGCCACCAGCACCCCACACCGGGATTGTTCTGGGGCTCAGAGCGCATGACGCAGCTGATGCGCGTCAACAAACTTCTCTACGACGAGGTGTTCGAGATCCTCTACACCCAGTGCAGCTTGTACACCGGTCTGTCGCATCTGGGCCTCGACGAGGCGCTGCTGCAGATGGAAAAGAGGAACGCGACGGCAGTGCAGCAGATTCGACATTTCCATTGGAGATTCGCGGTGATGCTAAGCAGCACTCGTTTGTCGGAGGAGAGTATTCGGATTGCGGATACAGATTTGAAAACTCAGGCTAGACATATGATAACGGGGCTGCCGTCGTTGAGGAGTGTTACGGTGCAGATCTATTTTATTGGATACTCTATCGCGCCACCGCCTCTTCGCGTTCTAGCGGTTGAGGATATTATGTCGGTTCTTCACGCGTTGAAGAGTAAGGAGATTGATCTCTTTGGGGAATGCAATCGGGCTGACCAGAGAGAGGTCATTGAGGAATGCCAAAAAAGGCTGGCAAATAAAATAAAGTAGTCTTCTTATTGGCCCCTTCCTAAACTTCCTTCCTCAGTGGACATCTTTGGCCGTATACGGAATTTAGCCTTAATCTTGCTATTCATATAGGTTGGCACGGGAAGAATATGGAGGACTGTACTCTACACCAAGTCGCCATGGTTTGAAATGCTATTCGCATCCATTCCATTTAATTGAAATTGATTACAGCCTGCCAATGTCAACACACCAAGCATAGCGCCGAAGCTTCCGGGTAGTGGGTCTATCCATAAAGCAACCCATCGTAGCCTCGATATAGTTGAAAGTTGTGATATAGCGTGTAATTGTTGTTGACCAGCTGTTTTTTGCTCGAGCAGTTAGTACTCGGTACTATGAAGAGGTGCGAGGTCTCTACTTCCGTTTGAGAAGTGTTGTGTCAATCCAATATGGAACACTCATAGTAAACATTCCAATGGGGAAGCTTCCAAAGTAAGCCTGGACCTGCCAAACTCATGCAGTATTATCTCATCGAACGAAAGGGCAGAGCTGAAATGCAATGCGTTCTTGGTGTTTTCAGTCAACAATAACGAGAAAGCACGAAACGTATACGGGTAAGAGACTGAGCCCCTACTTCGACAGCAGTACCTGAATAGAAGATCGAATGATCTTCCTTCGCAACTCGCTACAGAGCGGTGGTAACCTAGGACGTAGCCATGATGCCAAGCTACTATTCTCACAACTACCGTAGCCGAATATCGTGATCCCGCGAATTGAAAGTTGGACTTGTTGAATTCCCAAAATTTAGGGTCACATTGATGCCAAGACAACCGAACAAATCAATGCTGGGTTTCTATGAAGCTCTCCGGGTATTATTAAACGAAAGTGGCTTTGGAAGACTGCAAAAAACTATAGCATTAAAGTAGTTTCGTCGTCGGAATGCCACTCTGCAATATCCTCGTCCCCCAAGGAACGAGGTGCAATTATCATCATGGGCGCCTTGGATGTTTCTGGCAGTGTACTCCGTACCCCGTAGATTCTGACTGAACCCGCGCTACAAGCGCGGCGCTTCTCGTTTCAGGAGATGCATGTCCATTGGCTCAAGTGCCGCTACTTTCAAGCCCCAGGCAACTACGGAGTCGTTAGTCACTTTGCTTTTCCTAACCTTCTTATCCCAAAACCATCAAACGGCACAGAATGGTCCGACACTTCATACAGAAGCCGGAGGTAAGATAGTCAATAATCCTTTGATGCTCTGCAGCCGAGGCATTCGTTCTGATACACGCCGCATCCGAAGACACGTCGACTCGGGCAGTCTCCGGCACGCAAATACAAGACGCCGCAACAGGCGGCGAAAGCGCGCGTCATGTGAGAAGTATGGTTCACATGCGTTTGCACTGTTTGTCTTGCTCGGGTGCTGTCCGCAGCGCTAGTCCCTATTGGGCCCATTTTGCCACGATGGCTGTGATGACATAAGCTTCCCAATGGCCGAGATCAGAAGAAACGAGATTCAAAACAACCTTGACGACGACGACGGGCAGCGGCGGTGGTGGCTAACAAGCATTATGAGCGATCCGCGATTGAGCGATAGTAGGGAACGATGGCTTTAAGCAACAATGAACCGTCCATTATTATCGCCAGAAGACCACGCAGGCGGAATCTCTCCACGGCGCTATGTTCCATTGGACCGAGGGTTCAGCCAGGAGCCACACACCGGCCAGTTTCCAGATCGCAGAAAGAAGCCAGAATGAACCCGTCTAAGCTTTGCCTGGCGTCCGCAATTTGCGTGGAAGTTCTGGGCCCTGCCTCTAGGGCGGACACTTTCTTCCAATCGCAGTATTTGCTCCTGGACCCAGTTCGGACGCTGGCCGCCGTACCAGCGTCAATTGTCCATCTTCCGCCGGACCCCTTGCGATCCCTTAACTGTGGCCACCTGAAAATGATAGAGTTATGCCAAGTTTGTACCAGTTTGTGCCTCGGGGGAACTGGCTACTGGCGCATGATTGTTTCTGGAGAAAATCCGTTGACTCATGCGGATGCCACTCCGCAGGCTATATGTATGCATTACCTTCTCCAGCTCCTTTCCCTACTGAGCTTTCTGTCGATTCCTTCTTACCTTCAAACCCTCGAGAGCTGGACGAGCTTTGCACATCCCTAGCTTCCAGAAGCTTCAATTGGCTGAGAGTTTTCTATCTTTTTATCCAGTGACGTCGCCACTGACCCCTGTACCTACCGAAAAAATATAATCCGATCTTAAGCCCTTTTCACATATTTTCCTTGAAATATCCTTCCCTTGAAATCATCTGTAAAAATGCCGCTGTCGATTGAGCAGGAAGAACAGAAATACTGGGAGGATGTTGAGGCCGTCAAACAGTGGTGGAAAGACTCAAGATGGCGACATACCAAACGCCCATTCACTGCAGAGCAGATTGTTGCAAAGCGAGGAACTTTAACCATTGACTACCCCTCGAATGTGCAAAGCAAAAAATTATGGAAGATCGTGGAGGAAAAGTTCCAGGTACGTTTACATCTCTCCTCTCCCTCGAGACCCTCACACTGATGGGTGAATTTGAATGTAGACGAAAACCGCTAGTTTCACTTATGGCTGTCTCGAGCCCACCATGCTCACCCAGATGGTCAAATATCTCGACACTGTTTATGTTTCCGGCTGGCAAAGTTCGTCTACTGCTTCGTCTACGGACGAGCCATCCCCAGATCTTGCTGATTACCCCATGGTAAGCTTTGCCTGGCGCAGAACCGGCGAAAGTAGACCGGCACTGACATATAAAATAGAACACCGTGCCCAACAAAGTCAATCAATTATGGTTGGCCCAGCTTTTCCACGATCGAAAACAGCGTGAGGAGAGGCTCCGCAGCGCCAAAAAGGATCGCTCGTCTCTTCCTAATATCGATTACCTCGCACCTATCATCGCAGACGCTGATACTGGACATGGTGGCCTTACTGCTATCATGAAGTTGACAAAACTCTTTATCGAGCGAGGAGCCGCTGGTATCCATATCGAGGATCAGGCTCCGGGAACGAAGAAGTGCGGACACATGGCTGGCAAGGTTCTGGTACCAATCAGTGAACATATCAACCGGCTGGTTGCTATCCGTGCTCAAGCTGATATCATGGGTAAGCTACATCGTGCCTAATTCCTAGGCGGCAATCTGACTGACATTCATCCAGGAACCGACCTTCTCGCAATCGCCAGAACTGACTCTGAGGCTGCCACTCTCATCACTTCCACCATCGATCCTCGAGACCACGCCTTCGTCGTGGGATCCACAAATGCATCTCTCCCACCACTTAACGACCTCATGATTGCCGCCGAGCGCGCAGGCAAGAACGGCGCCGAACTTCAGGCCATCGAAGACGACTGGACCGCCAAAGCCGGCCTCAAGCGCTTCCAAGAAGCTGTCATTGACCAAATCAATGCCACACCCTCGATCACCAACAAACAATCCGCAATCGACGGCTTCCTCCGCGACATCCGTGGAAAGAACAACACCGAAGCGCGCGCAATCGCGGCCAAAATCCTCGGCGCCTCTGTCTACTGGGACTGGGACGCGCCTCGGACTCGCGAAGGCTACTACCGCTACCAGGGCGGCTGCCAATGCGCCGTCAACCGCGCCATCGCCTTCGCGCCCTTCGCCGACCTAATCTGGATGGAAAGCAAGCTGCCGGACTACGCGCAGGCGAAGGAGTTCGCGGACGGCGTGCACGCGGTGTGGCCGGAGCAGAAGCTCGCCTACAACCTCTCGCCGTCGTTCAACTGGAAGACGGCGATGCCGCGCGACGAGCAGGAGACGTACATCTCGCGCCTGGGCGCGCTGGGCTACTGCTGGCAGTTCATCACGCTGGCGGGGCTGCACACCACCGCGCTGATCTCGGACCAGTTCGCGCGCGCGTATGCGACGCAGGGCATGCGTGCGTACGGCGAGCTGGTGCAGGAGCCTGAGATGGAGGGCGGTGTGGACGTCGTGACGCATCAGAAGTGGAGTGGAGCGAATTATGTGGATGAGCTGCTGAAGATGGTCACTGGTGGCGTGAGCAGCACAAGTGCCATGGGTAAGGGAGTCACGGAGGACCAGTTTAAATAAACATCCTCTATTTTTTATCCTTTTTTTCGATCTATTGTTTTCTACGCCTGCAGCGGGATAGATTTTCCGGGAGATGATTGGAGTTTGCGTCTCCTGATACTGTTCGAATATCCTCCTTCGTGTATCTATTATTTTATTTCTTTTGTTCTGCATACAGGATAAAAAAGAATGCCATCTTTTGATACTTATTCTATTCCCAGCCTTGCCATGCACGGAAGCATCAAACTGTAAATACAGTACAATATCCCAAACGCCCGATATTCCAAAGCAGTCCATGGGGAGAGAGGAGAGCAAAAGTCCGCCACGGAGCGAAGACAGAAGGCAAGACAATGCAGAGAGAAACGGTCTAGTATTGTCACAAAATACTCGAGAAAGGAAGAAATAACTGTTGAGTGAAAGGAATACCAAGAAAGTAAACCCAGCGGCATAAAAAAGCAAGAAGAAAAGAAGCAAGAAGGAAAGATCAAGACAAAAAAGGTCTACCAAAAGCAAAACTCCTTTGGCGAGTACACCCAAATCCTCCGAAAATCAAGAAAGATCGCCTTTTTCCATAAGGCTCCATCCATCCAATCCCAAGATCATTCAATCGTGTCTATATTCCCAAAAATAGCACAAATAAAAAGTCAATAGAACTCCCACGCTTGCTGATGCTGATGCTGATGCGTATGCGTATGCTGATGCCTATGCTGATAAAAATGCTGCAAATCCCGCGCCTGCTGCTGCCGCTGTTGTGGCTGCGGCTGTTGCTGTTGCCCTTGCTGCCTGCCGCCCTCGATCAACCTCATCAACACCCGTCCGGCTTCATTCAGCAACCCGGCGCCACTCAAGCTACCGCTTGAGTTTCTGGCAATGATGGCGCGAATGTGCTCCAAGACAGGTCTCAAATCATGGTGAGTCGGGACGGTCGTGCAGTCGAGAAAGTTTTGGAGTGAAGAATATGAAGAGAGAAAAGTGGTAATATATTGGTGTACAGAGATCGAAGATTGGGGATCGGAAGAAGAAGGGATGCTGTTTTCGTAGGTCTGGCATATTAAAGTGCAAATGTATAGGGCCCAGTTTGCCTGGAGCATGGTGAGAGGGCTCGTGAAAAAACGGGGAGAAGTTGCCGAAGTATCAGTGATTGCAGGAGGGTTGTCATGGGTGCCATCGCTGGGACAGCGTGAATTCGGATAATTAGTTGGAATCTGGGTATTTGCTTGCTGGTCCGTACTCATCTGGCGCCGTGCCTGTATGGGCAAATTCGGATCATCGGCCTCAATTGCATATTGAAGAGCGTTGATAGCATGCCATAGCGCCCGTTTAGCTTCGGCTTGGTTCGAGATCCAGGCCTGCATCTTCTCAGTTGATGCACGGAACTCGGCTTCAGAGACCTTGCGACTGAAAAGCCACGATTCTCCGCTAACGGTCAACAGGGCTTGGACAGGTACATGCTTTGCTGCCAAAAGCACATGGTACATAAACCGAATGTAGGACGGTCCGGTGTGAGATACTCCACCAATCCCGTCAGAGGCTGGCTTTTCAGTGATCTTCTTAACAAACACTTCCATTGCATCTTCCAGATCATTGGTATTCGGTAGAGTTTGGCAGAAGATAAGGCTTGCTTGGAATGGATCCACGTCGATCGTCGGAAAGCTGGCAGATTGAATCACGCGGTCTCTCGCTCCGGACAACAACATCGCCTCGTAATCATTTGCAAGCTTCACCCACTGCGTGATGTCGCTGCACTCCCAGAGATCGGCGCTACATGGAAACGGCAGATCGACCTTCTCCGAGATTCGATAATCTCGGATGGTCGGCTCGGAGTTCGACCGGAGAAATGTGGCTAAAGGTTGCTGGAAAAAGAGTGATTGCTGAACTTCGAGGATAAAGGCGGCTTGCAAAACCCTGCGTCGAGTTTCGTGTTCGGCCCAGAATTTATTCGCGTTTCTGAGGTCCTCGATGCTGGGGTTTGGGGGGAGACTGTGGTATGCGGCGAGCGGATTTTGAGAAGCCCAGTGGCCATCTTGGATAAACTGTAGGCTAGATGTCAGAAAGAGCTTATGACAGATCATAAGTTTTAATACTTACACTGCCATACAAGCTTCTTAGTCGATGGGAAATCTTAATATCCGCTCTCCTTGATCGATACTTGGACAGCATCTCTAGCAAAAACACCGCTTGAATGTCGGAAGTTCGCGAACGGCTAGTAATAGGCGCTCGCTGTATGACGTGTTAGCATATCCAGTAGACTCCAAGCAAGATTATGAAATACCGTACCTTTGACAGAATCTTTTGACACGCCTCCAGCAAAGCCAGTGAATACTCCTTCGAATTCGGCCTCTGATCGTACTGCGAACCAATTGCGACCATAGCACCAGTCATCAAGGGACTCGGTTTCGTAGCAAAAAATGAAGCGCGATGCACAATGGGAAACAACGGATGAAAATACAGCCAATAACACTCTAAACAATCTTGCCACTTCGCCAGGTCGATTATTGCCATGCCGCCATTGCCTGAAATGACACCGGGGGCAGCAGCAAGCTCTCGTCGTAAAGCAAACCACTCGACTCCATCCAGGCTGGAGAGGGGTACTGGAACGGCTGGCGATCCGTCAACAACCTTCCGGTGGGGGGTCGAATAGATAAGGGAAGGTTCACCTACTGTCTGGGGGACATTAGCTTCGAACGGCGCGGCGGTCGTAGGCACGGTCGGTAACATCATTTGGGGGTGCTGTGAAACAACCGCTTCGAGAGAGGTCCATTCCGGAAAGGTTGAGGCGATGAGGGGCGGGGAGGAGGTGAGTTGCTGGGCGAACACGGCTTCGGGGAATTGGGAGGGAAGTTGGAAGGGGCTGCTGTTGGAGGAGGAGGAGCGCGAACTGCCAGGAGAAGGGAACGGGACGAGTTCGTCAATGTGGGTGTAGGGGGTTTGTGGGACGGGCTGTGGTTTCTCGAGGGGCCTGCTGGCTTGGTCCCAGAAGGAGGGTGTGAAATTTCCTCCGTACGTTGGGGCCACCGAAGCAGGCGGAGCGATTGAGGACGTTGCACTCGAGACGGAGAGAGAAACAGGAGTCAATCGAGGGTCGGAAATGGGAGGAGGGTTGGAGGCGGTTCTGCCGGAGACGGTCGAGGTATGGCTATTTTTTCTTCGGCGGGGCGATGCTCTAGGCTGGCGTGGTTGGGGGTCGTTGCTGTAACGAATGTCGCGTTAATGGACGCGTTTTTTTGGGTAAGAGCGGGCTGGATAAAGGAAAAAAACATACTGCTTTTCCATATGACGCGCCAGTAAATCGTTTCTATGAAATCCTTTTCCGCAGCCTTCGACGGAGCACACGAACGACGCTTGGGGGTTGTGGTTCAGTTCGTGTCGTCTGCAATCCAATTGTCAACACACTTATCAGAGGGAAACAAGATCAGACTATGTAGAATGCATACCGCCTATGCTCCGCTCTTGTGAAGATCTGTAATAGAAAAGTGTCAATTGGCTGTCCTATTCTCAATGCCGGGGTAGCTGTTTCTCCACCCACCTTATTGCAGCCAGGAAACTGGCACAAATGCACGCGTTTTCCCTTTTTCGCCTTGCTGACACGGTGTGTCGCAGGCGTATATGTAACGGGGCCGGCAGCATCGAGCAATTCCCTCTCTCGCCGGACGGTCAACGCGATATCCTTGGGGACTGTGGCGGGGACGGGCTCGGGCTGGGTCGGCAGGGTGCGCGGGGCGTTGGGCATGTCCCAGTGGGATCGTGAGAGCGGGAGCGATTGGAGGCCGAAGTGAGCATTTGCAGAGGCGAGCTGGAAGTCGAGCATGGGCGTCATCGAGCGGTCCCAGGTCACTTGGTCGGGTCGCGTGGAGGAAGCCCGGGTGGTAGCCATGGTGCGAGGAGATGCGAAGCCAGGAAGATGGTGAAGGCAGAGCTAGCCAGGGCAGAAGCAGTGGAGACGTGGAGGCGAGCCATGGGATATTAAATAAACGTCAAGCGTTGTATTCTGTGTTCAACTGGCATGTCCGGGCAGCTTGACAGCAGCACCGGCTGCAGGGTGCAAAAATAGAAGCCCCATCGCGGAAAAAGCAAAAAAGGCAGAGCAGAAAGGCACGACGCCAAACAGTCGCTGGGTGATCGCCGAGCAGACTAGTTTAGCCGCAGGTCCAGAGGCTGAGTGGCTTTCTGCACGTCTGCCAGCGCTGCGCCAATCACACGACGCCCGCCTCGCCAGGCCGGCAGGGGGAATGCTGTGGCACGTCTTGGCCGAACGTGTCTGCCGGGGGGGGGGTATGGTGTCGACGAAGGCTCGTTGCGGACAAGCTCGAGGAGTGGAGGAGAAACGACCAGGCGTGTGGAGCGGCAGGCAGACGGCTTGGGGCGGAGCGGCGGCGGATGGCGTCTTGGGAACTCGTGGATAGTCGATGGGGTATCCGCAGATAGTCCGTGGAGCTCGTTGGATTGTTCGTGCTTCCGTGGGCGTCGTTGACGGCGCCGAGATGGGGTGATGTTGCGCGTCGAGCGAGCGCCGTCGTTGAGCGCGGCGGTGGTCTGCCTGCCGAATCGGGCAGCGGGCGCAGACGCGGCGTTTGTTTGGGAATTGCCGTAAACGCCCGTCTCGTCTGGTTCGCGGTTCCTAAATCGGGAGATCACGTGGTACCCTAAAATAGCATCCCCTAGCCGTCTGCGGCCTAGCGCTGTCTTTAAATAGCCCGCCAAGCCGCGTCTCTCTCTCTTCCGCGCGTGCTTACCTCAGCCGTCGAACCCTTCCAGAACCGCCGCTGCCGGCGACAGGGCGCGCAGCGGCTGGAGAGCGCATCGCGGCGCCCACGGTACGTTCCCCGTATGGAGGAGTGAAGGATGGATGGATGGATGTATGTGTGTGCGTGTGTAAGGAGCACCGGTTTGTTATTGCGGCGTCCATCCCACCGTCGTCAAGCTCCGCTGTTCAAGCCCTGTGTCGGCCCGCTCCACCCAAAGCCCCAGACTTAACCCTATCTGAAGACCACGACTTGGGACTAGCAGGTGTCAAACGTCACGGCCGACAGCCCGCCAGTACTAAGTGACAGGTGGTAGTTACTACTTGTCTTTGTCCCTACGCCAGCTAGTGGTGGGACATGGATCCTTCGCCGGCACTCAAGGCACAATTAGGCGCCCACGGCGTGGGGCGTCTGGGTGGCTGAAGGATCCAAATCCCGTTTCCTGAAGACTTCATAAATATTATTATTATTATTGAATACTCGTCCATTCATCGCGGCGGAGCATAGCCTCTTAGCTCGTGGCCCTATGCGAGAAACATTATTGTTATTATTGTTCGTGCCATTTTGACTCTGCAGCAAAACCTTCAGCGATTGAGGACCAGTGGTTTGCTGCGCCCACGCCCGCGCAGATGCCGCCGGCGGCACGGCTGCAGGCACGCATGGCGGGATGTCTGCAGCTACATACATCCGTGACTAAGTAGCTAACTACCACCGCACACCATAGGGCGCACGCTGATCTGCTCGCCAGGAGCCGTTGTCGTCGCTCTCCACCGCCGCACGACGACGCAGGGCGGTGGTGGTGGTGGTGCCGTCCCACGCAACACACACTTGAAACAACGTCCATCCACTCGCCTATTAAGTTAACTAACTAGTCAACCCACTAGCCGTCTTTCCCCCTAGTTAGGTCGTTCGTTCTCCGAAATACCGACTACTCTCTACTACTGGCACCTCGTTCGTCTCGTCGACAGCCCCCCTCCCGTCCCCTTCCCTTCCCCCCCCAGCTAATTTTGGCAACACGCAGGCGTCGCTCGCCCACCGCATCGCAGCTGCAGCGCTCGCCGTGCTCGTAAACCGCACCCCAACAGCGCGCACAACACCGCGCCAGGCCAGCAAACAAGCTCCTGTCTAGCCGTAGATCGCCCGCGTGCTATAAACAACCACTAGCGATCAAGGCTGAGTCGTCGCCTCCCCCGCCATGGGCTAATGACCACCTAGTGAACTACATACCAGTCAAGTCCGTACCCCCGGGGGTGGCCTGCACACCAGGGGTGCGAACTGGTCCTCGCACTCCCGGCTGAGCCTTCGATGCCCGCCTGCACCATTCGACGCGCTGCCGGCGGGCAAGTAACTAACTAACTAACTTACTACTAGTTAACTAACAGCTAGTTAATTCGCCAAACCTCGCGCCCTTGATCCCGGCCAACTCCCTCGTCACGCCCGCGGGAAACTAGTTACTAGGTATGAGGTATGTGCCCTCCGCGCCTTCCGCAGCTAGCCTCCCCCGCGTCCAGTGCAGCCAGGCACCGTGGCGGCGCTCGCTTCCCTCACCGCTGCTGCCCGCGCGAGTCCGCGGGAGGCCACAGGGCAATCTGTTTTATTTAGCAGCTGCACTTACGGTGAAGGCAAGACGGCACCTACATAACTACATAGCTCACAATCCAAGATCTTGCGCCATGGGCTCCAAAGCTTCGAGCCCGACACGGCAGGCGGGAGCTTCGCCAGCATCCGCCCGTCCGTGCATGCTGCACCGGCTTCCCATCGCTGACATTCGTCAACGGTAGCAAAGGATGATCCTGTTTATCCTTCGAGCTCGCTAATCAGCTAGTAATGCTTCTCAACGGATGCACTGGGATCGCGGGATGGCGGAATCGCTCGCCGATCCACGTCCGACGTCGACACCGCTCGCGGACTTGCCGTTCTCTTCCTGAACGGATGTCGAGCCGATCTGTAACTATACCTTCGGATCGCCAAGTCGCAAAACTCTGCCTTTGGAGAACCCTGCCGAGAAATTGGGATGAGGTGTCGGGTATTGTCTAGCTATCTAGGTTCTGAAAGTACACGTCAAGCGGTAGTGCGAGCTCATTCCACCTGCAGAGACGGATGCTCCCGCCGTCTTTCTCTCCTTCGGGTGCCACATACGCATTGACTGTGCAAATGACATAAACTTCTCCTTTTCATCCTCTTCCATGATAGCCGGAATTGCATCCGCAAGCATGCGATTGAGAATTAACTCATCATACAGAAACTTGCCTATCGCAATTTATTAGCGTTGGCTGCCCCACGCAACAAGAGCTATCGACATGCCCATCCCCATCAAAAAAGGGGCCACCAAAAAAGCTCTGCCGCGTTCTCGCACATCTTGTCACCATGAAGCTTTATTTTCTGGGGCCATTTGCAGCTCAGTATCTCGCGGGATCTTGCTATTGCTTCTGGGTGGAGGGGGGGCCGAGTAAGGCGATCATCTTATTCTTCGCCGGGTGCGCTTTAACCGCCCTTCGCATCGTGGGACCTGTTGGAATAGTTCTTCGCGGTGGATCATATCCCAGAGCTATGATGACAGGAGCACTAAAAGTCTGGAATTCCTCCAGTCGGGGATCGAGGGTAGTAAGCCTGTATTTACGTACAAGTGTCCATAGACTCCATATGTCCATGCTCGTTTGCCGGCCTCTGCCCAGAATACATGACTTCTGCCGCGCTATAGTGATTTGGTTGGATGGCGGTATTGCCGCATGCTGTGCCGCGCGGCCAGAGCCAATAATGATCACCGCAGGCTAAATATATTCTCTAGTCGGCCGAAGTCGTTGTGGTGACGATATACGTGTCGACCAGAGTTGTCTACTATTTTGTAATGGATTGGCTCTTCTAGCTCTGAGTTGAAAAAAATCCTCCAACATGGCCGAATCCACGGGTTGTGAGTTTTGTTGCATATTTGGCCAATGAACAGGCATCGCACCTGCATGGATGACGTTGCACTTTTGATGAAGACAGTCTAGACCCAGAAGGAGAAAACAGATGTACACCTTAAGTAGCAGTAGGAGAATTCGTTCGTCTACAAACCGTTTCCTGAATAGCCAGAACGGCTGCCTCTGAAGGAGTGTGCACCAAGCAGACATGGTCTCCTTTAGGGGTTGGGATTTCGAATGTTTTACAGACTGTTCGAAGAATTACGTGGCCTTTGTGCGATAGGTCTGCTTTTGCGACGACCTCCTCCAATTTACATACGTTCTTCGTCATCTCTTGCAAACCATAACTAACTACCGTCAAAGACGTGCCCCAGCCAATTTGGACAAAAATTCGGTACCGATTGGCAAGGACCTCCCGGGATTCGCCGGGTAGAACTTATGCCGGCCGTAGTTCGGGATGGACAGCATCCTGGGCGTCTTCGCGCGGCAGCGATTTAAAGGGGGAGGTTTTACTGATCGTAACAAACATGCCAACAAAAAAAAAAAAATGATTCGAGCCCGGACACAATTTTAGTATGTATTCAATACTCATATATGCTATAATATACGGAGTGCTCCAGATCCAACTCAGAACATGCTCAATTCAACTGCCCACAAACATATCGGCCGGGAAAATGGTCTCTGTATTCTCTGTATCCCCTGGATTCTCTGCATCGCCCGGATCTGGATTCCGTGCAGCCAAGGCGCTCGACACCTCCTCGAGAAGCTCGTGTATATCTTGGGGCAAAGGACGAGGTAGATCCGTAGCATCCGCTCCGTTCATCAACAACGACCTTGTGACCTGTAGGCTCCGGGACACAGGAACCACAAGCATGCACGGCAAGCCTAGAGCGTGCTTTACTAAAGACCCGCAGGGCAACCCGAAACCAGCAACCTCGCTCCTATACTCAAGAAGCAGTAGCAGAACCGTCGTCGTCGCTTGGTCGAAGGGAGAATGGAAGACGTTGCGGAGCAATTTCTGTAATTGTGCGCCGTCTGAGGTGAGTCCAATCCTGACCAGCATATCCAGAGCGAAACAATCTTGTTGGGTCATGGGCACACAACGAGCTACTTGACAGGCAGACTGGAATATGTCGGCCAACCGGAGGCCCCTATGGTTCTTAAGCACGATCCAAAGCACATCCAAGTCTCTTCTCCGCGTAGCCAACGAAACGTTGACTGAATCGTGGTCTTCGAACTCGAAGGCACCCACATCAAGGAAACAATGCAGCACCTGCATCATCATATGGTGCTGATGCTCATCACGGACCCTTTCAACAGTGGCAACTATTGCTTTGGATAACGGCGACAGGGAACCCCATCTTCTTCGAGGGCAGATTTCTGCCCCGAACCTCACTGCTAGTCTCAAGGTTTCCACAGGGCCGCGTTCCGCTGCCCACCAGAGCGACTTCGGCTGGGGGGTCTTGGCGTCGCGTCGATACAAGTACGGATTTAACATGTTGTAGGTGGTTCTGCAGCATCGCAAAAGAGAATTGAGGTCTCGGTCGCTCGGGATATTGTCGGCAAGCACATAGATGATGTCAAGCGGCAGGGTTTCAAACGAGGTGCGAGGCCTGGACGTATTCCATATAGCAGGGGAAGACATGCTTTTACCTGTACAGAGTAGGCAGCGCGTCGATATCAAGTGGAAGCGGGACGGGGCTTGAACGATCCATCCCAAGAGAAGGGCTTTCTACGCAAAGCGCAAGAAGCCGGATAAGCTCCTTGTGAAGTAGGAAAGAAACCCTTTGGCCTGACGGCCCCGGATGGACGACTCTCGGAGCTGGCAGTCGCAACCGTCCGCTGCTGGAATTGCTTCCTCCGGCCCGTCGCTGCACCTCTTCTGGCGACAATCTGCCACCCAATCACGACACTGGGAGCTACGGGAATGTGAGCATCAGTATCAAAAGTAAAATCGCCTCCCGTGATGATTGCCATTCATATTAATCACCTTAGGCGTCATATTAGTTAAGTATTAAGAGTAAAGGCAGACAGCCCCAAGCCGACGGACATTATATCGTCCAGTAGAAATCATTTCAGGTGAGGTCCAGCTGACTTGGTACCACCCGATAGCACCACCCACACCAGCTTCTCGCCTCTCCCGTGCACTCTCTTTTTAAGTATTCCGACGCTTCACGCTCATCATCATGTTCCTCGACGCTCGCACCAACTCTGACTCGTTTCTTTATCTTATTTTTTACGACCCCACCAACCCCCATTATTTCCTGTCGTAAGTAGCCGGGCCCGTCGTCATCTCCACTGGAAGAGGAGTCTGAATGTTCTCCATTCCAATTATTAACTTGGCAATCAATTTCAACCTCCATTGCATTGGCAGCAAGGCACGTAGATTCTCGGCCACACTGGACACCCCGACAGGTGTCACCGATACCTGTACCTAAACCACCCCCCAGATAAGTGCTGTATCGAGTTCGCCAGGAGAAAACGCGCATGTATGCCGTGTCATCACTGCGTATAACCTGCCCGCAGGGCTTGCAGAACCATGCTGTTTCGTTGCATGAACATGCAGGTTTCGGGCGAGGTCTAAATGCGGGAAGAACAAAGTGGCTATCAAGGTCTGGCAATATTCGGTAAGTAAGGTGTTCAGATAATGGTGCTCCCAGACAGGTGTTGCAGAGGCGACGCAGGCGGGCCTTCAAAACTGAGGCAGTGGGAGGTTTCATGGCACAATTCTACGGCGAGTTAGCTTCCCAAACAAAACAGCAAGTTCAGTTTCTATACCCGGCAAACTATGAATGAACACCTTGCGCATTTGCCCACCATGTCTCTTGCACAAATACCTACTTTACCAGCCGAGAACATCGGGTGGTCAATGTCCCACACGCCCTCTGAGGCTGGGTCCGCTCCCAAGTCTAAGGCTTCGAACCGGCAACGTAGGGTTTCCCGCTTTAGCTGTTGCCGGGATGCCAACAGTATCTCGCGAAACTCACGGCATGTTCTTGAAAGGGCATCGAGCGTATTCAAATCCACACACCGCGCGATCTGCTTGACTACCCTGTGAGTTGCAAGTTAATTTCTGACATGCTGTGTCCTTGAACGAATACACATTTTGCGTACGGATAGCAGCACAACGCTGCAGAGAACTTCGAGACGACAGGATTCTGACCAGACGCCTCGAAGCTGCTACCATCGTGGGTGTTCCCGGAGCCAGTCCCGCCTCCATCGGCGTCATCGGCCGATAGGGGGATCGGCATTTTAGCGCCTATGCTTGCAAGCGGGAGAGCCACGACATCCACAGGTAATGGCGATGTCGGCATGGTAAGATTCTGAGAAGGTAAGACAGGGCTGTTGCTGTTGCTATGATCCACATAGACCACCATTTTCAAGGTAGCAGGTAGACAATGTACAGAGCACCAAGAGAAGAAATGCCTAGAGAGGCTGCTAGAGAAAAATGGGAAATAAGTAGGAATCGTCCATTTCAGAAAAAGTATCCAACTTCCAGAAAGCTGGAGGAAGAATTTCAAGAAGTTGATAACAGCAAAGGTGTTTGGGGAGCAAAGCTTATCGCCAGTTCCAGACCTGGCAACTAGCCAGAGCGGGCCAATCACAACGCCGCCGGCGGTTTTCCCCCGCCTCGTCAAGTGGGAGATAAGCCAAGGCCTGCAGAACGGCGCCGAGCGATGATCTCATTGGAGGAACGGCATCATTCCGTGGGGGGAAAGGAGGGGCGGTTTGCTGGCCGTTGGAGAATCTCTCAGGGGAGGTTTGTGTATATATTGCTGTCCCCCACTATAACGGGGGGATGGTTCTTATTATACTGTACAGATACCCGTCACAGATACGACACCGAATAGAAGGAACCACAATTCAAGATGGGTTTGACGAGTCAAGATATATACTCTGCACCGGCCTTGCAATTCTGCCCGTTTGCCAGCCGACGGAGTGTGGTCCACAGTACTACTGGAATTGTCGCATGTACCCAGCCTCTGGCGGCTGCTGCGGGACAAAAGATTCTGGAACAAGGCGGAAATGCTGCTGTAAGAGTAGATCAAGCTCACATTTGTACAGTGTGCTAACACTTCTGCAGGATGCGGCGGTGGCAGTGGGTTTGTTCTCCCAGAGTCCTTGTCTGTTCTGTACCTTGGCTCTAATGCTCTGGATGCAGCTGCGGCATTGAATATGACAGAACCTAGCTCCACGGGCATTGGTGGAGACATGTTCTGCTTATTCTATAATGCAAAGACTAAGAAGGTATCTGCATTGAACGGCTCTGGTCGGGCAGCGGGGGACCTTACCCTCGACAAAATCCGAAGAGATCTTGGTATGGAACCAGGACAAGTCACACGTATTCCTATGACTAGTGTCCATGCAGTCACGACTCCTGGTGCCGCTGCAGGCTGGGTTGATACTGTAGAGAGATTTGGAAGCGGGCGGGTGACCCTCGAACAAATCTTAATGCCTGCGATTGAGCTGGGCGAGAAGGGATTCCCTGTGTCGGAGCTGGCCTCGACATTTGTACGTGCTCCTTCATAGGACAGTAGGTTTATATTCTGACAGATCGAAATATAGTGGGAAGGTTGTGAACAGCAAATCCGCGAAGCTTCGCCAAATTTTAGAGAGCTCTTGAAGCCGGACCCCAAAGCCAAGGATGGGGTCAGAAGTCCGTTACCTGGAGAAATATTCAAGAACCCGAATCTAGCACTGACATTTAGAGAACTTGCAAAAGGAGGAAAAGACGGTTTTTATAGAGGTAGAATTGCGGAGGAAATTGTCAAGATTGTAAAGGACCTCGGGGGATACCTTAGTCTTGATGATCTCAAATACCATGCGGAAACAGGCAGCCAGAGCGTGGACCCAATATCTCTTAAGATTGATCCAAGAGAGATCGCAGGTTCGAAGCGTGAAACAGGAGGAGAAGTTGAGGTCTGGGAGCATCCCCCCAACGGCCAAGGCATCGTGGCGCTGATGGCGCTCGGCATCCTCAAAGAATTATCGCGCAGCGGAAAGATCCCTCATTTCACAGAAGAAGAGCACAACTCCACTGCCTATCTCCACGCCGTCATCGAGAGCTTACGAATCGCGTTCGCCGACGCCGCATGGTGGGTGACGGATCCCGATGTCGAAAATGTGCCGTCGCAACAACTCATTTCCCAAGCCTATCTCGCGGAGCGCGCAAAGCTGTTTGATCCCAGCAAGGCGACGAATATTTTAGACCATGGTAGCCCGGCACATAACCACTGCGACACGGTGTATTTCGCCGTGACCGACAAAGAAGGCAACGGCATCTCCTTTATCAACAGTACCTACGGAGGTTTCGGCACCGGCATCGTCCCCAAGGGCTGCGGATTTCCGCTGCAAAATCGCGCCGCCAACTTCTCCCTCACGGCGGGCCATCCAAACGCGATTGCCCCACGCAAGCGACCATACCACACCATCATCCCTGCCATGATCACAAACCCCGAGGATAACTCGTTACATAGCGTCTATGGTGTGATGGGAGGGTTCATGCAGCCACAAGGCCATGTCCAGGTGCTTCTGAACATGCTAGCGTTCAAGCACACTCCACAGTCCGCTCTCGACGCTCCCCGCTTCTGCATCGGGGCCGGCCACCCCAATTCAACCGACAAAGTTGACCGCACGGTGTATCTGGAAGAGGGAATCAGTGAGTCGGTGGCCGACGAGTTAAGCAAGATGGGCCACCAGGTCAAGATTCTGAAGGAATTCGAGAGGGCAATGTTTGGCAGGGGCCAGGTCATTCGCTGCCATGCGGAGGACGGTCAGATGATATACAGCGCCGGAAGCGATCTTCGAGGTGATGGCGGCGCTTTTCCCGCCTTGTGAAAGGAACCCGATATAATACAGAAAAGTGAGAATGGCTAAAAGGGCCATTTCCATGGCCCAGGATCCCTGTGTAGGAACGTGGGCGAATGCCGTTGGACCGCCCTCCCCTTCTTGCAACCTAGTTAGAGACAAATATCTATTACTGCTGCCTTTGGATAAGTAGATGCCATATGACTACGGAGTAGACAAGTAGATAGTCAATTGATATATTGCTTTTGAACTGTAGTCCCTACTGAGTACAACTGCACCCCATTCTCACCACGTCGAAAACGCGTAACCACAAGGATACTCGTCAAGGAGGTAGCATCAGATACTAATTTTTTTTTTGCCCCGCATAGAAGACCCTGTGGTTATTCCCTGGCATATAGTTTAGCTACCCACCTCGAGATTCTCCATTCAAGATCTGTGCCAGGAGTTCTTGCCAGTCCGATGAGTTTGATGGCAAACAATACGGAGTACGGAACACGGAGTAAATCTCACAAGATGCCACACTAAACAACTCCACGGCGTCTCTAAGGCCTGGAATTATTTTATTGGTGTCTGTGGTGACGAATAGGCGGGAATGTGGATGGCAGCTTGGCGCGGGGGTTGGGGATCTGGCCGTTGCCATCCAAATCTTCTAATTATTTGGTACGGAGTAGTTATCCCATACCCAGATCACTTCTATTAGCCGTGGTTGAAAGGCCTAGACGTGCGAGACTCTTCTCTTTTCGCGACCCAGCATGATACTTCCCACGGGCAATATTATAATATCGCCACCTTTTGCCTCTCTTAACATAACTAACGACTTGCAGTGCGCGGTTTTCATGGAGTCTCGGCTCGGGCCCCTCCGCGGTTATCCATACTATCCTGGGACAACCGCGGATATCGCAGACTAGGCTTGAGCCCAGCAACATTTATGTCATTGAGGCATAGGAGTCCCCACGCTGACTTTGCCGATTGACTAACTAGCCAACCATCCGCGAGTCCGCGATTTGGTTTTGCTTCAGCCCGAGTCACGCAGCTGAGTCCTTTTTTGTTATTGCTAGGGTAGCATTATTCATCTTCAGCTAAAGCAAATCCTATTCCGCGAGTCCCTAGAGGCTTCCTTTTTGTCGGTCATCGCTTCCAGAATCGTCCTTTGGATATCTAACTGGCTGGTGAATTTCGTAATCACAGCAGCGACGAATGTCTGGCAGGATGGCTTGTTAAATTTTCGGCGAGGCCAAGTGAGCTGTGTGATGCAGCGCGGTATCTGACCGCCAACTCCTTGAGCCCCAGCAGCAAGGGTTTGAAGGTCTAGCCACCCACATTTCACATCACCTTGAGCGCACATCGTAGGGTAGACCTGCCACATGTATGTAGTTCCCTCTCGGCTCGTTGAAAAGCAGGGTTTCCTGTGCGCACCCGGAACGGCGCATGTGCGGTATTAAATAACAATAATAATGCTCTTGAGCCGCGAAACGAAGCCTCGGGGATTTGTGGCTAGTTAGCGGCAGATCCTCCACTCCGCAATGTTGGGGAAATTGCTTTTTGACGGCCTTGTCAGATCCACCGTCTAATGATGATTATTCAGTAGTAGCAGTAGTATTTACGACGGATCGGTGGGTCATTGTTATTGTGGTATCCGTGACGTTTTCTGAAGATATTGCGTCTTCGAAAAGCAGGGGTATAGTCATCTCAAGGGCTGAAACATGTAACTCTCACAAGAGACATGGCGATCGAGGCCAGAGTCAACCAGAAAACTGTTTGCTAATACATAGCTGACCATCTGCACTGTTCAATATAGCCATCCGCAGTATGCGCTTGGGGATGGCGTGAGCCATGAACTACCTAGTGAGTTGGTTTATTACCCAGGATCCCTGTTTTCAACACAGTTTGCCTCCCTGCTGCCGCGTCCACTTCTGCTCGAAAAACCAGGGCAAAGGCAGGAAAAAAGCAAATAAAGCGGCCGTTCACTGCGTAGAGCAGCCCTCTGTGTCTCGCATTTCTTTTCGCTCTCGAAGCCATCGTCAGCCAGCCGCGCCCGTTAATTGGCCATCCCTGTTGGCGCCCGTTTCGATTAGCACGCCCGCCAAGCAGTCAACTATCGCTCCCTATCATCCCCCATCCAGCGTTCGTGCTGGCCATCTTTTGCTTCAAATGACCGCGCACTATTAGCCGCCCGGCCTTATTTCCACTCGCTGGCTTCCGAGTAAAAGGGCGAAACCACTCTTCATCCTTTTATATGTTTGCTTGATCCCCGCAAGCAACAGACTTTCGTTCCCACCGTCCTTCGCTCCTCGCTCGATCGTTTAACGGATTTGCTTATCCTAGCCGGACCAGGACAAGAGCTCTATTCACGCCAACCCCATTATTACTTCCTGCGACGACGCCGTGCGGTTTACTCTCGAGAAGCGTGCGAGTCGGGACCACGGTTCCCGTTCACCTTATTATTACCTCCCGCAGTTCCAACCCCCAAGCCCCGTATTCCGTGCATGTGATTTGACACTGCTGCGGCAACAATGGCGGATTTACAGGGACGCAAGGTCTTTAAAGTATTCAACCAAGACTTTATCGTCGACGAGCGATACAATGTCACGAAGGAAGTCGGTCAAGGCGCTTATGGCATCGTCTGGTATGTTTTGTTGGTTGCTGAGCTTCCTGTTTATTGTCCCCGCGGGGTACCCCTCTTCTAGCCCAGCCTTACAATTTAAACATCCCCAACCCCAACATCCAACGCCTATCGGCTCTATGCATTCCTTCTAGTCCTAGATATTTATGATGGTCGTCTCATTGCTAACAATGGGTTTCTATTTTCGTCAACAGTGCTGCGTCGAACGCCCAAACCGGCGAGGGTGTCGCCATCAAGAAAGTCACCAATGTCTTCAGCAAGAAAATCCTCGCCAAGCGAGCCCTGAGAGAAATAAAACTACTACAGCACTTCCGGGGCCATAGAAATGTATGTTTTGAAGCCTTTTCCCGCGTCATATACCCGTTGTGGGGCCTAACATTCTTGCAAGATCACCTGCCTCTTCGATATGGACATTCCAAGACCAGATCATTTCAACGAGGTCTATTTGTATGAAGGTGGGAAGAGCAACGACCACATAAATAGAGAATTGCTGCTGATTATGGACAGAACTTATGGAATGTGACCTTGCTGCCATTATCCGCTCTGGACAGCCCCTGACGGACGCGCACTTTCAATCGTTTATCTATCAGATTCTGTGCGGGCTCAAATATATCCACTCAGCTAATGTTTTGCACCGTGACCTTAAGCCAGGAAACCTTTTGGTTAACGCTGATTGCGAGCTCAAGATCTGTGATTTTGGCCTCGCCCGTGGCTTCTCCATTGACCCGGATGAAAACGCGGGGTATATGACTGAGTATGTTGCAACTAGATGGTACCGTGCTCCGGAGATTATGTTGAGCTTTCCAAGCTACACAAAAGCTAGTACGTTGCGTCTCTACTAAAATCACGTCTTAGCTGGTTTTCTCTAACAGTACCATACAGTTGATGTGTGGTCCGTTGGTTGTATTCTTGCAGAATTACTCGGAGGGCGACCGTTTTTTAAGGGCCGTGACTACGTCGACCAACTGAACCAGATTCTTCACTACCTTGGAACTCCAAATGAAGAAACACTTCGTCGCATCGGATCTCCCCGTGCTCAAGACTACGTCCGCAATTTACCATTCATGCACAAAATGCCTTTCCAGAGATTATTTCCGAATGCAAACCCCGAAGCACTAGATCTTCTCGACCGGATGTTAGCGTTTGATCCCTCGTCACGTATCTCTGTCGAAGAGGCCCTTGAACACCCTTATCTACAAATCTGGCATGATGCATCTGACGAGCCAACTTGCAAGACTACATTTGATTTCCACTTTGAAGTAGTCGAAGAGGTCCATGAGATGCGAAAGATGATTCTGGATGAAGTAAGGAGATTCCGTGCGCATGTACGTCATGCACATATCCCTGTTGGGGCTGCTGGGCAGCAGGCTGCTGTCCAGCAAACCAGTAGTGTGCCGATACCAGAAGAGAACATGGGTGCTTGGAAGCAAGACGAACCGCGCCCCCAGGAGGCAGTCATTGCTGGGGCCCAACCAAACGACCTTGAAGCTTCCCTACAGGGTGGGATGGATGCGATGCGGTAAACGGTTGGACCTGCCCTTTGGTTCGCTCTCTTGTTTTTTATTGCTTGAAAAAAAAAATTCTTTTGGTTTCAGTCGCTTGGAATCCCCTTCCGTATACAATGTGCACCCCATGTTTAATGTCTTGGCTTATCAGTTACTACGAGCGACCATTTTTAATGATCGGTAGACGATTACACGCAATAAAACCTATTCGGAGTATTGTGTATGTCCCTTTTCCGCATCCCTCATGCAACATACCTCGCCACAACGGGTAGCTCTTTACTTCCAGAAGGGGTTGCCAAATCCGCGCCGCTTGCCCCTCAGTCGGGAGAACAAATCCAATAATCGTGCGACACATCCGTGAGTTAGAAATAATAATAGTTGCAGCAGAAGACACCCCTTTGGATCTGCGTTAGCAGCTAGCTGCATATGTAGGTTACCCATGTTACGGTTTCATGCAAAGCCGATCCAGCCATGCAACGTCCACCAATTCGGGGTTGTGTAAAGTTCCCCCGCCTGGCAAGAGTTGAACAGTTTTGGCAAGGCGGGTGGCAGAAAACTATACCCTTTCCGCTTTTTTCTGTTCCTCGTGGGAGCCCAAGGTAACTTCTAGGGCAAGGAAAGGGCTGTGCCGAGGATGCGGGTATTTTGTTTGCCGTCACCGCGGAATTGGGTATAAACCCTCTACCCCGTAACTACCTTGTTTAACTAGTAGTTAGCGGAATCACTGAGATCAGCTTTGGGTCTTCGTGCTGATTCGACTTGCTGAAGAAGGCATCGTGGGCCCACAGGGAGCGGCTTCTTCCTCACCGCATGGGTCCCTGTGGGAATACAATATATCAATTATTATTTATTAGATTGTTGACCGGCTGAGAAAGTGCCTGGCATTACGATCGATAACGATCCTCTTCAGCAACACATCCTTACGGTCAGGCGTAGGTTTAGTTCGTTGCCCTCGAAGGTGGGCCTGCAATCCAACGGCAAGCCAGACCAGAATGCTCACGTCATCACGCCGTTACTCGCTATGAGCGGAATACAAGGTTAATTCCACATGGAGCATCCCGTCAATGTTGTTGGGACTTTACTGTGGCGCCGACATTAGTAATGTATGTAGATAGAGTACTATTCAAGAAATACAGTTTCCTCCACGGAGTGGCTTATGCGGCTTCGCCACTGCAGAAGTATGCGCATACCTATCTATGTATGCACACACACACACCTAGGTTCCGTGGGCCTGGAACCCCTCCATCTCAGCTGCCCCGTACTCACGGGTGCTTGGGAACAGGGGTTTGTCTAAGTCTGAGTTTCGTTTAAGAAGAAAATATGGATAGCCCGTTCCGCGCATTTGTAAGCGTGAGAAGGATTGCTAATTAATAGTATCTTCAGTCCGCCTTGCGGCAAAAGATCCCAAGCGCTGCGAGGCACAAACTTTGCTTTAATAATAAACAAACTTAATCAGTGTTGACGGTGCTCGCCAATAACATGATCCTAATATAAACGGGCGGGGTTTGGGTAGGGTTAATAGAATCATCATTATATATGGACCACACTCTACTTAGCGAGCAATTCCTTGTATACAGAAACTTCTCCGATACAAAAAGCTAGACTTCCTTCAAGGGGTGGACACTTAATGGGGACTCTTGAGAGATCTTCTCCGTAGGCATAGTACCGAAAAAGTGCAAGTATCACCGGCCCGAAACACGCAAGAATAACTCGGGCGAGTAGTACCAAACGTGGCTTCCGTCATTTGCTAGCACAGACTTTGTGCCGAGAGAAAGACCAAGCTCCGCAGCAAAACAAAACGAGTCGAGAAGGGGAGAGATGTTTTTGAGCTTTCGCGAGTATTTTGAACCGCCAAGTACCGAATCCATGGCCCAAAACACCAACCAACCAACGCCGTGCTATGCGAAAAATCGAAACAAAAAAAATAGCGGGTGTACAAGTTGCAGTATATGGTTGGTGCATAAGACGCTCTAGGCATTTAATGTCTTAGCCTGTCTTCTCCAAGAGCTCCTTTGCTTCGTTGATTTTCGTCGCTAGATACGGGCTGCCTCCTCGATCAGGATGGTTGAGCAGCATCAGTTTCCGATGATTGGCGCGAACTTTGTCTTTGGTGAGCGTTCGTTCCCTAAGCAGTTTCACCCTCTTGTTAGCTCCTGCCGCCGACATACAATCTTCTCCCGCGCAGTGGGAATGAGCATACGAGAGTTGTAGTATCAAAGCCGCTTCGCGACGGTTCATCCGCGGTTCAAATCCGCCCTTGTAAAAAGCCTTCCCCATCGCATTCACGCCTCCTCTGTAGCGACGGAAGGCAACTAGTCCAGCGCGGCCCTAAGATGCGATGGTCAGTGTCGCTTCTGATGGTTTGGCGATGGAAGGGGATGGAACGTACGAAGAATGCGGCAGCAGCAACGCCGATTCCAACAGCAACAATGGAAGTCATGATGACGAGTCCAACTGTAGTAAGATATCTAGTGTTTAAAGAGCGAACACTACTGTCAGTGTAGAATGAAATTTGAAACTACAGTCTAAGATGGCAAATATTCATCTTTTCTGGAGGTTCACGCTAGAGATTGATTAGGTTTAGCGTAAACGTTGTCATAACTTCACCTCAAAAAATTCGCGGGAGAATCGCACAGGCAGCATATTGAACAGCAGTTTGTCGCTCTTTAAATACAGGCAGGGCCCAAAGAAGCAACCATGAGGTATATTTATCATGCCTATATCTTTCTATGATAGAAAATACTAAAATTTTGCAGGATTGAAACCTGCCACCTCTGTTCCCGGCCGGTCTATCCGTCCAAGGGCATTACGTTTTGTCGTAATGACGCCCGTGTATTTCGTTTCTGCCGCTCAAAATGCCACAAAAACTTCAAGATGAAGCGACAGCCGCGCAAACTAAAATGGACTAAGACCCACCGAGCGCTCCGGGGCAAGGAAATGATCGTAGATTCTTCTCTCCTTCTCTCCCAGTTCTCCAAGAAGCGCAACATCCCTGTGAAGTACGACCGGAATTTGGTAGCAGCGACCGTCAAGGCGATGGAACGGGTGGAGGAGATCCGACAACGGCGCGAGCGTGTGTTTACCAAGCGGCGTTTGGCTGGCAAACTCGCCCGGGAGAAGCAGCGGGCGGAGAATCGCAGGGTGGTGGCGGAAGGGGAGCATCTTATTCGGAAAGAGCTGCAGATGCTGGAGAAGGGCGTGCCGCTGGAGGCCCAGAAAAGCAAGACCGCTGCTGTGGTGGTCGGCAAGGAGCAGCTGCGGCAGAAGAAGAAGACACGTATACTGGTGGACGGTGGCACGCAGGAGGAAATGGATATCGACTGAAGGGCAGGTGCTGCATGTTTTGTTTTGTTCGTTCTTGCTCTTTTATATTGCTGGGGTTTGGGGCTCGATTCACCAGCATGTTGACGACTCTTATGTATGGGCGTTCAGGGGCACTATCTACTGTTCTTCCTATGTGCTGGTCTAGGATATAAAAGCGCTTTCTGAAGAATTCGGGTTGCTAAGCCCTTGATTCCCTTATTTTCTCCCCTAAGCATCCGTGATACCCGGGCCGTCGTTGCCCCCTCTGCCCTCCGGCGCCTGCCACCTCGCTTGTGTTATTGCGCGCCTGCTGTTGTGTTCTTCCCAAACAGGCAGCCTCGACGACGTTGTTTACACTCGAATCCGGCAACTACCGCGACCCTATAAATTCCCCGTCCCCCTCCCTCTTCTCTTCTCTTCTTCTTCTTCTTTTTCTCTCCAATTTCGCAACCAGCACACTCTCGCCTGCACATCCCCTGCCTCGCGACCCGCAAGCCCATTCTGCCCAAACTTTTTTTGTTTTCCCAAATACTTTTTTTTTTTTCCCCGTCACAATGCTGTTCGCTTTCGTTAGCTTTGTGGCTGTCCTCACCCTCTGGGGGACTTTTTATCCGGTGCCCTTTACGGGCATCCGCCCCCAAGATGGTTGGGGACGCCGGCTGGGCGAAACAGCAAAATCGGCGTTGTTCGTGAGAGGCACGGTGGCACTGGTCCAAGTGGCCGCTTACGAGCTGGACACGGACCCCAACAAGGTTCCTCCGTTCTCGTTCTGGGTTCGGAATACCAAGTTGGCTGGCCCCGGTTCTCACGAGGCCTTTGAAAACGATCTGGCAGCGATGTTGAGCACCGCTGTCCATGAACCCTCGCGTACCGTCCCGGTGCCGTCCCGTGTCACTCCTGTCGAGAGTGACACGGCCGACATTCAACACCACGGTACGGGTCATGTGTTCCGCGTCGCTGTGGCTTTGATTTCCTCCTTGACTTTCGGCATGGGCTTGGTACTCGTCAGAAGTCTCTCGTTAGTCAAGTGCCTGAGCACCACGACTGGCTTCCGGACTATGCCCATGGTGGTGCGCGCCAACTCTGGTTCTACCATGAGGTTGGACTCCATCATTGACATACTCGGTTTGTCAAGCTCGTCGGTTGCAAGCCTCAGTGGCTTGCCTAAGCGCTATCCAGGCTGGGATCCAGTCCCACATCTTTCAGTAGTGACGCTTGGCGGAAGTGTTGTACCACCGGTCGACCTTCCAACTTTCAACCAGGACGTAGCGGAAGAGGTCAGCTCAATGGAAAAGTGGGAGGCCTCGATTCTTGAAAAAGGGTCGGGTTACCACCCCTTCTTTGTTGACGCCCTCCTCCGTGAACTGCTGGGGCAATACCAAGAAGAGCTGGACGTTGTGAGAGCCCCTAGGTTCGAACCAGAACTAGAGGATATCCCTGAGTTCGATGAATCGTTCACGGAAGAAGATCTGGTCGAGTCCTCACCCTTTGTTTCGACGCCTGTCGAACATTCCTCGCCTCTATCGGTACCCGTACCGGTAGAGGAGGCAATTGAGGCTCTTCTTGAGATTCTTACCGTGAATGTTCCAAATCCAGAGCCGGCCGTCGAACTCACCGATCCTGAAAGCGGCAATAGCAGTCTCCTCGAGGAGCTGCCTGTCGAGGAAGATGGACTAGAAGAGCAACAGGAAAACAGGCGACCAGCCGAGTCCCTCGAGGACGCTGGTGACGCGAGCACCGGCAAGAAGAAGAGGAACCGCCCCTCTCGAAAAACTCGCATTCGCAAAGGGAAGGCGAAGCTTTTCGCTCTTCAGGAGCAGGTCATCCGTGACGCCGAGGAGAAGATGTCTGCGGCGGGGGCCCCGTCTTCTTCCTCATGACCAGCTCCCCTGTTTTCCTCCGGGTTTCTGTCGACAGGCAGAAACGACAATTTTTGCTCGTCCTCTTCCACTTTCTGGTGATTAATGGTGAAATATTGGTTTGATATGTCCAGTTTACCCTCCCCCGACAGAAGACGACACCGGCAGTGGAATATCATCCAATATAGACGGTTCAGATCGAAAACTTCAAATCCGACGGGTAATTAGCCTTTTGCTTCTTTCTACCTCCACCGAATTCCTGTTTCACACACATTGTCTTCCCCAAAAGTAAAAGATATGAATTCATTCAGTCAGCTTTTTTGGTCGGTTCCTCCTAGGACGGGTGGTTGGATGGAGGTGAAAGGACACAAGAGGGTTCCCTCTCAGCATGGTCTACGGTTGAGCTCGCTCTTGTCCGGTCCGTGTTGATGGGTCCCCCTTGCTACTTTCCCCTTCACTCAATTTTCTTTTCCGAAGCGGCACTTATCTGAGAGGCATTGGCGGTTTGTTTGACCATACTTTTCTTTTCGGTGCTGAGGAAGTGTGCTTTTCTGTGGGAGTGGAACTTCGGCGGTTTTAAGAAAGTTTGGCTAGTTACGGATTTGTGGCGGTAAGTTTGCTTTTCGAAGGGGCGCTGATTCTTACAGAGAGCCGGTGCTTGGTGTGCGCGGAGGGGGAGGACCGAGGCCCCTACACCTGGTGAGTACTCACATGATCCGTGCTCTCTTTCTAAGACGAAATTAATTTAAAAACACCATCAACAGTAGGGAATTAGCCTCTCTCATGGTAGAGAAACGGCCTCTGTCTCTTGATGAATTGTCACCCTCATCAAGAGCTGAGAAACGGCCTCTACCTCTCAGCGGAGTTTCGGCCTCTGTCCCTTGGTGAATGGTCACCCTCATCAAGGGCTTAGAAACGATCTCTGCATCTCGGCGGAGTAACGGCTTCCGTCTCCTAGTGAATTGTCACCCTCACTAGGAACGGAATAACGGCCTCTGCATCTCGGCGGAGTGCCGGCCTCTGTCCCTTGATGAATTGTCACCCTCATCAAGGGCTTAGTAACGGTCTCGGCATCTCGGCGGAGTATCGGCCTCTGTCCCTTGGTGAGTTGTCACCCTCATCAAGGGCTTAGTAACGATATCTGCATCTCGGCGGAGTAACGGCTTCTGTCTCATGGCGAGTTGTCACCCTCGTCACGAGCTGAATAACGGCCTCTGCATCTTACCGGCGGAGTATCGGCCTCTGTCCCTTGGTGAATGGTCACCTTCATCAAGGGCTTAGTAACGGTATCTGCATCTCGATGGCGGAGTAACGGCTTCTGTCTCATGGCGAGTCGTCACCCTCACCATGAGCTGAATAACGGCCTCTGCATTGTGTCGGAGAAACGGTCTCTACATCTCGACGGCGGAGTAACGGCTTCTGTCTCTGGTGAATCGTCACCCTCACCATGAGCGGAATAACGGCCTCTGGATTTTGTCGGAGAAACAGCATCTGCATCTCGACGGCGGAGTAACGGCTTCTGTCTCTTGGTGAATTGTCACCTTCACCATGAGCGGAATAACGGCCTCTGCATTTTTCGGAGAAACAGGTTATACATCTCGATATACATAAATCGGGCTATCTTTGTGGTATATATCTTATTCAAAACTCACCACTAAGAAACTTCTCGGGCGACAGCTTCTGCATCTCGGCAGACACATCTTCTTCCAACTTGCTATCTACAAATCTCTTGGGCGACAGGTTCTGTATCTCAGCACTTTTACATTTGGGCTTGAGATAACTCAAAATACTTCTGGGCGACACTTTTATCTCGGTGCCTTCACAATTGGGCTTGAGATAACTCAAAATACTTCTGGGCGACACTTTTATCTCGGTGCCTTTACAATTGGGCTTGAGATAACTCCAACTGCTTCTGGTCGACACTTTTTCTATCTCGACGCCTTCACAATTGGGCTTGAGATACTGCTTCTGGCTGACACCTTTTCTATCTCGGCACTTGCATCATTTGGGCTTGAGATTACTGCTTTTGGGCGACACTTTTTCTATCTCGGCACTTACATCATTTGGGCTTGAGATAATGCTTCTGGCTGACACCTTTTCTATCTCGGCGGCTTCACAATTTGGCTAGAGATAACTCCAACTACTTCTGGGCGACACTTTTTCTATCTCGGCACTTACATCATTTGGGCTTGAGATAATGCTTCTGGCTGACACCTTTTCTATCTCGGCACTTACATCATTTGACCTTGAGATACTGCTTCTGGTTGACACTTCTTCTATCTCGGCACTTACATCATTTGGGCTTGAGATAATGCTTCTGGCTGACACCTCTTCTATCTCGACACCTTCACAGTTGGGCTTGAGATATTCACTTCTGGCTGACACTTCTTCTATCTCGGCACTTACATCATTTGACCTTGAGATACTGCTTCTGGTTGACACTTCTTCTATCTCGGCACTTACATCATTTGGGCTTGAGATACTGCTTCTGGTTGACACTTCTTCTATCTCAACACCTTCACAGTTGGGCTTGAGATATTCACTTCTGGCTGACACTTTTTCTATCTCGGCACTTGCATCATTTGGGCTTGAGATAACTGCTTCTTAGGCGACAGTTTTGTATCTCGGTACTTGCGTCAATTAGGTTTCAGATAACGCAACCAACTACGACTGGGATGACAGCTTCCACATACTGAATGGGTAACTTCTACACCTCGCCCTCGTGAATTGCGTACAACACAAATCTTACTCAAAAACACCAACCACTTCTGAATGGATGATTATGGAAGGATTGATTTGGAAATATGGATTTTTGATTATTGGCTTTTGGAAACATGGATTTTGGATAGATGACTTATGGAGAAATACATGGCTTCGACATCTTGGTACTGACGTTAATTGGGCTAAGAAACATCTTACTCAAAACCACCACAAACAACTTCTGAAGCCGCCGTTTCGACATCTCGGCACATGTATGAATTGGGATCAAGACAGATCTTCTTCAAACACACCACAAACAACTTCTGACGACGCCGTTTCGACATCTCGGTACATGTATGAATTAGGCTCTCTTTGCGAAACGGATACACTTAACAATACCACCGGCCACTTTTGCATATGATGAGTTTTTGTACCTTTGGACTTCTGTTATAGTTCATGAGTTTTTGTATCGCTGACGAGTGTTTGTATCGTTAAACGGATCAGGCTCGCAGAAAAATGCGGGGACGCCATTGAGGTATACAGACCAACAAATGATTCTTTTGAAATACTTGTCTAAAGTTTTGCTTGCCTTGAAAAATTTTGGTGTGCATTGCAAAGTTCAATAGAAAATATATTGGTTTCATTGTACATACATACATCGTATACTTAGTAGGCTACTAAGGGAGTCGACCCCATGGAAGGAAAAACGGAACCAGTTCAGAACCTACAAATAAATAACAACGGCCGTGATAAAAGATAAGAATAGGATTAGTGAGAAGCCAACATTATGATCGGATAGCGACACCGCATGTTTCTTGGAGGCAAAAGGCAATTCTTTCCTCTTTCCAACTCGGTTCGGCTAGCTGACGGCATGATCCTTCGTCAGCGTTGAACAACAACAGAAAAGCAAAAGCGAGAAAACGCGGCAGATCATGGCGTTGGCTCCCCTCTCTCCAAGGATGCAAGAGTCATTCTTCCATCTTGCCAAACACGCCATCGTCATCCTCGTCCATGGGCACAGCGGAGTCCCGATGGAAATCGTCGTCGACTTCTTCGTGGATGGTCTTGACGTCGCGCATTTTCACATCGCGCTCGTCGGAGACTTTGTATGACAGCGGGCGGAGGAAAGGATTGTACAGGGTCGGGGTGGACGACGACGGATCGCGGGAAGCGGTGCCGCTCTGGGCGTCGAAGCTGCGCGCACCGGGCTTCAGGCGGCCGCCAGCGGTGGCGTGGGAGCTGCTGCTCATGCTCAGGCTCAGGTAGCGGGCAGGCAGTGGGGGGACGGGGGGCACGTCGGCGGGCATGGCGACGGCGGCGGAGCGCGGGGTGCCGAAGTTACACAGCTCGATGGCGGCGGCCAGGCCGGCCTCGTCGTCGTCGAGCACGCCGGTGGTGGTGTCGGCGGTCGAGGGGCGGGTGTCGATGCTGGAGTGGCGGAAGTGGGAGCGCGCGGGGGAGTAGGAAGGGGCGCTGCCGGCGACGGAGCTGGACGGCACGGAGTGGAACGAGCGCGAGAAGGCCGAGGAGACGGGGTAGCGGTCGGCGGGCGGGTCGTCACCCATGGGCGGCGGGGTGGTTTCGGTGGAGCTGAGTTCGTCGCGGAGCTCTGAGATGCCGGAGGCGGTGGGCGAGGCGGAGGAGCGGTCGGAGTCGGCGGAGTGCACGGCGTCGGAGGGGTCCTGGTTCATGTTCACCAGGACGGTGGCGGCCTCCAGGAGCTGGACCTGCTGGTGTTTGGAGATAAGGAGCTTGGAGGTGTATGCCCACGCCGGGTCGTGCTCCCACCTATGCGGAAAGTTGTCAATGAAACAGGTCCAAAACTTTTTTTTTTTTTTTTTTTTTTTAAAATTCTGATTCGCCTGGTTTGATAGGGGAAGGGGTAAGAGAAACCAGCGGGGAAGGACAGCATTAGACAAGCCAAACACCATTGGACAAGACAGGGAGCTTGGACGACAACGATATGTATGCAGCGAGCTTGGGGAGAGGAGGACTGGGGGGAAGCAGGATGGGGCGCAGCGTGTGAGATACGCACATATGCTTTGTTAAGCAGCTGCTGTGCTTGTAGCCCTTCCCACAGCGGTCACACTTCAGCTCGGTCAGCGAGCGCTTCCCGCCGTCGCCCTTGATGAGATGCGACCCCTCGCTGGCACGGCGGCTGCGGTGCTTGGTGCTGACGGGGCGGCCCAGGGCGGCCGTGTCTTCGCCGCTCTGGCTGTTATTATTATTATTATTATTATGAAGTGAATGATTACTACTATGGGCGGAGCCGGGCGAGTGCTTGCGCTGGTGGTGCGCCAGGTAGGCGCCGAAGGCGGCGGCGGCGGAGGAAGACGAGCCCACAGACGTGGATTCCAGGCCGCCGACTTTGCGCGAGCTGAGGGCGCGGCGGTGGTATGAGGCGGCGGCAGCGGGTGGTGGTATAGCGGCGGCGGCGGAGGAGGAAGAGGCGGAGGAGGAGGAGCCGGCGGCGGCGGCAGGCGACGAGTCGGCCAGGGCGGCGGCGACGGCGTTGACATTGGCGGCGGTGGAGGTCATGCTCTTGCGGCGGGTGACGCGGTGGTGGTGGTGGGTGTTGGAGATGCCGAGCGAGATGGAGTGCGAGTGCGAGTGTAGGCGGCCGGAGGAGGAGCGCGGGTGCGGCGCGGCGTGGCCGAAGGGACGGACGGTGGAGGCATCCTGGAGCAGCGGGCCGGAGGAGGTCAATGCGGGTTCTTTTCTTTGCGAGTGATGGGAGACATTGTCCAGAGAAAGGAAGAAAGCAATGAACGACAGAAAGGAGGAAGGGAAAGACAAGCAGCGGTCAATGCCACCACCACCACCACGACGACAGCGAGCATACCTTAAAGGATGCCATTATTCTTGGTCTGCGGACCACGGAGCACGGCTATAGCGAGACGGGCGGGCGAGACGACGGCAGCGAGCGAGCGAGCGAGTGAACGAACGAACGGGAGGGGAGAGAGAGCAACGAGGCTGCTGGCGGACGGGACAGCATTCAAGCGCAGGGGAGGCACGGCGGCGGCGGCAGCGGCGGCAACAGGCGGGCGATGGGACGAGACAGCGGGCGAGGCAGCGGGCCGGGCGACGGCAGCATTGGACGAGCGGGATGGTGAAGAAACAGCAGAGACAGAGAGGCAAGGCAAAGGCAGGGCAGGCCAGGGGGAAAGCGAAAGCGAAAGCGAATTTGATTCATGCGCGGCGTGTTGGTACGCGACTGGGCCGTGGCGACAGCGACGGTGGCAGTAGAAGAAAAAAAAAAAAAAAAGAAGAAGCGATTCAAGCGAAACAAGCCACGACGGACGCACGGAGAGCATGGCACACAGGTGGCGACAGACATGGCATGTCTGCCTGTCTGTCTGCCTGCTGCCCGTCACTCACTCTGCTGTCGCCGTGCTGCCGCCCTTCTGCGCCCGGTGGCGAGCTGCGACGCGCACGGCGGGCGTGGCAGTACGGCCGGCGGTGCCTGGCGAGAGCTAATATCAGACGGGCGCTTCTGGGCCGGGCCAGGCCAGCCAGCCAGTCAGTCAGTTCGGTGCAGATTACTCCCGACTCGGTGCATATTATTAACTATGGATCATCAATCATACAGCTATCGTACACACACGGCTAGCTACATAGCTAACGAGCGAACTACGGCCCGGCCCACTGCTGCATGGCCGGGCAGCCCGCCGGCTTGCCGCCCTTGAGCCCCAGCCCGACGCGCGACGACGTCGACACCGCGCTGCCGTCGCGTGCGATCTGCCGGAACATCTCCAGCGGGTCGTACCACACCTCGATCGACTCGATCTGCAGCTGCTCGTTGACGCGCGCCACCAGCATGCCCTGGATGTCGATCATGCCGCCGTGCGCCTTCGCCGTGACCTTCTGGCCCTTGCTGGGAGACGTCAGCTGGCATATTCCGAGGGAGAGAAGAAGAGAAGGGAAAAGAAGGAAAAGAAAAAAAAAAGGGAGGAGAGGAGAGAACAGAAAAGACAAAAAGGAGGAGAGGAGAGAACAGAAAAGACAAAAAAGAGACGCACTCGTTCATGCCCGCGTAGTCGTTCTGCATCACCCCCCAGTGGCGCCACTTGAACACCACGCACGGCGGCCCGCTGTACACGTCCAGCACCTCCCACGCGAACGTCGGCATCATGCGCTTGAACGCCTTGTGGCTCATGGCGAAGTCGAGCTTGTCCGGGTCGTAGTACTCGTTGGCCGGGATGAGCGCGTTGTACGTGCCCACCCGCAGCATGTGGTTGCCGTCCTGCGCCGGCCCGCCGTTGAACGAGAACTTGTAGCAGCTCGGGTCCACCGTGCGCCACTCCGACAGCTTCGTCTTGAACGACGCCTCGATCTCCCAGTTCTTCACCAGGTTCTCCACCAGCGCCGGCAGGCTGCCGGGCTCGTGGCTGCGCGTTTTGCCTGGCCGGTCAGCAAATATACTCTTCTCTCTCTCTCTAAGGGCCATCTGCTCACCCTCCTGGTAGAACTGGCGCGTGCGCGAGTAGTCGGGCGCCTTGCCGTAGCGCCAGGTGACGTTGTCCTTGAGCACGGCGTCGGGGCTCAGCACGACGTCGGGCAGCGCGGGTGCGGGCGCGGGCACCGGGTCGGCGGCCATGCTGTGATGGGAGGCTCGGAGAGTGGTTGGCAGGGAGGGAGGATGAGAAGAAGAAGAAGAAGAAGAAGAAGGAGAAGGAGAAGGAGAAGGAGAAGGAGAAGCGAGGGAGAGTCAGTCAGTCAGTCAGTCAGTCAGTCAAGGACGCGGCCCGCGGGGGGAGCCAGCGCCCTTTTCTATGCCGGCAGCAGCGGTCAATGCAGGCAGGGCAGCGAGCGGCCCGCCAGGCTCGCCCAGCGCGTTGGCCATGGGCGGCAGCGGCAGTCCCAGTGCCAGAACCAGTCCCAGCATCCGCGCACACACTGTATGCGCAACATGGCGCGTTCCGAGGCGTGGGGCCTGCCAGGCGGGCAGACCAACTAACTAGCCCACTGTTTCATCATTCCCCGGCCGCCAGCAGCGAGCCCCGATCCTCTCTCGCGCGAAGGACCAGAAGGACGGCGAGGGATGCCACCGTGATGGCCACGACAATCCCCTCCTGATCGGCCCTTCGATCGCTGCTGCTCAGCATCCTTCCAGCCCAGCGTCCATGGGGTATGCGACGCACATGGCCGCCCTAGAAGCCGGCGTTGTTCTAGCGAGTTGCCAGTCGTTAGTTAGTTAGGTACTTAGTTACCGGCTAACAAACTTACTCAACCGTGTCCTCCCCTTCACAACTACACCCTGCACAGTCCAAGCGTTCAGACCCCAAACGGCCTGCTAGCCTGCCTCGGCGACGACGCCCCTGCAGCCCGCGACTCATTCGCCGGGCAGGCCAAGCGCTGCTGCGCGCATGGCTGGTGGATCGGCGTGCTCCCTGGCCCGTCATCACCATGCCAATAATTTCCTCGCCTCTGAAACACCGCCGTTCCGTGACCTGGAAGTGGTGCGAACGCCGCCCCCCCTCCGATATCTGATCAGATAGGCCCTCGAAATAAGCCCCGCGCCGTTCTGGATGGCGTCCGCCGCCAGCCATATTATTCTTCTTCTACTACCGTTTCTTCTGGCGGGTCCAGGTACAGATATCCGCGGATCCCCGATGGAATCGCGTTTTTCCAAGCCTAGGCACCTCGACGTAGCATCCCCCGGGCGAATATAACATAGTTACTACTAGCTCTTAAGACCGCAGACAGGGTCTGGCAGTACGGAGTATTGGCCCGGTTTCGGAGAATTCTCTCGACTATTATTTAATTCAGAGCGACGGCACAACGGCGAGTGATCCCGGTACCTTGATCCCGGCCCACCGCCAAAAACGTGGTTGGTCTCTCTAAACCTTCTCGTCTTTCTCGGCCCCCAACGTCCTGTCTATACTCCGTATGTATGTGCCCCATGTGGCCACGCGATGCACCTTAATAAGAGGTGGTGGGTGGGGACCGTGGACAGGCGCAAGGGCCCATTATTATTCCGTACTCAGGAGCCCCCTTCGGGACCCTCATTATTATTATTGTTGTTATAATGGACGGAGAACCATGGGTTTCTTCGTTTGGGCGTGGGTACGAAATGCTGAAGACGGTGTTCCGGAAGGAATCGCGCCACCCTCCCAACAGGCCATGGATGCATGCTTATGATGATGATCTAACATTCTCAGCCAGAGGAAGCACATGGAAGATACGGAGTAGTACTCCGTACTCCCCCGCACCTTATTAGCTGCCTGTGGGCCTCGCACCGGCCCGCCGGCTGGCCAGAGTCGCACCCGGTGTCTGTGATTTCAAATGCACTGCTCCTATATCGCCCGAGAACCATTCTTTCCAGTAAAAACACAGGTAATCCTCGGAAGCAGACGGGACGGGGGGCGGTGATGCTTTGGGCCACAATTGCGGGAGCTATGGGGGGATGGTTGCTGGGCAGAGCCCTAGTCTAGTTGAAATGAACATATGCACCAGCCAGAGGAAGTGACATACCTTGACCCAATGTGGCCGCTTGGAATCAAACTCTGTATGCGCAACCACCTTGCCGTCCTGAATACGTCTATGCCGTCCTGGACAATGGTCTGGTTGAGGCTATGTGGCGGGCTGGACGCATCGGCCTATAGTGGCGCCGATCCGATTTGACTAACGTTAGCTAATACCTACTCGTTAAGATCGAGTACCATGGCCGTCCTTTAATCGCCAACTATACTTCCTCTTAATCTATAAAAAGCAATTAATATACCTAAACCTATAGCAGCTTCTGCACGCGTACTATGATGAAAGCATGGCTAAGGCCGTTGGCTAGTGGCAGTTAGACCCGCCAACTAAGGCGAGCTATGTCCAAATCCACCCTCTCTAATATAATGGCTTCGCAACCCAGTCTTGAAGAGCTCCAGAGGTTGCTTGCAGCCGCGACAGCCAAGGTTGAAAAAGCGGAAGCCAGGGCTGAAAAGGCAGAAGTGAAAGCCGAAGAAGCGGAAGCAAAAGCCAGGACGGTAGAGGAACGCTTGGAGCAAGAAAGAGAGCAACACCGGCAAACCAGCTTGGAGGAGTTCATCCGGCATTGTCACAATTCACTCTCCCGCCCGCTAAAACCTGGAAATATCGGCGACTCCACAAACTGTCTTCGGAGAACCTGCGCTCAGGGCTCCGATCCATCGACCTCTATCGTGAAATTGTTCAATCCAACGATATCCCTGAAGCCAACAAGGAAAAATTAATATCCAACGCCATACGACTTGCCGGGTCGGCGGTCATGCAAGAATTTCATGCCATGATACAGGAAGGGCTAGAATACTCATATCTGACCACAGGCTTGGGAAACGTGCAACTGTGGGTGCCGTACGATGACCCAACAACCCTTTATTACAAATTCTGCGAGCCTAACCTAGATATCGAAACAAACGCCGGAGGCTTTGAGAATCCAAGGACGGAGATCCAATGGGTGCTCTGTCTTTGCTTGATGAGCTGCCGCTCTCGCGTTCGGGATCACGGCTGGCGCAATAGAGCACGAGAAGGTCTGCCGACTTGGGAGACTGATTTCAATCACATACAATCCCAGATTCCTTCCAGCGAATTACAGCAACACCCTCCTGATTCAGAATATACCGGCTCCGAAGCCGCCGAGGATACTGCCTCTGAATGCTTGCCCTTATCTTCCCCGGCTCCGACCACCCCGGGTCCAGTAGCTCCCACACCGTCCCAGTCGGGCTGTGCCCCTTCAGAACCCCATAACTTTGAATCGGAGGATGCTACTGACCCGGATTTCATGTTAGGACGAAAACGGGGCTTCAGCCAGGTCACAGCGTCCCCTACGACTGAGAATCGAGCCTCACCCCCTAGAACTAGTCCACGAAGAGATTATGAGGGCCAGTCTCGACCGCATTTGAATGAATTTTGTACACAATGTGGTCTCTTAGGTCTGCAGCAGGGTGGTGTTCTTGATGACAATTGCCCAAATGTGCAGCTTCATCACACTGGAACAGACATGAATAAGCACCCAATAGATGCCCAGATGTTAGTACTGATGCTAAAACAACAGTTAGATAAAGATCTAGATAATAATTGCATGTCAATAGGAAGAAGTGGGTCATATGAGGTCTCAATCAAGATCACCTCTTCCTTATATGGATACACTGTTATTGGTAAAGGCACGACATTGAGGCTCTGGGAAGAGGTTTCACAGGAGGCAGATGTTGATCATGTCCTTTGATCTCTGCAAGGCTCTGCAGTTACTGTGTTTCTTGGGAAGATCAACCTGCATCTGATACTCTTCGTTCACGGCGCCGGAGACGTTCGTCACATGCTCCTTATGGGCTGGGCTGGTGTGAGTATCAGTGATGATGACATGAAAAATGATACCATCCGATCCGCTGTGCGCCGGTCTATTCATAAAATCGGGAAACTCAGTGTGCAGCATGGCGATCTTCAGTTGCCAAACGTACTCTGGAACAAGGAGCTCAAGCGAGCTCTGATCATCGACTTCCATCGAAGTACTTTGGATAGCAAGCCGAGGATCTCGAAGCCGAGCAAGACACGTCATGATGTTGAAGGCCAACAACCATCGAAACGAGTAGGTCCTACCTCGCCTGAGCCGCAGGCGTAACCTTATTTATATTCTGCCCTTTGAACATACCAGGTGTAGGTTGCATGCCACAGGGTGCTATTGCGGTAAAAGGGCTATTTAGCACGGAAAATATACTTCTATATAGTTACAATAATACATATGTACATTCAGTTCAATCAATAACACTAGGGAGAGCAAGAATATGGTGACATGCAGCGCGCCCTGCAGCATCAAGGGTAAAAGAAAAAGAAACACAACCAGCACTGAATTATATTATATATAGTTAGTACTCCATACACTGGGCAGAGACTAGGCGTAGTCAGTATCACGAATCAAGCAACGAGAGCGAGGTATGCATGCGCCCAATGCAAGATCGCAAACATTATCCAGAAGCAATCTAGCGCTGCGTGGTCTTCGCCGCAGTCCCGGTGGCGGGAGTGAAAAAAGCGAAGCCAAAGCGATGGAAGCTGCCCCTTGCGACAGCAGTAAGTAGTAGCAGCAGCAGCGTCGTATTCAGCTCGGCCTATCATCCATCCATCTTGGTCGGACCTTGGCCGGGCTTTGCACGCTCCGGGTCTGGGCTGCTGCTGGTCTTTTCCACCAGTGTCTGGCCGTCATCGTCGTCGTCGTCGTTGCTGGGGCGAACCATGTCGTTGGGAGATCGTGTGTAGACATTTGCAGCCCCGCCTGCATGCCCAGATGCTCGTCAGTACGCTGTGCCGGGGAGGGCAACGAGAGATGCTTGCCAGGGGGCGTGGTAAAGGAGGGGTGATGTTCGCGCATTACATACCTCGCCCAGTGTGAAACCGGCCTTCATCGGCAGTGCCTGCGGACACAGACGGGGGGATATCGAGATCCTGCCGCGCCCGGGCAGCCTTGGGGTCGTCGTTGGAGACCATGTTCCCAGAGCCGCCGCGGCCGGTGGTGTAGATGTCTGCTTTGATGGTTGGGCAGCGGGTGTTTTCCTCCCTTTCGGACGCCGGGGAGCGCACGCGGGACATGTTACCTAGCACAGCCGCAGCGACGGTCAGCAGCGTCCTGCCGGTGAGCATCAGCGGGTTGGGGTTGGGGCTGGTGCTAGGCCGGGGCCGTACCTGCGCCCCCGCGGCCGTGGGAGACTTGTCTGGGTTCCGTCATGGCGGCGAGGATGTCGCGATGAGAGGGCGCGGAGGTGTTGTCGGTAGACGAAAGTGCTAGTGGCACAGAGCAGGGTCTGTCGGTAGAATCCAAGCGTCGTTCGAGCAAAAAAAGGCCGTGAATCTCGTTGCGTCGTTGCGTCGTGTGGTGGGCTGTGGTGCTGGCGGGGGTAAAGGGGGCAAAAAAGGAAATTCGCTCCCTAGCTGGGAATTGAACCCAGGGCTGCTGTGTGAAAGACAGCGATGTTAACCACTACACCACTAAGGATTGTATGCTGGTACCCGCACTTCTTGAGTTTATAACCTTCAATCACAATATCGTGCCTGTATCAGCTACATCATCGTCTCAGCCTCATCCGTACCATCTTGACAACAACTATTCCTATCCCACATTTTCCCTCTCTCCTACTCTGCCAGCTGCTGGCCTGCCCGTCCTGCAGTGCACCTGGCGCCATGTCAGTCTCTACAAACGACAGGCACCCGCTCCAGAAGCTCCCTTCGCCCTCGCTGGGTGCTTCGGCTATGGTTCACGTTAGTATATGGAGTCCTATAAATCTCACTCATATCCACAGTGAGGATATATCTTGGCGTTTATTACAGCTGCATTTCCGAGATATACAGACAAGACTTCTAGCTAACAAGGATTTCTGGCTCGGAGTATAGCTCTCGGGTTTATCAAGCTTTATCGCATCGTTCAAGTTGTGAGTGTGCTATTTCATACCCAGCTCTGAATAGAACTATTGAAGCTGATAAAGCTTCTCCATATAGTATTATAGACAATCCGAACTTTGCGTGAGTGATCCCTTGCAGGGCCACAGCCAGAGACCTAACCAGCACAGCAACGAGGCATACGGATGGCATTTCCAGTACCTGACAATCATCGGCCTAACGTTGGCCACCATGACCTTTACAGCCGGGCTCTGCGCTGATCTGTTTTCTTCACGCCGGATGTTTCTAGTGAAGAACATGCTGTCCGTGTGCAGCACTCCGCTGGAAGTATTGATAACAGTCCTGTACTGGGGCTTGAAAATGGTGGCTCCCACAACCCCTGTCGCGCTCAACCCCAGAGGTGCGCTGACCTCCTCTGTTCTCTCTTAGATCGACGAGAGACTCGTTGTGCCGGAGTGGGCCCAGAAAGCATTGGTGCTGGGTCTGTAGCCGACTGGACTTCCCAGGGACTTTGCGATCGTGGCTAAACAATCATTGCAGACCTAGGTTTCCATGCTGTCCCTGCCCTAGCTCTGGTTGTAGACCTGCTATTCTTTTCGCCCCCGTGGGCCATCACGGCGATGCCGTCATTTGGCCTCGCGACGTCAATCGCCTTCGCGTACTGGTTTTGGGTTGAGCAGTGTTACAAGTACAATGGCTGGTACGTGAACACCTTGGCTCGCTTAGACTTTATGGTTTAGTACTAACACGTATACCTGGGGAATTGTCAAAGGTACCCATACCCTCTATTCGAGAAGCTGACCACCCCATGGCGAATTGCGCTGTTCCTCGTCAGCGCCGCGTTGATGACGCTCAACACTGCGTTGCTCCAGTGGGTGTACTCGAAGCTGAATGGACACCAGTTACCGCTTGTGCCCAAAACTCTGTCTGATAGTGAGAAGGAGGAGGAAAACATCTAGAGAAATCTCTTGGTAACAGCCCATTTATTCCGACATTTTTGTATATGTGCTTGGAATTTTGATAGCATAGGGGAAAGGCGAAGCGTTTTGTTGTACGGAGTATTTAGACCGATATGCCTTGAAATAGACTTGACCTTGTTCTATACCGCAGAAACTTGCGCGCTTCAATGTCGAGCAGAAGTCTGTCAGGCGTGACTAGTCAGCGTTGGCGCCTAAGCAGCCGTACCACGGCGCCGGTACTCGCTAGCCTGCCGCCCAACACGCAACCCAGATCCAACTCCCATAGTTATCCAACAGATAAGGCTTTATTCCTCTATCCTCCCATTCCCTTACTTACTGATACCCTACATCTTCTCCATTCTCCGCCCCCCACTAATGAACAAACACCCTCCCGCCCATGCTTCCCGCGCGCATCCAGCCCCTCCACCCCTCCTCCCCCTCCCACACCACTCTCTCCCCGTCCTCCTCCGCCGAAGACCTCCTCTCGTCGTTCCTCCCGCACCTCTTCCCCGACGAAGCGCCGCCGTGTCTCGGCATTCCCGGGCAGCAGCTTCTCTACTCGTCCCCGCGCTACGGCGCCATTCGCGTGATCGTGCCGGACTACAACGACGACGAAGGCGAGAAGAGGAAGAGCGGCGCTGACGTCGAGGCCGGCCGCAGGTTGTTTGCGCATTATCTGTGGGGCGGAGCGCTGGTGGTTGCCGAGCGTGTGGAGGAGGCGGAGAAGGAGAAGGAGAAGGAGGGCGGTGCGGATGCGCGATGGCGTGTGAGCGGGGAGACGGTGATGGAAGTCGGTGCTGGTGAGTGGGAGGTTTTTCTTCTTTGTTTCTTTGTTCTGTTTGGACTTGCTGTGTGATGTATGTGTATGTATGTGGGTTTTTCGGCTGGGGGAGATTTGCGTTTCTTATATCAGGATCGGGTCTCTTCTGGCTTGGAAATCTATGTAGGTATGGGTATATCAAGCGAGCTCTGAATCGTTTCTCAAAAAAAAAAAAAGGGTGCAAAGCATGCCAAAACACGGCTGCGCAATCACAAATGACCAAAATCCTCACCGCATTGCGGCAAAGAATGTCCTTTTATCTCGTCTCCCCTTGCCTTGTTTTCTTAAAAGCCAACACTCAGCCAACACCCAACTCTCCCAGGAACCGCGCTCCCCTCCATAATCGCCGCTCTCGCCGGAGCATCTGCCGTATGCATAACCGACCACCCATCCTCGGCCGCCCTGCACGGCGCCATACAAGCCAGTATCTCCCAAAACATCTCGCAAGAGACCATCCGACAACGGATCTCAGTGCACCCCCACGAATGGGGCGTCTTCTCCGTACCCAGCTCCCTGGACAACAACAACAACAACAACCCCTCCCCGCCGCCGCCGACACTGCTGGCCTTTGCCGCCGCGCACCGCGGCTCGTTCACACGCATCATCTGCGCGGACTGTCTGTGGATGCGCGACCAGCACGCGAACCTGGCGCGGACGCTGGCGTGGTTTTTGAAGCCGGCCGAGGGGATTGCGTGGGTGGTGGCGGGGTTTCATACGGGGCGGGAGATCGTGGCGGCGTTTTTCGAGACGGCGGCGCGGACGGGGCTGGTGGTCGAGGAGATCTATGAGAGGGATGTCAACGCGGCGAGTGGGATGGGCGAGGTGCGTAGGGACTGGAGGCCCGTGAGAGAAGGGGAAGGGCCGGAGAATCGTGCGCGGTGGTGTGTGGTTGCGCTGTTGCGGCGGAGCTGATGATGATACTCCGTACTCGGTACATAGCCAGCACAGCACATATCATAGCAAGCAAGCAACGCTCACTCCCTCATGGTCTTCCGAAAGCACACCGTACACACGCCCTGCCCCTCGGCGCCGCCAAACCGGAACTTCGGATACTCCACGCGCGCAAACACCTCGAACCCAGTATCCTTCGCGCCAAACCAACTCTCCACCTCCGCCTCGGTCCAGTTACAACTCGTCACCACCAAAAACCCACCGGCGCGCACCAACCTTGCCACCGCCGCCGGATACTCCGCGCCGCCGCGCCCGCTCTCGCCGCACAGCGACACCGCGTCGAACGTGCCCTTGTCCAGCACGATGTCAAACCCGCCGCGCTCGCGCGGGAACCAGTCCGCCGCCGACGCGTCGTCGAACACATCCCACACCTCGAAGCGCACGCCCACCGCCCCATCCTCGTTATCGTCGTGCCGCGAACGCGCCAGCTGCACGGCCTCGCGCGAGTAGTCGACGCCGACGAGCGGACCGCGGAAGTCGTGCGCGCGCAGATCGCGCAGCAGCGCGCCGTCGCCCGTGCCCAGGTCCAGCACGCACGGCTGCTGCTGCTGGGACGCCGATGGATCCAGCGCCGCGGCGTTGTGGTGGTGGTGCGGCGCCAGCGGGAAGCTGGGTGCGGTGAGGAATCGTACGATGCGCTGCGCCGCGCGGTGCTCGGTGAACCATGTCGTGCCGAGCTCCTCGCCGTCGGAGTCCGGGTCGTCCGCCGCCGTGTCGAGGTGCTCGCGCGAGCGAGCGTAGAAGGTTTCCCAGCTGGAGAGGGGGGGTTGTGTTAGTCTCTGGGAGAAGTGGGATAGAGGGGGGAAATCAGATACGCGGGGACTTACTACTCCTTGGTCCCCAGCTCACTGGGCCTCAAAGGCTCAGGGTGTTCTTCGTTTTTCTCCATGATTGTAGATTCAAGAATTCTAGCTCGCTGCACGTATTCAAGGACAGAACACGCGTTTCTCCCTCTCCGTTGGTATGTTTTGCGCGGGGTAGTTGAAAATGTCCCGTAGTTGGAGGTTGAGAAAATTAAGGTTCCGCCTGTAAAACTAAAAAAGACGCCAAAAAACTTATAAAAAGTCAAAAAAAACCGTGCCTGATCCAAGACAAAAAAGGGTCTGGCTGGCTGGTGTCAAAAAATATTATGTGTTTCGATTTCACTCTAATATATCTGCTGAACCCTCCTCCCGATTCCCCCCATTCCCCTTGTCCTTCCAGTCCCCAAGCCAGAGAAAAGGAAAAAAAAAAGGAAAAAAGGCATAAAAAACCCTAGAGCCGCTTTTCTCGCTCCCCGCCTCGCTTGAGATTCTTCCTAAAAAGAGACAAGCGAGCGGTTGAGGAGAAAGCAAAAGAAAAAACAAAAAAACAAAAACTCGGCCCATTGAGGAGGGTTGGGAGGACGGTTCAAAAGATTCAAGACTAATATTACATTTAGGGAGCCCACCATTTGCCAAAAAAGAAAAAGAAAAAGCGAAGCTCAAACCATGTTAGTTTTATGAAGAGACCCCATTGGAGTGGCAAAAGAAAGAAAAGAGAGGTAGAAAAAGAAACGCCCAAAAAAAAAAAAGTCGGCATTTGCAAAATAAAAGGGGGAGAACAACAAGCATTCAATCGGAACTCCAAGATGCCAATAATAGAATATATAAGCTGGAGCTAAAAAAAAAAAAAAAAAGGTAACAAAAACGAAACAAAGGGCAGGTGGGCGAGGAGAACAGAAGGCCTCCGGATTGGGAAAACGGTGCTTTAAGGGACTACTTCCGACAGGGAGGCAGCAGGGCGCAGCGCGTCCAGGAGAAAGGGGGGAGAGAGACGCGTGTGCTCTGCAGCAGAGTAGTGACTAACAGGAGAAACATCACAGCAACAAAGCCAGCTTTGGCCGCACACATACATTGGTCAAAGCAAGGTAGCGCGTTTCACAATGACGGCAAAAACAAAAAAAGGACGACAAGGTCGGACATGTACTTCGCCCCCTCCTTGAGAGAGCACCAAAAAAGGAGAAAAACAAAGCAATGTTGGTTTTCGTTTTTGGTGGACCTGGCTCGTAGGAGGACGATGGTATGAGAGAAAAGAGAAAATCGTAAGGTCACGAAAATTCTACTGAGGAATATTGTGAGATCCATGTAATTTTTTGCAAAACCCTCCCAGGAACGTAGAACAGAAAATAGGTTAAAAAAAAAAAAAAAGAGAAAAGAAAAAAATCTCAAAGAAATTCGTCAATGCTTCTCATGATAATCGGTTCTGTTCTTCTCTGGGGCGACCTGGGATCGTTCAGGCTCGGCCGTCGCACCAGTGTCGGCGACTCGAGCTCCTCCGTCGTCGTCGTCGCCGCCGCCGCCACTGCCGCAACTACTGCTGTTTTGCGTAGCGCGAGGTTGTCGCCCACATTGGAGCGCGCCAGCGGCGTGGCTGTGAACTCGGCCGCGCGCGGCGAGAAGAACGACGGGCTGGGCGGCACATCCTGCATGACGAGGTCCATCTGGAAAGCGGGTGGACGCCGGTGGTAGGTGGTCGCTGCGGCGGCCGCCGCGGCAGCGAGGCCGTCGAGCCGCGGGGAGTTGCGGAGGGAGGCGATGGTGTGGAATTTCTCGCGGAGGGGTAAGGGGCGGGGCGCGATGTTGCGCCGCACGCGGTTGGTGGAGTTGAATGGGTTGACTTGGGCGAAGAGACGGGAGGGATCGGAGGGGGATTTTCTCATGGGCGAGGAGGACGAGGAGGATGATGATGATGAAGAAGCTGAGGGTGAAGGGGAGGGGCCGTCCCGTTTTTCAGGGGGCGGGATGGCGGCGGCAGCAGCAGCGTGGTTGGATTCGACGACGGGCGATTTGGCGACGGTGCCGCCGCGGACTTTGGTGCGGAAATCGGTGAGTTGATAGATCAGGCTCATGTTCGGGCCGACCCAGCAGCTGCGCTCCTTCACCTTGCCGTACACCGTGTTGAAATCCAGATGCGGGTTTTTGTAGAGTCCGTAAGCAATCACCAGAGAAGCGGATCTACTAACGCCTAGTTGGCAGTGGATCAGGACCTTCTTCCCTTTGGAAATCCTGTCATCAATTATCTCACACAGCGGGAAAAGATCCTCCAGGATTTCAGAATTATGATCCCAAGGTACGTGAATATACTCTGGTTCTGACACCCCTGTTTTGGGCGTTGGGAGAGGAATATTAGATAGCGATTCAAAGGCCGACTTGAAGGATATTAATGAAGTCGCGGTCGCCGGTTCTTCTACATGCGAGGTGGTATTCGACCCGGCAAGCGTGGCCTTCCAGACCGCCATGACGGTGTCGTGCGAGGGGCTGTCGGCTTTGAAGGGGTTCTTCACCTCCTTAGCCACATTGAACACCACATCGAATTGGGAGGCCTCCTCTCTATTCGGCTCCAAGTAGAGATATAAACCAGAATCGTAAATGCAGATCGGGCCGTCGGGATAGCCCTTTTCACTCCCTTTTCTCGACTCGCGGGAAATGGGACAATCGTCATCCTCCTCCCGGAATTCCAGCAAGGGTTCATTAGGATTAAAGGTATTAATATTCGACGACAGAATGCCGTTACTGGAGTCAACGTCGCTGCGAATGCCAGAAGATGATGGTATGGATGCAAAAGGGGCTGGAAAAGAGTAGTGCGGCTGGGTGGGCGAAAGAATCGAAGAGAGTGACGGTGACGAACCAATGTGCCGCAGTGAAGGCCGGGCATTTGGGGTCGGGGGCACAGCAGGCGTTCCATTGGAAGAAAACGGGCGCTGGAAAGCCGGCGTCTGGATGGTCAGATTGGGAGGCCGCCGGCGCGAGCCGCGCGAATGGGGGCGGACGGGCGAGGGAGGCTCTGAGAGGTGGCGCCCGGATTCCCGAATAGGGGCCGTTGAGAGCGATTGACGGAAGGGCGAGGCGGGCAGGCGCAGCGAGAGGTTCTTGAGGTTCTTCGCACGGCGGGCGAGCGAGTCGGCGGGCAGCGGGCTGGTCGAGGGCGGCGGCCGGCAGGACTGCACGAGGGGTAGTTTCTCGCCATGCTCATGGGTCAGGCTGATAGACGGCAGCGGGATGGCGGACATGGGCGACTCGGGCGATGAGCTGGCGGAGGTCTCGCAGATGATGGGCGAGTCGAAGGTCGAGCTGGCGGTGGTGGGCGACGAATCGGTGGACTCGGAGACGGTGGACACGCTCTCGCGGGAGAGCAGCGGCGGCGGCATGATGGGCGGGTCGTCGGCGGGCGCGGCGGCGGCCACGACGGTGCGAGGATGGCGCAGGTCCTCGAAGGCGAACTTGCGGGAGATGGTGGAGGAGAGGGAGGCCATGGCCATCAGGTCGGCGGTGGGTTGTTTGGCGAGGGCCCGCGAGGCCAGGGCGTGCGACGGGCGGGCGGCGTCGCACCAGGATGCATCGCGGTATGTCGGCTCGACTGAGAAGCCCGACATCAAGGAGGCAAGGCAGATGGAGACGGGACGGCGACGTCTGGCCGCGGCGGGCGGGCGACGGGCGACGAGGCGGCGCTTGGAGGGCGGCAGCAGCGGCGGCGAGAGCAGCGCGCAGCAGTCGGGCGACCACGGTCTCTTGGAGGTGTTAGCCATGGCCACCGACGACAACAGATGCGAGAACGAGAGCAGGCACGGCAACAAGAACAGAACCAGACAAGACGCTACGGCAACGGGATGAGGGAGGGATGACAAGAACAACAGCAGCAGCAGCAGCAGCAGCGAGAATGAGGAGGGCCATAGTGGGCACGACAAGCAGTGGGGAGATTGGGGGAGGGGAGGGGGCCAACGTACAGACCGTAGGGTGGTGAGACAGAGAGAGGTTGGGAACAACGACGTGGAGCAGCAGCAAAGATTGAACAGGGCGCGGGTTCCGCCTGGGAATGCGGCCCAAGAGGGATGGTGAAACGAGAGCGAAACGGACAGGCGATAATAAGATAATGCGAGGGCGAAGGAGCGTGGGCGACGACGAGACGGGCGACGTGTGGAGAGGCGGAGGCGGCGGCGGAGATGAGAGGAGCGGAGGAAGAGGGGGAGAGAGAGAGAGAGAGGGAGAGAGAGAGAGGGAGGAAAAGAGAGTGAGTGGGAGAGAGGAGAGGAGAGAGAGAGGAGACAGGAGAGGATGAGATGAAGTCTGAGGAGAGAGGGAGGGAGGAGGAGGAGGAGAGGAGAGGAGGTTGAGAGCGAGACAGCGCGAGGGTTGGCTGGCTGGCTCGAGGCAGCTCGAGAGAGAGACGGCCGCGATACCGCCGCCCGGTAATTTACCAGCCAACCAGCGGCCGGCTCGCCCCCGGCCGTCGTGCAGGGGGGGGAGGGGCCCGCGGGCGGCCGGCCAACCAGCGCGCGCGGGCGTGAGGGCATGCCACTAAAAATAGCGGCCGGCGCCCCACCCCCGCCAATCACGGGGCGGCGTGCGGGTCTCGCGCGCCGTACGCGGCCGTACGGTCAGGAACATACCATACTGGCTACGGGCGGCGGCGGCGTAGCCCGTGCCTGCAGTCCGGCGTACACACACACAACTGCTCGGCGACGCACTCTGTAACCCGCCCGGCTATAAATAGCCCAGCCCCCTGTCTCTGCCTGCGCGGCACGACTGTTTCACCTCCGCCCGCCAGGATCCGACTCTGAAACGCCCGCCCGCCCAAGCTGGATCCCAGCCCCCGCCGGCCATGCGGCACGCCTGCGAACCCGGCCAAAAAGAATACTCTCATCATCATAATAATAATATGTGAGAGACATGCATACATACATGCCATGCATGTGCATGCAGTTCGCAGCGCGCGCACCCCGCCCACTGTACTCTTTCAGTCCGCCGTACCGGCCATCGCGTGACCAGGCGCGCCGCCAAGCCCGGCCCGCGCGGCCGCCGCGTGCAATCACACGCGCGAGTCTGTTCTCTCTCTCTCGCTCACCGGCACGGCAGGCGGCTCGTCCACCTCGGCCGCCAGAGTCATAATAATATAAAAAAATCACGTTCTTCTCATTTCCCCCCAGGAGGCGTCTAAAATCGGGTCTATAACAATGCCCAGGACACAAACCTGTCGATCACGTCAGGTGCCAAAACATCATCATCGTCAGCTTAGCCCGGTAATATGAAAGAAACCAAAAAAAAAAAAAAAGGAGGGATTTTCCCAAGACAAGCAGAAACACGCTATGGCGATGAACCGCACGGTAAAATAAGAAAGGGAGCAGCCAAAAATAACCCACACACAGCAAATTAATCCAACGGGATCAATTCCAGCCAGCAATCCTGGACGAAAAATAAAAAAAAGAAAAAGAAAATGCCGAACAATGGAAAATAAGGGGATGCCCATTCGTCAAAATAATATAAAAAAAAACGGCCAAACTCGCTAGCGCATGTCTTGTGCTTGTTTCATCGTCAGCCAACAGAAAGAAAAGAAAAGGAAAAAAAAAAGGGACATCCAAGCGGACCAAGCGCAAGACCCAGAAGCAAGAAAGAAGGAAAAAAGAAGAAAACGAGGAAATTTTGTCTGGGTTTTGCGGTCCCTCCTCCCCCACAATCCCCCCTTTTGTTCCCCAGAGTAATAATAATAATATCCCACTGCATATCGATCATCAGGTCAGAAAAAAAAAAAAAAAAAAACAAGCAAAAGGTTAAAAGTAAAAAAGGCAAATCAGCCCCGTTCGTCATAATCTCATCTCAGAGAATCAGCAGTAGCAGTACTCCGTAGTAGTAGTCAGGCACACACCCATCAATCAACCAGAGAAAACCGCTCTCATAAAAACACCAACCACCCTTCGTCTCTCATATCTTCTCTCCCTCTCGTATGCCCTACTCGCCCGCGCGCCGCAGACTCAGCCGCCGTCCGAAGCTGCCCGTGCGCGGCCGCAGCTGCTGCATGCTGCTGTAATGCGAGGCCGTGCGCAGCCCACCACCCCCAGCACCCCCCGCCAGCGGCGAGCTGCCCGTCTCCTGCTGCTGCTGCTGCTGCTGGGACGACGGGATCACGCTGCCGCCGTAGCGCCGGTAGCCCGGCTGCACGTCCAGGCGGAGCGCGGTGGCCGGCGGGATGTGCGACGCCGTCGTGGTGGTCGTGCCGGCCGAGAGGTAGCTGCGGCGCAGCGGGATGCCGGAGGACGGCGTGCCGCCAGCGGCGGCGGCGGTGTTAGTGTTAGTGCGGGTGCTGGTGGATGGGGAGGGCACGTCGGCGGGCGACGCGAATTCGCGTGAGGGCCGGGTGCGCAGCAGCGACGAGCGCGGGCGCGAGGACGATGATGGCGGCGAGGACGAGTCGGGCACGTCGGTGAAGACGCGCGACAGCGGCCGCGCGAGCAGCGCCGGCTTCGCGGGGAACGCGAGGCTGCCGTCGTCGACGTCGGTCTCGTGGCGCCGCGGATAGTAAGGGCTGCGTCCGGCGTTGCTGATGTTGTTATTGGTGGACGAACGCGCGATGCGGCTGTTGGTCGACGTCGACGACGGCACCAGCTTCACCATCGCCTGCGGATCGACCTCCGACGGCGCCCCGCGCACCGTCGACGTGCTGGTCGTCGACAGGTTCAGCATGCTCGACCGCCGCCCGTCCAGCCGGCTGCCCGCCAGCGCGCGGCCGGCGTCATCGGCGGGCTCATGGCTAGTGCTGCGCCGGTAGCTTGACGTGCTGGCCCCCAGGCCCGTATCAACAACACCGCTGCCCTGCGGCAGCAGCCCCGACGCCGCGTCTCGACTGCCCGGCCGGTTCCGCGCCAGCCGCTCGTCCGCCAGCGCAATGCACAGCTCCGTCAGGCTGCGGCACATGCTATCGATCTTGCGCTTGGCCTGCCTGTCTCCGCCGGCACTCGACATCCCGCTGCCCATCTGCTGCTGCTGCTGCTGCTGCGGCGGCGGCGGGCTGAACGCCGACGCGAGCGTCAGCGCGTCGTTCGCCGTGGCCTCGAGCGTGCCGTACACCGCCGGGCTCAGCGTGGCTTTGGCCTTGGCCAGCGCCGCGCGGAGCAGAGACTGGATCTGCATATCAACCGCTCCCGCCGTGTCACCAACCGACGACCCCGCGGCGGCATTCGGCGACGCGCTCGTTTTGCGTCCGTGTTTGGGCGACGACGAGATGGTCGTGACCGTCGTGGTGGCCGTGCGCGGTCTCTCCACCGACACCGACGACATCGCCGCCGCCGACGACGCCGGCAGCTTGCCGGTCAGCTCCAGCTTGCGGATGCGCGACTTCAGATCGTCCAGCTCGTCCCACACCGTTGACGGCGCGGTGGTGGACAGCGTCGACTCCGTCCCGTCATATTTCGGCCGGTCAGGTCCGTCGGAGTTCGACAGCGCGCGGTGCGTCCGGCCCGTCGTGGACAGATGAGACGGGCGAGCCGCTCGCAGCGGCACGCTGTCTTGGGCGGACCCTCGTCGCTCGCTGCTGTACCGCGCGTGCGGGTCGGGCGATATCTCGCTGTTCGTGCGGCTGAATCTGCTCCGGGGCAGACCAACGGTAGATCGAGGTGCGTATTTGGACCGGTCGAGGGCGGGGGACCTGTCGACGCCGGGGTACGGCCCGCTCAGGGGAGACATATCTTCGGATTCGTAGACGTGCCGGCTGGGAGAGGCCAGCTCATCGTTGGTGCGTGTTCGTGAAAAGTCGGAGCTAATATTCGACGTCTAGAAAGTGACCAGTCAGGTAGGTACAAAGCAACGTTCAAGGTAGCCGTCAAGAATACATGAAAAAAAAAAAAAAAAAAAAAAAAAAAAAGTAAAATGACTTACTCTCTGCCTGTCTATCCTGGCCGCCGACCCACGTCGGGTGGAAGCAGACCTAGCAATATTCAAAAACACATCTTCGCCGGGCTGCCTGCTATCATCCGAGCCCTTGCTGCTCACATCAGCACTGCCATCCAGCCTGGCCGTCAAATCCTCATCCTCATCATCACCATCCTCCTCCTCCGCATCCCCATCCTCGTCCTCCACCTCATCGTCGGCCACACTCTCACTCCGCCTGGACACCAGCGTACTTGTCGGCCGGTCCTTCAGCGCCAGGCGCGGCGCGGCATATACGGAGCGCGTGGGCAACGACGATCGCTTCTGGTCCGCAGACGCCGCGGTCACATACGACAGGTCGGATTTCCTGGCCGGGCCAAACGACCGCGGCCGGCTGCGTGCGTAGTCGCGGCTGGAGAGCGCATGGCGCTCCTGCGTCAGGCTCCGCTGCTGCGTGCTTAGCGCAGGGGGTGGGCCGGTGGAGGTCTCGATGCCCAAGCTGCTCCGCGACGCTGGGGCGCGTTTCTGATACGACGGCTGTTGCTGGAGCTGCGGTGGTGGTGGTGGTGGTGGTGGAGGTGGAGGTGGAGGTGGCCGGGGGGCGGAGTCGACGGTCGAGGGCGGGTACAGGCTCTCGGACGGCGAGACGGTGGATGAGGCGGCGCTGGGCGAGTTGAAGAAGGCGGACGAGGGCGATTGGAGGTCTAGGTCGCGCGTGGTGCGCGGGGTCTGGAGGAGGAGCTTGGGGATCGAGGAGGAGCTGTGGTGGTTGCTGCTGGGGGTGGCAGTGGAGGCGGAGTGGGCGTGGGAGCGGGCGGCGGACTTGAAGGCGGCGACCTTGCGCGGCGAGAAGCCGGCCAGGGCGGGATTGGAGAAGGTCTCGGAGCTCAGCGGCGACGCAGCGGTGAAGGAGTGCGAGTTGGAGGCGCGGTGTCGGGCCGCAAAGTCGACGGAGCGACGGCTGGCGGAGTGCCCGGCGGCGTGGTGGTGTCCCTGGTGGTGGCCGCTGGAGTCGTCGCGGGCGGTGGGATCGGTCTTGCTACGGCTGCGGAAGCACGGCTGGCGCGACGAGAGCGTGGAGGGCGACGGCGCGGGTTCAACGCGCATGACGAGCGAGACGGGCGGAGGGAGGGCGACAGCGCATCGACGGACGGGGACAGCCAGCGAGAGGCAGCGGTGGTGAGATGGTGTGGTGGTGTGGTGGTGTGCTGGTGTGCTGGTGGTGGTGGAGGGTGTCAGGGGAGCGAGGCGAGGATGGGCTTCATGGTGCGGCAGAGAACGAGACAGACAACAGACAAACAGACAGACAGAATAGGGGCGAGAGTTTTCGGGCCGGGATCAAGCTGCACACACACACAGCGGCCAGGAGAAGAACAAAAAACGCTGAGCAAACGACGCGGATGCGGGCCGGCTGCGGGAGATTGGCGCCGCGTGATTTGGCGCTGAAACAGCGAAAGCCCAGCATCGCCATCACCACCACCCCAACACCGCCCGCCCGCCTCGCATCACCACCACAACACACTGGCCGCGCCGCCAAGCGCCCGCCGTTGGTTATTTCACTATGTAGTTACGTAGGCGGGTCAGCATCATCATCATCATCCTCGTCATCCACGCGCCTCTCGCCCCAGATCGCCCGCTGCCGCCCAGCCCGCCCAAGCTCCACGGAACCACCATCCACCCTTGCACTAGCTCTACGGAGTACGTTGCATCGAAACCACTCCTCGCTCTAGCGTATTGTCTGCATGGCGAATTTCCAGCGAGCTTACTCCATTCCTATCAACGTACGAGCACACACGGTTGAGATCGTTGTTTGTTTACAAATAATATAGCTGCCAGAATGCTACCTACTGGATATACATCCACTCGATCCGACTAGACCTACCTTCCACGGCTCACTCAAAGGCTGGTCCCAGACAGCGAGGTGACCGCGGATTGACCGGAGGCCTGGGTCGCCATTCCATTGCAGACCAACAGCGGAGACCCGGCCCTGCCATAAGATCGATCTTTCACAGCACGTCCAAACGCCACCGCCGTCATACCTCGTGGCCAGATCTAGACAAAGTCCCTAGCACCTGCCCGCTCGATACCCCGCTGTGCAGCTGTGCTGGATGCAAGATAGCCGAGTCACAGCCCTTGTCGACGGGAGAGAATGAGGCTGGATATGGAGCGTCTTGTTATCGACGCCAGGATGGTTCCTCGCAGCTCCGATTAGGCGTTCTGAACGCCAGGCTTGACCATCCCAGGTGAAAAGTAGAGCCTAGCACGAATGTAGTACCAACAAGGGAGGAACTACATCATACACGGATCGCAGTATATGCACGATATACTGATGCACCCCCTCGCCAGCCACCTAGGCACCAAGTGGAAGTGGGCTATGTGTTAGCTGATTGGCGCGGACATTACTTTCGATCGGGCCCACGAATTGCAATCCAAGATTCCAATCGCCCAGTGCCCTGTCATGCAGGGTGGCTGATTCATATAGAAAGCCAATGCTTTGTATTTTCACTTTTATTTGTTTTTCCTTTCTTCCGAAAAAAAACACCGCAGGCGATAGGAGATCTAAACATCCCGTCTACAGCAATCGATATCCGCCCAGCACGATCCAAGAACCTAGACGTTTTCTTTTTATTTTCCAGGGGATCAACTGACATACATGCCATGCATGATGCCCACCACCAACTCGAAGACAAGCAAGCGCAGCCTTGATTTGGGATATTCTGGAGGGTGGACGGACAGCATACAAGCCCCCTCCGCAGACCAGCGAATGGACAAGGCCCTGGCTGCACCAGTCAGCTGGTCCGGCCTTTCTTCGGCTGCAGAGCATCGGAATCACAAGGAGAGCCGGGGCACGGGCGCCTGCCGCGTAATAATATAACGTCAAAAAAGTCAGCAGTTACAGGCCAACAGGATTCCAGACAAGGTGGGATGTTCGAATAGGAAGGGCGCGGGCTGTGTGCGGGGAGGCTTCATATATATCCATGCAGGTTCGGCCCTGCGGGTACAAAAGCCACTGCGGGGTCCCGCCCGTTTGGAAATCTTTTTTAGCAAGGCTGCGAGAAGTGAGTCCTTGGATGTTTTTTGGATGGTTATATTGGTGAGCGTTGTTCAGTACCCTGGATTTTGCCGGATGCGCTGGAGGAGAACCTTGCGTCGTCGTCGTCGTCGCTGCTGGCTTCAGGATTGGGTCTGCCTGTTTTTGGCAGGGTGAGGGTTTGCAGGGCGGCAGTACACCGAGCGTCAGCCAGGTCATTCTCGACGAGCCGTTTTGGAATCATGCAGCGTCATGACGGTTAGACCTTCCTCTGATGTGTGAGGCCTTGAACTGCCAGAGGACCATGGGCATTGCAAGGGGGGAAGATGAGAATATAAAAACAACTGGAATTCTCCAGTTTCTTATTGAAATCTGCCAATATCAGAATATCAAACCACCAGAACAACACCCTCACACACCTCAAGAGCCCAACACCTTCGATCCCCCCCTCCACCACCGCAACCATGCCCGTCGTCATCGACACCGCCATGCGCACGCCCGGCTACCCGGACGAGGCGTACTTCTTCAAAAACACTCGCTACCTGCGCATGTGGTGGAAGCCCGGCACGCCCGAGGAGCGCAAGGTGTTCGGCCCCGCGACCATCAGCCAGGAATGGAAAGTCATCGGCGAGGCGGGCTTCACGCGCATCGACGCGATGCTGCCGAGCACGCGCGACCCGCAGAAGTACTACGCCTTCAGCGGCAGCCGGTACGTGCGCGGCAGCTTCGTGCCGGGCACGGCGACGGAGAGCAAGCTGTTCGGGCCGGCCAACATCGTGGACGAGTGGAAGACGCTGCGCGACGCGGGCTTCGACTGCGTGGACGCCGTGCTGCCGATCCGCAGCACCGACCCGGCCGCGGGCTTCGAGGAGGAGGCCTACTTCTTCTGCGGCACGCGCTACCTGCGCATGCGCTGGACGCCGCATACGCCGCGCGAGGAGCTGGTGTTCGGCCCCGCGCCCATCGCCGCCGAGTGGAAGACGCTGCGCGACGCCGGCTTCGAGACCGTCGACGCCTTCGTGCCGAACCTCGAGGCTGCGCGGCCCGGTGAGGTCGATGTGTACGCCTTCAGCGGCCCGCGCTATGTGCGCTTCTCGTTCGAGCCCGGCACGCCCAAGGAGACGAAGATCTATGGCGTCGCGGAGATTGATGATGAGTGGAAGACGCTGCGCGAGTTGTAGGAGAGAATGGATGCAGTTGGAGGGCGGGCGTGATTGGGCCGCGGCGCGGATCAACGATGTGCCGCCGGCCAACGGTCGGCCGGCGATTGGGTAATTGAACTAACTAGTTATAGTTAAACTAAGGCCGATCGGCCGTGGTGCTAGAAAAGTCAATGCAGAGAGAAATCCATTGCGGTTTGAGACAACCCATTATTATTGTTGTTATTATATTACGTCTGTGAAATTGCAGAATCATCTTCGCGCATGTAAAACGTGTTTTAGGCTCACATCGTCTTGTATCACTTTTTTTCTATACAAAACTCCTGGCTTGCGTATCTATATACAAGGGGGTATATATGTGTGGTGATGTTGGTAGCGTTGTCGCAGACGGCCGTGCAGATAAAGAAAAGAATAAAAAAAAAACCGGTAAATGCAGATAAAAGGGGCAAATAATCGATCCTCCGTAAATAATAATAATAAATAGTGATAGGTAATAATATTATATTATATCTCGCTCAGACATGCCGGAACGGGCTCACTTGGTTCTCGTTACTGATGCGCGGGCTCACGCGCGGGCTCGCGGTGCTGTCGCCGCCCGCGGCGCCGCTTTCGTCGGCCTTGAGCTGGCGCTTGAGCTCCAGCGGCTCGATGATGCCGGTGGAGTTGCGCCAGAAGCGCGAGCGGCTGGTGGGCGTGCCGGGCGGGCCGGGGCTCTTGGACGTGCGCTTGGAGTGCGAGGTGGCGCGGTGGTGGCCGCTTTCGTCGTCGACGCCGTTCTTCTCCAGCCAGTAGTCGCGCAGTCGGTCGAGCGCGGTCTTGAAGTCGTCGAGCACCACGGCGTCGCACAGGCATTTGAACACGAACGAGAGCTGTGGGGGAGTCAGGAATATATATGGAATACGGCGGCGATGAGGACGAAAATAGAACAGAACAGAATAAAATAGGGTGAGACGGACCTTCCAGAAGGGGTTGATGCCGGTGGGCAGGGCGCCCTTGAGGACGTGCAGCACGCTGAGGATGTCGAGGAAGATGAAGATGATGGAGATGCACATGGCGACGAGCATGACGCCGAATCGCGGGCCGTTGCGCAGCAGCTCGGAGATCTTGAAGTTGTACTGGGACTTTATGACCCAGAACAGATTGCAGGTGGTGTAGATCCACCAGGGGTCGCTGTGGCACGGCAGGCTTAGCGGAGGGGTACAAGATACGCGGGGATCCGGGGTCTCCGGAGGAGCACAGGATATAAATAAAATACGTGGGACTCACCGGAAGAGCGGTTCCCAGGGGCGGGTCTTGAGGAAGAGGGTGTTGATGTTGTTGAAGTAGGCGAAGTTGGCGTAGATCTCGAGCACCCAGTAGGGCTGGACGAGCACGACGGTGCCGATGTAGACCAGCGAGACGCGGCGGCTCATGAAGGGGCGGTTCTTCATCCAGGCGATGACGTTGTGCAGGCTCCACGACATGTTGAGCCCGATGGCGGTGCACGACAGGTACCAGCCGTACACGGGCTCGTGGAAGAAGATGAAGGTGCCGTGGCCGATACCGAGCAGCAGCTGCGGCGGTCAGTAAGTCGATATACATATATATATATATATATATAATATGGGGTGGAGAATACCTCGGCGAGGATGAGCTTGTGCAGCAGCACGCGGCGGCGCATGTTGGCGACGGTGATGGCGGCCATGAAGATCAGGGTGCCGACCATGAAGCCCTGGCCCCAGGCCTCGAGCACCAGGCCGTCCGGGTCGTGGTCGGGGCGGCCGACGCGCGTGCGGGCTTCATCTTGCATGTCGGGGAGAGTCTGTATGTGCGGCGAGGCGGAGCGTGGTTCAGCTCATCGGGGCCACACGCAGCATATTGGCCGGCGGCAGGGCGCAGGCAGGCAGGCGGAAGGAGCAGCAGGAGCAGGAGGATCCGTCGCGTGTACGAAGTACTCAGTATGTCAACGGGTATAGAATCGGATCGAGCAACAGGCCCAGCGAGAGCGAAAGGGGGGGGGGGGGGGGGGGGACGGAGAGGGAGCGAGCGGGCGGGCAGGCAGCGGGCTTTAAGGGCCAGGCTTTTGCTTTTGATTGCAGCTGGGCGAACACGAAACCCGCGCTGGAGCGTTGCCACGGCCGGTGGAGCTGCAGAGAACTAGTTTGCCATCGTCGCCTGGGCGTCTTTGCTGCTCGGCTTTTTTGTTTTTTTAATTTTTTTTGCTTGTTCGCCCGCCCAGCCCGCCCGCCCGGCCCGCCGCCATCGCCGCCCGCAGAGCTAGCTGGGGGGTCGGGGGGTGTCAGGGGGGGGAGAGAGGCGAGCCCGCAGGCGCTGCGTCAGCCGGACGGGGGGCGGGTCGCGGCAGGATCGGGCGAGTCGAGCGCAGTCCGCCGTGGGAGGGAAGAGCATGACATATAACGAACAATCCTATTCTCCGTGCGTCGAAGCACAGATGCATGCATGCATACTGTACACCAACTCCCAGGCCGCCACGCGCAAAAGCCCGGGGCCGGGCTGGCGTGCCCCGCGCCAATCACCGGGGGACCTCACCACGCCTCGCCGCCGGGCCTGCAGCACACCCCCCCCCTCCCCGGGGGCAGCCTTAGGCCCAGCCAGGCGTCGCACAGGCCTGGCGCATGCCTAACGTCCCCCCCCCCAGACCAGCAGGCCGCCAGGGCTGGGCAGGAGCTGGCGAGCAACCGGCTGGCTGCCTAAGTGCTGGTACTACTGCCTGACGACTACTCTGGCCTGCAAAATTGCGCGGCGATCGCCCGCCGCCGATCCCGCTGAGGCGCCGTTAGACCCGAGCGCCCGCCGCCATTCGCAGCCCAGCCATGGCGCCGTCGAGCTTGCTGCTGGCGATGCTGCAGCGGACTAGCTAGCTCTACTCCGTACCTCTCACCCATGCAGAACGGCTGTGCATCTCGCTGCTGTCTGAGTTCTAGTTCGTGATGCACCCTCCTTTCTCCCCCCACGGCTCGCTGCTCCCCGGAATCGCCCGACGCGCTCCTTCGCGGCCGCAATACGAGCGCCCGCGCCTAATTAACTACTTAGCTGGCGAACTCGGTCCAACTCTTCAGCCCGCCATCCAGCTCCTGGGGAACCGGTGATCATGCGCTCTCTCGGCCCTTTTTTGGTGCCTGAGCTAGCTTCACTCACTCATGGTCTAGAACCCGCTGCTGAGCATTATTGCCGAGGACCACCGCATGCTTTTCTTCATCCTCTCTGCTTCTTCTCTCTCTCTCTCTCTCTCTCTCTCTCTCTCTCTCTCTCTCTCTCTCTCCCTCACTCTCTCTCCCTCACTCGGGCGAGCAATCCACAAAAACAAAAAAAGCCTGTCCGTCTAGTCAACGAAGATAATAAGAACATCCCACAATAATAATAACCCGCGCGCCGGCCAACCGCGTTTCACCCTGAGTCCGCCCAATTTGCGCCCGCTCGTACGATTTCCCGCCCGTTTAAAAGGGGGGCGCCTCGTCCGGCCTTTGCTGCCAGCTGGCTCGCTCGAAATTCCGCCGTGGGTTTATTTTATTAGCGACGAGAAATACTACTACTAAAATATCATTTGCAAAAAAAAACCTGTTCGTTGGTCCCCGAGCCGCCGGCTAGCATTTTAACTCACGCCAAACACGTTGCATCCATCCCGCCGTTCGCCACACCCGCTCCACCGTCGCGGAGCCTCGGAGATAATGCTGGGGAAAAAAAGACCTCAAGCTCGCTACGGGCTGGTTAGCTGGCCGGCGGGCCAATCGCGTGTGCATTCGTCCGACCCGTGGGCTCCAGTGAAAGACCCCGATGATTTTATCATCTATTATTGCTGCTGCAGTGCGCGGCTACTCACGGAGCGCAGCCGTCATCCATCGAAGCAACATACTACTGGCTTCTACTCACGACCACTAACTTCTAGTCTAACAGCGGCAGCACGCTCTGCACCGTGTCCACCACGCTCTCCCGAAACGTGCGGTACGTCAACCCCAGCACCTCGCGCGACTTGCGATTATCAAACCCAAACGCGCCCTTCACCTCGCTCTGCCCGTCTCCGGCTCCCTCCTCCTCCCACTCCCGCCCGCGCGGCAGCCGCGCCCGCAGCGCCGGCACGCCGTCCGCGATGCAGCGCACGATCTCGGCGTTGCTGAAGTTGCCGGCCACGATGAAGAAGCGCTGGTTGGCCGCCGCGGGCTTCTCGGCCGCCAGCGCGTGCGCCAGCGCGATGTCGCGCACGTCCACCCACAGCGTGCCCTCGTCGGCCGGCCAGCGCGCCGCCATCGCGTCGCCGGGGCCTGAAGCTAGCTGGCAGATGCGCTCGTTGGACGTGTTGATGGCGTCGAGTGACGCGAGGTAGTGCACCACCGGGCCCGAGACCAGCGGCGGGTTGCACTATGCTGTAGTCAGCCTTTTTGCTTTCATAGAAGGGTGGCGGGCTTACGGTGGCGAGCGTGAAGTTGGGCTTCTCTTTCTCGATAAAATCCCAGGCGGCTTTTTCCTGCAATGCCGGTTAGTCGTGCGTGCGGCCGAGTGGTGCCTAGAAACAGAAACAAGGCAGGCCTAGACCTACGGCGAAGGTCTTGCTGGCGCGGTAGCCCGTGCGCGCGTTACTCGCGGCCTCCTCTCTCTTTATGGGATTCCAGTCGTCCTGGTTCGGCAATCGTCAGCATGGGTTGGCACTTGCAAAGCGGCCCAGACATTGCCCTACGTCGGTGTATACATAGCTCGCCGGCTTGTTCACGTCGATGATCGCGGCGAACGACGACGTGATCACGACGCGCGTGACCGTCGGGGCGTGCTTCTTGATGGCGTGGAGGATGCCCACGGTGCCATTGATGGCTGCGCTGGCGTTAGAACAGAAACCTTTAATGCAGGGTGTTTTTCGCGCCGTTACATACCCGGCTTCAGCAGCTCCTCCTCCACGTCGGTGGCGCGGAAATGAAACGGGCTGGCAGTGTGTATGACGATGTCAAACGGCGGCTCCGACACCACCGCCTTGTCGAACGCTGTTGTGGCCATTGCAATCCAAACCAGGTCAGTCTAACGCCTTTTTTTTTTCTCTCCGTTCCTCCCCCCCCGTCGGCCACATGCATGCAGGGGATGGATGATTCCTCATACCGTTAGGCTGCGCGATGTCCGGCACAATGGCAAAGTCCAGGGTGGACGGCGGCACGCCCGGGTGGGCGTCGCGGATCCGCTGGGCCTTCTCGGGCGAGCGCACAGTGGTGACGACGGAGTGGCCGCGCTGCAGCAGCGTGTCTAGGACATGGGCGGCGATGAAGCCGCTGCCTCCTGCGTGCCGGGGGTAGTTCTGTCATTAGCCGGTAGGGTTCCAGCGCCGCAAACACGGTCCGGCGGGGAGAGTAGCTACCTGTCAGTAGAATGCGGGGCATTGTGAAGTCTGCTGTGTCAACGGTATGGTGGTATGGTCGCTATGGTGTAGCTGGTCTTGTATGGCTGGCTGGTGGTGGCCGCGGGTAGTTATTTGTACGGGCTGGAGGTATGTACCCCGCCGGGACGATCGCCGTGCCGGTTCAGCAGCGCGGGATTGGTAAGCACTCCTTAACTATATTAACTTAACTAACTACATAGTTCAGAGGAATCGCGAGAACCACCCACGTTGACGCATCGCCATGCCGCACTTCACCATCCACGTCGTATCCGACACCGTCTGCCCGGTATGCTGGCCCTCCCAACTCCCTACAAGACCTACCTACCTAACTCCCGTCTGCAGTGGTGCTACGTCGGCAAAAAGAACCTCGACGCCGCCATCGCGCTCTACCAGGCCGCGCACCCGGACACCGCCGCCACCGACACCTTCTCCATCACCTGGCAGCCGTTCATGCTCAACCCGCACGCGCCGCTGCCGTCCATCGACAAGCAGGCCTACTACACGCAGCGCTTCGGCGCCGACCGCGCCCAGGCCATGCACGCGCGCGTGGCCCGCGCCGGCGCCGCCGTCGGCATCGCCTTCCGGTTCGGCGGGCGCACCGGCAGCTCGCGCGACTCGCACCGGCTGATCCAGCTCGGCCACAAACAGGGCGTGCAGACGCGCGTCGTCGAGCAGCTGTTTGCCGCGTACTTCGAGCACGAGCAGGATATCACGGCGATCGAGGTGCTGGTGGGTGCTGGGGTGCGCGCCGGGTTGGATGAGCGTGAGGTGCGGGAGTGGCTAGAGACGGGGAGCGGGGGCGAGGACGTCGATCGTGAGGTCGAGGAGGCGCGCGCGCGCGGCGTGCAGGGCGTGCCGTGCTTTGTGGTGCAGGGTCGGTATCGTGTCGAGGGCGCGGGCGCGCCGGGGCAGTTTTTGGATGTGTTTGAGGAAATCAGGGAGCAGGAGTGCCGCGAGTAGTTGACTATGGCGGAGAGGCTGAGAGGGTGGCAGTTTGGAGTATGCTCTCGGAGATATTAGCCCACTAACTACCTACCTATCTAGTGGTTATTCGTTACAATTCTCTCGTCATCTCCAGCGCAACGCCAACCAACCCAAGCCGACTGGGTCTCTGGCTTCCCCGCGCCGCCGCCCGATCTGCCCCCCGCGATCGCCGCACGTCCCCCTTGTCCCTTGCAGCATGCACGCAAACACAATCTGCACTCCACACACACACACACCCATAGTCCCCGCCATCCCACGCACCGGGCACCATTATTCTTATTATCATTGCGTGCATCAGTGGCGCGCGCCCCGTGCTATGGCTTTTTTTTTGTTTGTTTGTTTGTTTGGTGGCGGCCGAAGCGAGATCTGAACTGTCAGATGTGCCACTTTCAGTAGTCGGTGGGCGATAATGCGCGATCGCGTCGCAGGTACGAATGACGAACTATTCAATGCATGCGTGTCGTTGTGATTGCGATCTGTCGGATTCTGGCTGGGAGTGCCGCTGGAGAAGAGTGCCTCAGACATCTCGTGTTAGAGGCTTTCCATCACTGAGATATAAAATGATCTGTCACTTCCGATAATGCAAACATGGCAAAAAAAATGGGGAATATGATTTCAGATCAATAATCCGTCAATAGTCTCTCTGCTTACATTTTTATAGGCAGTTGAGTTGATACTCTGCGATTTGTGGTCGCGAATATATACAGGGGAGCCTTGACAGTCGCGTATCCCCTACGAAAGCAGCGATGGCCAGTCCCACACGTATTTCCGCTGAGCGTGCGCCCGATGCTACCTGTCACAGACATGCTGAGCCGGCGGCCAGAGCTGCAAATACCCTAGAGCGCCTCGCTGCTTGCGGCTCGATCCGAAGAGTGCGGCTTACCAGCCCCAGAACCATGATGCCCGAGTGCACACCAGTCCTTTCGTGGAAATTCCATCCCTCTTATCAGCTTCAGGCCTCCTCAAGCTATATCAAAACCGCGCCTAGCAATTAAAAAAGGCCACATATCAGAGCGCTTACTACTAGCTCGTTAGGTAGCACTGCCGGGAAGTGTTAACTATGGACAGCCCCATTAGGCCAAAAACTTAGGCAAAAAGGGTGCAACCACTCAAGGGTGCCAGATACTCCGACACTTCCACTCTAGTTGGGTGGGACAAGCTGGTAAGCCAACTAGAGGCTTACATTTGCCCCCCTGTCTGGACGCTCGAGGATTTCTTGCTTCTGTCTTACCTTTTAGAGTTGCGGCTCTGCTTGCACACTACAAGATCTGAACTCAATGGAGTGTCGGGGCTCGTAGCCTGCTATAGTGCGTTGCAGCTACACTACGCGCGAACAGTGCCTTTAGGCCTAAAGGTCGTAAGGTTTCTAACGGTGGTCATGTTTGTAGCTGAGTGTTTGGCACTTCGACATAATGCTCCCAACAGGCCAAAGAGGCCATCGAGGGCAAGGGTACGAGGTGCCCCAATAGAGGCCGGTTCGATGCGCTTCCACCGTGCATTGACCGCCCAGGAGGGTCAGGGGAATTTTCGAGCACCCATTCAAACCGCGCAACGTATGCACCTCCCAGCCCGGGTTCCAATACGTACGGTGCTGGAAGGGATGTGGCGCAGCAGACACCTCACCTAAAGCTGTGCTCTGGTGTCGTTCGTTTTGCTGTGAGTATTTTTGTACAGCAATACTGTCTGGATAGGAAACTGTCTTTCAGCAGAGATGCATCAAAATGAATTCCAAGGGGTATCGAACTAATATTCTTGGTTCTGACGCCGAAGAGTCCTTGCCTAAGCACCTGGCTAATTCACAGAACTTGATCCAAGTGATTTTAACGTGAGTTAGTGACATAACTCACTACTTAACTACATGCCAAGCATGAAGCCTCAAAAATGGGTAAATATGCTCCTTGAGCAGCCTGACCTAAAAAGAATTGCTACCCATTGCTTCCCCCTTACGGGTGGAAGATATTGCCCCTTGTCCTATTTTCTTTTCCGCCCCGTTGAGTGGAACTACGCATCACCACTAAGCCCTTATGACATAGGGGTTCCATGGACAGACATACATGCATACATGAGAAGGGCCATTTCTTTGGGTAAGCATGCAGCTACTTCAAAAGGTCGCAGTGCTCCCTTCTCTAATACATGATGATATACCTGCCTTGCTGGCAGTCCTTAATCTAGTGTCATGCAAGTGCCTCGACCATGCATACTACTTGGGCGTCGACCACGTCGCACCCGCTTGTGATTCCAGATCTACCACTACCTGCGTTTCATTCCTTGAGGCTCTGCTGAGCTCAAGGGACATGAATTGTCCCTTATGTTTCCATACTTTAAGGCCCTTCTTTTTTTTGTGGCCGTACTGCTTTGACTTGGAAAGCAAGTGTTTTAGTTCCCAGGCTCCCCCCTAAAAAGCTCTGTATATTCTATCCGGCAAGGATTTGTAGGTGGAACGTGTGATCGTTTAGTGGCCTTTTTGACTGACTGCTGGGGCGGACGCCGGGTCGCAACAGAGTCGCCAGAGTCGCCAGAGTCGCCGCCGGCCCGACCGGTAACTACCACTCTCCTAATCCGTGGTGAATTAGGTGCATTTATACATATGGCATGATAATCATCTGTGATGAGTTTCTAGATCTTGCCGCAAGATATCCCCTTACTCGAGGATAGCGTTTCTATCTCCTCTGGCAGGCACAGTGAGACGAGATCGACTCCAACTGTTAACTCTGCTGCTGAATCGCAGTCGACCATTGAGTCTTTGAAGTCCCTAAACACTCTTATTCGGCAAATAAGTCTAGATCTTTGCCCGCAAGAGGAAGCTGTAACAAGCCTGGGGAACTGGCTCAAAACTATCTCTCCAGAAGAATATACACAAATTCCACAATGGACGCCGGAAATGTGGGCAGCGTACAACGACTACAAAGCTAAAGCAGAAGAGCAAGGCAGGGCCCATAAAGCATATCTAGCCTTTTCCGCATCTCATCCCAAGCCAAGTGATCCGGATGAAAACCTTGAGCGTGCTAGGTTAGCTATTATATGGGGTCAAATGTCATTAGCGTCAGTTTTCTATTTGCAATGTAGGTTATCTTATGCTAAGCAGCCTTTGTAGGGCGGCTGAAGCACGACTTTCCTTTCTTGGTGAATACCAGAACGCATTTGAGAATAAAGTTTCCATTCAAAATCATATCGAGGAGGCTTCAAAACAAATAGTCAGTGGAAGAAACGCTATAAAGAAGGCGAGGAGAAGCCATAATGGTGAGAATATTCTTATTTAGAGGTCCTTTTGACTGACTAATTGAATCGATATTAGACCTCTGGAACAAGAATCCAGGCAAAGCTAATCCCGAGGTTTTTGATGATGTTATTTAGACCCAAAAATAGCCCAGTGTAGTGAGGCTCACAGTGTATCTCGCATTTTTGCTATTGGTAAAAGCGGGTTTCCAGATCATCTTGTATCTAATGACAGTTGGTATCCTCATACAACACGTCTAGTTTTAGATTCCTGGGCTCCACCACTCGTGTTTATGCATAGTTTAAGCTGTAAATATCGCCTGTATAAAATTATAAGTAATATGAGGAGGTATAATCGGTACGTATGGGTACCATGAAATAGTATCATTAGTGTTGTATGTCCTGGGACCTTGATAATTAGAAAATCAACCGTTGACCAATATAATTATTTCCTCCTGGAAACAAGCCCACCTGCAGAGTCTTTCGCTGATGGCCATAGAAAATCCTTAGAACAAATGATACCAATGATCTGCCCTTGGATCATAGTATGAGTTTTGGCTTTCAAACGCCTCTATCAGAGAGGGATGTGCAAGACGATGCTTATCCCAAAAAATATATCCCCAATCGCGGAAAGAGCTGCGTATGCAGTATCCATAGTAATTGCTGTAAGTTCCGCTCCAAATTACTGTCCAAGCATACGGCGGGAGTGATGCGTCGTCACCCTGAAATGGCAGAGGCTCGGCACGGTCCTGCTTCTCATGGCGAAATGACAGGTGGTTATCCCGCAGGTTGTCTTGTGCCGATTCGCCGAAGGGGCCAAAAAAGCCTAGAAAGTTGCCCCAAACATATGTGATGTTGTCTTGCATCACCGTGACAAGGTGGTCATGATTCTTAATTGAAAGGGCAATATCTAAAAATTCAAGACCCCAAGATATTACCCCCTCCAAAAGCTCTTCTCTGGTATCTAGTGATTTTGATGTGGCGATCAGCTATAAGCCAGTGGGAGCTATTGAGAGTATTAGAACTTACAGTCATCTTCTAGATGAAATGCCCCAACTGGTGTTGGAGGGCGTCTATCAGCAAATTTGGGGTTATTCTCATTCACATCCCATGAAATCGCATCGAAAATCTGGTTGAATTGCTGGGTGATAAAATGATGGATGCATGCAATCTCCTCGACTTCCCATGGTTCGAATAGGTCAAAATACATCACTGAAATATCAATAGACTCAATGGAACGAAAATCACTAGCACGCCATCGCTCATACCCTTTACCAAAAATGTTGCAGCATACCTGGAATCGGTAAAGAGCACGTACAATACGGGTTTCTTCAGTGTTGCTTGGAGAAACACTCTGTGGCTCATTGGTTTCAACAGCAAGATTCGCCATTGTGGTGGTTGCGTAAAGCTTTGCCGTATTCCAGACCATATAATGAAATCTGATCATATCTTTCAGGACCCTTTCACTGAGTTTTTCTGGGAATATTAATGACTGCTGAGAGGCAGACAGCCTGTTTCGATAGGATTCGAAGAAACCGGATGTTTTCTCAAGTGAGATGCCACAGTGAAGTTCCAATTTGCCCGACCAGTATGCGGAGCATGCGTCCACTGTGACATTTTCCAGTGTATTTTCGAGGCAATGCCGCAGCAGAAATGTGCGATCAAGTTTATACTGTTCGTAAAAAGTGCGGCATACCAGATTCATCGTGCTCAGGTCTCGAAGACTCATGAATGACAATATCATCCGTCGGAGTTCAGGCGGAAGTCTCTCAAGCCGAGAAGGTTCATGTGCAATGCTCAAGGAGGTATCGGTCGTGGGTTGAAAGGCGAGGGGTGGTAGGGGGCGTGGTTTGCCAGGCCGGAAGGCCCGTTTTAATTTCGAGAGAAACCGCTTCATATTCAATATCCAGAGCTCATCAAAGGCAGATAGAGTATAGAGTCAAACTGATGGAAGATGGTGTTCATTGTAGATATTCAAGAGCATGATAAACAATGACTCACTTGTTTGTGTTACTGGACGGCCGTCCGGACAATACCCGGATACAGCAGCATCGTCCAATCAACAAGATGTGTACGCATACGGAGTATACATCCTCATCACTGGAATATGAATCTTCCGTGCTCCGTATGGCCTCAGGTCTGTGAGGTTGAGACGGCGAGGCGCCACCCAAAGCGGCCGGCAGCTAAGCTTTTTTGGGCCCGCGAATCAGGCCCACAGCGTGGGTCCGTGTGGCTGTGCCACACGTGAGCGGACGCGTGAAACTCGATATCAACAGCAATCCACGAAACAAAAAGGGGTGTCGCTTTAAAACATGCACTTCACGCTCAAAGATGTATTGTACTACCTTTCATTATACGGGGTCTTCAAGGACTCCCACCAGCGCTGGAAAAAGGCCTTGAAAGCGCGAAAACTGAGGCACCCTTTGACCCTCCCATTGCCTGATGGAACACCCTTGCCCGTGTACCGGCGGAAAAAGCAACCCCTAATTTACCAGCCACAGGCAGACTCCATATTCTTTGTGTTGCCGCTAGAATTACGAAGGGAGATTTACTCATATGTGTTTGGCGGGAGACCGATCAAGAGGCCCTTCGCCGTGAGATGCACCGACTGGCATCGAGTTGGGCTTCACAACCATAATGAACCGCAACAGCCGCGTGCTCCACAGCGGATCCAGTGGGTCGACATTATCCCCATAGCACTGCTTCAAACGTGCAGGAAGATGTGAGAAACTACCCAGCCTCCCCTCTCCCACGCTGCATTCTAACAGAATACACAATAGTTATTCCGAAGCCATAGACGTGTTCTATTCAGAAGCGATATTTAAAGCCTTTACGCCCGTGGACGTAGACCGGATGTTTCTTGGCCTTCCAGTCCAGCGCACGGATTGCATTCGTTCTATCTGGATCGATATCCGCTTCGCAATCACCTGCTCTCTGCAATGCGATGGCCTTGAGGAGATTTTCGACGAAGGTACTTGGTCCGAAGTGGTAAAGTCGCTTGCCAAGCTACCCCAGCTTCGCAACGTTCGGGTATCGTTCATGAAAGACGAATTGACCGGAGGCGATTACTGTGGCCACCTGCTGGAGCGTTGTGTGCTACCAGCATTGGCTGTGGTCCCAAGAGTCCCAAAGTATGAGTTTCTTGTGAATTTTGAGGTGAAGACGCCCGACAACGTGCCATTTCAGGTCAAGCGGATCCGCGCAAGCAGGCTGCGGCAGGGTCGGATATGGGCGGAATAGTAGTTTTTGGTCAGGCAGATGCGCAGAGGTAATAGTACTGTTGTTTGAAAGCCTTTCGTATTGGGTAGAAATTCTGCGATTAATATGTTATCGTCGTTGAACATCATTAATATTGCGTGTATTCAAACTTTGATTTCCTCCGTACTCCGTCCGCCCTAACGCCGTAGCGGATTAGCGTGTAAATGCCAAGGTATCTATTAGTCACCAGTCATATGACCCTTATCGGATTGGTCGCCGGTTGATAAGATCGATAAGCTCCTTCCAGCTTCAAAGCCAACGGAATCCCTCCAACACGGCTGGATGCGACAGACGACATGTCGCCCGGTAATAACGGGAACTGCAAGATTACAACGCCAGAACGCCCTGCAATGCGACCTACGAGCTAAGCTGGGTTAGGATTCCAGAGCTATACTGAATTCCCGCTGCTGAGGAACGCGAAGTCCGGCCAGAGCCGACAAATCCCCAGAAACTGGTTGATCCCAATGATTCATAATCGCCGGCTCCTCCCTTATGCTATACTCCAATGAAATCTACCAGTAAAGATACAGGGCTTATGTTTCGTCGAAACGGCAAACCGCATTCGTGCGAGCCCTGCCGGATCTCTAAGGTGAAATGCGACCATACGACCCCCATATGTAAGAGATGCGAGACTCGGGGGATTATATCGAAAGTAAGGGCTTCCTTGCTTTTTGCTATTGTTGATGTAATACTTACCTGACGCAGTGCTACTATCACCCAGCGCCATTGACTAAACGCCTAAAGCCTGCTGCTGGTAGTGAAAATGAACCAGATAAACCAAAAAAGCGCAAAAGAGCACCCTTAGGCACAGAATCGCCTCTTATGCCCGCCTGTGGTGACTCAGTAGGCGCATCGCTTCTTTCACCCTCAAATAGCAATATTGATGGCGGACTGACAGGCCACAACGCCTATCTCGGCTCTACAAGCTTTCTATCCGTGTTTCATGAGACGGTCCCCCAGTTGTCACATCTTGCAATGCAACCTCTGCCGCCGGAGTTTGCTCGCTGGCAAAACAAGCAACTTTCTTTACAGTCACAGCTATTAAAATTAATCACTTCGTTCGATCTGTATGAGAAACTTATTGGGTATTACTACGAACGGGGACTATTTAGCATTGTTCCAGCGTCTTTGACCCTTGGCGCAGTCAAATATGCACGGGCACATCTGGAAACTGAGGATCTATCCAATGTTCGCCAGAAAAATCTGTACAGAAAGATATGCCAAAACACCGCCAAGCCGCTCGAGATCTCTGCCACTGCAAGTGCAGAAGAGTTTTTCCAATTATTTACAGGAGAGAATCTTCGGTGGGAGTTCATTGGCCTTATATTTGCTCTGGCGGGGCTAGGTGTGGTTAATTCACTGACCCACACAGGCGACAAGTCTTTACGTTTTGCCGATGGGGAGATAGAGATCGATGAATCCTTTTCTACGCAAATGGTCGTTGCTAGTAACAATGCCATTGAAATGTGTCGACAGCATGACAAAGTTAATGACCTCACCATTTGGCTCGAATACAATCACTGTGTCCTTATCTCTATGGTCCTTGATGAAACAAGTACTTATCCCCACTTCCCTATAGCTCTTGGATCACACTGACGTTATCCAGGTCACCTTGTCTATAGGTGCTTTGGTGATCTCATCTCTGATATGTTCTCAATGGGCTACCACCGCGAGCAGCCTCCTGGTCAAGGAATCCCGTTATTTCTTTCTCAGACTCGCAAACGGATTTTCACTGCAGCATATCGGTCCGATAAGAATCTGGCCACGTTTCTAGGCAGACCTCCGCGAATTCAAAGTCTATATTGCGACGCTGGCCCTCCATTAGACTTGGACGATAACAGCTTGATTTTACAAGGCGATGCTCTGACGGCAGCTCTTCAAAATCTAGATGAAGACGGTTGGAATCGAGACGCTACTCGAGATAATAGGATACGATCAGCAACGGTGATACGAGTTCGATTTATCATATCCCTTCAACGAGAGAAGGTCCTTGAGTTGTCACTGGGCCGGAAACCCAGCAACTTCATTGAGGTTCTCTAGTATGTTCTTAACATCTCTCTCCTTTTCAAGAAATCCTGGTCAGCTAAAAGAAGCTAATTCGTCTCTCAGCAAAACATACCAAGAATGTCAAGATCTTTGGGCTTCCATTCCACATGATTTTCGATACGATGTCAATTGCTGGAAGACCCTTGACCCCTTCTCCTGCGTCGCCATTTTAGTAATCTATCTCGAATACCTCCACGGTCTCTTCCAGATCCAACGTATCCTATGCCAGCAAAACCTCTCTGAATCTTCCTCTCTTTTAAATACTTCCATGCAACTCCTATCAACAGTCCTCCATCTCCTCAAACAACCCGAACACACACCCGAAATGCAAACAAATTTTTCCTGGATCGTACGTCCTACCCTATTCTACCCACTCTGATACATAATCCACAACTCAAATTGCCTAACATCCCTTCCCCCAGTTCCTCTTCTACGGCCTCCCGGCCTCCGGCGTTCTCGCCAGCGAGCTCTACCAATCCACCCTCTCTGCCTCCCTCTGGCCCTCGACCATCACATTCCCCCGCTCCCAGATCATCCGCGACCTAGGTCGGATCATATCCTGGTTTGAAACCGCGACGCTGCCGCCCACTGCAACCTCGCGCGTGTGCGTTGACATCACCAAGGTGTTAAGCCGACTGCTGGATGACGCGTTGAACTACCAGCCAAGCCTGTCTCAGCACTCTCAGTCATCGCATGGGCGCCCGCACCAGCATGCACAGCTCCCGGTGGATGGTCGAATTGGAACCGAGGGGAGGGACAGTGCAGTGGAGATCTCTCCGGCGGCTATGATTCCGGGTGCTGAGAGCAGCGCGCACGTGATGACTCGTCCTGGAGACGAGCAGATGCAGCAGCCACCCGGTTCTAACCTAGAACAGGCTCAACTACTACTGCCACACGACAATCCAGAAATCGGAATTGGTATTGATGATCAATTTACAAGTGAGAAGTTCTTGAGCTGGCTAGATGATCTGGATTGGGACGCCACTGTGCCAGACCTCCTGTTTTAGTGTGTATGTAGTTCGTATTTTCTCCAGGTTCTAGTTTTGGAGGACTTGTTCAAGTGTAGTACATTAATATGTAAATGAGAGCTATAATGGATATATATATATTAAGATAATGGATTAAATGAAGCCCTGAGGCCCAGTCGTTTCATTCTTAGAGCTATTTAAATACTTGACTGTAATATCATACGTTATGGCCGTAGCGTAAAAGGATTTGGGATTGGTCAATTTGTGGTTGAGACTTTTAAAGAAGATTCACAGGTCCATCCCTAGCACATGTGCCCACAAACTGGTGTGCTAAGGATCAAGGGAGCCACATGCATCAGTTTGACGAGCACAGAACGCATAGTGAGCGGTAGGGTAAGAAGTGAAGGGACTAGAGTAATAGATGGATATTGTATACCATACCAGCTCCAGATGGGATAAGAAGGTGGGGCACGGAGAATGGATAATGGCATATTAGCAAAGGTAAATCGCCATAAAGCTGCAGAGGATTACGTGGAACTCGCGTTCTCCGGAAAGGGATATGAAGGAGATAGAAGTAAGAGACGGGGTGTTCGTTGAGCTGTGGGCATAAAAGATGCAGGGGGAGGTAACGAGAACTTTGGTGGGAAGGAGTGTCAGATATAGGATATCGGCGAGGCAGGAAGCTGAGGGCGGGAGGGATACTGCAGTGGAAAGAATTGGTTGTATGGACATGGAACCCATAGTTGTTGTTTCCGCGGAATGGCCAATGTTTAACGATAGGCGAATTTCAGAGTGGCTCATGGGTCGAGGATTCGAGTATGTGAGCAGCTTGTCAATGGCGAAGATAACGAAATATTGGATAATGTTGATCGTAAATCGTCTGGGCTTCGTAATCCGGACAACTTAACGGCAAAAGACAACCACAGATGTTCAATTCACAACTGCTATTCCAACGCTTCCATAAGCCCAGATGTGAAGGCATGTGTATTAAAGACTTCACTCCTGAGTTTGCTGGCTGCGTCGCATCTTTTCAGCCTCAAGGTTTTCGTAAAGAAGATAAAGGGCCTTCTCATTCGCTTGAGCGCTTCCCATGATCGTAAACATTCGTTCGCCGCTCTCGTCATGTGCAGCTTTTGCAATCGAAATACGCGCACCAGAGCTTCTTCGGATTTCGCTAATTTTACTGCCTCCTCGGCCAATAATGCAACCGACCATATCGGAAGGAATACTGATGTTCTGCGTTTCGATCTCTTCACCATCTTCGGTGACCAAAGGGATCCCACGGTTTTGTCCATCTGAATTCTGGCGTCGGTTATAACCACCAGGAGCGTCACTAAAATCGGCGCCATTTCCAGTGCGATTGTAGGAGCGACCTCCACCATAAGAGCTTGGATTTGGTCCTATGAATGTGTTGTTCATCTGGCTACCTCCGACGTTGGCTCGAACGGTGGGATTATAGAGGACGGTTCCGGTCCCGCGCTGCCAGTCGTCAATAAGACACTTTCCAATTTCCCAGATGGCCTTTTCGATGCCTTCTGGGGTTCCTTGCACCTCGACGATTCGCTCAGTAGACTGCGGAAGCATTTCCTTTTGGGCGACCATGCGAACTCCGGAAGCATCTTGAATATATTTGATTTTCAAGCCCTGCCTGCCAATGATAGTCCCCATCTGGTTGTGCGAGATGAGAAGACGGACAGCTAAATGGCGCAAAGTGTTAGCATATGGGTCACTGCTCTTTTCTACAAGTCATCTTTGACGTGTATAAGACTAGACGCGGAAAATCGTGGGAGGACTCACGATGCGTGCCGCTGTTTTGAACAATTCCGCCCATTCCCACCTGTGGCGCACCTTCAAGCAAGCTCTTTGCGACCATGCCATAAGCTTTAGCAGTGCCCTGGAGGGATCCGGTAACAGTCAAGACGCGATCGTGCACACCTTGCACGACCTTGCTCACGCCGGCCTTGACACCAGTTTCGTCCCTAAGATCGGCAACATTTTTGCCGGCCTTGCCGATAATCACGCCGGCTTCCTTGGACGAGACAATAGCACGGAGGGTCAGGACAGATTGCGCATATTCTTCTTCGGTTTTGGGAATCATCTCCTCTCCCTGGTCGTTGAGGTTGACGCGGTTGAAGGACTCGGTCAAAACTTCATCGGGGCCGGGAGCACCGGTGTTCTGTTCGGTAGCAGACATTTTGGCAAAGAGGGTTGATGAGTCGACAGACGCGGAGATCCGGAGACACAGAGACAAGTGATTTGGAAAGGTAAGAGGGGCTGGTTGGAGCCTGGAGTCACAAGCGTGAGTTTTGGTTTCACCACCAAAGTGAAAGCACGACAGACGCTTACGCTTTAGCAAGCCGGGGAGCAGCTCAGGGTAACGTTGGACGAGGGCGGGGGAGAGAAGCAAGAGCGCAAGGCAAGAGGGACGCGACGCGAACGGCAGTAAGGGTGTTGGGAGCAGGCAGGATGGATGGATGTGAGGGATGGATTGGGGTCGTGTGTGGCGAATGGAGGAGACGTGCGAGGGCGAGGTGGGACAGGGCGACGAGGCGAGGAGAGTAGGACGGAGAGGGAAGACGAGAGGGAGACGGCGAAGGGGAGGGAGAAGGGCAGCGGAGTGGGAGGTGGGAGGTGGAGGAAGAAGAGGAAGAGGAAGAGGAGGAGGAGAGGAAGAAGCGAAGGACAGCGCGAGCGGCGGCGGCGGCGACGGCGGTGGTGGTGGTTGTGGTGGTGGTGGGCGCTGTTTTTTTTGCAGGCGCACGGCTGACCGCCTGGGACGGGCGCGGCGCTGCGGCTGCCAATCAGCGGCCGTGTCTGGCGGCATCGCGGTACGGTACGGTCACGGGCCATTGCTGCCTTGTCTCGCGCTTGCGAAGGGCGTGAGGCCGCACACAAAGAGACCATCAGCCACACCGCGCGAGAGAGCCGGCTGTCAAAGCAGGGACCAGCTGCTGCCGGTTGGTCACACTTTCATTGTCCCGTCAAAGCTGGGAAAATCGACTGCTTCTACCTAACATGACTCCCCGAGATGATACCCCCATGCACCACCGCGCCGCCCTACATGCTCATTCGCCCCTGCCAGTGCTGCCAACAACGAGATACATACATATACCCCTACTGCGCTGCATCGAAGATCACCTTTTGCGCCTGCATGTTGTCGAAGATCCTGTACCCCTCCACCGCCTGGCTCAACGGCATGATCTTGTCTGCCATGAACCTATGACTCACGTTAGTAGCGCGCATACAAACAGAATTTTGGGCTCTTGTATACCCAAGAAGGTGCTGCTTTTTCTTTAGCATGTCCAGTGCCTGAGGGAAGATAGAGCGTACGGGGCACCGGCCCATCTGGATCTTCAAATTCTTCCCATACGCCTCGCTCCCAGTCCATGGAATCTATTTTCGTTCGGATAGATTTAGTTTCCTATTATAAATAGTAGATATTTGAGAATAGCCTACCTCTCCATTGTGCACGCCGACACTTCTGATAGTTCCCCATGGTCGAAGGAGTTCGAACCCCATCCTCAACGCTGGACTCAGCCCAACAACTTCGATGACCACATCAGCACCACGATTGCTAGTCAGTTCTCGCACTCGCCTGTTCAATCCTTCTCGATCAGTCTTATAATTCCACGGCTCCGCACCCAGTGACTTAGCTAGCTCCAGTCTATCTGGAACTGCATCCACAGCAAGGAGGTGCTTTGGCTTGTATTCCTCTGCGTTGATCAAAGCGCAGAGCCCAACGGGTCCGCAGCCGATCACGACAACTGTCAATTCCGAAATTTGCTCTTTGGTGAACTCCTTGAAGCCATTACTGGCGGCAAAATAGCCTGTTGGGAAGATATCTGCCATCAAAACCAAGGCATGGTCGTTGATACCCTCTGGAGCCTTCATCACCGTACCATCGGCATGTGGCATCCGCACCTTGACATTGCATCAGCTTGGCTTTATCTTGGTAAGGTTTTTTTATGAGGGCCTACATATGCAGCCTGGCCGCCATCCAAAGACTTGGAACCCAGTAGCTGGCTCTTTTCGCATCGCGATGAGAAGCCTTGTTTACAGTAGAAGCATTTTCCACTAATCCACAATCAGCATCAAAGGCCAGGGATATTCTTTGGTTTGGGGGCCGCTCTTACCATGATGATGTGAATGGGCTGACAATCTTGTCTCCTGGCTTTACGGTCTTGACTTCACTTCCAACCTCTTGCACAATGCCGGTATATTCATGGCCCATAATAAAATCCGTATCAGAGGGTTGGTGGCCACGGTAAACATGGAGCTCGCTAAACCAGGTCAGTATGCACCCTTCATCATATCACGCATTGAATTCAGAATCTAGCCAGAATTGTTTGCGTTACTATGACTCAATAATTAAATCACACCTACCTGCCACAAAGTGCCGTGTATGTGACTTTGACGATGATATCATTTGGATCTTGTATCTTCGGGATTGGACGATCTTCCACCGCGACGGCGTGCGGACCTTTAAAAACCACAGCCTTCATGGTATCTTTGGCAGTCATTTTTAATCCGTTCAAGGCTCCTTTGCCTTTTGTTTGCTTGCTCAAAATATTAGAGAAGGGTGGCAAGGTCTATCTAGTTTAGAATAAAATTCTATTGTCCTCCGCAACAAGAAGCGTATGATTCTCAGGCAGCTGCAATTGAAATTCCCGGTGGCACCACTGGGATATATATACTGTTTCGTCGAACAAGCCTTTTCCCCTCCAAGCTGCCGTTCTCGACCGGCGGTCTATTTTCTTATATGGAGAGAGAGGCGCGGGGCTACCGTTTTGCTTTGGCCCTCGGCAGCTGCTAATGTACTTAGCTGTCCAGAGCTAAGTATGGGGTTCGAAGAGCGCTAGAAGCTCCGAGACCGACCTTAAGCCCCGTCCTCCGTATGCGAGCATTCCGCATTATTATCTGCCGCTCGGCTTGATTATGTCATGACGGATAACCTGGCCGGGAGTATCATGCACATTGCTCGACTCGCAGAGGAGCTTCGAGACCCCGGAATACAGCGTGGATAGCTCCCGCATATGGCCAGAAGCTGAAGTACGTGACTGTGTGAACCCCCAGACGAGCGAATGGCCGACCCCGCGCCGTCTTCGCCCGCCAACGATTCGTCTGCGGCTGCACCTGCGAAATTCCAATACATCCAGTATGATGGCACCAAAGAAGATGAATACGTCACGGCAATGCGCCAGTTGATCTCGAGTGACCTGTCGGAGCCGTACAGCATCTATGTCTATCGATATTTCCTCTATCAGTGGGGCGATCTATGCTTCATGGTTCGTTTGTGGGAACTCCAGAACCGCCATTTTTGCAGAGCGCAGCTAACGCTGAACCCCTTTCTTGTTATGTGGGACTCTAGGCCATGGATGAAAGCAATAAGCTTGCAGGCGTTGTCGTATCGAAACTGGAACCTCACCGTGGAGTTCCGCTGCGGGGATACATCGCCATGCTCGCCGTCCGACAGGAGTATCGCGGGCAAGGGATCGCCACAAAACTGGTCTGCATGGCCATCGACGCCATGATCGCGCGGGATGCGGACGAAGTATGTTTCTATTTACATATCTTGGCTCCCTTGGAAATCACATCTGCTAAAATGCGTCCAATCGCCAGATCGTCCTGGAGACAGAGACAACAAACACACCCGCCATGAAACTCTACGAGCGGCTTGGCTTCCTCCGCAGCAAACGATTACACAGATACTACCTCAATGGGAATTCTGCGTTTCGGCTCGTCCTATATCTAAAGGAAGGGGTGAGCATGCTTGAGCCTCCTGGTTGTGGTGGGCCCCATACTCCCGAAGCGCCAGGGGAACAGGGTTCTTATGACGGGTTACCGTTGCATGAGGATGGCGAATATCCTGCAAGACACATCGTTTAGCGGGACTCGAGGAGGTTTTGTGCACTGCAGCGTACACCTTATATGAGTCAACGGCAAAAGTAGCATTTTTGTTAGGTGGATAAAATCATTATGAGCCTCACGGATTATCTCGCATCAGGAATATGTTTAATGGACTTGAACTCGAAATAGGCGGCTAGATAAAAAATTGTTATTATCACAATCGATATACCCTTTTATGCGCATTCCAGCGCATTATACTCTCATCTAATATACAGAAGGCTGTGACGAGAGAATCATTTCGAGACACCAAACAAATGCACCCAGTGTATAGTATATCAGACAATCAACGAAATGACACAAAAGCGGCTTTAGGTGTCTATAACCAAGTCGATAATTTTATCATCATCATCATCATAGAATTAGGGTAAAGAACAACCAGGAGACTATATCAACATGAAGATGTCACGGGGCTTTGTCGTGAGGCTCATATTCAACCTTGACATCCGGTAAATCATCATGCAGCGTCACTACATCTTCCCTCTCACATCGAGTATAAACAGCGGCGATATCCTTGCTATGGCGTGCCTCTAATTCCGCCCATTCTTCACGAGTGGTAGATTTAGGCTCAACAGGGAAAGGTATGGTATTTTTTCTCTGTTGGAGAACATCAAACATGTGTTTCTTGGGCCAGAAAGTATCTCGATTACTCGCTCTCAACAGCATATCCGACAACGGAATGGATGGCATATGAGTCGCTGCGGCACCCAGATCCTTTCGAATCAACTGCTCAGCGGCTTTCTCCCGCCATCCTAGAAAAGGCTCATCTTTAGTCGAACACAAATCTTCCACGGTCGCCAATTTGGGGTCAAACGGCAGTCTCCCAGCGGAGTCCGTATTATTTGAACTGGGAAGAATGCCAGTGACAATTTTCCCCAGGTGAGTATGCCATCGCTGTCCAACTGTCAACGAATGGCCCGGTTCTAGCGGGCGTGCAAGAGACCGGAGGACCATCTTGATAATACCAGCAGTCGCTGAGCGTTCTAGGCAGGCATGCCTCCATATCGCCCGGCAGAGAGCATATGCCCTCCTGCGACAGCCCATGTACCAAAGCAGCTGCCAAGTTAACAAGTTCGGCTTTGCCTCGTATATTTTTGTAAACTTCGCGAAGAACCGAATTCCGTAACTCGTATGCTTCATCTCAACATAGTAAAGAAGGGCATTGTTCAGCGTAATGGTGTCAAGTTTGAGCTCCCTCTGCCAACAGTAATGGAGGATATCATTACGGGCTTGTAGGTTTTTTGCAAGAGATGTCTCCAGCACCAACTTGTTAACGGCAGAAGTGGAGATCCAGTCTTCTCCAAAATCATTGTTCATTGCTTTGATGAAAGTGGATCCGCTGCCTCCGTTTTCTAGATGAACGCGAAATTTGTGGCGAACTGCTGCACTCACAGCAAGCCTTACGATATTGGGGTCTTTTAAAACTCCCTCCCGATATATCCGGTCGAGAATATTCGCTCGAATATCATGTGATCCTATGGCCTGCAAGAAGGCGAGCCAGGAATATTCATTCAACTGGATTCGGTATTCCTTCATATTTCTTAAATATGATTTAAACAAACCAAGATTATAATTAGCGGCAGCGGATCTCAATAGCGTATTGAAGGTTTGAGTAGTAAAGAATTCTTCAAATAGGGGAAATAAATCCTTAAGCTCTTGGAAAAATTTATGGTGGTAAAGGTAGGACATAACAAGATTCATGGTTCGTGCCGAGAAAAACTTTCGATTGCTTGGATTATGGCAAAGCCGAAGAAGAATATTTTTAACCACTTGTGCATGAATGTCTCCATTATCGTAAATAATCCGTTGCGGAGCTTTAGTCTGGCGAAAGCTGGTGACACTCTCAACATAATCCGCAAGGCTTCGAATAGTCCATGTTTCTGGAACCGGCAGTTGGTCGACTCGATCCACCCGTGGTCTTCGGCGGTGAAATAGAGTCCCCGGTCTTTTTGACCATAATCCAGAATTACGTAGGGTGCGCTCGATATCGCCTTCATTTCCAGCTTTCATTCGCCGGCCAGTCCAAACTGAGCGGATAAGGGAGTTATTGCCCTGCTTGTCGTAGCGGGTAAATGGCGGGAGCGCAGGCTCCGTGGGCGAGTGTATGTTACTCCGTAGTTGGTCTTCTCCCATTTCTATAGCCTTGGGCGAGCCCGACAAGAGAAGTTTCCGCATGGGTCCTCGATCCTGGGGACCTCGGGGAAGAACATGAACTCGACAGCCGCTAACCACCGAGATATCCCATGAGTTCTCCAAATCATCACCCGCGAGCCTAACGACATCGTACTCGGACAACTCGATGATCTTTTGACTTGTATTCTTGGTGTCCTGGATTTCAGCGTTGTCTTTTGCGATTACGAGCATCATATTCATTATTTCCAAGCACTCGTGAAAGTCGTTTGGGTCAAAAGGTATGTTGGATATATCTTGGTGCAATAGTTTTGAGATGCCTAGCCAGCCATGGTGACGGGGTGGGGAGTCCGTGGGTTCAGAGCTATTTTTCCCTGTAGCTGTCCGTAGGCCGCCTTTTTGGTGCGCTCCCTTTTGCTGAGACCGCCCGCTGTTGGATGAAGCGTGTGATGGACTTCGCGAATTTTGAGGTACTCCATCTCCCCCTCCCCTATGTGTATCCTGATAGTCATGTGGCTGAACATGGCGAGTTAACCCTCCAGGATCGCGGTCCACGGATTCAATGGCCGAACCGGGGGTCGTCAAATTATTATCTAAGTCTATCCTTCCAAAAGGCGTACTCGAATCCGCCGCGCTCAATTCCGGCTCGGTCGATGAGGCGAATACATTTGGAGGAGGTACAGTCTGGGTATCGGATGGTAGGTGGTTTGCGGACGCGGTGAGCTGGGACGAATGTCTCACCAATTTATCACAATAAGATTGTCGTAAGCTGCTCTTACATATGAGCTTTGATCGCCGTTTGTTCCCCAATGGGAACCCTGCTGGTATTGTAGAAAATCCATTGACCTGGGATGAGAGACAACGAGGGTATAGAAAAAGGAGCGGCTCGTGGTTCGGCAGGACGAATTTTTCGGAGACTGAAGCTGCAGCTGCTCTGGTTCTCATGCAATGGCGGCTACCTGACAACATTGGAACGGGGGCGCAGAGCAATGAGCGTTGCCGTCGATTGATGTTTGTTCACATTTTAAAGTCGAAAAAAGGCAGCTTGTGATTACATAAGCGGATGGTGATACTACAGCATGGCGGGGACATGATAAAATACAATCATGGGGAATGTTTTGTACAAAAGAATAAAGGAAAGCATAGGGTTTATCTATTAATGGGGTTCTAGAACGCATTTTTGCCCTTATCCGAACCAACAGCAGGGCCGGTATCTTCCCAGAATTCAAAGTCCTTATCCTGGCGGTGAATAGCATCAACGGCCTTGATAAGATACTCCCGTTTGGATCTGGCGCTCTCATCGTCGGTGTTTTTAGGGATCTCCTCGATCTTACTAACTAGAAATTCGGCCAGCTGTCGCTTAGAGGTGTGGAAAACAAGCGCGGACATAATATCCGGTATCTGTGACGGGATTAGCAAAAGATCTAACAACGACGACGGGAAGCAAAACATACTCTGTCTTCAAGGAGCACTAGCTCCTCCTCGCCCAAAAGAACAAAGCTTTTCACAGCCTCTATCTTCTCTCTATCGAGCGAAGCTTTCCTCACTGCTTTCATCAAAACGACAGTATTCGTAATCTCGTCCGGCGAAATCTCTTCGTCCGGGTCCAGTTGACTCCAGCTCGCGTAGCTTGCACGGTCCTCAGCAATGGTACTCGGCTCTGCAGTCCCGGTCCCAGTGCGTGCGGTGATGAACTCATCCAGCGCGGAGTACGCGTGCGCCCGATCTTCCGTAAGAACCGTCTGACGCGACGCCAAACCCGTTTTCACTCGTTTCCGAATCCAGCGCCGCCGGCGCACGAACGAGTGATACCAAGGATGCGTTCCGTGCCACGCGAATTTCGACGCGAAGGAAAATGAGTACTGCCATCCTTCCTCGTCCACGTCGTAGGACATATCGATATACCAGGTCTGCCACGCCCATTTCCAGCTCGGGTCTGGGGGCTGGGCGTTAGAAATATCTACGGGACTTACTTCGAGATTCTTGGTAAGCCACGCGGACGGATCGAGGTTTAGGAGGGATTTTTCGGAGTAATGGGGCATGCCAAAGAAGAACCATCCTCGCTGGTTTTCGTAGAGGACGTCGATTTCGCTCTGCGAGCCATGGCCAGGGAGTAAGGATTCTGCATCCGTTACCTCACCATCAGTGCTGTCAATAGTCTGTTGTGTCCGCTTGATTTGCACGATTGGTTCACGAAGGGTTGTATTCCTCGATAGAGAGTTTTCCCTGCTCGACGCTCCGTCGCGCGTATCATATCGTTCTTGTTGCCACTTCGCATATTTCCTCCTGGCAAGGTTCTTTCTGACAGAGCTGCGTGTAATCCTTTTTGCCAAAGACTTGCTTTGTTTGCTGGTGGAAGGGCTAAGGGGCTCGACTGAGTCGGATTCGGGCTCCGGCAACGTATTGTCGACGAGAAATATCGACGTCATTGTCTATTGTATCCCTTTGCGATACGTTGCCTCTGGTACTGGGGAGCAGAAGCAAGGCATAGCATGGTCAAGGACGCATAAAATAGGTCATGGTGAGGATGGCTGAGACCCGCAGCCCAGCAAAACAGCAAGACTGTTTATCAAGGAAAAGTAGCGGCGTCGGAGGCGTTTGGAAGGCTATGGCCAACACCTCATCTGAGTCAATTCATGTTTGCATTGTTTGATCACGAGCTGGAAGAGTTTGGGTCCCCTAAACAGATTGCCTACGTTGTGTGGAAAAATAAGCTGCCTCGCAGAGAGAGGTCATATGGCCTGCTACTGATAACGAAACGAATTTCAGGAGACCCGAGGCTGTTGCGTGGTTATCCCCCAAAATAATTGACAAAAGCTCTCAAAAGACTAATTACTTCGTGCTGCCAGACCCTTGCGGGCAAAATCATGAGCCTCCTATTCACATTCCTAGTTGTGTCGCTTTTATTTGACAACTCATCTGGGGAGGATTGTGGTAGTTTACACCTCTGTTGATGGCGCTCATTATGGATTGAAAAAATGATAAAATAGACCTTTGCCTAAGTACTGGTTATACTTTATTCTTCTATATTAATAATAATATTCATCATCTTAATCTTTTAGATAAAAATAATTCTCCTATTCAATTCCTCTTGAGAATATTGGAATGTAACAAGAATCATCAGATTCTTGAAAAAGTTTCCTTCCTGTGGCATGTAATCCGAAACCAGACAACTGGAATGATGATTTTGAAAAAGCATTGCTAAAAATATATTCCCTGAAGCTTGAAATTGAAAACATAACTCATGTACCCCGTCCCTAGATGTAAAAGGCCAGCATCGTGATCTGCCAGCTATGCAGTATATGAGAATATGATTTTGAACAGATCAGACAAATCTGCCTTCGCTTTCGTTACCTTCCCCATTGTCACCTTGTCCGCAAGATGGAAGCTTCCATCCGTTACGTGCCAGTCGTCGATGCATACCTTTGCTTACGATCGATTCCAGAAAGCAGTCTTGAAAGTCAGCATTTTTGGATGATAGCACTTGAATCATCATCGATGCTACTGTTGATGGTTTCTGGCATTGAATGGAGGTAATGTACATCTCCCGGTCTTTCAGAAGGGTAGAACTTGGTGCTATGTCAATGTTCTGGGAGTGGAGAAATCGAGGGAAACAGGCTGCTTGTTGAAAAGGCACCCGTGATGAAAACCCCCAATCAATAATGCTTCACCAGTTAGCATCTTAACTGTGACCCATCAAAAATCTCTACTTACCCTGTGACATTATGCTGTCCATCTATGAGTATGTTGCGTGGTGATATATCACCATGGTCAATGGCAAAAGGCGCTTCATCAAGTTCTGGTACAAGAACATTAGAGAGAATGTTCATTTGATCAGAGCAGTCCTGCTCTGTGATTTCTGGAAAAAGGCCCTCGCGAACTCGACAAATCTTATTTTTGATTATCCGGGTGAAATGTTTTAGGGAAGATCCCCCTAAAATCATGAGCAACTTTTGGTCTGAACAAATAAGGGATCGAACATACTGGCTTTCTTAGTACATTCAATCAGTGATATGTGCAACTTTGCAACTTGATCCAGGATTTTATTTCGAATAGGTCGCGTTGGAAATTCATCAGACCATGAAAGCTGGTTGCCTGGAATCCATGTCAATGCAATGAAGGGGTATCTGATTGCATTATGGAAAGTGAAACTGCAGGCCTGGAGCTTTGCAGCCCAAGAGAACCCTGCCAATCCAAGCTCTTCAAGAATATGAGCTTCAGACATGAGAAGCTGTATAACATTGTTCTGTGAAGCATGGGCAAAAAGAGGCACTCGCACAGCCCAGCTCTCACCATCTGTAAAGATCACTTTGAATACACGACATTGGCCACCATCGAAATACTGACACAGGGTAGGAATTTGTTTATCACTTCGAAGTTCAGATATGGCGATGGGGATAGCATTCTCGTAGAAGGACTGTTGCTGCATGATATTGATGTGAATGTGACCAGGACGACGGTGTTTGTTGTTGGATTGAACTAAAGCATTTTCTCGGTCGAAACTCCTGCGACTGATAACTACATAATTGTGGCTGTGCTGGATGGCTTTCCCACCCGTCCTTGACTGTGTACTCCGTACATCAACGAATCGAGGCCATCCCAATCCGAACGGAGAATCATTTACGTTGGAGTTACACATGTGCACTGCAAGATTTGCAAATGCACTCGTAGCTTCAATCTTAGAAACATGTTGAGAAAATCTGTCTATGCATCACACACTACAGCATACTGTCCCCATAATGGACCAAAAGGCAATTCCCTTGTAGAGAGTGACGCAAGCTGTCGCCAGCTATAGGAATTTCTGTCGTTTTAGACAAAAGGAGCAAAGTCTCACGGCACTACTGCTGTCCCTATCCAAAGATGGTGTGCATTTGAACTCCACGAGGGTGATCAGGACTGCTTGCATTGCAGGCGCATCGGCATCCGTGAGTCCAGATTGGTTTGGAAAAAGCTGTGTCCACAGCAGGTCTCTTGGCCACTAGATTCAGGCCAAGTTGGGTACTACCCCAGGGTAAATCCTAGACTCGACGCACATAATTTGGTTTCCGGTTGATGTTGGCGTGTTTCACACAAACCATTGAAATCATCTCCAGGATATCAGCAGACACCAAATGATTGAGCGATTTTGTGTGCTCATGAAGTAATTCTTGAAAGCGCTTCATGAAACATAATTCTTCCTCGTCAATAGTCAGATCATTCCCGTCCGAGAAATAGAGCTCAGTCGGTTTGAATTCACCATCAGATGAGACTGGCCAAAAAGCGGGCTGAGGAGGTTTCATTTCGGAGACATGGCACGCGCTCCAAGGTACAGGTGTACCTCCATAATCAGTGGCCTAGTTCTCAATCAATTAGAGAAAGCAATGCCAATGCAGTAGCTATGTGCTGAGTATCATGGAAGGGTCCTTCTAGCCGGATTTTGGAAAATTGAAACATCTTGTGGATATTTCAAATAGAAACGTACTGTTCCTGATTGAGTAGAAAAGTTCCAATAGATTCCAATCTGTTTTGCAAGTTTTATTTTTCACTGTCAGACTGATGAAGAATACTGCGTAGATAGAGATGCTTCCTATATTTTGCTCATTGTCTTGATAAAAAGGACGAACCATTGGTCAATGACATGATGCAATGCTTGGCACCCGCTCTCCACGTGCTAAGCCGAATCGGGCCGCGCCGTCAACAGGTCGAGAAAGCCGCGATCGATCGAAACGCATCCAAACGCAACGCCAGCAACAACGCCCTCGACAGGCACGCGGGCGGCCCAAACACGTCATGCAGGCCCCGCACCACCGCAAGATCGAACTGCAATCCACCGCCGACCTCGCGTACCTATACACCAACACGCTCAACGTCTCCCGCGAGAAACTCGACCTGCACTTCCCACCGTCAGCCAACCATGACGGCGACGGCGACGGCGACGGCGACCCGATGAAGGCGCGCGTGCGCGCACTCGTCGACGAGTTCGTCGCGCGCGTTTTCACCACGGCGATCCCATCGATCAGCATCAACGGGCTCGACACGCTGTCGGCCGACACGCCGCTCGACAGCCTGCTCTCGACGACGCGCGAAGAGGTCGAGTACGAGCCGTACGACGCCCGGCTGGCGGCCAAAGTCACCAGTCTGTACGCGCAGCTGGAGTCGCTGACCACCACCGTGGCGCAGCTGCGCCGCGACGCGCCCGCCAAAGCCGCGGCGAAGTACGCCGAGTCGCTGCGGCAGGCGCTCGCGGAGGACGACGAGGAGGAGGAGGGCCTGCAGGCGGAGAATGCGGCGGATGCGGATCTACAGCTGCTTCCTGACGATTCGGAGCGGAAGATGGTGGATTCGAAAGATGGGGCGTCGTCGGCGAGGGCGCTGGATTGGGCGCGCGTCCGCGAGCGTCGGCCCGAGTGGGTGCTGGATATACCGTTTGGCAACGAGCGAGAGCGCGAGAGGTGGCGCGATGGGGAGATTGGGGAGGTGTATGCGGAGGGGCTGAGGACGTTGGTTAGGTTACAGGGTGAAGTGGCGCCGGGAGAGGAGGAGGGTCCTGATGATGATGGCGGGGAGGGGAGCAGTAGTAGCAGTCTCTCAGCAACTGCGGGCAAGCTTGAGAGAGCAAGACGTGCTGTTGAGGTGGTTGAACGTATGTGATGTGCTTTGGGCTAGTTACTACGGCCTGGGCTGTGTGTGTCTATTTTTGGTTATGGCGAATAGGCAGGGGGTTTGGGTATGGAGTTTGGCGTTTTGGGGTTGACGTGTGATGAAATACGGAGTACATATATCCAAGATATGAAAAAGCACAGAGTCGACACGACGAACTGAGAATGAAATTGTTTTTTTAACGCGCTCCTATATAAAGACGACGACGAGGGAAGGCAAGCAGAAATTACCATCGTCTACGCCTAAAACGTATATTCTCCACGACGACAAACAGTGTGTTCACCTGTAGATAATTGTAAAGCCAGAAAGATAGAGAAAGAGAAAAAAACGAGATATCTTTATCTATATTGCGAGAGCGAAATCAATCCCCTATTCTCCTGCCGCTACTCAAGTCGAAATCACACCTATCACACCGTAACCCCCAATTAACACCTCTAAGCAGCAGTCTGATCTTTCTGCTGCTCCGGGACCGGGACAGCAGTGGCAGCGGGAGCCGCAGCGGGCGCTGGCGCAGGGGCGGCGGCGGCGGCAGCAGCAGCAGGAGGAGGAACCGCAGCAGGGGCCTCAACTGGCGCGGCGGGAGCAGCTTCAGCGGGGGCCGCAACAGCAGCGGGGGCGGCATCCTTCTTCTCGGCCTCTTCCTTCTTCTCCCACTTGGGCGGGCGGGCCCACTGCTGCTCACGCCACGGGCCCATATCGCTCATCTGGCAGCCGCCGGCACACTCACACTTGCCGCCGAACTGCTTGGGCAGGTTCTCGGCGGGTACCTGGGCGAGGAGCTCCTGCTCGTAGCCGGAGCCGAGCACGTGGATCTTGTTGACGGTGACGGGGTCGAGGAAGCCCTTGACGACGCTGAACACGGTGCTGAAGCCCCACGGCGCGTTGATGAGGTACAGCTTGCCCAGCCGCTCCGGGTAGTAGTTCTGCGAGATCGCCGACGCCTGCTTGATGTAGCCGAAGACCGACGTGGCGTTGGAGATGCCCACGCCCTTGAGGTCCATGATCGAGCAGCACGTCTCGAGGAGGTGCCCGGACTTGCGCGCGCACGCCGGCAGCCGCGGGTCGGCCAGCTTCTCGTACTCGCACACCAGGTTCTTAAGCATGCGGTCGCTCGTGGTGATCTTGTACATGGCGGTAAGGTCGATTTTGCCCAGTTGCTCGATGTACACTGGCCGTCCATCCTGTTGGTCGTAGCCGCGCGCCATTCGGTCAGCACACCGCTCCGCTGCTGCGTGGCGAGAGGTGGGAGCCGGGTATAGAACCAGGCAGACGTACCTTGTCAGTCTTATGATAGTACTGCGGATAATAGGCAAACATCTGCTCCTTCTCCGTATAATCAAAGTCCCTCACCAGCGAGTCGGTTCCAAACTCCTTTCTCCACTGCTCGCACGCAACAAACCTACGACACACACCGAGTCAGAAAAAGGCACAACACAGTAAAAAAAAAAAAAAAAAGAAACAACTTGAACTCACATATTCTTCGCCGCCTCGACATTGAACTTGCGCGCACGCAGAAAGCGCAGCAGCGTCAGCGTGTCCAGACGGTCCGTGTAGCCCAGGGCCTCCAGCATCATGCGCAGCTGGGCCACCTGGGCGTCCTGCTCGGGCGTGGTGTAGCCGGGATGACCGGGCTTCGCATCGGGCGCGGTCGTGGGGAAGTCGTAGTCGTCGTACTTGGGGTCGAGCTTCAGCGGGTTCGTGGGCTGGGCGGGCGGCGCGGCGGTTGACATGGTGGGCGAGAGAGGGAGGGAGTGTGTGGTCGTGGTGAGAGAGAGTAGAGGAGGGGGGGTTGAGGAGAGTCGAAGGAGGGCGTTGAAACGGGCGGGTCTGGGCGTTGTTTTGGGGGGATGATGATGATGATGGTGGCGGTGAGGTTGTCTGAAGAAGCCGAAACAGCGTCGAGGGAGAGGGTGTGTGAGAGAGAGGGAGAGAGGGTCAGACGTGGGAGGCCAGCGAGTTGTCGTTTTGATGCCGAGATGGGACGTGGCCCCGAGATGACAAAAAGGAGGCGCGCGTGGCGGGTGCGTGTGTGTGTGGTGTGGGCTAAGTTACCAAAACCAACCCAATCCTCAAACGGCTCCGCCCGCAACGTCGCAACTCTACTTTATGTTATTATTTACACGCGGATGCCAGACTCGAGCGAGCGAGCGAGGGCGCACGCGACGGATCGATCGGCCGGAGAGGCAGCGCAGTACGGCGACGGGCAAACAGAAACCGGACACGCCGAACCAGACCTGCCAACGCCGCGTCCTGCCGGGCATAAACGCTACGCAGAATGATGATGATGAGGATGGGCTGTGCGTGCTGCCGCAAACTCAGAATTATTTAACCGTCTCTCCATAACAGCTATCTGCGTCGTATCAATGAACAAAAATAACTCAAAAAAACAGCATGCATCGCGAAACAGCAGCCGCAAGACGAGGGACGCAAAAAGAGACCCGAATTAGTGTCTTGGTGGGCGTGCAAGCGATGGGTATAGTTAATCGAACAGGGGAAAAATATAAGGGAAAGAGATAAAAAAAAATACAAAAGTCGCTCCGAAGCTGCACCAAATTGCCAGACAACAAAAAATTCCAGACACATACATGGAGAGGGGGGAAATCATACAAGCGTTGTGTAATACCAAATAACACACAAAATTAATCGCAGCACGGATTAGATATAGCAAGGCAAGAATAGTCACTTCAAAACACACAAACACACACTCATGTCGCTCGAGCGTATCACTGTAATAAATAAAGGGCCATTAAAAAAAAATATACCAAATGGCCCTCAATGTACCGAGCCAGCGGAGTGATCGCAGCGATTCAAAAACTAGAAACGAAGAAATAGAGCCGGAAATTCGGAGAGTAACACGGTATTAGAGGCAGTCCTTTTTGGTTTCCCCTTCGTTCCCAGCCAGCGAGTCGAGGGGCCATCATCGTGTCGGTTGGTTTGGGGGGAGAGAGTCAAAGAAGAAGGAAGAAAACTTGTACGGATAAGTGGTGGCGAAAGGGGGGAGAAGGGAGGAAGGTATGCAACAGGCTGGGAGAAATAAGAGAAGAAAAAGGGTAAATGCAATGAAGAAGAAGAAATGGGAATGACAAAAATGCGAAGCCCAAACCTGTATTTTCCCAGGGCCAAAAAGAAAAAAAAAAGATATATCCCAGAGCCCGGCAAATTTCTCCCCAAATCCGTCCCTTTTGTCGAAAGATGTAAAATAAAAATAAGAATAAAAAGAATATAAATGTGTCGAAAAACATCTGTGGTCGTTTTTCTTCAAAGACCCCCCAAAACCACACACCACCCCAATAAAGGAAAAAAAAGGGTGAATAATAAAAATAATAATAAAAAAAAAAGAATCCACCAAACCGTTGCAAAGCCGAAGTATCAGCCGGGAAGAAGAAAAAGAGTCGTAATAATGATAATAATCGTCACCCTTGTCAGGGCTTTTTTTCCTTTTTTCTTTCTTATCTTCTTTCACCAGCCCTTCTTGCGGGCAAAGCGCTTGTTGAGCAGCGCCAGCACCCGGGACACGTTGAACTGCACGTACTCGAGGTCCAGGTCCTCCTGGCTGTCCTTCTGCATCTCCAGTAGGTCGTCGAGTTTGAGGTCGAGCTCGAGGAGGCCCCGTGCGCGTCCTGCGTAGTCACAAAAACAAATGTTAGCAAAGCAAGACAAGACGAAAGGGAGAGAAAAAAGAAAGAGTCAAGTACCCTTGTAGTGCAGACTAATCACAAACGTCCCCGGCAACGGACTCTTGAACATAAAATAGATATTCGCCCTCCGATTCTCGGGCACGTTGCTCTTGCGGATCACGCCTTCTTTCTCCAGCTGCTGGTGTGTGAACTTGTACGGCCCCAGCTCCTGGTGCTTCTGCTGCTTGCGCTGCTTGCCCTCGCTCTGGCTGCGCACGTTGTGCAGGTACGATTTGTACGTCTCCAGCTGGCCGACCAGGTACGTGTTGTGGTCGCGGATCGTGCGGTACACCTCGTCCAGCCGCCGCGTCTCCTCCAGCACTTTCTCCTTGAGCGACCCCAGGTGCACGAGCTCCTGCTCCACCTCGTTGCGCAGCAGACTGAAGTCGTCCGACTTGTCGATCACGCCCAGCTCCTGCAGCGAGCTGAGCAGCTCCATCGTGCGGATGCCCTTGCGCACCATGACCGCATCGTTCTTGAGCGTCGCGGCCGCTTCGGCGATGCGGTCGAGCCGCAGTGGGCGTCGGGTGACGACCGAGTTGGCGGGCAGGGACCGCAGGATCTGTACGAAGGTGGATTTGGCTTCCATGAAGTAGATTTCCTCCTGTGTGATATCGAGGGCGGCGGTCAGGTCGTCGATGGGCGTTTCCCACTTGCTGAATAGGGGGAGGTTAATGGTGCGGTTCTCCTTGCGCGGCAGCTGGGCGGGCGCGGGTCCAAGTTCCTGTAGCAGGACGTGGAGATGCGAGTGCTGGTCTGCCGCCAGGGCAGCGGTGTGCTTTTCCAGTAGGGCGTGTGTGGCGTAGACTTCGTTCAGTGTGATTTGGAGCTCGAGGTCTCGTTTCGAGAGAGCGACGTAATTATCCATCTCCAGGCTCTCGTAAAAGTCCTGGACTTCGCAGAGGTCGAGCAGGAATTTGTTGACTCGTTCCTTGTTCTGGTGGATGAACGGCTGCAATTTCGCCATGTACGGCTCCTTCGCGTACGATGGCTTGTTCGCGATGTTCTGCAGCATTTTAGCAATCAGCGTCAGGGTGCGACGGGGCTTCTCGGCAGGAGTTCCGTCGATGAGCATGTACGACCGTGGGGTAACGATGGCCGGGTTGATAAATCGCAGGAAGAAAAAGCCGCCGATCAGCGTACAAATGGTGTGGTCCTGAGCATCGGGGTATTTTCTTCTCGAGAGACTCCTGATCTGCTTGCAGATCCAGCGGATGCCGTACGGGGTCTCCTCCAGTCCTTCGATGATGGTGCCCAAGAAGGCATTGGCAATGTCGCTCAGCATCTTGAGACGCGGGGCGATGATGGCCTGGACCTGCTCGTTGGCCGCTGCGACTTCAGCGGTCACTGATTTTGGCAGATAGTCTGGCAGTATTCCGGTGGTGTCTTCGATCTGCTTCACCATGGTTTCGTAGACCTTCAAGGGATTGATCTCCAGGTCAACGTCTTTCAATTCAATGAGCGAATTAATTTGCTCGGCGAGGACTTGCTTCAAGTAGGCCTGACCGGGCCCTCGTCGAGTGTAGGTGGTCATCATGCGGGATACGGGGGTATTCTGGCGTAGGAGGGAGGAGTACTCTGGGGTATTATCGAACTGGTAGGTAAGGACGGACTGGAACATGGTGAGCAGGAGATGCTCTTCCCGGCTCTCGTATTGGTTTCCATAGATGGTGAACATGACGGTTTGGAGAAGCGAGTCGATCTCGGCCATGGAGACCAGTCTGCAAAGGTGGGCGATGTGGCGTGGTTCAGACTGCAGGAGGAAGAGCAGGTTGCCGTATTTCTGGGTCTTGTCGTCGTTGGGGAAGACGCCCTCCTGCACTTCGGTGGAATCGTCGAGGTGGCTGGCGACTTCGTTTTGCTGGTGAGATGTGAGTATATGTGCAACACAGACCAGGACGGAGAATGCCTACTTCTTCCAACGCCATGCGATTCTGGATTAACAGCGCGATTCTCGAATCTAGATATCGCACATCCTTTTCCAGTACGAAATTCTTCTTGGACTGCGAGGATATTTTCGACTTCAATTCGCGCAGCACTTTCTGGGCTATCCACCAACCAAAAAAACGACATTAGCTATAAACACCATTTTTTTTTGTGTGGAGGATATATATAGGGTACGAACCTTTGGCGAGGTCGTCTGAGATCTCGAGGTCCTTGTCCTTCGCGGACATGGACAGGTACAGGGCGGTGACGGACATGCGCTTGGACTGGCGCAGGGAGCGGGCGTCGTGCGAGGACATGGTGTTCTGGCGCGACATGGGCTGGAAGGAGGACGAGGAGGAGGTGGAGGCGCGCGATGCGCGCGACGCCGGCTGTAGCATGGTTGCGACGGACATCGTGGGCGCAGAAGAAGGAAGGGATCGATGGTAGTGAGTGAGTGAGTGAATGAATGACTGTGTGGGTGAGGAGCGAGCGAGAGAAGGGGGTGTTGGACGGTGCACAAGGAGCGACTCAGCGACGGGCGTGGTGGTGATCGCTGCGGCAACTGGCGAGCCTGGGCACGGCGAGCAGGAGGTTAGTTGATGGACACAAGAAGCCGCGCAACAAAGGGTGGCCTTGCAACGTGCAGCGGGCGGCAGGCTGTGTGCAGCAGCAGTGTTGGGGAAGTGCAGGAGAGGGAGAGGGAGAGGGAGAGAGAGAAGAGAGAGGGAGGGAGAGATGGTACCTCGACATGTGGGGGACAGGGCGGGACACGGGCAGCGAGACGGGCTGGCCGCTCCGCCGGCTAGAGAGAGAGCGCGAGAGCGAGATGGAGAGAGCGAGCCAGAGAGGGAGGGAGGCAGAGAGGGTGGCGGGTAGGGAAGAGAAGTTAGAGAACAGGCTCTTTTTTTGGACGAGCGACGACAGGGTCAAATGAGCGACGATCAGCCAAGCGGGCGGGCGAACCGAGACAGGGGTAGGAGAGAGAGACAAACAAGAAGAGAAGAAGAGAAGAAGAAGAGAAGAAGAGGAGAAGAGGAGAAGAAGAGAAAGAGAGAGAGAGGGACAGCAGCGAACGACCGCAAGACGCTGAAACGGCCGGGGGGGGGGGCGTAGTTAGGCACGGGCGGCGAGAAGGAAGGAAGCTGGGCTGGGCTGGCGGGCGGGCCGGGCGGGCGAGCAGGCGGCGGGCACGGCCCTCACAGAGCTGCGAGCAGGGCACGCAGGGCATACGGAGTAGTTAGTACTGTAGTAATAATACCTGAATATAATTCCTACACGCTTCCTGCCGACCGCCCGTTCGTCGTCCGGCCTGCCTGTTCACGGCCCTGGCAGCAAGCACCTCACCACCCCAGCGCGCCGGCTCGCCACCCCCTGAGCCGGGGCGCCGCGAACGGTGCGACGCCTGCCGGGCCTTCAGGGCAAGCGACCGGGCCTGCATCTATGTATCTCGACCACGACCTGCCTGCGACGTATCTATCTCGCTCTCTCTCGATTACTTGTCATGACTGCATCACTACTCCGTATTGATCCCTTCCCATCCCCTCCTCGCCCTCACCACCGCCCGCGCGCCGCCAAGCGGCACCACCGCCTGAAACTGCCCCAGCCGTGGTTTGCCCGCTCGTATCGCCCGCGAACTCTCTCCCAAGGTCGACTCAACTGACTGACTTTCCACCGGCCGGCCGCGCGTTCCACGCCGTGACCGACCGGCCAGTTGCTGCGGTCGCGTGGACGTCAGACAGACAGGTTCGTCGCCGGCGCGATCATCATCGCCCATGCTGCGCCAACCAGCGAACTAGTGACTTGACGTTCAAGACATGCGCTCGATAGTGTCGCCGCGATCAGCCGGCCGGCCCTTCATTTGCAGATATTAATAATAATAAGAATAAATGAACTCATAATTCCTTCTGCGCGCCCGTCCTCCCCTTGTCTGCACGTAATCCACGCCTTGCATGACGCGCGACCTGCGAAAAACACTCCCGCCCGCTTCATGCGCCAAAACGCCCCGCCGATCGCCCGCCAGCCGGCTCGCAGCGCTGCGTCTGCGGATAAAATGCGACTCGTAGTTACTGCCCTGACTCAGGGCCGTACCTGCATCCGTGCCGGCCCGCCCTCCACCGCGCGCCAGGAGACCAGACGGAGTACGGAGTAGTTACATAGTTACTACAGAGTCGTTACAGCGAGCACGCACACTTCTCTCGAATACCTCTTGTCGATTCGAAGCTCTTATTTTATTTGGCTGTCCCTGACATACCCTCCTCTCGTGCTCCACACACCATCCCCCAACGCCCCATATACCCCCTGACACCCAGCCACCCCGGCCGCCGAAAGAAACAAACAAAGAAAGAAAGAAAGAAAGAAAGAAAGAAAGAAAGAAAGAAGAAAAAAGCCCCGTTCCCCATAATATGCCATCTTCATGTCTGGCCTCGTCCGGCTTCACTAACCAACGGCCGGGAAGTCCTGGGTCTTCAGCGCGCATTCCATGCCAAACTTGCCGCCGATCGTCGTGGAGACCTTCGCATCGATATTCTGCAACCCGCTCTGAAGCTCGACTGCGCCCAGCATGCCCGCAAATGCCGCCTTGTCCTCCGTCCCCTCCTTTTCGAGCGTTCTGCCGTTGAACTGCACCCTGACGACGAACTCATACGGGCCCGTCTCGCCCCCGCTCAGCCACCGGTTGCCCTCCGTCGACTGCACCTGCACGCTGCGCACCGCCGCGTAGAGTATGTTTTGGTATTTTTGGGACGCTAAGCAGATCTCGAGTGTCGCCTTCATGTTCTGGCCTCTGCAGTCGACGGCCTTGGTGCACCCGCCGTTTTCCTTGGGAAAGGGGTCGGCCGCCACGAAGGGCGCGGCGAGGAGGGCGACCGGCAGGATGCTGGAGAAGATCATGGTGGGAAGCAAAAAAAAATGGCCTTGGAAAGGATGGGTGTGTGGGCAAGAGATGGGTAGTAGTTACTCCGTAGTATAGTGAAGAGTGGATATTCCAGCCCACCAGCACAAGAGCACATCTGCGCCGCCTTTTATATCCTCCAGTCCATTGCGATTTTGCCTTCTCTCCATCCAGAACCGAGGAAAGAAAAATCTCGGCTTCCTTTCGGTCTTCCTTCAGCTCCTCCCAGATGATGCACATGGAAGCTCATTCAGATATCCGGAAACTCTAATTTATTGATCGACTTAAAACACCCACTAGTTATACCTGCCCGGCTCTATAACTAGTCCAGCACGTTCCATTATTCCGACCCAGCACCTCGCAACTCGCAACTCCGCTCCCCAGCCACGCCCGCCGCCGCCGCTCAATCCCGCTCCGGAGGACCACCCTCCTCCCCGGCCGGCAGCAGCGCGGACCGCGCCAGGCGCACGCGGAACGCTGTCGGCGAGATTGGTATCGCCCTGCGCCTGGAACGGCTTTTCGTTGAACGAGCCGTCGATCGTGTAGGAGATGACGGGCTGGACGCGTGGCAGCAGCAGACCGTCGGTGGCAGTGGTGGTGGTGGCAGCAGCAGCAGCAGCACGCGCGAGGACGAGCCTGTCGATGTCCGCGCTGAGCACCTAACCTAACTGTACTTCCGGTTGGATGCAGAATTCCAGCACGTCTTGGATGCAGACGCCGTGGGAGCGCCAGGCGGGCCGCCAGGAGGAAGAGGAGCGGTTTGAGCTGCATTGCTCCATATTGATAGAGAACTTACTAGGGTAAGAGAGATGGAGCTTGGCAAGGTAGTTTAACTATCTAGCTGTCCTCTTGGTAGGCCATGTTCAATGCCCTTAAAGCAATTGTCTGCATTCTCATAGATAGCTCTCTCTGGGTCCTTATGTCCCCTACAGAATAGATCAGGGTATCCCCACGCTCACCCATCGATCAGATGTACATACGTACGGACGAATAGTACATACATACACCCGCACGAGATCTCGCTAGGTTTCGGCGACCATAGGATTCCAGCGGCACGAGTGTGTTTGCACTCGCGCACCAAATAACTAATTGAAACAAACAGCCCGGCTGGTTCAAACCCCTGAGATGTCCCGTAATAATAATAAAAGATCCCCAGGGCGCTTGATCCATTCCAAGCCCGTTTCAACGCGAGCGAGCGATCCTAGCCCCAAGAGCGCGTCGTGGAGCAGGATTTTGCGGGCATTATTTTGCTGCCCCGAGGAGAGCAAGGCCGATCAGCCAGAAGAGTACCTACCGCAAGTCAAAAAGGATGCCACCTACCTAGCGATGAACGCCGGCCGGAAAAAATCCTGCCGGATTATCCCAGCCTTGCGAGATGGAGCCCACCGAGTGCGTCGCTGCTGCGGGATCCTCGAATGGATGGCCTGAGCAGAGCTATGGATTGATTGATTGCCCCGTTGAAGTCGCCGGCTATGTAGTTGGAGACGGAGTGACAGATTCAAAGAACCAAGTCTCTCCATATCTATGTTTTATGTGGAAGTTCCTAGGGCATTCTAAAAAACACACAAAGTTGGCAACATTTCGCAATACTTTTGCAACCAACTGTAATCCATGTTGCAAGGCCAGCACCAGGATTCCGATTCTTAAAATCATGCCAATTATGTATCATGTATGCACAATCAGAGTCTACTGCCCTACTCCGTACTTGGGGCTAGCCACTTGCTGATATAAAACCCCTAGCCTCCCCTTCAATAGAGATCAGATGAATCAGGCACTTCTCTCCAGCTCATAGCTCATGGCGACACAGACAGCCTTGCAGCCAGCCACATCGCGGGGCGTTGACGATAGTTCGAGGACCATATGTCTTTATTTATGTATGTGCTTCATTGCAGGCCATCTCGAACTCTAGCACAAGAACAGAAAACTAAAAAAGAAAGACAACAATAAGAACACAAACTCCGCACATGCAAGTTCTTTTTGCCCAGCCATAGATTCACGAATCTCCAAGGAAAAAAGAGTAAAGAGCAAAAAGGCAACAAAAAGTACAGCAGAATATCTCCAACCCACGCAGCCATCAGTTACCTTTCCTCCTCCCCGCCCTTCTCTACGGTAGCCTACTGCCGAAATGTAAACGACTTCCCGCCCCCCATATCCTTTTTCGACTTCCTCGGAGCCTGCGGACCATTCAGCGACTTGGCGTACGGATTGAAGGGAGCCCGTCTCGTCGCCGCGGGCGGCGCATCGCGGGCCTGCAGGACCGACTCGGCGCTGGCATAGTCGAACGGCACCGCATTCTGCGCAGTCTCCCGATTGGGTTTTTGTTTCTTTTTCGACGCTGCGGCCTGGGCGTCGGGGCGTGGAGAACCCACGCCCGACGACGAGACTCTCGGCGACAACGGGGCCTCGTCGCTGGGCACCGTAGCCTTGCGCTTGGGCGGCGCGCCGAACTGCTTGACCGTAAAGATCGCGCCGTCGTCCTCGGCGGGCTTTGGGTGAACCGGCATGACTGTGCTGGCGGGCGGCGTCGCATCTTGGGGTGCTGCGGGTCGTGGGGCTTCGGAGACGTGGATTGGCACGGAAGGTAGCGGCAAGGAAAGCTCGAGACCGTCGGAGGCTGCTAGCATCGCGTAGCTCGACGCATCCACACTCGCGGCTTTGGGAAGTGTCGAGCCCCAGAATTGAGAAACGAATACTCGGATTGGCTTCGCTTGGTCTTCGGATATCTTCGATGTTGGCGTTGCGGCGTCCGTTTTACGAACATATCCCGCTTCTGTCCCAGTTTTTGCTCCAAGCACCTCATGCAGTTCCGGACCGTCTGCACCGGTTATTTTCGCCTGTTTAATGACATTCAACAGCTCCGATAATCTTTTCTTGAGAGGCGGCGAAGCGGGGTTAGCGAAGATCAGAAGTTGTGTTTGGTCCAAAGGCATCGCATGTGCAACGGCGAAGAGAGCCCGTTTGGAAAGAACGAATTGAACCCCCTCATCCTCCGTTCGTGCGGTCCGATCGCGCCACTGGTGCACGGCTTTGAACACTGCAAGTTGCTCGCGATTAAATAGGCCGGAGTTTCGTTGAAGAGCGTCGTACCAGCCCCCAGCTCCTTGCCCAGTCTCTGAATCGTAGACGGGCTTTTCGTATCGCTGTAGCGCTTCGGATTTCGATCTTTCCAAGACATAATCGATTAGGTCATCTTCCGGGGTCGAGTTTTCAAGTAAATCATGGCGTAACCGATCGTAGATGTAGAGGAGATAGTGGGTATCGGACCGTGCATAGTCAAACATCCCAGGGAGTAGGGGCCGAAGTCGCCAGTCTGCCATCTGGTATTTTTTCTCTGCTTGAAAGTTTACATACTTTTCTAATAAAAACTTCAAGCTCTTCTTCGGGAAATGTAAAGCAGCGGAAGCGTGGTACGTGTCAAAGAGGCCAACCAAGTACAACCCCAAGTCCCTCTGGAGCCATATCACATCCATCGTCGAACCGTGCAGCACTTTCACTATCTGGGGATCCGCAAATACCTCATTTAGAATATTCAGCTCTTCTCTCCAAGGTAGCAATGTATCGACGATCCAATCCTTTTCGCGAGTGCTGATCTGCATCAGACAAACAATACCGTGATACGAGTGCCTGTCATGATGTTCAAGATCAATAGCAATTTCCTTCACACCCTTCAGCTCAGCAAGCATAGCTTTGACGCCCTCGAGTGTGTTGACAAATGTTGCAGTAGTGGACTCGAATGGTAGGTACATCTCAGGTTCGGATTTGGAATATACGAACGGAGGGTACTGGCAGTCTTTGATTTCCTTGGCGTATGGATGCTGGTACCTAGCATAGGAAAAAAAGTTAGTGATGCACCCTGGAAAGCATGCATGACAAAGGAGAATCCTTACCGTTCAGGAGAGTCAACCGCTGGCGGTAGCGGAACCAGTGCATGGGGCTTGTATCGTAAGATCGGCCGGAAGGGAGAAGTATCATGATTATCAGGGCGATGTTTGAACAGCAACTGAGGTTTTGGGAACTTAGACGAAGTAAAGTCGTAAACACTTGGAAACTGGCCGCGAGTCGAACGGCTAGAGAGCTGTTGGGCACGTTCCTCTTGCGACGGGCTCAGTTTCTTGATCACTCCAGTAAACTCATCAAGGCAGGCATCGGCTTTTTCCAAAAGCTCGTCAATCACATCAACTACTGATCGCCAGTTTTCGTCCACATTTTCCTCATCCTCCAATGTGGGAGCATTAAGATCGGAGCTTGAGGTTGCAAACCGCAGAATCGTATTGGTGAGGGTGAGAAAGCGAGAGCTCTGCTCGTCAAGGGAGTCGGAAAGGTCGCGATTGATGGACCGCTGGAAAGTAATGTCATCTGCTAGTAACTGTGATGTTGTTTTGGTAGCTTGCACAAGCGCCGCGGTCAGTTTCTCCTGGAAGGGAGAATACTCCGCTGAGATATCCATTCGCGTAATTCACCGAGAGAGGGCCATTTTTTTTTTCATCGAAAGAGAAGAGAGGCAAGGGCAAAGAAGATGCAGGAAAGGGCCGCAAGGGGCTGGAACTTGGCTTGAAGAATGCGCGAAAGGCCGTGAACTGAAGGTCACAAATGAACAAAACCGAAAAGCTGTACCGGCACACTAGGCAGAAAATGGTTAGCGTGATAACTCTAACCTAACCACCGATCTCACTGTGATGGAAGTTCCGTGAATGCAGACACTCGCTTGATTGTTAGCTCGAGTCGCTGGGGATATAAATTGCTGCCGCTCCCCACTGTCCTTGCCTTCGCTCCTCAGATTTTCTCTCATCGTCATGTCTGCCTCTCTTGCCCCCGAGTGCAACGAGCTCAAAGAGTATGTCTACTTTGCTGCAGCCACAGCTGTTACCAGGAAGCTGACAGGCTCTCAGACGTTATGACTCGTGCTTTCTCAAATGGTACAGCGAAAGTATGTGCTTTGACCATTATAATATGTCTATTACGCCGGCAGCTGACAGTTGGTAGAGTTTCTCCGCGGCAATTCGTCAAGCAATGACTGCGAAAAGGTGTTTGAAGAATATAAGAAATGCCTTTCGGTATGCCCTACCTAGAAATTCAAAAACATCTGCATGATTTGCTAAGATATGAGTATCAGAAAACTTTGAAAGACCGTGGCATTGATACCATGCTGGAAGAAGCTCGAAAGAGTGGCAAAGAGGCTGACGAACATGGAAAAAAATAAACAAAAATGTATTCGCCGACCTGTTATCAATGTTAGTGTCGACTTAGCTAACTTGGTTGGTAGAATATTGTCAATTAATCCCTCTACTGCAAGATACTTTTCGATATGGGGGTAGTATACGACTTACTCGACAACCTAAAAGACCCTGTCGGCCTTGTCAAAGCTCTCTAAAAAACCAATGGCTTTGTCGATGACTTCTTGTTCCTCTGGATAGGTCGCCCTTCCATAATGACGATAATCGTCAATGATGTCGGCGACAGTCCGCTTGTCCTTGGGAACGTCGAGCTTTGGCTTGAGGTTCTTATTGAACCTCGACTCAAGATCCTTCTTGTTGGGTGTCTTGCCCTCAAAAGTTTTCTGGAAGGCTGCCGATAGGGCACCCCAGCCCAAGTTGGTTCCGAGTCTGCCAGCTGCGACGAATATGTCCTCGTCTTTTTGCCATCGATTGTCCTTTGAGGCTGGCATCGTGGCTGGGTCGGTGATATAAGATCTAAAAAAATATAAAAAAATAAAATTAAGAATTACAAGGCAGGGGGTGTCTGTGTAAGTGCAGATGTCTGTGGTGTGGGATGCTTGTGGTGAAGAAGAAGGAGGATGCAGAGGAGTGAACTGAACTTTTTTATATCAGCTGCCGTTAAGGTCACTGCGGGTCACTGCGCAAGCCCTAGCTACCCTTGCCTAAAAGGGCTGTTTCCGCCGTTATGGTGCCTACGCTGTGCAGCGCTGTTAGGGCTCACGATCTGTTCCTCCCTATAAATTCCTCCTTCTTTCTCACGCCTAACTCTACGGCTTTCACTACTCTATAACTTTTATAATATCGAAAGCCATACCAACACAAGCTCCCACAACCACTTCGAAATGGGCCTCTTTAACGGCAGCTCCGTGCCGCCCCAAAATGACCGGTTTCTGGTCACCCTAAAGCTGCTGACGGCCATGAGCTGGGCCAAAATAATCGAGGCATATAATCGCCACTTCGCCGCCGCCGCCGTTCCCGGAGATGCCAGAAATCGATGGTCTAGGCAACTCAGAACGAACCCGCTTAGGGCCCTGTTGGAGAATGACAACCCACCAACGGGCGAGGATACTAACGGCATCATAAGTATCCTTAGCCAGTACGGGTTAGAATGTCTTAACTACCGTGGTGAGCAGTTTCTTCGGACTCATGCTCCCGGGTTGTTAGCTTCTAACCCGTCCGCGGCCCTACCGTCCGCGTTACCGACCGTGGGTCCGGCACCTCAACCCATTCCGGCACCCTTACCTACGGCCCTTCCTACCGGCGGCCAGCATCCATTTCCCGATGCTCAACAGCTAGGCTCGGCGTACGCTCCTACGCAGCCTTCGGCTACCGACAATCAGCAGGCACTGGCGTCTAGTGGCCTTGAGCCCTTAATTTCTTTCCCGCCAGTGTACGACTGCATGTTCGACACCGATCCCTTTCCAAGAAGCACGGCCGAGGAGCTTTTGCGTGAGCTCCATTTAATTCGCCGGCCATGATTTGCCTAGAAGGGTGGTTGTCACACCGGTGACTGGGGCTGCGCCGGATCCTTCAACACGAGGAGGATACTACCTGTGAAAATCGTTATATTTCGGCGGAAATCCGGCAACATCGTTACCATGAACCCATAACGGTCAAATTGGAAAGATAATGGCATCTCGTTGCCTGGTTCTAAGGCCCAACGTATTGCCGTTGCCGAGTTCGACGTCACTCTAAAACGGCCTAAGGGGAGGACGAGGTTATTAAATATGGTAGCCGTGTGCCAGCTGTTCTAGCTGCTTGCTACTATTATACCTATCAATGTATTTAATTTAGCACAAATTGCCAACTGTGCTAGCTGCTTGCTGTTAGGGCCAAGAGGGTTCTGAGTCACAGTCTTCCTCGGCGATGAAATAAGAATACAGACCGTTTATGTCTGTTTCTGGGCCTAGATTTGAGATCTTGACACTTGTTACTATTATACCTATCAATGTATTTAATTGAATGCAAATATTTAAGACCTTTGAAATGATTATGTGTCGTCTAGCTACTGACATGACGCTATGTTTACGACGGAACTCTAGGCATGCCTAATGATTGTGTCAAAAGTACAACCGAAGCTGGCTCTAGGGACTGCTAAGGATGACTTGGATGGTAACACCTGCTTGAGATCATTATTTCAGGTATACGAATGTCTGATTGCCTTGAACTTTCCATTGCAAATAAATTCAACCCCTATACCTTCTTCTATCTGAGGTCCCGAACCCACCGGGCGCCCTATATAACCCGCCGCCTGCGCCTCCTGGGAGGCCACCTAAACCACCGCCAGACCCCATTCGCGTTGTACTTTTCCTCTCTGTTAACCGAGACCAGATCTCGCCAATTCCCACCCGTCGAGCGGGTAGCATGCTGTATTGCAAACTGTACATGTTTCGACGATGAATAGGAGGTACGAAACGTCCTGTAACCAGGCAAAAAATGACACGGGGGGAGAGATAGTGTTTTCGAAGGCGATGGCCAAGCTGAAAGTACTGGTCGAACATGGACCGGAGGGATAGAGGAACGGGCTAGGGGTGGGTGGAGTGTTAGGCGGGATCAATACTCGTGTAGAACGTTTCTGTTTAAACAGAAGAGCACCTACTTGAAGATTAATGTATGAAGTGGGGGCACAGCGAAATTCGTCATCAGACGGTGGCACTTTTTGGTCTCGTAGCTCAAACTGGATACCTCCTGAATCGCAGATGTGAGCAATGTGCTTCTTAAACAGTAAACGAGCCACATACCTGGTAAACGCCGAGAATCTTTCAACCGCAGCATTAACGCAAAAAGCGGAAAATGGTTCAAGAAAGCAAGGCACGTGTCCAGCGTCGCCTTGAGAGATATTATAGCCATACGGGCACTAGCAAAAGCAAGGTAAAATACAAGAACAGTAGGTAGGAGAAAAAATAAAAGTGTGAACAGAATTGTGCCCAGCAACAGTTGGTCTAGTTCGTAGTCGCATGAATCTATACGGTTACGTAGAATGTTCCTTTTTCGGCCGCGAAATAAGTGGAAGAGGGATATTATGATGGTTAATTGCCAATGAAATATGCGGGCGGAAGCGGTATAAAAGGAGTATATATGAATGGTGAAAAGTGAGAGGAGGTCGGAGAACATGGCAAGCGCCATACTCGCACCTGCAAACCCAGAGCAGCCTATCATATAGACGATATGGCGCAGATACGGACGCATACCGTAGAGTGCACCTAAAAAACGTAGACCATCAGATCTGAATCAAATAAACTGGATTTACGATAACTCACTCGCCCAACGCCCTATCACCCACAGGAACAAGTCACCTAGGAATGCCGCCAATTCATTGTTAAGTTTCAACCCGGCAGGCCAATCCATCAGCCAGGATATCGTTTGTTGCAACCCTTCTGCTGTAGAACCGTTCAAAATCCAATTCATTTGAGCTGCGACCCAATCTGCATTGTCAATAAGATATGAGCCTAGCGCGATGCCGATAATCACATCATTTGCAACAAGCCAGAGGCTGTTGTAGAATCTGATATAATCGGGGTGACTATGTGTAATGCTCTCCCAGTCGTCTTTCCGCTTACGCAGGGTTAGGTACTGTATCGGCCAGTAGCAAAATTGTTGAAGACGAATATCGATTTGCTGAGCAGTGGCGGATATATCCTTTAACGCAGCAGCATCAGGTGCTGGGCGCCACTCTAGGACTCTTAGGACGACTTCAGCAATAACTCGATGCACAATAATCCCAGTGATAAGGCCCTGCTTGATAATTGGGTAAATCCACGCAGTGAACACATAGATGACGCCGAACACGAATAAACCCCACGCTGTGGTTGCGGACTCTACCACTCTCTCTCCAACGCTCAAACTCCGTTTTGGTCGAGTCCCAATCAATCCAATGTTGCTCTGCATCAAGCGGTCCATTTCAAAGGCACAATTCACTTGATTAATGATCGCTGGAAGTGACTGTTCTTTGGGAGATGGAGCATGCTTAACCACAGTGTGTAAGCGCAATTTCTTGACGAGTTTTGCAGATCGGATTTTGGCTGCTTCTTCAGCAGTATCAACCTCATCCAAAGTGCTTGTGGTATCAATGCTTGTATGTTTGTCACCTAGTGCAAGGCACATTGGGTAAAGGGATAAGTACTGCATGCGTGTGGGGTGGGGGCGGTGGAACAAGATGATCTGTATGCATAATTTCGTTTCTGGAGGGCAGTATATTCGGGGTACTTTAGATGGATGAGTCGTCACTACATAAAGGTGTGATGGAGTGAAGGCCGTGGGTATTTCTTTTACGTTGGTCGAACCCAGGACGTGCATGACGGGCTTCCCGCATAGGTTAAACAGCCGGGAGATGGGATGGCGGCTTTTTCGGTATAAAATGCCCGTTCGTAGCGCATTGTCGACATTTCGCGCCTAAGGAATGATGTATCAGATTTCATTCATAGAAAAGTGCATCCACAGGAGCGTACCTCAACATGCTCGAGTACTGAGACGACAAAAAGGTCGAATTCCGAGTTCCTCCAGCCCACGATCACACCGGGGGCGGTGGACTGGACAAGATCATACGGCCAAAAAACGCGCAGCAACCCATCATTCATAACCATAATGTCATTATTCCTCCACTTAAAATGAGCCTCGCCGTCGCAACTGTTCGCGAGCGGAAATACCGTGGCTCACGGAGCGGGGGTGCTGTTGGTACGGTAAGCAATGGACAGCGCGCTGCAGGTACAACGGGGGTAATATACCCAATGGATCTCCTGGGAGACAATTATATTTATCGGAATGACGAGCACAAAGTAGAAGACGGAGAGAAGTAAAAAGCCCTTGGTTGCGCGGGTCTAGATTTCAAAACAATCCCGTTAGTCAAGGGTTCTATCTCTTATGCACAGGAAATTTTGATTATACCACAACGCCGTGATCCCAGGCAAAAATCGCTAATTCGTAAAGTCTGGTGACAAGATCCCACCGCGCGGTGATGTAACCAGCTACGAAGATGCTGAACGCGAAGACTGAGAAAGGGTGCATGAATCAAGGCGGGCAGAGTTGCGCAGGTAATAAGATCGGCAACAGCGGAAGCCAGAAGAGTCTAGAAGCTATTCTTCAAGCATGGCCCGCGACGGGAGGTTGCGCTGGGCTGGCGGAGAAAAGAAAGGGTTGGAGGTGCAGATGAAGCTTGCCGTTCTCGACCAACCGTTGGGATCGCCAGAATTGCTGGCGGAGCTCCCTTAGCCCAAACCATCCAGCCCATGGAAATTCACAGCCACAAACAATATCAACACAGAATTAAGATTGGTTTCTTTTATTCGTGGTAGCTATATTTAAAGACGTCTATCAGATAATCATAATTACGCCTAAACCCCCACTCTAGAACTCCAAAACAAGGAAACCATAACCATCCTCCGTACATAATAATATCTCACCCCTGTTTTACAGCTTTATAGAGCTTTGATATGCTGAAAGACCTTATTCGCTTTCAGTTGATCATCGGCCTGTACGAGATCCCTCATGATCTGCCTTTTCTCCTCCACTGACATATCCTCGTTTCCAGGGGCCTCGACCTTGGCTTTCCACTTGACAAGCATTTCTTTTAACAGAGCACTCCCTTCCGCGACTTCTTCAGTAGAGTAATGGTCAACATCCATGGGACCCTCTCCTTTCTCGGTTGTGGATGTGGAAAAATCTTCAAGTTCCTCTGCTTTCTGCCGTGCCATGTTAACAACCTTCTCAGGGAAACGAACAAGCTCAGCAACATGAATACCAAATGACTGATCGCAAACACCCGGCTCAACACGATAGAGTAAAGTGACCTCTTGTTTCTTCTTTGCAATCGTGCCGTTCTGCCCTTCGTTTGCACTATCACCAATGAACGCTACAACATGTAGGTTTTTGACCGATTTCGGATACCGCTCTTCAAGCGCAGTCAGCTCATGAAAATGTGTCGCAAAAAGGCCAAAGCATCGAATTTCAGTGATGATATGCTCCGAAATAGCCCAAGCCAGGCCAAAACCATCGTATGTACTCGTTCCACGTCCAAGTTCGTCGACAATAATCAATGATTCCGATGTCGCAGTTTTCAGAATATTTGCGGTCTCAAGCATTTCAGCCATAAACGTCGACACACCCTTGAGTTGAGAATCACTTGCTCCTACGCGAGCCAAGATACAATCAAAAATTGTAAGCTCGGCCTCAGAGCATGGTACAAAACAGCCCGTCTGTGCCATAAGTGCAATCACACCAATCTGTCTGATGTAAGTAGATTTACCGCCCATATTGGGGCCTGTGATGATAAGGAAGGAGGACTCATCTCGAACGAGAGAGACGTCATTGGTGATGAAAGAGATGTCGTCTTGCATTTCCATACAAGGGTGGCGAGCTTCCTTTAGAATTGTATTACCAGTTCCACGAGGATGTATCTTGGGTCGGACGTAGGGTGTCGGGGCATGGACGGACACATGAGCAAAGCTCACAATCACGTCAAGGTGGGCAAGTACGCCAGCTAATTGTTCGAGGAGAGGACAATAGGAGGCTGCCACATTCACTACTTCATTTACCAGGCCAGTTTGAGTCCGGTTGTAATTCTGCGATAGCTGATCATGTTCTCGCCGAAGAGATTGCATTGTAGATGTGGTGAAATAAACCCCATTCTTCTGGGTCGAGCACTCTTGATATTCTCGTTTGTTCCGGATGCAACCCGCTTCCTGTATTGATGTTAGCAATGGTTGTAACGGATGCGCATTTCTCAACTCACGTTTCTGGTCAGCCGAAAGCACCATCCGTGGACCCTATGATTCTCGAGAAAGAGCTTCTTTTCGATATCTTGGCCAAGATCGCGACCCACGTCCCGGTGTTCAACGTCCATGTCATGTCTCAACTTGTCTAATTTTTTTCGAATTATGCGTAAACTATCATCAAATTCAGGTTTGATGATAAATTCATGGCGATCTAAAGCTTCCAAGTCCACGGTAGTCTCTACCATCTCCGCTAATTTATCAAAACTCTCCGAGAAGCTTCGAATTTTTGAAGTATACTCTGTTTCCAACGGCCCTTGGTATTGTTCGTCCATAACTTCTTCAAGGGTATTGAGAAAGCCCGGCAATCGAATCACCACCTGATATACTCTAACAACATCTTCAAGATTTGCTACGTTTCTTTGAAATTTTTTCGCCAGTCTGTAAAGATCAGGTATAGACCGTAGATGGTCCTCTTGCATGGTTTGCCGCAATTCAGTGTCTGTGACAAACGCTTCGACCAGTTGCTGCCTCTTTTGAATTGCTTGGTAATCCATAAGGGGCTGCTTCAGCCATTGCGCAAGTAGTCGGCCTCCAACAGGAGTTTTGCAATGGTTCAAAAGGCCATACACGCTCATGCTCTTTAGTCCATCGCGCGGGCCTGGCATCAAATTCAAAGCACGAAGAGCGGCCGAATCTAGTTTCATATATTGTGAGAGGTCATGCTGGTATAGTTGGTATTGACCAAAATTCGAAGGGTCCGACATAGCGCCTAAGTATTTAATCAGACAAGCTGCAGCGCCCATAGCTAGCTTCAAGTCCGTTTGTGGTAGTGTTCCAGCAGCTCGCTCATCCTTAAGGAGCCGTGATAGGTCCTGGTCAATATCTTTCGCTCCAAAGTCTGCTACTGGCCGACTGGAAATCGCAATTCCACAACTATCCGCAATCGCTCGAATTTTCGTAAGTTCAGTGTCTTTCTTCTGACCTTCCGCAACCACCAGGCATTCCTTGACCCCTAATTGAATAACCAATGATTCGAAATTCGAGTAGATATCGTTATCGTCAAATTCGCTGACGCCCAACTCTCTTACACTTGCATCTGCGAAGCAAACACCCACATGCCTAGTCTCAGACGATTTGGCTGATATTTTTACCGCAAGAATAATCGGTGAGGTGTCCATCATACCACCTCCGGAGGCTAGTTCATCTTCCACATCCTGTAGATTTCCAGGGCTCGCTTGCTTGATTAATTTCCAAGTTCCCTTGCCAGCTTGTGAGGACCATATCTCTATCCTCTTGCCTGCGCGGAAGAGCGTTTCGCGAAGAAAGTTTTTAAAAACAGTGACCGTCAGAGTAATTGAAGGCAATCCGCTTGTTTCGGATCGACCGAGAGACCGTAAAACAGAAGTTGTTTTATATACAGTGCGCGCGATATACTCCGCATCACTTCCATGAGCTGTGAACCAGTCTCCACGATCGAATACTCGAATGGTTGAATCATCATTGGAGGGCAACGATCGAAAGAAACGAATGAAGCCCACTTCATCGTCGACCTGGAATTTAATATAAGATATGGCGTTTGAAATAGTAAATAGGAAGAGAATACCTTGAGCTCTGGTCTTGACGACATATTTGCTGTATAACCGATTCTTTTCGTCTTCCGTCCTCTCATTCATAGCTCAGTTCGCGAATGAGAGGGACGACGCGACGCGTAAATTGATCACGTGAAATAGCGTTGAGCTGCGTCAATTTGTCAAAATTCATATCAAAGCATGCACTGTGGATTATATTACATATAAGGTACAATAACCATATAGTTTTTAATTACAAGTTTAACATCGAATTGATAGAGTGTTCTTTTCCAAAACGCCATCGCCTATGCAAATTGGTCATATCCAGCCCACTGACAGGGCATTCGTAGATCCGCTAAACTGCTCATCTTAATGCAAAACGAAAGTATAGTTCAAAAATTTAGTTTTGACACCTTATCCTTTATAATTTGTGGAGAGATATCTCTCGACGATCTTAAAACGACTGACTTGATCGAATTAACGATCACAATAGTTACCCAATTACCCGAAATTTCGGGTCGAGCGAGGATTTCCAAGCTGGCGGAAATTTCTTCTTTGGAGACAGGGTTACGCATTGAATCCCTGATATTTTGAATAACTGTATCAAGCTTAAAAGCCTTTTTAGCATGCGATGGAGACATATCCAGGCCGGTAGACGCAGCAGGAGCCAGCAGGAGTAATACATTGATAATATCCGGGACGCGGCTGGCAGCAGCTCGTTGCAACATTTTCTCTTTCGATAGTAGCGGAGTCAAAGTCGCTTGACGAAGTGCCTTGCTCTTGATTCTCTCTAAGAGCCCGCTTTGTCGTTCGGCCGCGCATGATTTCACTCGAGACGTTTTCTCCTGACTAACGCTGATTATCTCGGTTGCTTTTGGCTTAACTATCCCTAGCTTTATCCCCGAGGCTTTCTTCTGTCCTATTGAAAGAAAAGCTTTTGGAACCGAATAAATCGGTGCCAAGGGAATATTTTGCATACAGTCAAATTTGGGTGTTTTGGTGTGACTTTTCAAGTAGATATGTTCCAGATTCTCCTCAAAACGCTCTTTGAGTTCATCTTCATTTAGGGGCCCTTGGGAACCGTTTTTGTGGCTATTTACTGCCACTTTCTCAAGAAGAATTCTTGCTCCATAATCAATTAGTCTTAAATGACTTCCCAGTGGGGACTCGCCTTTCATCCCATTGTTTTTGATATATAATAATCTTTGAATATCAGTAGTGAGAACCTTGCGCTTTTTCCAAACCCGTTCAACACTCGGAAGAAAGCTTTGAAGATCGGCGGGAGACGTAAATCCATTGTGTGCAAAATGCAACGATAATGCTTGCAAAAACGAAGAATATAGGGCAATGAGTTCGTAATAGGAGGAAGGACGGTTCTCCTTTTCGGGATATTTGTTCGGAGTACTTGTAGAGGTTGTAGGCTCAACTGGATATTTGTTGAGTGTGTGGTCAGCTTTATTGGAAGGTGACAGAGCCAACGACTTTTTCTGTTCAAGCTCTGAACTCGAGCCATCGTTCGCAGATGTATTATTTGACCTCGTTGCGCGAGGGTTCAAAGTCTTTCGTTCTTTCACTGGTCTTGGATCTACCGCAGGTTCGCCAATGTCCGTGGGCTGCAATTTCCGTTTAAGAGAAGAGTCGGCATCCTTAACCGCAAGTGCCTTTGCTCCCGCATTGGCCTTGCCTGTCCGTGCAAAGCCCTGGATGCCCGCCTGCTTCGTTCGCGCTGGTGGAAGGAGAGTTTGAGCTCGCTTGGGTGCGCGGTTGCGCAAAGTTGTAGCGGGCATAGCTAGCCCTTTCTCGTCTCTAGCAAGAATGATCAAGTAAGATATATTGCAATTAGATATGGAAGTGGTAATCCATCGAATGCAGTGTTGAGAAAGAAAGTCGCCGGGATGTCTTGCAGCGCGTTAATTGGTTTTCTCGACGCGATATTGTCGCGTCACGCGTCAAAACCTTAGTTAATGATCCACACCATCGTGGCGAGCATCACACTAAGCCCCTTTCAGGTGGCGAACTGCGGCTGTCTCCACTCTCAGAACCGATTGCATCATCGCCAGCCCAGCTTCCAACCATGAAGACGGGCTGATGGAAATATTGATGCCTCTGATGCAACCGAGAATCGATATCAGAGTATGTCCCGAACAATAGCTACTCTATAATGAGTATGAAATTTGAACATCTACACTAGCTACGCTGGAATGTAGAGCATGGAAGATATCGACTCAATATTGGCAAAGGAGAACAAATATCATGGCAATTTGCAAGACTGAAGGAAGGGTCCATTTATTGACATTGTACAACAACTAGGAAGCAGGCAAACAAAGACAGCAAAAGATTCAGGGAATCAATAGCACAAGGCATCATTCACCAGAGGAAGAATCTAGCGAAACTAATTACTATTTCGCAGGTCCGTAACGAATCCCGTCGCAGCACTTCAGTTTCCCCCCCATATGAGCGACATTATATTTTGAGATTTACTTCTTACCGCCACCAAACCAGGACGAGATGCCGCTTTTTGCCTCCTCGGCTTTCTTCTCAGCATCCCGTTCTAAACTGTCGAGTTTCTGATGAAACTCTTTGGAGGTATCCTGTCGAGCCTTCTCTAATTCGTTGGCCCTCTCCTTTGCAAAATCTGTCGCGCGCTGGTCTAGGCGTTTCGCGGCGTCGCGCACTTTATCTGCCTATAAGATGGGGGTATTAGAATCAATATAGCATATTGAACTAGGCGTGTGCACTTGCTCCTTCATCAATTTTAGCTCCAGCACGAGCACCGACACCCTCGGCATCTCTGCCAACATCGCCTCTGATCTTGTGTTTCGCCCTGGAGGCATCATCTAGAGAGCACAGGAAGTTGGCATCTGATTAACGTGTCCAATTATTAGAGAAATATCTAACCTTCGAAGTTTCTTGTCGCTTTTTTGTAATCTCCTCCAGCATTGTAAAGGTAATAAGCGCCAGCGCCTACGACACCCACACCAATCCAGATGGGCATACGTGATTTAGCAGCCATGATGTTTGAAATGTATGGAGCAGGATCACTTAAGGGCAGAGAAGACAAATCAAGCACTCTGTGAGTAATTCCAAGAGGGTAGTTGATACAACAGATGGCTGAGGGCAGTCCAGGCTTAAATAGAGAGGGGAAGGTTGGACCAGGATGGCCATTCTGGCTGCTGTACCTCTCGCCTTAGAGTTCTGAGCTAAAGGCGAGCAATGACGTTAGAGACCGCCGAGACTTCCAACTTACTGCAACTTTTGGTTGGCTGCACGTGATGGGATTTTTAGTCCATACTGCACTGGTACCCTAACAAAGTCGCATTGTACGGACAAAACGATGTATGTTGATTGCAGGGGTATGCCATTGGCATGGGTCGAGAGTGAGGACGGCATGGCGCTCTTGGGATGTTCAACACGAATTATTGATTGATAATATACCCATTGTAGTGCTGATAAAGTCTTTTTGTATCCGATGCATTTGCCCGAAACCTACACAAAACAATGCTCCTCAAAGTGCAAAAAAATCGGCTTCATAAAATAACTTCTGATACATGCTTCCAAAGTCCTAGAGCGAGAAAGAAGAAAAATGTTAAGAGACAACAAAAAGCTTAATTATAATATCGTGGTTCGTCGAAAACATGGTAGCGATGGCCACGAACGCCCTGTCCGCGGAACATGGCTGGGAATCGCATGCCGGCTGGGACCCGTTCTTCTGAGATACGCTCACTAGCTCCTTCTGGCTCGCCTATAAGGAATTTTCCAATCTGAAAACCAAGCTGTTAGTAATTGGAGCAAAGGAGATGGGTTTGTAATAATACCTGAAGCTCTGTGTCCGTAATGGTACCACGGCTCACTCGTGCGTATCCAACTCTACGAATGTTCTTATAGAGGATATACTCGCACCACCGATCCCAATCGCTAGAATCAATATCCTTCATACCACTAATATCGCTGACGTATGTGTTGTAGTTGCCTTCAAGTGGTTTTGTGACAAGGTAGCTGAGTAGAATGAGAGGTCTGGGTGACGAGCCCATTAGTTTAGAGAGATATTCTGTCTGAAGTCTTCGATCCTCTGGATCTTCTTCCTGTCCTGAATGAAAGACGACCACGTCGATATGTTGTCCATACATATCCAATGTTGCGTGAATAGCCGGTGCAAGCTCACCAACCGGTGAAGGCAGTAAGTGGTGTGTTGAATTGAGGATTGGGAACTTGGAAAGAAGGGCGCATCCCCATGTGTGCTTGTTCGGACCGGGACCGTAGTCGACATACATTCCAAGATCTTCAGCAAGGAACTGGGTTGTATCTCTATTACCCATGATGATCCTCTGAAGATCGGATTCTAGAAGCCCCACAACATCAAGCTCTAGGTCTCGAATGGCATCACGCATACGCTTCTCTGAAGACCACATGTCATTGTCCAATGAAAAATGAACGGTCCAAATCCCTGCGGTAACAAGCTTCTCCTCTTTGTGATACGGGGTGTAATCGTTGGTCGGGAAGCGGAGGTATGAAGTCGCAACAGAGATTATCTGTAAAATGGCAATTACATAGTAGTAATAAGACCGCTGCTTTTTGTTGAAGGATGCCGCTTTCTTGTTCCGAGATGAGGGTGATGAATTCGAAATGGAGGCAGAGAAAACACCAGCTCCAATCAATAGCATTGTAGCTGTCATGACCCAGTCTGTACGCTCTCTCACGAGAGGACCACCTGGAACGAAAGCATACGCAACAACCCAGACATGGAAAAGAACCATGAAGTTGTATATAAGGAATCCGAAGCCAAATGTTGTCGCAGGAGAGTGTCTCAAAGCGGAGCGCAAAAGGACCGGTGCAACAGCCATGAGATACATGGACAGTGACAGGGCACCATAGAAGCCTCTCCAGTGGGAGAAATTGGTCAACATAGCGGCACCAATTGACCCAAGACCAAAAGCAGTCCAGCTTCCGGAGAAACGAGGATAGGTTAAACCTAATATCACGCCAACTCCCATTGCAAAAATGGTCATCGAGCCGTGAGGAACTGCAATTGGACCTCGAATTGGGAACCCGTCCCACACCCAGGATATCATGGTGCTGGAGTCTGACATAAGAGAGTGCATGCTAAAGAACAACCCACCGAGACCTAGAGCAGCGAGAAGGGAAGGTCCTTTTTTACCATTGGACTGGTAGTAATCAACTGCAGTACTTCTCTGTCGCGTCGAGCGAAGAATAGCGAGTATAGCTAGGGTAAAAGCAGTCTTGTTCCACCCGCCATTTCCAGGGTGCAGAATGGGCCAAATTGGGTTGTTAGTTTGGAAGGCATATTTAGCGACGCTTGAAGCAAGTAATCCAATAGTCCAGGCAATTATTCGGCTTTCAAGTCGCGCCGGCTGAGTGCGCTCCGCATACCAGGTAGCGCTCCACGCCAGGCATCCCATGGCGACGGAGAATCCCACGATAAAGAGCCGATAAGCTGGATTCTGCACAAGGTATGCGAAAAGGCCCGGAAGGGTCATTAAATGTAGGAACCAGATGTTATTCGTCGCGAAGGAGCGCAATGAAGAAATCGCCAGCAGGAAGGGAGAGATGGTGACCATCACGAGGACTTCATAACCTGAGATACCCATGTGCCACAGGGGAAAATCTGAGATGATTGTTAGATTATGCGTACGAATGCCTGAAAGCCACACTTACACCATACTAATACCCCAAGAGATGTAAGGATGGACCAGAAGACGAACTACAATATAGGTGTGAGTGGTGAGTCCGCCTTAGCTGAGATATTTCGACATACCCCATTATAAACATCAGCTGCAGCATCAATTGCCTCGGAGAGAAAAAAACCCTCACCAAGGGAATGTCGAACAGAGATATCCTTTCTAAATTATTGATTAGTGGGGACTTTCGAAGATCTATACTTCTGGTCTAACGTACTGCTTTTCAATAACAGCATCTCTGGCACTCTTAGTTGATCTGTTCATTCATTTAGAACTAGTTCCACTATTCGCAATAACTCGCAGCGAAAGTACATTTGTACATTTGTTCTTATTTCGGAAGCCGTGGGACATACCCTCTGCTAACGCCTTTGACATCTTTCACTACTAGCTCGAACCCCTCAAAATCTAAGGCGGTCACCGCATCAAACCCAACATCGAATAAAATGAGTGACCATTCAAAAAAGGCATACGCAGTGTAGGCTATTCGAGAATTAGCTGAGGTGTTTTGGAAATAGTGAAGGTTCACTACTTACCACCAGGGACTTTGTGAACTTTATGTTGGATAAAGAAATAAATTAGAGGAATGAGAGTGCCAAAAAAAAGGCCTGCAAATATTTTTCGATATTTCAGGGCCTTCGCGTTATTCGGACTAAGAGCAAGACACCCCAATGTCCAGGGAAGCGTAGCTACAAGGTAACATATCATAAATATGTCGTGCCAGTCGTGGTCATCCGTCGAAGTAACGTAAGTCCATCCGCCGCAGGTCAGAGTTCTGAAGATTCCCGTCCCCGCAACGATCTTTGGAAGGGTCGAATTCGGCCGAGCTGTGAGAATGTACCACAGGAACACGAGTGCAAATCGAGGCCCAGAGGTGATCGCGATAAAGACCTGGAAAACGGACCTCTCTGGATACCTATCCCCAATTGTTGCGGACACCGAAGGGAACCATTCTTGTGGGTATCCGTAGTATTCGTTCTGCACGATTTTCTCGAAATGCAGAGCCACACCGACAATTAGCGCACCGATAAATGCTGCATAAGCTACGACAGTATGTGTCCATGATATCCATTTTCCATTAATCTATCCAGGTTTGTTAGACCACTCCACAAAATAGCAAGGGCACAGGACCAGGAACTTACCGAAACAACCGTATCCCCATCCCTGAATTTCGGGGCCATGGCGACAAACTGCGAATGAAAGAATCCAAGCAGTTTACGAGCGTCGCGTATCAAAACTCCATTAAAAAGAATATAAGAAGAAAAAGGAAAAGAGCGTCGCGAAGGAGAAAAACGAGCTGGAGCGGATTTCTGGACCTTTGCCCGGAAGGAGCAGGAAACGCGCAATTTAGGGGTTATCAGCCTAGGCACAAATAAGGTTCGGAAAATACTATTGTTCCGTTCCGAACTGCCGAACTTTAATTTCAATGGTTTACGGAGTATCTTGACTCTGGATTGCACCATAAGAAACACTGAACCTTGAGGGCTGCAGTTGATCATGGCGGCCGCGAGTGACAAGGCTCGGTTCTATCTTGAGCAGTCGATTCCAGAGCTCAAGGAGTTTGAAAAAAAGAAAATTTTCTCCAAGGTATGTATGCCCTTGCGTTGCCCTTCCGCCGCCTTTCGATTTTTCTTCTCGCTAACTCACCGTTTTAATAGGATGAAATCGCCTCGATCACGAAAAGACGCTCTGAATTTGAGCATAGAGTAAACGCACGCGGGCCTTCGCCTGCGGACTTTGCCCGGTATGCCGAGTATGAAATGAACCTGGATACTTTACGGCGGAAACGCATAAAACGACTTGGAATTAAAGCACCCGCCCACTCGGGCCAGAGAAGAATCTTTTTTATCCTTGACCGGGCCACACGAAAGTTCCATGGTGACCTTAGCCTTTGGATGCAGTACATCGCGTACACTCGAAAGCAACGGGCGCATAAGAAGTTGTCGCAGATCTTTACCAGCGCTTTGCGCCTTCACCCAAAAGAAGTTGAGTTGTGGATACTCGCTGCGCGCTGCGCACTCGAAGATCATGCTGAAATGACACTGGCGAGAGGCTACATGCAGCGTGGGCTACGATTTTGCAAAAACTCGAGAGCCCTATGGTTACAGTACGCAAAGCTCGAGATGATCTACATAGCCCGAATAGCTGCCCGACAAAAAATCCTCGGCCTTGACAAGGAAGCAGAGGGCAACAAAAGCAATTCTTCTAATGCTGCCATGGAAATGGATACGCCCCAACTAACTTGCGAAGACATTAACCCCACGCTGGAGAAAGACGAAGTTGATAAAACCGCTCTCGAAGCCTTAAATTCCACTCCCGCCTTGTCTGGGGCCATACCAATTGCTATCTTTGATACTGCGATGAAACAATTCAATGATGATGATCACCTCGGACTCGACTTTTACAAAATATTTGCCGAATTTCAAGATACACCCTGCCTAAAAAGAGTGTTAACTCACGTTGTCGAGCATCTGATGGAGGCGCATGCTACAAGCCCCCACTCTCAAATATGCTATATTAGGCTCCCTGTCGAAGGGATAAAACTAACAACCCCGCAATATCCCCAGCAGCTCGCCATATCACTAAGCCGGCTCAGAGAGTATTCCTCGACCATATTCTCACGGGACTTGGCGGAGGAACTTATTACTTGGCTCACTCCGCTTCTTTCGATTGATGATCTTGACCCGGCACTGCGCCAAGTTATAGAAGCCATTCTTGGCCGTGCGGTGCGAACGATGGGTCTTACCACATCGCAAGTACAAGGTACTTGAGCTTAGAAGAGAGAATAGAACCCAGTTACCTATAATGAGTTATTCTTCCCACGATAAAAAGAAGGGCGTTCTGCATCGGAAACCTCGGGCATTTTGGCGTCCCAATAGTGTTGTAATTTTCTAATATGACAATTGAAACCATCAATCATCATGTCCTTTGCTTCTGCGGTTGCTCTTCTTATTACTGTGCACCTTCTTTAGCCGTATTCTACCTTCATTCGCTCTGTCTTGCCTTCATAAAAAAGTGTTAATATCTCTAAAAGAAAGATGCCATATGCTACCCACAATTTCTGGACCTTCTTTTGCTGCTGAAGGGATGTTTCACCAGGCACAGCTGCCTTTCCAGCTTCGACAAGTGTATCGTGGAGTTTTTCGAAACAGAGTTCAAGATTGCGCGACTGCTTTCGTGTTTCGTCCGAATGAATTACTAAACTGTCCGATCTACCAGCAAAGTAACGGGAGGACCGGATTTTGGGGTGAAGTATAGATGGCACGAGAGGAAGCAGCGCTGCCAATGGGACCTTGAGTGTGACCTTGGAGTTTACTCTTGTCATTTTTGTTAATAGTTTCACCAGAGCCAAAACAGGTAAATCACGTACTTATTGACATTTTGGCCGCCTGGTCCACTTGATCTACTGAAGCCTATTTCGCATATATTTCTAGGGATTGTCCGAGCAGAAAGGCCGGCAAGCCATGATCTGGCTACCTGTATTTCTTCGGCATTCACATGTCTTATTTGTTGCGAGGCATATCTAATAAGGAAGTCTGTACGAGCAAAGAACCCCAATCTCAAGAAGGATGTGAGCCGGACCATTTGAGACAATCTCCATGATAAGACCAGCAGTGTGTTATTTTTTCCTGTTGCCATGAGCCGAATTGCTGAATGAGTGGCTTGAGTTTGGCTTAGTCAGAGGGCTAGACACCACAAGCTTCTGGCCACCTGCTGTCCCACTCCTCTCCCCCATTTCACAGCAATCTCTTCGTGATCAGAGCTGCTTTCCCTCCCACGCCCTAAGACCACTTCACCCCCCCATCGTAGCTGTTCTGCAGTTTCTCCATCTCATTTTATTCACTTCATCTGATCAACCAGCAACCCCCTAACCTCAGCGCACTTTTAGCTATCCCCGAAGCTTGTTGCCCGCTTGACAGCGCAAGCTTTCAATGAATGCCCATTGGAAAAGGCGGCCTGAAGATGACATCCGTACCTCCTGACGACGTTATTCATTTTCGTGGCAAGACCTTAACCCCAGAGAGCCCCCGGCCTCTCCATATCCCGGAACCTTCCAACATTCCTGTCCTCGAGAACCAGATGGACCCAATCTTCAACGATACATCCACGTATAACATTACATTGCATGCAAAAGACACTACATCCAGCTTACCCAGGGCTGGTGACACGGCTCATCTAATGGAACAATATGCGCGTATTTATTCGCTTCTGGCGGACAAAAATCAGACGATGGAAAACGGCGGTGGCGGAGACCAAGGCTCATCTAATATTCGTGACTTTGATCAAGCAGAGGTTCAAGAGATAAAACATGGCTCAAATGTTTCAGATCCTCAAAATTCCCACTCGGCCTGCCACTTTAAATCCACGTTGGTCCCCATGTCTGCCCAAGAACATTGCACGACTTCGTCCAAGGACTATGCCAACTGCCCTACTGTCGCCATTGCTTTTAAGACCGAAGTTGACTCATCTATTAATCAAAATCACCCACCTAATACGGCGCCGCAAGGTAGCCAAAGCCAATCTAATAGCCAAACCATGCCTCATGACCCAGACAGCGGAATAAATTATGAGTCGCTTCTCGATAACCTTTGCCAACCAACTGCGACTGCTCCGTCCCTGAGCGAAGCATCTGCCCTTCAATCAATTCCTGCTACTGGTATCAATACCCGCTCATTGGATACCGAGCCCTCATTATCTTCTCCCTATACTCTTCCTCCACGCCCGCCTCCTCAGGAGAAACCGTATATCCACCCCAATTATTCGCCCACAGATGATATTCGTTCATTCCATAATATCCATACTCAAAAATCCACCACTAGTCCTCACGTTGCCCAGAGTAATCTTTATGAAGCTGCAGCTGTGCCACTAGGTACACCTGGAGAAATTCCCCAATCGTCCTTACAGAGTGGACTGTACCCCCCAGTTTCGTCGTTTCAGCAAACCCACATTACTACCCCGCAGGTTGACAATGAAGCTAGTAGATCTGTGTCAGGGAACGATCGAAGTGAATCTTCGGATGCCCTCGCCTCCAAACCGCAAGAAAGCCGAAACGACGAAGCCCCATGGGGGCCGGAAATCCAAAGGAAGTATGATGATTTTCTTCATAACGAACGGACTTATGTCACAGAAGGCGTATGGGATCGCTTTGCTTCCGGCTCAAGGCTGTTTGTTGGTGTGTGATCCCAGTGGATTTAGACGCAGTGATGAATTAACTAGTAATAGGTAACCTTCCAAGCGAGAGAGTAACCAAACGCGATCTATTCCATCTTTTTCACAAATATGGGCAACTTGCACAGATCTCGATCAAACCGGCATATGGATTCGTTCAGTTTATGGATGCCGCATCCTGCCGTAGGGCCCTCGATGCAGAGCAAGGCGGTTCTATCAGAGGTCGAAAAATTCGTAAGCTACGGATAACCTTCCTTGGTGCATAGCGAAACTAATGGCATAGACCTGGAAATATCCAAGCCTCAGCGTAACACACGCAGCACAGTGGAAAACTCCAGGCAACGAGGTAAAAGAAGGTCAAGGTCGCCTGATCGCGCTAAAGGCAGGGAATCGCGACGTGGAAATCGAGGAGATCGAATCTCGAGTGGTAGGAGGTCTTCTTTTGATGAAAACAAAGACCGTGCAGACGGTCGTCACGGTGATACCTATAGACCAACGAAGTCTCCTCCCCAAGCCAGTCGCCGAGATGAGTACCGGTCTCGAGACCGCAGCATCGACAAAAAGGATCCTCGTGGCAGGAGACGCTCAAGATCTCCATATAGGTCAAGTGACCGCTACCGCAGTCCTACTCCCAGGGCCCAAGGTTATGATAGCGATTCTGAGCTTCCTATCCCGAGACGAGCACCGCGGCACGTTCCCGATGTTCAAATAATTGTTCTGGAGAACATAGCTAAGTACGTCCAACTCTACTTGTATGATATCTTTGATCCTGACCTCCTAGTGAATTTGTGTATCGCGTCGAAACCTGCTTTAGAGACCATAATTTACGAACAGATGTCTTAATTTTGAGTCCTCGTATCAGACTTCCTCCTGTCATACGACGCCAGATATTAGAGGGGGTTCTTGCTATTGTGAAGCTTTCAAAGTCCAACCAGTATGCAGGGAAGATTCCTTTGCAGGTTTTCGACCGTAGTAGCGGTGTTAATAATGTCCGTTTCAACGGTGGGGCTTCCCTCATTCTAACTTTCGCGGTACAACGCTAATTTTATTAAGAATACTCTGGGCTTGAGCCCAAAGTGGCCGCCGAAGTTATACTACAGGCACGGAATATCTCTATAAGCGCACCTAGTCCAGCCATACCGCCGCATGGTCTTGGAATCCAAGCACCTCTGCCACCGCAAAATATGGCTCCGCAGCCCAATATTGCCAATCTTATATCGAACCTCGACGCTCCCACCCTTCAGTCTCTACTTGGAGTCTTACAACCGAACCCTGTCGGTATTGCCCAGAACTACGCCTCACCTAATCCACAATCAGCCGACCTTGCACATCTTCTTAATACTATCTCACACCAAACTTCAACCGTCAGTTCAATTATTCCAAGTAGTCAGAATTTTGCCCCATTGCCTACTATTGGGCAATTCCCAAACAATACTGGTGTTGAGACGGAGACCAACCTTGCAACCCTTCTTTCCCGGGGCCAACCGCAAGCCAACCCCTCTCAAGTACAGAATATTATTGATCAGTTGACTCAGTGGAAGAAGTAAAGCACCCAAGCATTTGTTTGAACTTATATGATTAGCGATGTCAGCTGTAATGTGAAATTGTGATCTAGATTTATATGTAGTTTACACAGTATCATAATTTTCCTCCCTCATAGCTCCCTTTAACTATGGAAATCAAATGTGAAGTCTGTACCGGATTATCTGACTGGCCTGGTTCTTAAACTCATGCTAATCATGTCTTGCATGCCTCAATGGTGATTCGGAGGCAAAAAATGCAGAGACTCCATACATAGTCCCACACCTCAGGTTGTCTGGCAAATTCTTCACCAAAAACAGAGCGGAGAGAAAAAAATTTACTTTTAAGCAATCCAAAATCCAGCAAACATATATTGTACAGATAAACAACTAACCCCGACAATGCGCCGTACCGTGGTATTATATGCTGAAAGTCATTCTATCATGGATTTTATTTCTGACCTTTGGCTGCTGCCTCGTCCTGTTTTATCCGCTCAATCGACAGATCTCGTCTATACTCCATTACGCGTTTTTCTTTGAAGTATTTCACCTAAAACAAGGACTGAATGTTAGGGAATGAGAATGGTATAAGGAAAGCAAATGACCTTACCCATGTCGCCGAGCAAGCGCTATCAAACTCTTGAATTTCCTTCCCACATTTAGACCGTGCTTCTCCGTCTTTTCTTATCGAATCGATGATGCCGTTCTCATCCAGGCATCTGAAGAACGAGTCCCGCGCTTTGTAACATTTGTCTCGGCTTGAGCGATCAGGGGCGATTTTACCACCATCGGAGGCTTTTTCGGGTTTATTGGGGGAGCTCGAGAACCAGCCCATGGTGTGTAGATGGTTTGAAAGCTAGGAGAAGGAATTATGACCGTTATTGTTGAAAGTACCTCCGAACTTCTTAGTAAATCAGTTGCCGGTCTAGTTAGTGGAAACTTCGTCGGCGGAATAATGTGAGTTCTTGGCGGCGCAAGGTAGAGTCACGTGCCGAACTTACTGCAGGCATCCGTCATCGTGGCTGTCCATAATTCTCGACTCAAAACAAATCCATAAGACTGATAATGCCAATGTCTTTCCCTTTTTTGCCGGACTTTTACTAGTATTACATGGGATAGCGATGACTCTATCGAATTCCTACTACCTTGCTGACCCATAACGCATTCATGCAATCTCGTCAGCGGAAGCTTCGAAGAGCCGGTGCTCTGAGAGATCTCCCGCCTTTGCATATATTCAAGAAAATTGTCATTTTACAAACTGCGTATTATACATGCGCCACAGGACTTATATTATTTACGGCTCTTGTAGCCGGCACGGCATTTTCCGCTGATCTTGTTCTGAGTTGGCGGAGTTTACGGGGGGACACCACGATCGGTTGGACCCTCAGTTTTGTCTGGCTACTGAATAGCTTTTTTGGGTATGCTGCATCTCCGCCGAAGAAGTCTACTTTTTAATAGCTAATTTTTCTATTTGTAGTGTTATATTCATCCTCCTCTTTGTCTCCCGCTCAAAACTTGTTCCCGACTTTGCGCTCACTATCCACTTCATCCATCTGATCATCACCACATTTTACACCCATGCCGTTCCTTCCAATCTCTTATGGTGGAGTTTGCAGGCTGCTAGCGCTGCCCTGATGATATTTGGCGGTATGTGGGCTTGTCAGTATAGGGAGCTCCGGCCGATTGCATTTGGAGGTTCACCTTCCAATCACAGAGGGACTAACCGATCAACCGCGGATGCTGTCGTGCGGGATGATGATGTAGAGCTCGCGGGCTTTGCCCAAGGAACAGGCCGCGGCCGCGATCGGGGTGGCGGCGGAAAGTACGAAATAGTTGCCGCGAAGGAGCGTTCAGAGGAACCTATTTGAAGCAGTTCGAGTTTTGAATCTTGCTATCCTTCCTCACACTAAATTTGTTTTTTTTCTTGCACTCTCATGGAGTCCTGGAGCCTGGAATACCCTATAGTATCGTTGACGACGTTGTCTTCTGCATTCGGAGCAGGATTCCTTGGTATTTAGAATTATATCTTTCCTTGCATCCTTGCTAATAACCTTCTTTTCTACTACTACTATTTTGGAGGGAAATCCGGCCAAGCTCAATATGGGATCTGACATATCCCCTCTTCAAATTTCATCGTATGAGTAACGGATATATATCTGCCTAATGGCTTCGGAACGGCCAAACCTAGCGCTAGTCGCAATATAGGCTCCTAATCTGCGCGCATATGGCTAGATATGTAGTGGAAGTTTCCAAGTCTTACTCAGCTATAGTCAGTCAACCAGCTTGTTCTCTGGAATAGTAATGTCTCCTTGTTGAAGCTTTGGCCATGACGTAGCCCACAACTGACACTTCTTATGTAATCACAGGCTTCGACCTCATTCCCCACAACCTCTACGGAGTAGTAGTTAGAGCTACTCATCGCCCTTGGACGCATCGCTGCTCCGTACATCGAGTTGTATAATATCCAGGCTACTGAGCTTTATCTATATATTCTTAAACTGTGGTTGATATTCTGTTAGTGAGAGGGAAACATCCAGTTGTCCAGGTGCAGACAAGTACGATTTGTGGCTAATCACCAACCAGTTTGTTCGTATCCTATATCCCCCTGTCACAAACATGGAGTGGGTGTTTTTGACTAAGGCTTGATCAACTCCGCCATTACGGCAATTAGAGAGCAAGTTAAACGGTCCGCCGCCAAAGAGCGGGATACCCGAGACTACCATGGCTGATGAGCCGTCGTACATTGACTACGAGGCGTTCCTTGACCCATCGTTTTCGCCTAATGACTTCGCCAATACCTTGATCACTAGCACAAACAACCCTTCTGATACTCAGCTCGATCTTTCCACTCCTCTGTCGAGAGTTCTTTTCGATATTCAAGAAATTGACACTCATATCCATACATTAACGACCAAGTCTGCGCTACCGCTGCTGTCGCATACTCGTAACCAAAATGATGCGGGACAAAGTGTTTTACACACTGTCGAAGCACAAGTTTCTGTCTTGAAAGAAGGATATGAGAGATTAGAAAAGGATGTTGTGAGGAAATGGGAGAATGCTGAGGAGGTGAGAGGGGCTGCGGAGAGATCCTGGGCTACCGTCCGGCTAGCTAGGGCCGTGGGACGATGTTTGATGCTGGGCAGGCAACTTGAAGGCCAGCTCCTAGAGCTTAGCCCGCGTGCTGTAGACACTGGTGGCGGTTCGCCCACTGTTATCAGGGAAGATCATCGGGCACTCATTCGAGCATCACACACCCTTTTAATGCTGCGACGAATGTTTACGACGACAGGCGACAACGAGGAGGGCTACGGGCTCGATAGGGTCAAAGTTATCAGAACGCTCAGAAGCGATCTCGTTGTGCCTGCTGAGAACAGCATCAAGGCTAAAAGTCAGCAGATTCTGAGCAGGTTTTCGGTGACGGCTGTTTCGTCCGATTCTGACGGCGCTGCAAATTCGGCCAAGTATCGCGGAGAGGGCGGTTCTGGGACCACCACCTACGCACAGCAAGAAGAAACGAGGCAGCGGACCATTTCCGCTATTACTACTTTATATCTCCTTTCCCCAACCCCTACCGTTAATATTCCGGCATCTGACTTCACTCCAGAGCTTCTTTTGGCGACTTTGAAGGGCTACATCCATGCAACTGTAACTTCATCACTAAATCCTTTGTCACGAGGACTTTCAATGTTACCAGTGCTCGATAAGGCGCTCTTGGAAGTCTCCACGCGGTGTCAGCACATAGTATCCCTAGAAATTCTTCTAGAGAGCCTAAAGCCCCCAAACCACCCTTTCCTGACATATACGTCAGATCAGGAGACTGATTATGGAGAGCGCCCTGCAGGTAGCAAAACAAAATCTAATCTCCTTCAGCCCGTCCTCCAATTACTCGACACTACATCTCTCCCTTCCTACTTCTGGCGATCACTCGCTTCGTCTCTATCCCCTCGGGTCCAGGAAATCGTGTCCCATGGGGGCGTTTCTGCACGTACCTTGAAGTCAAATCGCGATCGGCTCCGGGAAGATATCAGGGCGTGCGTTTTACGGGGCTCCCAATTGCCCAACTCCGGGACCGGTAGATCCAGGCCCGATACGCCAAGGGTGGTGGGCAACTGGGAGCGCGAGGCTGCTGTTATGATTAGCGCTGTGCTGAGCGGACTCGGGAGATGAGTTGCTTGTTGACGTTCCTGTTCCCATCTTAGGCGATTTGACGATCTTGTTTCATTGTTTGCGAATGAGCGCACAGCGCTCTTATGTGTTCGGGTGGCTTTCTGCAATTCTACGGAGTCCTGTCGTTGGAATGACATGACCCTTTGGCGACATTGCGCGTGTAGCGCAAGTACCCGGCGCATCTTCTTTTCTGGTGGGGGGGAAGCCATTTGGCATACTCTGTATAACTGCATGTATTCAGCTCAGCCTCTTGCATCCCAAATTTTGACTTCCATGCTACCACTCCATGCACTGCAGCCCAGAGATCTTGTCCAGTCGTAGCCCGTCGGGGAAACACCTGATGAGCGGAGTCGATCCAAAGCATGGGTCTGTGTGACTGCAACCATCCGCTGTTCACTCCCTATATGCTTCTTTTCAAAACAACCCCCTCGGATGCTCCAGAAATATTCCCCCGCGGGGCCCGCTAAGCTGGCTGCGCCCCTCCGCGATGTTGGTAAGCCCAACCCGGTAAACTCAGCCTCCCTGCTCTCTGACCAATTCTCCGGCTTCGATCATGCAAACCTTCCCCTCCCTGCTGAAGGTGATTTCCCCCGCTGATCCAATGTGCCCGAGCGCACAGTCAGAATTCCGACCAGGCCAACCCTGCCGCGCCGGCCCGTTTCGCAACAATAGATGATTCTGTGCGTACGTACAAACGAGTTAATTTTGCGGGGAGAGGAGGCCGCCGCGGTGCCTTATTCGAACAGGCTCCGCCCCCCCCCGTGATTAACGTCGTGGCACCACCAATGCTCTAACGCACACCAGGAACCGCCCTTCGGGCATGCGGTCGTCGCGGGAGAATAACTCTCCGGGCTGAGGGTATGCTGACTGGGTCAGGTGTGTCTTGCGTCCCTTGGGGGTATACTCCGTACCTGGATACATCCGGACAGTGCCGTGCGGTCGCGGGGGGTGAGTGAGTGAGTGAATGTTGCGATCGAGATCGAGCCTGTACGTACATATACGTATGTACATAAACGAAGATCGGTTCCGTGGCGTAAAAGGGGTAATTGTCTTCAGATCTGGACTTGGTGAACTACAGCCATTGCTTCGGGTTTACCTGTGAGCAGTAAGGTGTTCAAAATACATTCCTCATTTTGAAGATGATATGCATAGAACATCATTGCATTCCAGCCCGGCGCGACGATGCAGTGGGGGCGGATGGAGCTGGCAGACAACGTCGACTGACGCTGTACTTTTTGAGGGGCATTGAGGGTCGATGATCAAAGATAAATATCAGGATGGATCTGTGCCATTCTCTGAGGCAGAAGCCAGAAGTCAGAAGTCTTTTTTCTACTCAACTGGTGCGATCAGGGTGTATTATGGCGGGTTTGAGAAGAGTAGGATATCTATCTAACTACGACTCGCATTATCTCATTCTCCTAGATGTATTCCTTTCATGCTCCCACTCAACCTCCTCCACCAGCCGCCGACACGCGACAAACGACGACAGTATAGTTTTTGAGTTGCAGAGAAGGCCAGGGGTATCGGTTCTTGCTCTTTGTCTCGTCAAGCCATACTATCGCAGATCACGGCGTGAAGCACGGCGCGCGGAGGGACGATCGGCGCGGTCGTAAAGAAATAATGACGCAAGCGCACGCACGGCCTTGCCAACGGGCAAACGGGCGTGTCACGCCCGACAGGCGGGGCGACGAGTCGACTGTACGACCGGAGCCGGGGGCCAATCGCTCTGGTGGTGGGTGTGTTTGGGCGGGCGCCTGGCTGGATGGCAACGACCACGGACGGGGTCAGGTAACTCCTAGGTATGCACTCACCCGCCCCGCAGCGCAGCGCATCGCGGGCTTGCTTTCTCTTTCTTTCTTTCTTTCTTTCTTTGTGTGGATGGTGTTTGATATTCCCCCGCACCCCCCGCGGTGTCACGTGCGCGGTGCTTGTTTCGGCGGCGGGGGGAGTTTCAGCCGCACGGCACGGGGAGTAGTGGGCTTAACTAACTCACTGAAACGCGGGCGATTGCTATTAATACTCCGTATGCTCCTGGCTCCACGGGGCGATCGCCGGCGGCCGCGGCCGCAGGGTTCTCTGGCGCCCGAGCCGGTGAGTGAGCAAGTCCTAGTAGTAGTATACGGAGTAAGTACGGAGGGAATGCTCCGTACAGATAGTTAGTCCGTCGGCGCCCTCCTCGCTTGCAGCGCCAGAGCGGCGCGGTGGATGGGGCACGTATTGGGGAAGAGATACGAGGCTAACCAGAAACAAAAAAAAAAAAAAAAAAAGCAACGGGCGCTTGGTGTTTGGGATCGATGACTACTAAAGTGTTATACGACGAACGAGGGCGGGCGGTCAGGCTCGACGTGGCTCCAGACAACCGAGGCGGCCGGCGTCGCCCCCAAGGCGCTTGAGCTTTCGATATGCTTTTCGGTGTATGTAGGTACAGGCACCAGCAAGAACTCAAAACCAGGGGGGCTCGTATTTGCCAACCAGCGCGGTGCCCTGATCTCGCCCGTTCTCATCGGCCAACCCCGGGACAGGCGGGTGTGCGATATATTGTAACTAACTAGCTACTCCGTACGCACACGACCAGGCCTGCTGTACGGGGCCTTTTTTTGTTTTTTGGTTTGTTTTTTCGGGGTTTGAGCAGGATGATGGCGGATGCGAGCGAGGGGATGGAGGGCGGGAGAGTTTGGGCGCTGCAAGGCTCGGGGGGGGGGGGGGGGGGGGGGGGGGGGGGGGGGGGGGGGGGGGGGGGGGGGGGGGGGGGGGGGGGGGGGGGGGGGGGGGGGGGGGGGGGGGGGGGGGGGGGGGTGTTCGTTGGCTAGTTAGTTACTTAGCTAAGGTCGGCGCAGGAAACCGTGGACAGCACAGACAGACTGATTATTATTCAGAGAGGACAGAGGGAGCATCGGGGAGCAGCGGAGGGGAACGGGGCGTAGGGACAGAGGAGGGAAAGAGAGTTTGGACCGCGGACTAGAACGCGGGGCTACGCTGTAACGGGCTAGCGGGGGCGGGCGAGGGCGAGGCGGGGCAGCGCAACGCCGGAGGGAGAGAGCTAGGCGCGAGGCAGAGAGGGGGGTAGCAGGCTGGAGGAAGTAGTGGTAGTGGTACTCCGTAGTAGTAGTAGGTATCATTCGCGGAGTAGCGGCAGGAGTGGTGGTGCTGGTGTAGTTAGTTAGCTAGGGGCTACTACCTAACCTCCCCGTTGGCCCTGGCTGCTGCACCCCTGGCCGCGGCCGCCCAGCCTCCCCCCGCCAGCGCAGTTCCCGCGGCGCCTCAGGCTGTTGGCGCGGGCGATCTCGCCGCGCTCGCCACACGCGCCAAACCTTCGTCGCCACGCGGCGGCACGGCGTCATCGAGAGGAGGTAGGAGTAGTAGTAATAGTAGTCGTTGTGGTTGTCTCTCTCTCCTTCTACTCATCCTCTCGTATCCCTGCTGTCGCTCCGATCGGCCCCTTTCCCGCGCCCCGCCTGCCCACGCTCAGCCGCCCCCCGCCGCCTCGCTCTCTCTTCCGTCTCTGCTTCACCACTACTCCGTAGTCAACTACTCTTCCACTCTCCCACCTTGCTCGACTCAACTCGACTCTCCACACCCCGCTACCCTCGACTCAACTCGACTCTCTACACCCCGCTACCCTCGACTCAACTCAACTCAACTCCCTCGACTCTCTCCACCGCTCTCTGCCCGGCCGCCTCAGCTGTGATTCCAAAGCCGCCGGCCCGTGTTTCGACGTGGCTCTGCCCGCCCAGAGCCGCCTGAACTAGTAAGCCCGTGCTGACCTCCTGCTGCCCCCCCATCCCTCTTCGCCCTCTCGCGTGCACCACCACCACCACCACTCCCCGTCCAGCCTCCGCTCCTCCCCCAACCTCGCCCCCTCCCATCCCATCCCTCGCATCCCTCGCATCCAACCCATCCTCCCTCTCTCTCCCCTCCACAGCCCGCCCGCCTGCTCGCGGTCTCCTCTAACCCACTGTCTCAGTCACGCCGCCCTGCTGCCTCGCCGCCGCCGTGCCTGAACCGTTGATCGGCTCTCGCACATCGCAACCCAAAACCACCGCTGCCGACCCTTAGCTGCCGCCCGGCCCTGCCACGGCCGCTCGTCCCCGAATATCCATACCTCCCCACCACCATGACGGCCTTTCTGCCCGTCAACGTCACCCGCCCGCCCCTCGACCTGAACCGGGACTTGGACAAAGACCCAGACGCCCGCCGCGCCCCGGCCCCCGACCGCCCGGTCGCGCGAGACGTCGCCGACCAAGCCCTGCCGCTGAACTCTTCCACCACAACTACCACCACCGCCGCCAACCACACCGACCGCATCAGTCAGGCTGCTGCCGCTGCCGCCGTCGCCGCCGATCCTGCAAGATCCAGTCTGCCTCATCGCCGCCCTGCTGTGCCCAAACACCCCAGCCGCGACGGCTCGTCCACCCAGGAAGACATGCAGGCCCACGAGTCGGAGGGAGAGCACTATGCCAGCGAGAACGAGCCCGAGCCGCCCGACACCGCGCCCCCGTCCAAGAAGAAAAAGGGCCAGCGCTTTTACTGTCGCGATTTCCCGCCTTGCAACTTGAGCTTCACTCGAAGTGAGCATTTGGCTCGACATATTCGGTTGGATTCCCCCTCCTTGTCTACTTTGTTTCGTCCTATGGTCGCTAGAAAGTGACGCTGACCTTTTTTTTTTTTCCGCTTCGCTTAGAAAACACACCGGTGAACGCCCCTTTCAGTGCCACTGCTCTCGTCGATTCTCTCGTCTGGACAATCTGCGACAACACGCACAGACCGTCCACGTCAATGAAGAGATCCCCGGCGACTCACTGGCCGCCTCTGCCACACGCTTCCAGCGCCAGGTGCGGACAGATCGTATCCGACCTGTGGGCAGAGCCCGCGCCGGCACTGGTGGCAGCCCAGGCAACCATGGTCGCGGCCACGGCCGAAACTTATCCTCATCGAGCATCACCTCTACGGTCTCGTCCTTCAGCCAGGCCGCGGAAATCAGACGTCGCCCGCCGCCGTTGATGATGGCAGGCGATGGCGCGGCGAGAGCCAGGCTCTCCTTGGAAGCCACTTCATCGCCACCCACGACTCCCCCGCAACAGGCCCCCCTGCTCTACCCAGGACAGTCGCCCAGCACGACGCTGTTCACCCCCTCGTCTAGTACCTACGAGTCCTTCTTCGCATCGCCTTCCTCCGCCACCGACTACTGGGGAGAGGGTACGCATAATCGCCGACTCTCCGTGCCTTCGGGGAGCAGATACGATGCGGCCAACGCAATCCGCTACCCGGCGCCGGCTCGACCGCTCGTCCCCGCCGGCCATCCGTACACTGCAGACGGCTTTGTCTACCCCCCGACGATCGTTCCGACCCCACAAGATCCGCAGCCGCCGTTTCCTCCTGAGGCGGACTGGCGGAGAAGGACGTGGCATCCTGGCTCCGGATCCACCCGCCCGAACCCCGGTGGAATGTGGATCCAGGACTCCGTCCCTGGAAGTGTCCAAACTGGGTATCCCGCGAACCTGCAGTCGGTCCCGAATCACCCGCAAAGGCTACCCGGCATCGAGAGTTTCGATCAAATGCAACAGAGCCCATTGGCCCCTCCCCGCCGCGAACCAACGCCCATGCAGATCGACGGCCCTGGCCCAGCTGAGCCAGCGACGCAACAGGCACCCGCTCCTTCGCCGTTTCCGGTGTCTTTTCGCCCCCAGATGCCCGCGTCAAGACCGCAGCCCCCCATCTCAGGACCGGGCCATCGACGAGGGTATTTCTCTCTGGATATGACGCTGCATAGTGGTTTGAACAAGCTTGGCCTTCATGAGAACACCGATGCCACCCGCTGGTCTCGGAACAACGGTGTGCCGCAGACTAGCCAGCCTGAACTGGCTCCTGTGGCCGCCGAACGACCCGCTGACAGACGTCATGTTCCCTTCGATCCAGTACCCAGAGCTGAACAGCCCAACCGGAACAATGTCAATGGCCATGGCTGGTATGACGGCAAATCTGCACCTCCTCCGCCACAGCAACGACAGCCTACTTCCTCTCCCCGCGTCCTGAACGGCGACACCGCTCCGCAGGCCAGCATGGACTATCTGACGACTGTGGTACAGCATGACCGTGGAGCGGAACGTCGCGACTCACTGGTCTCAGGGGATTATAACACTTCGGTAGGTGCCCAGACTTCCATCGCTAATATTAAGTCTTGTATCTAACTCAACTTTCTCTCGATATAGTCGCAACCTCCTGCCCGTGCTAAGCCACAAGGGGACCCGTTCCCCGGCTCAGCCGGCGGCGATGCTCGACTGCAGGCTCTCGTTGCTGTTGCGACGTGCGAGAGCAATAAAAGAGACGCATAGTAGTATCTGCGTGCTGCATAGAACAGGCAGTCTGTTTGTTTTCTTTGAGCACCCCCTCCGCTTCTTAATTATATAATGGGCTTTGCAAGCCTTTTTGTTGACCCGAGGCTGTATCTCCTTTTTTTTCTCTCATAATATTCATCATTATGTTTAGCATTCTTCTTGTTTGTTGTGTTGAGGGACTAGCATGTACGGAGATCGGACCTTTTTGTTTTTTTTTGTTTTTTTTGGACAGCGAGAAAGGAAACAAACCACCGACACCTTCAGGAGTACGGATCTCTAGAGATGGAATGACTTTGGTTTCCTCCCCACCCACCCACCCAGTGCTGGGATATCTCTGTATTCTTTTTCCCCTTCACGCCGGCGTATTCTCCTTTGGGCCTTTTTTTTTTTCTTTTAATTGTAATTTGCGGCATATTGGCGGGTTAAGGGAATCCTCGAGGGAGAGGACCTTCTTTCCCCACTGCACCCCCTCTCCCCCGATCTTGAGCGATGTTGATGATTTGATGATTAATAACTCGATAGGGGCTTGGGAATATTAGGTCCTGGTTTTGGTTTTTTTTTCTTTTCTTTTTGGAGGGTCCTCTTTTAATGTCTTTTACTTTCTGACTTTGTGTTTAAAAATACTATTATTTTTTCTCTCTCTCTCTTTTTCCACTTTTTCCATATCTATCTCCTTTCTTCTTCCTCCCATTTCCCGTCTTCTGATTAACTATGCATTTCCTTGACTCTCTTTCCTTTCTGTGCTGGTAGGTTTGTAAACGCTGGGTCTCATTTTGTTGGCAAGGGCGGTAGGCGTTTTATTTCCCCCCCTTGATATATGATATGACGACTACGACTCTCTCTCCCTCTTTCTCTCTTCAAATCCTTTCTTAACGGCCTTCTCGACACATACATATCCCCAAGCGAGAATCTGAGCGTATTCAATACCCCCCCACTCCCCTTTTTCCTTTTGTATTGCGCTGCGCTGTCTGCCGTCGTTAAGCGAGGGCCCCCTTTCGTTATGTTTGAATTATAGGGAACAGGTCACATATACTTGCGTGTCTGCGGGAGACGAGCTTGGTTTGTTGGTTTTTTATACGCTGGTTAACATATATATACCCTTTCAAGATATATGCTACACGGATGCTTGTATGTATAGATATATGTATGTACAGTTTTACCCCTTTGTACCTCACACGTTCCTTCCCCTGGCGCAAGATCAACATACGGGAAGTTGTGTGTTGCTATAGGCACTGGGTAGATGGGGAGATTGATTGGTCGGTCTTGTTTGCCGTTTTACTCTTTTTTTTTTTTTTGGCTCGGACGTAGGGAGTATTGATGTGTATCTATTATATATCGCACTTCTTATCTTATTGATTAATATCTTATTGGAAACCAGCTGCTTGCTGTTCGCCACTTCGCTTCATCAAGCATCCTCAATTCCCTCACACATAAGGATTCCATTCAGATAGGAAGGCATATCACAGTATACAATATTGTCTCCTATTATTACCTCGCCCGCTTCCCTATATCCGAAAGCCCGATATCAGCTCCCACAGAAAGTACATACTCCGTACATAGTTCCTAACCTTCCTAGCACTCCGTACCTTGCAGTACTCCGTATGTGGGGTTCCAGAGTGGGGCCGCCGGTGATTGGCCCGGCGCCTCCGTTTTAGCTCCGCCCGGGAAGCAGGAGGTAACTACCTAGTTACTTCCGGCCCGCAAAGCCAAAATCGACCTCTGTCCGAGCAAGCCCGTTCTTGGAACCAACCCACCCATCAATCCACGCAGAAAATAAAACAGGCGCGATTATCGGCTTATTTTGTGGGGATGGGTTTTGTCTTTGCTTCGATGATTATGCTCACGCCGCTCTGGTGTCCCTGCGATGGTATTCCTTTCATCAAGAGATAGATACCTGGTCCTCGGGGCGTCGGTGGGCGACGATGGAAGTTGCCGGAGAAATGGATACACCTGTCCATTCACTGGCTGAATACGATGGCCATGCATGCATTGGCCTGCTGTCATTATTATGATACATAATGAAGCTTTCAATGAGGGAAACACTGCAAAATTGTCGCTTCTCGGACCATTGAGCAAAATGCTCCTGAACAATGCCATTGGCATTGTGCATTCAGTGCCACGGGCGGATTTTGCCCCCGGGGGGAAAAGAATGAGGTTCTAGAGATTGATTCTTTATGAAGGGTAGAAAAAAAGAGTTGTGAATTTCCTTTTTATTTTATTTCTCCTTCATTCTTGAACTGAGAAATGGGCTCATTGTTGAATTTTTACAATTCACTACTTGCTCCCGTCTTTCTTTCAGTCACTTCTTTTCTCTCGCTCGCTTTAATAGATTCTACGCCCTTACGGGCTACATGGCTTTTTTTTTCTTGATATCCCCGCTGCTACATACTAATGAGTACGCTGTACGGAGCTCTAAGTTCTGATTTCTGTGTGTTTTTTTTTTTTTTTTTTTTTTTTTTTTTTTTCTGGAGTTCTGTGGTATAGTAGCCGCTGCTCCGCTTAAACAAGTTAAATTATCTTCGAAATGTGAGGTCTGCTTTTCCAAAGAACCTGCTGCTCGGGGCTGACACCTTCTAGAAGAAACCAGCCAGGGAAGCATTAAAACATAAGCAA